ATCCTATTCCTAGTGGACCTCTTCCCAGTGGACGGTCACGTATCCGCATGTATGTACGTAACGTAACATACATACATACACAAAACCATAACCAAGACTATACATTCTCACACCTACCAGACAACCCCCTCTCCCCACCAACCTTCATCATAACCCGCCCAACCCCAACCACCACCCCCTCACCCCATCATCAACAACAGCGCCAACACCACCAACATCCCCCCTACGACCAAACCCATCTCAACCCCCTCTACCACTACCCCTCCGTCCCCTACGACCTCGATTCCCTCCCCGAAGACGACGATCCCTCCTCCTCCTCTGACCTCTTCGACTCCAACTCCCCCTCAGACCTCACTTCCCCCCCCTACTCCCCCTCTCCCCCCTCTCCCGACTCCCCCCCAGCCTACCGCGAACAACCAGACCCCCCGCCGCCGTCCTACTACAGCCAAAGTGAACGCCAAGCCCAAACCGCCGCAAACCAACGGCGAAGGCAAAATTCCTCTGTTGAGCTCTTGCCGAATCATCCTATTTTGCTCAGCCCGTTCAGCCCAGGTAGTCTTGGAGGAAGTGGGACTGATACTGACGATGCGGGGGGTACGAATAATGATAATACGACGGAACATTACCCGCTGTGGCCGACACATCGGGGTTATACACCACTGGATGCTCCGGCTGAAGTTTATACTGGTACGGGGAACGGGGTTGAGTCTGAGGATGAGGGGGATGGTGATGAGGGGGTTGATGCGGGAGGGCATGGACACTACCCTAGTGATCCAGACGATGTAGATAATCCAGACCGGCCGAATGGTTCTAATCGTGCTGAGGGCCGTCGGATGGTAGGCTATGGGTTTGATTACGATGATTTCGACACCGAAAACGATTCGGCGAGTGAAGAAGGAGGAGAAGGGGAGCGTCCCACAGGGGTGTTTGTCCCGGATCGGGAGGGGGAGTTTGAAGTGGATGATGCGTGGTTGGATCGGGTGGAGGCGGAGGCGGGAGGGGTTTTGAGAGAGGGGTATTGGGGGGAGGGGAGTGGAGGGGCGGATGGGTATGAGTATGGGTATGAGGATGGGGGGGATAGGTGAGTGTAGTTATGTTGTGGGTAGAAGGCGTTTGTTTGTTTGTTTTGTTCGTATCTTTGTATTTTGTATCGTATCTTTCATGACTGTATACCTCCCGCGTAAGAATACACATACAAAAATACACGACTCATCTCCAACTGTCATGTAGCCTCCCTGCCTAATGCTGCATCGGCAAGTCGAGTGACATCTCAGACCGCCGGCTCTGGTGTGAAGACATCTGCCGCAGCGGGTGTGATCGATATGGACTGTTGGAATGAGGACTGCGCGGACTCAGGGGACTGCGGGTATTGCCCAATCCCTGCCGTCGTGAATCCCACATTTCCGCTTCCGGTGCTGGCTCGTATCTCTCTCGGACGTCCGTTTTTATCTTTTGGCTTGGTCGATTCTGTTGTTTGTGCTTGTTTTGGTGATGTTCGTGTTGGACACCCTCACTTCCACTCCCACTTTCATCCGTCCTGTTCTCTCTCCTGTTGTTTCCTGCTCCTCCCCCATTCTCATTCCACCGCTCGATATCACTCTCATCCACGGTCATCCTCGTCCGCCGTCGCGCCAGTAGCCACCCACCCACCACAGCCAGCAGAAGCGCAGCTACACCCCCGACGACACCGCCTACAATCGGAGCAGGGTTGGTAGACGATGGTTTGCTCGAGGCTGTGGCGGTCTCGGCTTCGATGGTTGTTTTTGTGAGCCAATCGAGGTTGGTGGATGATGGGTGTGGGTTGGGTTGAGTTGTTGATGGCTGGGTTGGTGATGGCTCGGGGGTGGTTATCGCTCGGGGGAGGGCGTTTTGGTGGAGGGGTATTGGACTGGGTTCTAGATGGTGTTAGTTTGATGGTGAGTATGAGAGGACCACGGAATAAACATACCATTGCGCTTGCAGTTCGCCCCCAATCCCGAGTCCACACAGACATACACCGGTTCGACTTCAACCCTAGTAGAAACATCCTCCGCGCGGGCACTTCCACAGCTCACAAGAGCGGACAACAGTACACACAGTCCAATCGATACCATACTCGGTCGTCGGTGTTGTTTCCTTTTTGGGGTGTCCGACCGGTGGATGTGGAGTTGTATACCACAGTACTAGTATATGTATATGTCGTCGCTTTTCTCGGAGTCGCAAACCTTAAAAGACGACAAGTCCGTCCGACGCGCCGAACAAACACACGATCAAATCCAGCCAAACGGTTCAGATCAGATCTCACAACCCGGGGCCACGAGCGGGGAGGGAACCTCTGCATTTATCCAGCTTCCCGTCTCTCCTCCTCCCGTCTCTCGCTTTCGCTCACCCCAGCGCAAAACCAACAAACCCACGCCCAGACGACCCAGACCCGGGAACCAATGCAGGTCCAGCAGCTCGACTCGGCCGACACCGGTGACCCTGGCCTGGCTTGCGTGTCCCGTACAGGCAAGCCTGTGGTACACTGGTGCAGGACAGACACAGGAATCGGCATGGTCCTTTCCCTGCCGACGGCTCGGTACCGAACGCGCAGGGCTGAAGTCGTTGTGTACCGTGGCTGGGGTCGGTTTGGTTGGGATTTGACAGACGGCGAATTCATCGGCAGTGCGCATGTCCCCAAGACACACACATACTTCGTACACTCATCGAGATACCATGACGCGAAGCCACGAACTCTTCAGAGAAATCGCAAACAACAGCCTGATCTCAAGCCTGCAATACTCCATCCACTACACTAGTTAGTTACCTAGTTAGTCAAAGGCAAAGGAGTTCCCCTCAACTCATCAAGCTCGAACACCGGCCGAGTCGCGCTAGCCCCCTCCAGCTAGCCCCAACGCCCCGTCACACAGCGTCGCACCGCTGCGCCGCTAGCGTTGCAGCCCTGAAAAGCCGGGAAAAGCCAAGAACGTCCACTGGAAGGACCTCTCTCCTCTCGTCCCTGTCCCATAATGTGATTTCTTTGGGGCAACCGACATATTCTACAAACTCGTAGAACGTGAAAGAAAGAGAGTTGATTGATGAGTTGATGATCGACTGGTTCCATTCTGCCGAGAGCTCTTTACTGATATTCATACGGTTGATGGTTGAGTTTCTGCTTTTGTTAGCCCTCTGTTCCTCACCTCGATTTCCCAGCCCATGGCGCTAGCCCAACTTTCCAGGTGAGCGCCAATGCAGGTCCCTACCAGGGGCATCTTCCAGAAGGATTCGAAACGCTGCTTCTTTTTCTTTCTGTCGTTTTTCTTTTCCTTCCCATCCCTTCCCTGCCAAGAACCGGCTCGGAATCATCAACCGAGCGCCACGAGTTCCCGTTCCCTTTCTCGTCCATCTTTCCTTTTTCCTTTCCCTTTCCGTCTATCCGTGGTGTGGAAGCTGGGCATTCCTCGGTTACATCATGCCGTGTCGTCGATCGCAGTCCTCTGCAGTTCTCTGCAGTCCTGTGCAGGACACCATCTTCCTGGGACGCTGTTGCGCCGGCTGTCTGCGGCTGTGTTTCAGGATGATCGCTGTCGTCACCGGGCGCATGGAAGATTCAAGATTGTTTAGAGAAGCTAGGTGTCCGCTCTTCGTACGTCAACGTTGTAAATGCACTGTTCTCGATCTTGGTCGGTAACCCTACACGACAATGAAATCGGACGTGGTACGAATACAAAGACAACCCCAAAAGACTGTGCTGGACAAGGGTGACATCTGCTCACCCGCATACTGCGGGATTCCGAGTTGGTACTTTGTATGCAGCTTTCATCCGACCACTCACATCGCGGCAGCCGACATCGCCCAATCCCACCGTCGCAGCCATGTCCCTTCCCGTCCGTCCAGAGCAAACTGCCGTTTCTTTTTGGGAGCTTGCGGCTGAGGAGAGTTCACTGCGGGCCACTCGGTACTGAGAGGACCGTGAGTACGGCAGATGGCATGTTCATCGCTGTGGTGTATTTACTGTGTATATCGGTGCTGGAAGGCTTGGCGAGGGTTCAACTCGTTGAGGTGCTTGACAGCATTGGGGCCCTGCCAGCCTGCTTAGATATCAAAAGGTGTTCATATATGCGCAGTGCTTCCATCTATCATCTCAATTCGGCCGTATCGTGTCTGATATGCTGTCATGCCCGGGTCCCTGTATAGTTGACGTGTCGCTCGCTTTCCTCACTGACCCCAATAAGCCCAGAAGTCCAGTACTTTTCGCCCGCCCGTCCAACCTCTCTATCTCCCATCTCCCATATCCCAGAACCTCAAATCCCCATATCCTCATCACTCTCCTCCTCCCCAAACCCATCCCCCCTTCCCCCTCCAACCCCCCCTCCCTCCTCCTCCTCGTCCTCCCGTCTCGCCGCCTCCGCACTCGCCCCAACCTTCCGTACCCCATCCACAACCCCCAACACAAACCCCCTACTCTCCGCAAGTTCAATCGCCCCCACCCCACGCAAACTCATCAACCCACCCCCAAACCCTTCCAACCGCGCCGTACTACTCCTCATCTTCGCCGCCCGTACCTCCACCAAGTCCCGCAACAACCCACGTACTTCCCCAGCGCTACTCCCCGTTCCGCCACCGCCGGTGGTCGTGCCGCCGGCAGTCGCCCCGGCGATATCATCCCCCGCGTGCGTCAACAACGCCTCCGCAACCTCCAACCAGTGATACGGCAAATACCCCGCCGGCGCATCCGCCGTGCACGCCGAGCCCCTAAACGGAGCCGATATCCTTATCCCATCCTCCCCATCTTGTGTTGAATCCAACCCCTGCTGACGCGCCGCAAACCCGGGCCGTGAAGGGTCAGCGCGCGAAGGGATAGGCGGGGGTGGGGAGAAAGCGTCTGGGTCGTCGCGGGTTTCGCGGCGGATGATTTCGGCGAGGGAGGAGGGGTGTAGCCAGGCTGGGGGGAGGATGTTGGCGCGGCGTTGTTTTTTGAGGAGGAGGGCTAGCCAGAGGGGGAGGTCGGTTCTATGCGGGGGGCGGAGGGAGGGGGTTTTGCCCTGTTTTTTTTTGTTTAAGGGTTAGTAAGTTGGGTAGGTGGAAATAGTTGGTTGGGTTTTGGCAGTGGGAGAGGAAGGATAGAAACGTACACCTAGCAGGTCAATGCTCTCGAGGCGCTGGCGCGGAACGACAGTGACCAGCTCCATCTCGGCTACGAAAGCCACTTCGGCGTGGGTCAAGCCCGACGGTAGCGGGAGTGCCATTGTTCTCTCTCTCCCTTTCGGGCTCTCGCTCTCGCTCTATCGTTCGGTTGGAAATGGCCTGTGGTGGGGTTGTCACCTCATTGTGTTTGACGGGGCGGGGTGCGATGCCGCATACGCAATGTCCTGCAGCAGCGGGCGCGCGGATCGGAAACGAACGAACTAAAATCGAAACGTGAATGTCGAAAGTGTGCTGAAAATAGCTGCGGGCCGAGTTTCGCGTTGATGAAAACGCGGGGCAGGCGCGGGCTGCTCAATTGGTGCTGACGTCGCGTGGGTGGGGCTTGGCGCTTCCAGGGTTGGTCCAGAGCGGTGCTCACAGAGCTGCACTTGCAGGCCAATACTCGTCAGTGATAGAAATTTGACAAGAAGTAGATGTTTTACTTCCATGAGAACAACCCCTAAATTAATTGAGGCAAAGCGGTGAGAAACCAGGCCACACCAACACTCACCCAAGCAAGAGCTAAAGGAACCCTAACCCTCGCCCATCCAGAACCCGAGTTCACACTCTCGTAAGGAAGGAGCGGCTCTCTTGGAACACTTGTGACCCCAACAATTACAACAATCACGCTCTAGTTTTCCAGCTTAGATACTCCTTTGACCGACCGCCGTTGGTGCAAAGCCGTACTTCATTTGAGAGATCGAGAGTTTGCAGTGGTTAGTATTCTTATCTCAGGAACTCTTTCAGCTGATAACTATTGCTTTGTTCAGCTTAAATTTAACTCCAGCCATCACATCTTTCTCTTAGAATGAGCCTGACTTGCAATATGTAGGTTCATTTACACTACCAAGTATCAAGACGTCAAATCTTGTTCTCCTTGAATCCTCGGACGGATCCCACGTGTGCTTCCGCGAAAGTGGACCAACCCGAAAATGTGGAACCCCGACCTGTCAAAGTGGGGCCGCCCACCGGAGCCGGCTGCCGGGCTTGCCGGGCTCCCCACACCCGCTCCGAACCTCCGATCCGCCGGTCTGGCCGCCCGACCCATCTTACATAACCCCCCCGACCCCCTCAAAGCCAAAGAACGGAGAGCATAATCCCCCCCAAAGGATCCATTAGCTCCCCCTTCCAAATCCCGACTGCCTGGTTCCCACGAGGTTTTTCCGCCCGTTCCTTCCGTCCGTCCCATTCCCATTGAATTTAGGCTTCCTGTCTGTCAGCGGCACAGGCTCACAGCGGGCCGCGGCTGGGTCTGAGCCTCTTTTCCATACTACACTCCACTTACTTCCATTGCGCGGGGAAAGCCGAGGGTGGTTACATGCCGCTCGCCGCATGCCGCCGCATGTTGCCGCATTTCACCGCGTAGTGGGTTTCGGAGTCGAGTTGGGATGATGGTCACAGGAAAGAAGAGAGAAAGAAAGTCCTGATTTGTAAAAATGTCAAATCAGTTCGTGCCGAGGTTGTTTTTACTCCCCGTTTGTTGCCTGGGCCTGGCTCACCTCACCTCTCACTTTTGGGGGACTGGGGGAGGTGGGTTCAGCCACCACGCGAGGGCGCGAAGGATGGGGTCGTGGCGGGGAGTGATGATGGGCCAATCCTGCAAGGCTGCAGCGCAGCAGGTATCGTGACGGTTGAGAGTAGTGAGTCGGGTGTTCAGATGAAACGACACAGACAAACAAACAAGGACACAAACACGCAGAATTGGGAATGAGATGGTTCAGTGGGAAAGTAAATTCGTTAGGTCGTTATGCTGCCTCAAACGTAGCGTGTCTCTGTCGTCTCTCGAGGTCTGGACGTGAGAATCCCCTCCTCGTAGAACCTTGGCCCTGGAGTTAGAACACTACTCCAGCCCCGCGGCTTTTCTTTTTTTTTTTTTTTTTTTTTTTTGGATCCCCTTCTTGTTGAACCTCGGCTCTGGAGTTGGAACACCACTCAGCCCCGAGGCTCTTTTTTGATTTATTTAGTTTCGTCTTCGTTTCGAGCGTAGCAAAAAGGAAAAAAAAAGAAAAAAAAGAAGAAAAAAAAGGACAAAAAAAAAAAAGAGAAGACAGGTAGCAAAATATACGCTCAACACACTCCATCATTTATGTTCCATTTCAGTCCACCCAACGCAACTCATACTCGCCCCCTCCCCTCATTTTTCTTCTTCTTCCCCCTCCCCCCTTTCCTTCTCCCCGCTTCCCGCGAATGACTCCTGCTCAAATGCCGCGTTAAATGATCCCCTCTTGCAAACGTCCTCGCGCACCACCCGCAGCGGGGGCGTGTCGTGGGCACGCCGTACTGCCCGGCCACCTCGCGGTGCCGTGCAGCGATGTGCTTGTTCCGCTCATTCGGGTAGGTGTGGCCGAGGCCGCAGACGGGGCATTTCTCGGGGCGGATTATTTTGCGCCATTCGCGTCTTTTCGGCGGGAGGGGTGCTGTGTGTCAGGGAATGATGGGCTCATAACGGGTCATGACTAGAGGGGAAGGGAAAGACGTACGCGGAGACTCCAGATGGACGATCTTCCATGGTCAGCTCCCGGGACGTGGCAGCTTCTTGTCCTGTGTCTTGGCTTGCTGTGGGTGACGACTGGAGGTTGGTGTTTGGTAAGACGGTGTACATTTCCGAGGTGAAAGCCTGACTCATCCCAATTAGCGTGCCATGAGACAGCCCGACATCTAATGGCAACGAAGGGAACATTGTCGATGCTAGCGGGGTATGGATGTCTTTCCAGCCCATGGGAGGCGAAGTATACGTCGTGTTGCTGTACAAGCTGACAGGCGAGGCCAGGCCGGGGAGAGATTCCATGGACGGACTAAGCTCCATGGGCTGGGTGGTCGACACGTTAAGTGCTGGCGGAACAGGGGCCCTGATATTGCTGTCGAGCTGAGATTTCGAGGCCACAGGGTAGTTGTGTAGTGGCACTGGCCAATCCGCGGGAAGGTTCTCGAGCGAGTAGTTCTCGAAAGTATCCAAATGGAGACCCTCGAAGGTATTGAAGTCTAGAGGGCCGTCGAAGGTCTCCCGGTCGAGAGGACCCTCGCCGCTCCCGTCGTCATCCCAGAGCGGCCATCGCCCCGGGTTATCAAATTGGTGAGAAGTTGGCAGCTCCATCGTGGGTGGCAGGGGCGCGTTTTGGCGAGGCTGCTCTCCCCTGGCACCGCAGATGAGCGATTGGCGCTGTGTTGGGTGGATTCTTTCTGTCGATGGTTGGAAAATAGCAATGTTTTGGTTGTTTTTTTTTTCTCGATCCGCAGTGTTGCGGATTGCACGAGGCAGTTTAGTGTGGACGATTTACCCAGGTCCACTGCAATCTGCTATTGTCGGGATGTAATCGTCAACTATACTGTCCTGGTCAAGTGTTTACGGCAGTACTAGAAGAACTCACGTTGTTCATGGTTTATTTCCGGCTTATCAACCGACACAAGTCCTTTCACTTCTTTCCATTCCCCAGGGCCCAAACCCTCTCGAGTTGTGAGGCGCGTTGCACGTTGCGTGATACCCTGCCCGGATGCCATATCGATCTTCCAGCAGAGCGAGCCGGCAGTACACCTGATGAACGATCGCCAGTATCATGCCGACGGTGAAGTGTGGGCATGATTTAACAGGCGGCTCATCTAAGGCTCGCTCTGCTGAAAGATCGATATGACATCCGGGCGGTGTACTGCCAGAGAAATGGGGCATTGGCAAGTGTGCAACCGTGAAACTATGGAGATTGGCGGGAAACGACTGAGGTTGGCTAGAAGTCGATTGGACGAGGTCTAAGATGACGTTAAACCAGTCGTCTTGTATAGATCACCAGCAAGACGCCTTACATTCCGACTATTTGGGGCTCGGAGGACTGGCCGAGCTCATGCCCTCGGCCCGTTTTCCAAGCCAAGAAGCTGGCGTTGCGTAGAAAGGAAAAAGAAAGCAGAAGATGGATCCCAATGTGTAATCCCCGAGGCCAAAGTGCCCGGAACCGCCACTCCCTATGTGACCCCCGTTAAAATTCACCCTCCGTGGCCGTGAGGAACGGAGGTGCAAGTTGTAAGGGGGGTCACATAGGGAGTGGCGGTTCCGGGCACTTTGCACCTCTCACGAAGTACAGGTTGTTGTTAAAGAGGTTGAGGAGAAAAGAAGAGAAAAAAAGGGAGAAACGGAAACACCAAGGTTATTCACAGGTTTTAAGGCAAGTCCCATCGAACCCCACGTATTTACTTCGTTGTGACCTACGTTATCTATGGCAACACACAAGGCTATCATGTCTCGCATATGTACAGGTAAATATAAAGCTCCTGATTGGCCCTGGAGGGGGCATACAAGGCGTGCAGTGGGAAGGTTCGACCCAGTTCCCCCGCCATCTACATGCGCAGCGTCAACGGCCGCCATTGGATGCTTTGTCCGTTTGCCGGTCTGAGGCAGACATGCAGGTCACCGATATTGGGTGATTGGGGAAGGGATTCTAGCTTGAGGGGGATGGTAGTCCAGCGCCTGACCGAAATTGATCTCTTCTCCTTTTTTATTTGGTAGATGGTTGGCCTCGTTAATGCGGGAGCATCCGCCCCCTGCCCCTCCATTTAATCAAGCTGTATGATGCGTCGCGTTGACGTGGAGGATACACAGCGTAGTGTGGGAAATGGAAAATAGGTAGAGGGGCAGTCTCGGTTATATCGGTTTTCTCCCGGTGTACATACATCATAAAGATCATGAGCAGCTCGCATTGACTGGAGTCTAGGATCTATTTTCGGCCCCCGGCTCCGCCGGAGCGGAACCCTTTCCGGCTACGATGTCGTGTCAACGGACTGCCTTGGTCGCGATCCTTGAATGGGATAGATTGCCGGTAAAAGGTTAAGCCTCATAGCACCAAACGGCGCGGGGCGCCATCCATCGGTGGGAATCCTATGCTACTGCCAAGTCCTAGACCGCTCGTGAGAACTCCGAAAGTCCTTTTCCCGCTGCTACCCCCACGATAGGCCCCGATTAGCGAGGTCAAGCCACATCTCTCCAGCCGCCGCGGCCGCGCCTGTGATCCTTAGTTCTACTATTGACGTACGTCATGCTATGTCGACGAGGCGATGCTGTGTAAGGCATTTTTTTTCCTTTTTTATTTGTTGTCCTTTACTAGCATCGCCATCCCTCGCGGATCCGACAGCCGGTCCGAGATGCATTCGGGAGTAGCGACGTGTCCAGTTCGGGACTATGTTTGCGAGCTTGAAGCTAGCGATCGTGCAAAAACATTTCGGGCCACGCGATGTTGATCTATAACATCATTTCATATAACGACCCCGTTTGACACTCCCGGCTGACCAAGCAACTCCAAGACACGGGCGGGCACAAGAGTCCGGCCCGCGTCAATTTGAACCGATGTGAGCGGCCGAACCGGTTATTCCGATTCCCCTTATTAGTCATGGGCTCGCTTGTATTGTGTAAGGCTGATTCGGTTGACACCGAGAACATCTCGGCCGATGCCAGCGGACTGCCGGTACTCATGTGGCATGGAACGGAGAAAGAAGTCCTACCGGCAAGGAAAGCGGGTTGCGCACGTTGTTATGATGACAGGAACTGGGAGCGCTGCGGGGAGAGTGGAGGGGACTCCGCAGTGAGCTAGGCGCTGAAATTGTTGGTTTCACTGGCTGTTTTGGCGCGCTGTGGGGGTGGGCCTTTGGTGGTCCTTCCACTGCGGACTTTGCGCCGTTCAGGGGTGGTCTTGCCGGCCAAGCGGGCCTAGCGGCCTGCAATTGGGTTAAACCCGCGCAACGGAGAACCCCTGACCCCGGGCCTCTCACCTCGGAAAACCCACGTGCCTGCCAGTGGATCGAGCCGAGATCTCGGACTTGCAAGCTCGCACTTGTTCCAACGTCAACGCTTCGAAGAGATGGGCAAATTGGCATTTAATTATTGGCGCAGCGGGCGCGCGGTGGTGGCCGTGCTTCCGGCTTTCATCCATCGCCGCAATCCTTTTGCAGGTAACCGGCCGTTCAAACTCACAATTGCGAGTCACTCGGGCATTTTTTTGGTCGTTTGCTCATTATTGACTTTTTGTTGACTTTGCGCCCACGATCCAATCCCAATCGTCGAATACCGCTTACCCCTACCCAAACTGGCAACCCCCCGTCTCTACCTCTCTCACCCCCTCACAACTCCATCTGATACTTCCTGCATTTCACCTTGCTCACACCCCATCTTACCTTTTCTTACCTTGACACCTCCGAAATTCCTTTGCACCTAGGTACCGAGTCTAGACCAGCAGAGTCACGAGGTACCCCCGAGACACTGCCCATATCGTTCAAAGCTGCCTATACCATAGCTCACCAAATCTCACGGGCTTCTGTAACTCGGCCACCTCTTTCACCTTACCTTCTATCTCTCCAGCCTAGCACAGCCAGTCCCGTGTCATAACCCCCAGGACATTGACGTTCTGTTCTGCCCATTGGTCACGAGTCCTCAGTCCGAACCCGACGGACCAGCTCACCACCCCCTGCCTTGTTCTGATTCCGTCTGGACACCAAGGACGAATACCTAGCTGGTCGAGGCCGTAGGAACAACAAGCAGCAAACAACTCGCCGGGTCCGAACTTCCACTACAGGTAGCAGGACACGAGTCGTCTCAACCAGACGGACAGATATATAACCATCATGGACACCCGACCCGATTCACGACCATGCTCTCCACGCTCTCAGCACACTTCCTCGTCATTTACATCAACCTCATCAACACCACCACCGCCAACCCACCCGCTCACAACTTCCAACCTCTCCAGCCTCAACAGCAGCCTCAACTCCCTGGACAACAAATCCCTAGTCTCGCCTCCTTCTAACAACACTCACGACCTCATCCTCTCATCCCTCACTGCAACAATGTCCAACAACTCCTCCTCCTCCAACCGCAACTGGAACGACCTTCTCAAGCACGGTTCCGCCCTCGGCATCCTCAAGCCCGACGTAGCTTTCCCCCCTTACGGCGGCAGCACGACAAGTGGAACGGGGGCTAGCGGTGGAAGTGGAAGTGGAAGTGCAAGTGCTTCTGGGTCGGGGGGACAGAGTGGGAGTTCGTATCCTGCTGGGGGGGTATGTTCTTTTTCCTTTTTCTTTCTTCCTTCTGTTTTGTGCGCGTGGTTATGGGGTTGATGGCTAACAGTGAGATGGACAGCAAACTTCGCGGAAATGAGCTGGCTTGTTACGCTACTTGAGACGGCAGCGCTGCTTGAGATGGTGGTTGACTTACCGCGGGCTTATCAAGCACTGGTGGATGGATTTTTAGACGGGGTATGGGCGGCTTTGGGGTAGACGCCGTTGGGTGATGTTTTGGGATAGAGGGGTGTTCTTTTCGTTTGTGGTATATTTTTCTTGGGGTTTGATGATAGAGAGGACCTGGAACGGAACATACACGCATGGGATCGGTGTTGGGTTTTGGCATTTGCACATTAGACCGGGGATTAGATTTGACTGCCTCACGGTGGATTGGTTCAATGATGTTCGCTGGCTTATAACCATGGGAGTTTTAAATCGAAGTGATCTGTTTGTGAGCTTCAATTCGAGACAAGTTGAGAGCGAGGGCAGGCCTAACTTTATTTTATCATTTCAGTTGTCGTCATTTTGTTTCATTCCCTGCTTTAAGGACGAAGAGGGCCAAGGGTGAGCGACTGAGTAGTGTTCTACATCTCTGTTGGTAACGTCGTTGTTGATCGACGCCCATTGCCACGCTTACACCTAGACGCAAGTAATCCTACACGAGTTACATGTGATGCAACACAAAACTGTTCACAAGTCAGCACTTTGTTATGCCATTCCTAGGTATTTTCCTATTGGTATTAATTACGGCCCCAACGAGCGACTCATGAAATTTAGTAACCCCCTTCGCACCTTCAACCCACAACTCCATCAAATCACACACACAAAGTAAATATCACACCCCAAACCACCCCACTCAAAATAAATAAACCAAAAATAAAACTAAAACCTCTCCCTCTCCTGCCTCCTCACCTCCTCCCTAAACACATTCCCCTCACCTCCACCCTCCTCACCAACCCCCCCACCAGCAAACCACCTCTCCGCATTCCCCCTCAACCCCTCAACATCCGTCTGCACAACCCTAATCTCCACTCTCTTCCCCCCCAATCTCACCCCAGCCGATCCCTTCCCCAGCTTCCCATTATTACCCATATTACCAATACCAAACGTACCCACCTCCCCTGTTTGGCCACGAGCGTTATTGGTCTTATTCTTAGCACCGAACGGCCAGAGCCGTACCCCGTACCCTTGACGACGACGTCGAACAACGATGTAGTAAACCACCATTCCGATCGCAGTAAGCACCGCCAGAGTGGTAGGTAGTGCTACAGCAAGGGGGTTTACCATGCCTGGTGCTGTGTTCATCTGTTGTTGCGGCCGCTGTGGTGTTGCAAAGGGATTTGTTCCATCCATATTGCCAGCCATATCGCCGGCCATACTGCTACTCTCTCCCGAAGGGGGGCTTTCTCCCTCGCGGAAAAGTATCACGCTCGGTCCTGGGAAACGCATCGTCCCCGAGCCAATCCGTACAAAAGTCCCGTTTGCAGGGTTCTGAGAGAGAGGTACGGCGAGGGAAAGGGTTGCTGTTATCGTTGTTGTGGTGTTGGTTGTAGCAGTAGAGCTGGGAATCGGGAGATAGGTATCGAGGATGGGCCAGGTGAAGGAGCCGGCTGTGAGGTCGAGGGCTGGGGAGGTGAAGCCTATTGTTGAGGGCGCTCCGGGAGTAGTGAGGGGGAAGTCGACTTGGAGGAAGATTTGGGGGGGTGCTGGGCCCGGGGGGTTGGAGAGGGTGAAGAAATCGGGGGACCAGGTTACTGGGTGTGTTAGTTTAGGTTTGCTTTGTGGTGTGGGTGTTTGGGTCTGGGTTGGGGTGAAGAGGAGTGGGTATCTGTAGCGTACCTTGGATGGCTGTTCCGATTTGGAAGGATGCGCCGTCTTGGGGAGTGCAAAAGGGGGTTGATGGGTCCTGGTCACACATTTTGATGTACGTCAGTCGATGTAAAAACAAATTCGAATATAAAATTTTTTTCGTCAGGAAAAGGAGAAGAAACGGAAAATGCCCAGCCCTTGACGGCCATGTCTTGATATACATCCTGGACATTCGATCACACTCATACGTAGACCACCTTTATCGTTCGACCACTACCAAAGAAACAGACCAGATGAGACGCCACACTACTATGCGACACATTCCCATCATGCTTTCACTATCACGTCTCTCGTGGTGGGTGTCACGGACCTTCTGCGCTGTCGAAACCAGTCCGGCGATCACCCAAACTCAGGGGTCAGGGGTCAGTTTGTTTGACACTTCCCCGGATTTCGGTTCTTGCCGACCCGGTTGAATGCAGATATGTACATATGTACATGCAGTTGATAAGTGAGATGGGGATAGAGAACTGAGGAAAAGCATCTGAAAAGTCTGCTCCTTGACAAGTTAACCCCTCTTGTATTCAACTTGTCGGCTTCGACTTAACCATCCACCCTTCCAATCATAGCCACGTCCCGTTCTAGTGATCATGTTTTTTCTTCCTCTCTTTTTTTTCTCCGTTTTTCTCCATTCCTCTGTTTTTTTCTTTTCTTTTTTAACCATCGGCCTTGTCGGGAGAATTGATGTTGATGTGTGCCAATGAACAGTGTGAGTGCTGAGACTAATCGCACTAATCGCACTGTATTTGTATCATTAACACCTTCACACCATGTTGTCGATTTCTCCCATTCCTCAACAACGGGATAAGAAAGAGTGATATATGACAAATTAGTTGTTAGCTCGGGCCCGAAATTTGATCTGTATTTAACCTTTGGTTATGTAACTCCCAACTCACACTCGGCCGTCTCTTACTCCCGTATTGTTATGACACTCTGAATCTGGAGATAGCCTCAGATAAAATCACATACTTCATACTGCTCCCTCTTATATCCCCCTACAACTTACTATCCCTCCAAACCGGCCTCCTCCTCTCCACAAAACTCCTCACCCCCTCCCTCATATTCTCCCCCCCATCAATCCGCCCATACATTCCCGCCTCCAACACCTCCGTCCCGCGTTCCGGCCCCAACGCCTCCCACCCCAACCTCAACCCCTCCCTCGACACCACCACCGCATCCGGCGAATTCCCACTCACCTCCCCCGCCAACCTCACCGCCTCCTGTACCACCTCCCCTTCTCCCACCACAAAATTCACCAACCCCCACTCTTTCATCTCCCCCGCCGTATACCCCGTCCGTCCTAACAACGCCATCTCCGCGGCGCGCTGCTTGCCCACGGTGCGTACGAGTCTGGGTAAGGCCCCCGCAACGGCAATGACACCCTTGCCGACCTCGGGCAGACCGAAGCGGGCGCGCACGCCGTCGGCGACGACCAGGTCGCAGTTGATGACCATTTCCATTCCGCCGCCGAAACAGAGGCCGTTGACGGCGGCGATGATGGGTTTTTTGCCCGTGCGGTTGGAGAGCCCGCCGAAGCCGTCGTGTGTCCAGCGTGAGCGGTACTGTGTCGCCTCATCTCCCTCCTCTTCCTTTCCTTTCCCTTCCCCATCCCCCTTCGGGCCCGCGTCGCGATGCTTAGCATCCCACTCCCTCAAATCCGCCCCCGCACAAAACGCCCTGGCTTTCCGTCCATCTCCGTCCTCGCCCGTGAGTACGGCGCAGCGTAGAGAGGGCTGGGCGTCGTACCATGCCCAGAGGGCGGCCATGGGGGCGTGCTGGGCGGCGGGGATGGCGTTGAGGGCGGAGGGACGGGCGAGAGTGACGAGGAGGATGTGGGGGGCTGGGAAGGTGGTGCGGACGTTGGGGACTGTGGGGGGTGGCATTGTGTTTGTTTTGGGGGGGAGTTATTGGGCGGGTTGTATTTGGTGTATTTTTCGGGACTTTATGTTTTTGGTGGTTTTTGGTGTTGGGTATTGATGGCAAATGGGGATTCTGGATGCTGTCGAGGAATTGGTGTAAATCAAGTTGTGTCGGTAATGCTCGATGGTGCTATTTTAGAAATGTCGATAAAAGGACAGTCTGAGATGAAGGATGAAGTGGAAAGCCGCGGGTATTTACAGTAATTATGAAGACCAAGAGGTACGAGAGTACGAATCAAGTAACGGCTTCTCCTCATACTGCCCACTATTTTGTTGGGGTAAGACGCCCAGGGGAACCAGCAGGGATTGAACCGAGGCCCGGATCTCTAACTCCGACTTCTTCAACAAAAGTCCTCTCCCTTTTTGGACGTCTGCTGTTTCTTGCATTGTTTCCTCTAACGTTACTGTCTCCTCTATTGTTTGCAATAATACTCTCATCCTTGCAATCAATCACAGCTCACATCACGTATCGTACAGGAGGAGAGAAATAAATCCCAACGCCGGAACAGGTCCAATTTTATACACATCCAGCGAAACGACCACAACGCCACTATTAACGTTAACGTTACATACAATACTACAACACATTAACCTCCCCACCCCAAAATCCCCTTAAGTTCCCAACTTCAGTCAGCTCCAGCTAAACCAGCTAAACTACGCCGGCAACCCCCTCTTCTCACTCTCCGTAAAGAAAATCACCATCCGCCACAACTTCTTCACCATATCCTCCGCATCTTCATCCAGCGCCTCACTCAGCGTCTCCACCAACTCCGCGGGCTTCTGATGTTTCCTCAGATGCTCCTCCACCACATCCACCAGAAACTGCTCCTGCACCCCCAAATACTCCACCACCTTCTTCTCCACAAACGGCCTCAGCTTCTCGCGTATCGCTGACTCCTCCAGGTAATCCCACTTCACCTCCCACCCCCACAGCCCTTCTTTGTCGGCGGGGATCTCGTGTGCCAGCGCCCGGACGGCGTTTTGGATGTCTTCTTCTGTCATGGCTTTGGTGTCGGTGATGGGCTCGAATTTGATGGGGACCAGTTGGCGTTTGGCGGTGCTGTCGTTTTCTTCGTCGTCGAGCAGGCCTTCCACTTCGGCGACGGTGCGGCGCGTGCCGCCGGTGCGTTGGGCGGCTTTTTGTGCGGCGGCGCCGAAGGAGATGGTCACGCGTTGCGGGGCGGCCGGGGTAGCAGCGGCAGCGGCGGCGACGGGTTGGCGTTCCATTTCTTCGGCTTGGCGCTCGAGGAAGGAGTCGGCCATGTCGCGGGCGTGTTCCATTTCGGCTTCGGCGCGGCGGAGTTCGTCTTCTTCGGCGCGGCGGTCCATTTCGTCGCGGGCGGATTCGGCGGCGCGGAAGGCGGTTCGTTCTCGGATCCATTGGCCGTGGTCGCGGTAGTACATGTGGCCTTTGCGTGAGGCCTCACGGTCGTCGTCCCAGGCTTTGTCTCGTTCCAGTTGTTCTTCGCGCCGTCGCGCGAAGCCGTCTGTGTCGGCCCGGTCGCGTTCGCGTTCTCGTTCTAATGCGGCCGCACGTTGGCGTTCCCGGTTGGCCCACTTGCGCTCTGCTTCGAGGTAGACTTTGTCGTCTTCCGCTCGTGTTTTCGCGAGCTCCCGGTTGTGCAGCTCGTCGTCGGATGCGTCTGTGCCGTCGTCTTCGTCGTCCCGGAATGTTTTCCCGTTTGTAGTCCCGCCGTTGACAAATTCTACCCTGTTTTGCTGCTGCTGCTGTCCTTTGGGTCCGGATGGTGCGTTGGGCACGCCGCGAGGGCCCAAAGGAACGGTGTTGGAGTTGCTATTGCTCGGTGGGGGGGAATCGAGTCGTGATTTGCGTGGCGCCCCGTTCCGCTGCCGTTCCATCTCCTCAAACTCCTCCTCTTTCCGCAGCCGCTCGAGATCTCGCCTGTTGCTCCTGTCTCGGAACGAGGCAATCTCAGCCGCCACCGTCGCCCGCATCTCCGCGGGGATATCCGCAAGCTCGTCCTCCGGGGCCAAGGGGATGTTAATCACCTCGACGCTGTCCCCGTTCCCCATGGTTGTATCGCCCTCGGCATCCTTGCTACCGACAGAAGGTGGGTAAAAAAGGTCGCGAATGAGCTGTTTCAGCGAGGCCCTTGCGTCTGCCAGGCGTGCGTCGACCGCCGTATCGTCCCCCCTGCTTTCCTTCCATGACTCCAAGTACTTGGTCGTACTCGCATCCACCTCGACCTTGAGCGTGTCCTTATCGATGCCCTCGAATGGCTTGTCCTCGTCGGCCGGTGCGTTCTCGGTCGGGGCTTGTTTCTTCACGGGCACCTCGATGTCTTTGAGTAACTCGACGGCAGCAGCTAGCGATTCGGGGTCTTCGTACTGTGCAAACCCAAACAACGCCCCCTTGTGCTCCGACAGATGCGACTGTCCCGAGTCCCACCGGCGCAGCCTGCCTACTGTATTCAACAGTTTCTGCACGCCGGCCTCGCCGCCGACTCCGTCGGGAATCTTGTGGACGAAAATCGTTCGCAGCCGCTCTTCGCTCGTGGGTGGGACCAGCGCCTGCATGCTCTCTCGCATCTGCGCGCGGGATTGGTCCATGTTGCGGTCGGAGCCCAGCCCGGGTCGGCCAGACGTCGGGGTGTGCGAGTCCTTCCGGTCGTTGATGAGGGACGAGCCGGGCTTGGCCGGCGGCATGGTCGAGCCGAGGCGGATCACGGGGGCGTTGAAGTTGATGTTGGGCAGGTTCGGCGGGGGTTGGAAGGACGCAGGAAGGCCGCTTGGTCGATTAGCTTGCGTCGCATTACTCGACTGCTGGACACCAGGGGGCGGCGCCATCCCAGGGGCAGAGGACATGCCTGGTGGAGGGCCTGATACCATAGAGTTAGTTTGCGAAAAGCGAGGAGGGCACAGGAGAGTAGAATTCCACATACCGAGGCCCGGCGGCGGTGCCATGCCTGGGGCGTGCGACGCACCCGGGTACGATGCATAGCTTGGAGGCGCTCCATACGGAGGTGCTGTATTGAAGATGAAGCAGTGTCAGTAAAGTAACCGTCTCGATGAACGCTCCAACCTGATGCAACGTAAAAAGGCCTACCTCCATAAGGGTTGTACGACATAATGGCGAAGGAAATTCGGCAACCCGGGGATGAAAACCTCGCTCTAGAATGAGAAAGTCGGTGGACTCAACACACAATCGGTGTTTGGTTGCGGAGTGGCAGTCTCCAGTGTATGCAGGACGACAGCGGTCGCGATCGCGACGATGGAACAAAAGTTCGCCTGGATTGGATTGCTGCATGCACAGACCACCTCAAAAGCCGCGACCCACTTGTCAAGGTTTCTTTCCACGCCTGAGTCAGCAAACTGTAGCACGTGACCTTGACATCAACAAGCGCACATTCGCCGCGGGCGATGTCGGGCGGACACATCATTCGCCGGCCAATCTTCGTTCCGCCAAGCTTCCTAACAGTGGGTAGTGGGGCTCCGGCCAATGCTTCCGCAGCGCGACATTTGGGAAAATCGAGAAAGTTAAACTTCTTTTTCAGCAGCGAGCGACCACTACCCACATCGAGACCGACCGGAAACACCCCCATGATCAATTGAGTACGCCCACCCACTCCCTCCGCCGAGCACCAAGGCATTGCGGCAGACCACTAACCTAATCATATTTTTCTTTTTCTGTCTCAACAGAATCATGGAGCTCCGCCCAGTCGTCTCGGTCTGCCGTTCGGTAGCGACAACAGCAGCGAGGCCATCCCTCGCTATCACGACCCGACCGTCACCATTACCATCGGCCCTCGTCCTCCTCCAACGCCGCTCCTTCACCCCCAACACCAACAACCAGCGGCCCGCCGAAGCCACAGCCACGGCCACATCCACCTCCCCCTCCTACACCACCAGCAACCCCAGCAGCAGCCCAAGCCGCCTATCCCCACTGCTGCCCCCGCGCCCACCCCCGGCCCAAGCCGGCAGCAGCAACAGCGCAGCAAGAAGCGGCTGGGCCAACCCCAAATCCGCCCTCAACAAACAACGCCTCTTCGACAACACCACCACCACCTCTCCCACCTCCCCCCTCAGCGGCCTCGGCGGCAAAACCCAACTCCGCGGCGGCCTAGGCCTAAACAGCGGTCTCGGCAGCGGCAGTTCCTTCCTGGACCGCATCGCCAAAGACACCGACCGCAGCACCACCCCCGGCGGCGGCGCGGCAGGACGCTACACCATGTGGGGCGACACCACCCTGGGACGGTACGACCTGGCACCCGAACCCTCCCTCCGCCTTCGGCCGGCGACGGGTCGCACGATTGATTTGCAGGGGCGGGTGGATTTGGCAAGGGGGTTGAGGATGTTGGATCGGATGGTGGGGCAGAATGGGATTCGGAAGATGGTGAGGTTGGCTAGGGCGCATGAGAGGCCGGCGTTGAAGAGGAAGAGGTTGTGGAGGGAGCGGTGGAGGAGTCGGTTTAAGGAGGGGTTTCATGCTGCGAAGTGTCGGGCGCTGGAGTTGAAGAGGCAGGGGTGGTAGTTATCTATCCACCACAATCATGCAGATGAGAGGGGATGAGAGAAAGGAAAAGAGGGGACGGAGAGCCATAAAGGAGTGGGACCTACCGCGATATCTTGTCTGGTGCTTCGATCTGGGGCTGTCGTTAAAGTATATCGTATAGATGGATGGATGGATGGATGGATGGATAAACGGTGGGGGTCGGCGGCACGGTGACACAGTGAAAATAAAAGCACATCACGGGGGAAGAGGAAAAGGGCGGATCGACAGAAATCTGTAGGAATACCACGACTCCAAGATCTTCAGTTGACCAGGCAAGGCAACGGTGGGGGGACGGAATATCTGTATTTATAGTCTTGCACTGTGGTAAAACAATATAGGGGGTAAACATGGTAATCATCCAGTCGTACCGTACCTGAGACCTCTCATCTTACTAATCTAACACCAACTAAGATACCAATTTCCTCGTGCATCCCAGCGTTAATCATCACGACGTTATACTTCCCAGTCTGAGCATGTATTTCCCATCTAAGCGTAAACATCCCACCCAAGCATGTAAACATATCCGCCCATCATCAATCCCAATACTCCCTCCTCGGCGTCCCCACCGGACTAGTCTTCAACTTGGGCCGACTCATAAACACCGCCTCATAATCATCCTCCCGCCCAGCATTCAACAACGCCTCTGTCAGCAACAGCGTCGTGTTCTGCCCATCCCCATCTCCGTCCCCATCTCCGTCCCTATCTCCATCCCTATTCCCATCGTCCCCGTCGCCTCCATTGCGATCATCCCACCCCTCTTCGTCGACAGCAGGGAAATAACTACCCCGTCTTGTACCCGTCGGCGTTGACGGCTGCTGCTGCTGCTGCTGCTGGTTCTGCGGCCGCAAAGAGCGCCGTCTCTCAAGCTGCGCTCGTTGTCTTGCAGGCTCCGAGTTGGCTATACTACGCCTCGTGCGCGCGGCAAGATCTTCGTACGGAAGGCGGTGATCTTGTACTGCACGACTTGGACTAGTCCGGTCGGGCGAAACAGGCGGTTCGGTTACGGTCGGAATGGGGGGTATACTGCGGTTAGTAACCGTCGTAGCGGTGGTAGATGCCCGACTACGTTGCGGCGTGCTGGGTGCCACGAGGACAGTATCGTCGGCATACTCCCCATCACTGTCTTCTCTGCTTGGCCCGGTGTCTGTTTCTTCGTCGAAGGCATCCTCGTCTACCGGCACGCGGAGGTTTGAGAGGGAGGTCTTGCGTGCCATGGATAGACGTGTGCGCTCGGCTAGGGAGAGGGTTCGGCGGACCTTTTTTAGGGGTGATGGGGAGGCTGGGATGGATGAGGTGAGGATGTCGGAGGCGAGGTCTTGGGTGGGGGAGATGGAGCGGTCTTCTGGGGAGGAAGGGGGTTCGGGGGAGGGGATGGTGGATTCTGGGACTTGTTGTTGTTGTTGTTGCTGTGGGAGCATTTCCGGATGGGATAGTACCGGTGGTGGGCGAGGGCGTGGACGGGGTGGTGAAGATGACGGGGATTGCTGGTGACGAGGAGAGGCAGGTAGACGAGTCGGGGGTGGTTTGGCTTTAGAGGCAGCGCTGAGTCTCCTCTCTGGGGCCGTTTTTGTCGGAGATTTCTGGATTGATTGTCTCCTAGTTGGTGAAGCCCGAGTATGGACTGTCGAAGCCCTTTTGATACGGGACGGCGTCAGCGGCTCTGTCTCCAAGAACGCGTGGTGCTCGTCATCAAAGGTCTTGGCCTTTCGCAAAACGGGCTCAAAGGCGCGCTCCTCCGACATCTTGATCGGATCGCGGCGAGACGGCGACGGGCGTAGAGGGAGCTCGGCGTGCTCGATATCGCTAATCTCCGAGATCACTTCCGATCCAGAGAGATCTTCTTCTGTCCTCACCCTTGGCCGTTCCAGTTGTGGGCGCTCAAAAAACGATGGAACTGCCTGCGTAGGTGGGCTGATCTTGGCCAGGTCCGCCTGAAGACCCTTGACCAGCGCCTCGTAGTGACTGTCAAGTTGCTTCGGCGCGGCACGCGGTAGTTTCTTCGGGCTCATCCGATCCAAGCGTAGAGTCTCGTGGGCTCTGAACCCGAGATCAATCCCCCTCTGCTTCACTTGCTCTTCCTGACCCTTCCTTGCCGACCCAGCCCCGGCTTTCCCAAACATGCGCTGCCGAAACCCTTGCCACTTCTGTAACCTCTCCTGCTGTCCTCTTACCCGGCCCTCAAGCTGTCCGACCAGACCACCAAACGTATCTTCTAGTTCAGCCAGCCGGCCGGTCTGCATCCGCCTCCACACCCTGTCATACGGGGCTGTGAGGACTCCATCTTTGTGAGACTGACTGTCGCCGTACAACAGAGCCTCCAACCATCGCTCGTCCCCGGTCCAGTTATTCCGCACGACACGGCACACCTCGCGCTGTTTCTCCTCCGCAACCGCCTGGTCTCGGCCCCGTCGCTTTGCTGCTTCCAACTCTCCCCTTTTCCTCACTAGACCCATCTCCTTCGCATCCAACAAGTCCGAAAACTCCCTAAACCTCACCCTCGCAGCATTCTTATCCTCCAACATCCGCCTCAACGACACCTTATGCGCCAGCACCAACACCCCCATCTCAGTCCTCCCACCAGTACCCTCCAACGCCATCCTCTCCGCCACAGCCGCCGGCGCATATCCCCCTCTCCCCTTCTTCCCCCTGCTTTTCTCAGCAACAACCTTCCTCAACACAGCAGCCGACAACCCCACCAAAACCTCCTCCAACCTCTCCCCCTTACACTCATCCAACATCCCCCGTCTCACCACCACCTCCCGTCCCAAAACCCCACTCTTCTTAACCTGTTCCAACCCCCTTAGCAGCGCCGCCCGTAAATTGACCGACTGCACCTGATCCTGCGGCGGGAAAAAGGGCTGTAATTTTGCGCGTGTCTCGTCGGCGTCCCAGAGGCGGAAGAGGTGGTAGAGTGCCCATTCGACGGCTTGGACGCGGCGTTTTTGGCTGGTGCCGTCGCGGGGTGTGCTGGTGAAGGTTGAGAGGGTTAGGTCGGGCCAGTCGGGGCGGCGGTCGAGGTTGAGGAGGCGGAGGTTGGTTAGGAAGAGGGAGAGGAGGGGTGGGGGGCTTAAGGGGATGGTTGTTGGGGCTGGCGCAGAGGTTGGTGGTGGCATTGTTGTTGTGGTGGTGGTTGTGGTCGATGTCGTCGCGGATGGCCCTCCCGCAGCGCGATTCCCACGGAGGGAAGCGCTCGGGGCCAGCTTGCGGTCGGATCCATTGGCGGCGGCGCTTGATGCGACCCTCGTCGACCTTGTCCGGCTTACGGTCGCAGTTCCGCTGAGATTCGCCATCGCGGCATTGTTACTCCGTTCAGGTGTTTGTGTCGAATGACGGTCGGGTAAAACGGGAAAAAAGAGTTTACGGAAAAATGGTGGGTGTTATATTGTGCGATTTCGATTGGCCCTTGGCCCATTCGGTTTGGAGCGGTCAAGTTTGTTTGTCGTCGGGAGGCCGAGGGCGCAACACGTGGAACATGCGGTCTGCAACAATTGCCTTGTCAGAAGCGCTCGCTCAGCCTTGCAGCAGCGCAATGCAGCGTCAACAATGGGACTCGGCCAAAGCGCAGGGGTGAAGTGGGGGTGTTCGGCAATTGGGCGATCAGTCAGATGAGATCTGTCAGGGTTAGGGTATGTGACAACAGGCCTTCGTCCAACTCTGCAAGTGATCTGATGATACAACTACTCGAATATTCAACTATGAAAGAGGTAAATTTTAAGACTCTTCCTTTGCTTCTATAATAATGACTGTCCAATGACTAGTTATCGCTTTTCGTGTGTCTCGGGCCTTAGCACCGTGTCTATTCGTTGTCCCCCAGAGCCAACATCAACAGTGTGGTCAAAGTATTGACTACATGTACTTCCCCTATAATTTTCCTCAAATTGTCAGCCCAGAACAAAGTAGTAGCGAACTTTGTATATTTTAACAGAAAGCCCAGTGCTGTGTTTGTAAGGCGGCTCCCTATCACACCACGGTTCCCGTTGTCACTATCCCCTACTTCGTCGAACAGCACGAGTCCGTAAATATTCGTCTCGGAAGAGGAAAAGCCAACCATATCCGTTCAAAATGTCATTCAAGCAGGATGTATCTCAATAACTCAGCCCGGCTCGCCTTGTTTCATCATCCCCAAAGTCGGTGTCCCCCATATGTCCCTGTCGCCCTGGAAATCGCAAATGTAGGCCACTCTCGCAGGCCATCTCGACCAACGCACCCCCCAAGCCTCAAGGCCACCAATGCAAAACTGGGAGGGAGACAGCACTGCCCGGTCTCCGACCAGCCATATCTCGAAGTGCAGTTTCCAGATCCCTATAAATCATTTAACCCTGCACAAAACGTCGACCCATCTCACCAAACCCACGACACCCTCCAAGCACCTGAGTATCCTTCATTTTTCATGTTGTTTTCCACAAGTCCGAGTAACACCAACATCTACCACCCCAACATCTACCACCCCAACATCTACCACCCCAACATCTACCACCCCAACAACCACTTCAACAACATCTACACCAACCCCTACACCACCAACCCCCACAACTTCCCACCCCCCCTCCCACCCCCCCAAAACGACCCAACAAACCAAAGTTTCTTCCTCCGCAACCTCCCCCCCAACACCACCGTATCAATCCTCCTCTCCTCCATCCGCGGCATAGGCCGGGTCTACTACGCCTCCGTCCGTCCGCCAAATCCTAATCCCAATACCAATACCAATAATCTGCCCGTCACACCTGGCAGTTGGAACGCTGGTGCCGCTGCGAGATTGGTATTCTTCGATGTTGAGGCTGCACATGTGTTTTGGGAGTTATACGATCGTGCGAAGGGGAAAGTCAGGTTTCCGTTTGTGGTTGGGGGGCAGGAGGTTGTGGTGGATAGGAATCGGATACGGGTTATTCCGTCTGCGTCTCAAGGGGAAGGGAGGATGCGGATGGGGTATTGTTCGCGGGTTGTGAGGGTTATGAGGGTTATGAAAGGGGGTGGGGAGGAGGATGATGACGAGGAGGAGTTAGATGTGAGAGGGATGTTGATGGCATTTAGTGCGAATTTTGCGTTTGAGATGGATGAGATTGTGGTGGGATTTGAGGAGAGGGTTGTGGCTGGGCCGGGGGGGAGGAGGGGGTTGGTGGAGGTGGTTGAGTTTCGGTTTGGGAGTTTTAGGGGGCAGGCGGAGTATGTTTATTTTGTTTTGATGGGACGGAGGGGGTTGGAGGTTTCGTTTGGGAGGGATCCTTGCGGTCTTTAACTACTAATTTTATAGTAGTCGAGGGATGTTCGAGAGACTCACGGATTTGGCGACGGCCCATCCGAGAGTCACTGGAAAGGTGCAGCTAGTTGGAAGGGTGGGAAGAAGAGATGGGTGGGTTTGGCACGATGTTATGTGTATGGAAATCAGGTCTAAGCTAGGCACGGTAAGACGGAATTTGTGGAGATGGAATCTGGGACTGGAGTTATGTCAGGGGAACGGCCATATTTCCTACATAGCAGTGTACTTCCTTACATAGATAGTAGTGTAGTTCCTTACATAGTAGTGTAGTTCTCGAGCACCTGCTCGATACCTCAAAGGTATTTCTAGGTGCGTCTGGAAGAGAAGTGCAGATTTGGGGTCGCAACTCGACAAGCCAATGAGATGATCATCGGAACTCAAATCGGGAAAGAGAGGCCCCGGCTTTCCGCGGTTGACCTTTTCTCCCCGCAGTGCCTTCATCGTCCACGATAACTCAAGGAAGCGAGTTTTACTGTAGTAATCAAAAAGATTTCGGTCACCTCAGTGATGTATTTGCTTGAGTCTAAAACTTTGCTTGCGTGCAAGGAAAGAAGCGCTCGTCGTCGCTCATCTGGCAAAACCTCGGAAATCCCCCCATATTCCCTCTGGCAGCTGGGAGATCTTCATTGACAGCCGCCACGCTTCTGCACGCCAGCGTTTAACTCCGTTGATCTCGCCCCCAACTCGGTAAACCTGAAACCCAACCCAGGGCCACCCCATCAGCTCCGGCCGCTTGGCGCCGCAAACCATGTTGAGATCGGTCGATTGTCATTTTCTTTACCCAGGGCGGAATATAAAAACAGGGATGGCGTTTTTGGCGCTGTTGGCCGTGATTTGAATCGTTTGCTGAGAGCTGTTTGGTTTCTTGTTTACACAGTCCTCGGCGCTCGAGGTTTTGGGGCAAAGTCTTCCTTGGCCAGTCTTGGTTTGGTCTTGGGCCGTCTTGGGTTTGTTTCCCTCCAGAGCGGATATGGAGCCAATCTCCCATCTCGATGAGAAGCGATCCGCGTTGTGCAAAACCGGCGGTTATGGCACGACAACAAGTTAACAACGGAGGGAGAGTGGCCACTTGCTTTCCCCCAGGTTGTCGATGTCTCGGTCTCAAACAACTCAATCAACAGATTCATGCCCACTCCCTCGGGCGCCTGCTTTTTGCAACGCATCGGCCGCGGCTAACCATTGGCGGCACGGGTGTTGGTCTGGATTCGCAGGTGCTTGGCGCCACGCTTTCCAGGGGACATTGTGCTCTTGGCAGACGCAATGGCGGTACAGAACGGGGCGGAAGAGCCCATTCCAAGACTCCCAAGAAGCTCTTGGTTGGTGGCTATGCTCCAGCCCCTTTTCGGCCGTTTTTTGGTTTTAAAATGTTTGCCGTGCCGGGAAACCCGTTCCATCCGGTTTTTTGTTTTTGACCAGACCACCAACACCGTCGCTTCCTCCTTCGAAGTCAATCGCTCCTCTTCAGGTTGTTCCTGCCCTTCAACTCCTGGCCTAATCGCTCGTTTGATGGCCATTTGACTTTCTAGACTTTAATCGTTTTCTCAATTTTCCTTTTTTTCGCGATCCATCCCTGTAACCAGGACCCCGTAATTGCAACATCCGAAACCACGACGACAACAGTCACAAACAACAATTCTTTTACCATGAAGACTGCCACTCTGTTGACCGCATTGGCGGCCACTGCCGCGCACGCCAGCCCGACGTTGAACGTCAAGGCGAAGGCGCGCGCCACCGAGCTTGAGCCCATCACCGTGAAGGGCAACGCCTTCTTCCGGGGCAATGAACGTTTCTACGTCCGTGGTATCGACTACCAGCCCGGCGGTGCGGCCGGCAACGTCGACCCCCTGGCCGACCCCAAGGTCTGCAAGCCGGATATTGTCAAGTTCAAGAAGCTCGGCGTCAACGTGATCCGCGTGTACTCGACCGACAACTCCAAGGACCACGACGAGTGCATGAACGCGCTGGCCGACGCCGGCATCTACGTCGTGCTCGACGCCAACAACCCGCTCTACTCCATCAACCGCGACAAGCCCCAGGGCACCTACAACACCCCCTACCTGCAGAGCGTGTTCGCCACCATCGACGCCTTTGCCAGCTACACCAACACCATGGCCTTCTTCTCCGGCAACGAGGTCATCCACGACAAGACCAACACCACCCTGGCGGCCAAGTACGTCAAGGCCACCGATCGCGACATGCGCCGCTACATCAAGGCCCGCAACTACCGCAAGATCCTTGTCGGGTACTCGGCCGCCGATGTGTCTACCAACCGCATGCAGACTGCCCAGTACTTCAACTGCGGCTCTGACGAGGAGCGCAGCGATTTCTTCGCCTTCGTATGTTCTCTATCTCACACATCCTAGAGGGAATATGTTGACTAACACCCGTAGAACGACTACTCCTGGTGCACCTCCGACTTTGTGACCTCGGGCTGGGACAAGAAGGTCAAGGACTTCACCGGCTACGGTCTCCCCCTGTTCCTGTCCGAGTACGGCTGCACCGCCAACAAGCGCGACTTTGGCGAGCTCAGCGCGCTCATGTCCGACAAGATGACCTCGGTCTACTCCGGCGGTCTCATGTACGAGTACAGCCAGGAGCCCAACAAGTTCGGCATCGTCGAGATCGCGGGCGGCCAGGACAACGGCAGCCGCGACCAGACCGGTGCCCGCAAGGAGCTGGACGAGTTCGCCGCTTTGGCTGCCGCGCTCAAGAAGTACCCCGCCCCGACTGGTGATGGTGGCTACACCAGCACCACCAAGTCTTCCGCCTGCCCCACCAAGGATGCCAACTGGGCCCTCGACACCACTGAGCTTCCTGAGATCCCGACTGGTGCTCTCAAGTTCTTTGACAACGGTGCCGGCAAGGGCCCCGGCCTGAACGGCCCCGGCTCGCAGTGGGCCACCGACCAGGCCTCCCCCAGCGACAGCCAGGGCGGCTCCGGCTCCGGTACCGGCACCGGTTCGGGCTCTGCCGAGTCCTCGTCTAGCGCGGCCATGCGCGGGACCGTCCCTGCGTTCAACATTGCGCCGCTGGCTGTGTCGGGCGTGGTGCTGCTTTTCACGATGATTGGTGCTGCGGCGTTGTAAAATGCGTCTGGTATCTGTCTATCAGTTGAGGAGTAGATGCATAGGGGTAGTGCTGTGGTGGTGATTGGGGGTTTCGTGGGGTTGTTTTCATGCGGTGTTCTGTGGCGGGGGGGCGGTTTTTGAATTGGCTGCCAACTAAATTAACTTTTTTTCATTAATATACGCTACACAGTAATACACGATGCGGTGTTTATGCTTCGAAGTGCTACATGTCTGGTTTTCTGTTTCCCTTTTGTGGGGGGACGGGAGTCTCGGGGATGGCGTTTGACGTCACTCTGCGTGTTGTTCTATTTCAACTTCTATTTGGGCTTTTGCGTCCAAAAAGCTGGCTTTCCATCTACTTCGCCCTTTGCGACACCAGCCTAGCGTTGAGTTGAAGAGACTGGCGATCAAGAACGCCTCGTTTCCAATAAGGTGGTCCGGTAATTATCGTGTGGCAAGTCATTAATGACTTGGATTTACCCTGCTCGCAATTACTTGATGCTTGTTCGGCCGATCGATCTGTCCGAGCGTCCGAGCAGACGTAAGTGCGAGCAGGATACCAGAGACGTTATTCGACGTATTAACGCTCAATCTGCCAGAAATTGTTTTCACTAGGCTGGTATCAGGTTACTAAGATCTTCAGACAATGAAGCATGGGTTGAGCATTAATATCTGGACGAAGGAAGTAGGGGCAGACGGTACTGCTTTCTGGTAATTGTAAGTCCCAGCCGAGAAAACAAGATACTTGGACATCTCAGTTTTTGAGATACCTAGCAAGCAGTCTCAGTCCGGAAATGAAGTAGAAGAACGATACTTGTTCTCCACGCTGGTGCTTCCAGAACTGTCAACAACAAAACACTCTGCCCATCCACCAGACATTTTCCACATCCCAGCAGTTCAGTTGATGTTGCCTGACTGCCCTCCCACCTCACAAGCTCCATCCCAAAACCCAGCTCTTGCCAATGCCCTCCCACCAACACAGCACTATATACACTATATATACCACTTTCCCCAACTCCCAACTCCCCAACCCGCCTGCCAATAGCACTACAAACCGACCAACACCTGGTGCCCGCTGAGGTGAGTTTGCCTCAGGCGTCGGTCGCATCATTTAACCCCCTTACCCTACTATGTACCTAAACCGGGGGTAACCAAGTCTTGAGCGTCGAAGAGTTCGCAGGCACCCCCCTCTCCCTCCCTCATTGCACACACCCGAGGGAAGGGGAGAGAAGAGAGAGGGCATGGATGGCTTCGGAACCGAAGGCGAAGCAAATGTACCTACCCCCGCTGATATACGACATACTTAAGGTGCTTGGGGGGACTTTTCGTAACTGTTAGATTTGGGTACCTCTACTGGCCTGGCGGGTGGGAACAGGAGGGATGGGTTGGTGAGTTTTGCTGTTTTTGGTGTTTACTTCTTCTGTTTTTTTTTTTTTTTCTTTTTTTTTGTTGCACCTGATAAAAATACAGATTAGAATCGATTGATACTCACCGACTGAATCAAAGCCTTCCGTTAAATTTGCACAGAGACATCCCAGCGACGACGTGATGACTATGTACATGATTATTGCGTAGGTTGTGGTTTAAACACTCATTTGGTTCACAGACACGGGAGCGAACTGGATTGGAGTACAATGAAAAGAACGAGATCAATGATTGCTGGAATTAATGATGGATTTGCTTTACTGCTATTCTCACTCACTTACACAGGAATAGTAGGAGGTGGGTTAGTGTTGGGCTTCTTGATGATCCGACTGACGAACAACCCCCTTTCTCGGTAGGCCGCCCTCACAGCCGTTGGGACCGCTTGCCTTCTCCAGTTTGGGTCTATAATATTGTTACCTGTTATCGTCAATCTTAAAAGGCCCGCCAATGTACAAGCAAGTGTAGTCTTATGAGTGATTAGTCCTATCGCAGAGACAAGGACCCGCCCTCCCCAAAACGCCTCGAGAAAACTAACCCGGTTCCTGGGTCAAACCCCCCACACCACCAATTACCCTACCGTGACCTCCGCAAGAATTCCCCGTTCCCGAAAACCTCAATCCACACTAAAACGCAAAAAAAGATCCATCTCGCCCGGCAAACGGAGAAAAGGCGGATTGGTGGGGAATTTCCGCTTGGCACGCCGGCCCAATCGATTGCTTCAACCCAGTGGTAAACAATCATACGGCTAGCCGAAGAAGGACCACCTCGGGGAAGAGTAACCGTCGCTTCGGGAGGTCGGTAGTATTGCTCGCCGCCGGATCGTTCCTAATGAGGCCAAGAGTGTGGGGAAGGGACAAGATGCATGAAACGGTGAAGCGACCTGCGCCTTGGCATGTGACATTGTTTGGAGGTATCGCGAGACTAGATTGGAGGGTGATCATCGCCGTTGTCTCCGGGGGGAGGGGGGCCGAAAGAGGATTTCGTGAGGTTGTGGGGGTTTGTCTTGGATATTTGGGCAAGTAGGTTTGCTTGTGGTTTTGTCAGAAAAACCTCTAACTCGTCTAGCGAAACGAAGACGGCGGAGGGAGGCGACCGAATGCGACGGTTGGAGAATTCTCCGACGATGGATTCTGGGGATGGTTACTTCGAAGGGAACCGTGTATGGAGTCTAGCGAAGAAGCTAGTACTGACGACGGTCGAGCTTTGGCCGAGGAAACACGGAGATAAAGTGTTCATCGTCCCTTCTTACCTGATACTCAGTTAGAACCGAGCAGCACTACTTTTCCCGGGTCCAATACAGAACTCATTCTCTGTATATAGTTCCAGAGACACCATGAAGCTCCTCACCTTTGCCTCCCTCCTCGTGCTGGCCACGGCCACTCCAACCCCAACCCAGCCCGAGTCCGGGACCCCTATTCTTGCCAAACGAGCGGGTATTTCAGACGCCGCCAACCTTGGCTATGCCACTCTCAATGGAGGGTAAGTCGGCCCGTTTCGACAAACCCCCCCAGACCACATGCTAATAGAACTCTGTGTCTAGCACCAAGGGCGGGTCCGGCGGCACCGTGACCACCGTCTCGACGCTGGCACAGTTCACCGCAGCCGCCGACGAAAAGAACAGCAACCCCACCATCATCGTCGTCAAGGGTGTGATTACCGGCAGCGCAAAGGTTCGCGTCGGCAGTAACAGGAGCATTATCGGCCTGCCTGGATCCGGTGGGTTTGCCATCCTTCGCTGTCCACTCAAATATGAATTGCTCACACCTTTGAGCCAGGCTTCAAAGGAGTCGGTCTCCATTTCCGACGACAAAGCAATCTTATTCTGCGCAATATTGTTTCGTCGTTCGTCGAGGCAGACCAGGGCGACGGTCTGAAAATCGAGGTATGAAAAACGGCTCGTGCCTGGGGAGCGATTGATTAGCTGATGCGAGCGGAATGATAGGAGAGCACAAACGTCTGGGTTGACCACTGCGAGTTCTATTCGACGCTCAATGTCGACAAGGACTTTTACGACGGTCTGGTTGACTCCTCCCACGGCTCAGACTTTATCACCATTTCCTAGTAAGTCCACTCGGTCTTTGGGCTTCGACCCGCCCGACAAGAAAATCGCTGACGCTGCAAATAGCACCTACTTCCACGACCACTGGAAGGCTTCGCTCGCCGGTCACAGCGACAGCAATGGCAGCGAGGACAAGGGAAAACTACACCTCACCTACGCCAACAACCACTGGAAGAACATCAACTCCCGCGGTCCGCTGCTGCGCTTCGGCACCGGCCATGTGTACAACTCCTATTTTGAGAAGTAAGTCAACTTTCTTGCATAGCTAATGTCTCAGAGAAAAGAAAAAAAACTAACCGACGCCGCACTTTGGCTTTCCTCCAGTATGAGCACCGCAATCAACTCGCGTATGGGCGCCCAGGTGCTTGTCCAGAGCAATGTCTTCAAGAACGTGACCGTGCCCATTACTAGCCGCGATTCGGACGAAATTGGGTGGGTTCAACATTCTCAATCCCCTCCTTCCCCTGAATTCCTTCTTTTTCCCCTTCTTTTTTCTTCTTCTCTCTCTCTTTCTCCCTTCGTTATTATGCTTTTCTTTTCTTTCACATCCCGCAGCGACTGACTCTCCGATCCACACACCTAGCTACGCCACGGTCATCGACACCAACCTCGGCGGTGGTCTCAATGACTGCCCTGCTGGTAACATGTCGCCAACCTCGGTCGGATATTCCTACACGCTTCTCGGCTCGGCGAGCGTGCCCGGAAAGGTTCCTGGCGAGGCCGGCGCTATCTTGTCGTTTTAACTGCTAGGTCGGACGGTGTACGCAGAAAGAGACACGGGAGATGCTGGTCGGGACGATGTGGCTATGCGATGCGGCATGAGTGCCGTAGTTTCTGGACGGGATCAAAGGATGGTTAACTCGCCGCATGGGAAAAATAGTCGGGCTCAAGAGAGACCCAAACTCAACCTCGGTGAGGTCTCCGTCAAGATTGCCCTTGCTGGGAAGTCATCCACTTGTTGTGGAGCTAAATTAAGACCGACTGTTTTGCCCTGCTCTTGCCTTCAATGCCCCAGATGCTCCCAAAGTTCCGGGTGCCCCCTTCAATACCCCTGCTTTGGGCGGAGGCATCAGTTTGGCACGATCCCCATTCCTTGGTTCCCCTGTCGCGGGCTCGGTCGCCTCTCCGTGGATCGCCACATCGTGGGATGCAAGTGATCCGCATGCATGGGCCCAGGGAAACCAGGGTCCATTTGCAGACAATTTTGTGCAGACCGAGTGCAGCATCATCCCAAATGTCAGCCCCGTACCTCGAACCTGAGAGAAAGTCAGCTTCAGTCTGGAAAAATTAGTAAAAACCAATGATCATACGTCGGCTGTGGAGCAATAATAAAGAGAGACTTCTGTACATTTATCAATGGCACGAGCTCAATTTTCAAAGCAATCGGCGAAAAAATAAAGAAAATTGGGAGAAATCCTGTGGCAAGGATCCAGGGTTTCCCGCACGAGCGGCCTGGGCCGCTGAGGCGGCCCGGGGCGCGTGGCCCCTGCATCCGCGCTACTTGGATTGTTTCATAAGCTTTGTTTTGTTGCATGATCACCAAAAATATGCATATGTAACGAGCCCACAGAACAGATAACAAATATAATTCTTTTCCACTAGAGCGTCGCCAACGGCGGGCGCTAGCCTTCTCTCAAATTTTCCAAAAGGGCTTTGCGATGATATTGCCGGAACATAGATTGAGAAAGAAGTTACACGAGGTGCTAATTTTTGGAACGCGTCGAAACCGGGGAATGTGATCCCGAAGCCTGGCGCTGGTGTTGGTCCTGCATAATGTGACGGTGTTAGTGACAATAAAGAGGCTGGAGAAGAGACATAACCAAGGGAAATTTCTTTTCTTACTTCTGGCAGCAACTGGGATTGGAGAAAAGCCAACAGCGCATCCGTGTCGTCGTCCTCGTCGTCCACAGCCACCGATGGGCCTTTGCGTTTCCAGAACGGAAATTCAAAGGAGTCCGGATAGAAGCCACCAAACTCCCAGTCCACTATGGCCGCAATCTTGAGAGTCTCCGGGTTGACGATGATATTGTACTGCGAACAGTCGTTGTGACAGAACACGTATTCCTCTCGCTCAGATTGACGCAGGCCGGACCAGTCTTCCCTCTCGGTCTCGTCTATCACACGATACGGCGGAACAACAATTCCTGATGGCCCACCTAGCCGAGACGACTTGAGCGTCTTGAGTTGAGCAAGGTAGCCCTCCAGTTCGGTAATCACCAGCCCCTTCTGGTGCTCTGGCAGCTCCGCCATGCTGACACCCTCGATGTACTCGGTGATGAGGTAGTAGGCATCGTCGTCTTCGAAGTCGCAGTAGACAGAAGGAACCGGAATGTCGGTGTGTTGACGAATGAAACGGAGGGTGTCTGCCTCATTCTTCAAGGATTCCTTTCTGAATCGTGGAACGTGAATGCCGTGGGGACTATGAATGAATTCGTGGGCCCGAAGGCAGCGTTTGATGAAGGCATTTCCGCGGCGATAGTACTTTCTGTCGTGCGTGGTACCCGTACAGCCATCTTCAGAAGTCAAGCCTGTCAAATTCAGGGGCGGAAGAGCTGGTGGTCTTGATCTTGGCATGGACATGCTGGGCCTGGGTAACGAAGTCTGGTGATAATTCAGAAGGGAGAAATGTCGTCTGTGTTCTCATATACCCTGTTATAGGGTGGCGTGGTATCGTGAGGTGTCTAGGCGACCGGCGCCTGGGTACCCTGAGTGGGTGGCCCAACGGGCATGGCGAGCGGGGAGGTCGAGAGGGTGGAGTGAGCCTTGGGGCGTAGGGCAGCTACTTCCGACTTTGGCCGCCGATCGCGGGCGCTGCAGGTCTGCAGCAACTTTCGGGTTGTACTAGAGACTGAGGCTCCGTTCCGAGTCGTCCCCGGAGTTGCACTGGTGTAATCTTGCCGCACTGGGGCTTGGCCGGACGAGGAATCACGGCAGAGAGCTCGGGGTTTGGGGGTCAGGACATCAACGAATGAAGCAGCACCGAGGACAAGTCGGTTCGTCCAACGTGGCGGAGGCCGCGGGGGGCGCTGGTTGAATGTTTCGTTTCATATTCCCTAGACGCTGACCTGAACAAATGCGGAGGCGAATAATTCTCTCGTGGAGATGTTGAAAGAACTGGCCGCGGAAAGGGGAAAGTTGAAAGATCCGCCGAAGAATGTAGGATTAAAATCAAATTCAACTGAGAGTTCCGTAAATTCTTCCTTTCTTCATTCGCAGAGGAAAAGAAGATGGAGGAGGGAACTCTTGAGGACGGCACAAGAGGTTGCAATCCACACCCCCTGGGCGCTAAATTTTCAGGGAAGTCACGGGGCGGGAAGGCAGATCCGGCCGCCTAACAAGAGTGAGAAACAAGCAAAGCCCGCGCCTTCCGTTCCTCCAAGCTTCAGCTCATCGCTGTCGTCGATTACTAGGGGCACCGGGTCTCGGGGAATTCAAGTTTTCTTCGGGTTTGAGTCTGGGGCGCGTTTTGATGCCCCACGAGGAGTTCATGCGGCCCGAACTTTGAATTGCGGTGGTTCGGCCAACGACCAGAAGATTTCGACATCGGGTCGAACCTGTTAGGCCAACTGTCGTCTGAATGCCGAGAAGGAGCGACTCAAACCGAGCGGGGCGACGGTTGACCACTGACAAGGCCCGGGGGGTGTGACTCGTGGGTGCCCTGCCCTGCCCAGCTCTGTCACGCCTTAGGCACCGTTGCCAGCCGTGGTGGATTGAATGCCGGGGCCCCGGGGGTGTCTCCCTGGCCTTCGATTTGCGGGAGAAGGACCTTCGCCGCCGGCCGGTCTCAGGCTAGGTAGACCGGACAGGGTCAGTCATTGGCCCTGCTCTCGATCGCCTTATTCCGTGGCTTCCTCCCGGGCTAGGCGCGGAAAATCAGACGACGCCTTGCCAAATTCTTGTGGGGATGGTTTGGGCCGACCACATCCCCGCAACCTGGAAACGACCTCACCAGGGAAAGCTGGACATCGACGTGGACCAAACCCAATTATTGGTTTTCTTTTGGCCTAACTCCACGATTGGGCTGCCAACACTTGTTGTTCCCCTGGTCTAGGTCGCACCCTATGAGTTTAGCCCGTCATGTTGCTCACATAATTAAGGCTGATTTTCCACGCAACCCTTGCTTATTTGGTGGATAGCAGACTCACACTAGCCTTGACGGATGTTTTGAAACTGTCTCAACTTAGCTAGGCTCGACAGCTGCACACATCCTGTGGTAATATTTCTCCATTCTCGTTCGATTTGAGCTGAGTTTCCCCTCACGGCTCGCGGGATCATTCGCATGTTTGACTGAGGAACGGCCGCATAGGGGCAGAATTCCGACAGACAGAAAAATATGGGAATTCAATAATCCTGTGCGCACGGGCGATTGCTGGGCGCGTCGAGACTCAGGACTCATCCCCCGCGGCACGCGCGTTGCCACCACAGTTTTTGGTCGTCCGGTTAGTTGCATACACGACCCAGTTGTCCCCCACGTTCCCACGCAACAACCAACATGCAACACTGGGGTTCCCCAGCCACCGCCGGGATCAGGGTTCTTGGGAAAGAGGAGCCATCCGATGGCATTCTGCACGTAACCTCAACCTCTTAACTAAACCCATGTTGTTCCACATTGCATACTCACAGGATGCAATTAATGATGTTCGAGTTGATGGCCCAACGCCCCCAACAAGGGTGAACGGAAACAACTAATTACAGTTTGTCGGAAAGCCACAATGAACCTTGAAACACCTCACCTCGCTCGGCTATTTGTGAAAAGATTGAAAGCTTATTCGAACTCAGAAATGACGCCGCCCCAGAATATCTTACCGGGGATAGTGCTTCCCTGTAAATACGGCCTATCCTCTAATGACACAATCAACCAGAATCTCAAATATAAGGAGGCCCAGTCGTTGTTAACTATGTTGAACCAGTTCAAGGGGAGTTACACAAGAGTTGTCCAGGGAACAAGAACAAACCATGATCAATCTTGGGCGTATGTGCTTGAAGATAAGAATGTTCATCACCTAATCAAGGAGACGGGACGAGAAAACACCACGCCAGGGGAAGAATATCCATCTATCATTGTCAGAAATCTACTGTTATGGCCTAGTTGTCTTAATTTGTAAATAATAATAAAAAGAAAACGTTCTCCTAAATCACCATTTGAGCTGGGATCATTGTCCACGTCCATTTTCGAGGCACCTTTTACCAAAATCACGACGCCCGTATTATTTTGCTTGCTTTTTGTGGTTGATTGAGGAAAACAGGTTCCTGATTCTACAATTACAATAGGCACTTGGCTCAAGCACACGAACCCAACCAACTTGGCATGTGACAATGGTTTCTGATTCGGATAAGAGGCCTTTCCCAACTATCCGAAGCGCAGGACGGAAGATCTCGGAAGGGTGTTGCTCCCAAATGCACCCTCATATGCATCGAAGGTGCTGGATTGAGTATTCCGTCTCTAGAAACTCGAAGTTGGTTCTTATAGAGGACGTTGCAAAGGGCACGGGTGGGTTTCTGTGTGCTCCGGCTGGCCAACGCTGGTACGGTTGCAGAAAATACGGTTGGATATAGAATGTTCTCGCATCAAGAATTGGCATCCATCTTGCATTGAACTAGAAATCTGGTGGAAGAGAAGGACGTCCGTGTTAGTTTCGTTGTTGGAAGGTTTCGAGATCTGTGTTAGGTTCGACATGCACGCTTTGACAAGGATGGAAGGAGCGAGAGATGTCTACAATACCTGCATGCAGACTGCATTTATATCTACCAGACCTTTCGACTGTGCCCAGAACTCTCAATCTAATATATTCCACCACGCCTTGAGCATATTCCACGCACAGAAATCTAACCTAATACCTGCAGCAAATGCGTCCAAACTCTGTCTTATGACTCAAAAGCATGGAAGCTTTACGTACAAACGCAAGGTTAAGGAAGGTAGGGTTTCTACAGAACCTACCAGAGTCGAAACGAGCCTTCTGCTTTTGGGGGGATTCATGGCTTGGGAGCCGCCTTCTGGAAAAGTATAAATACCTGGCCCCCCTCCCACTTTCGAGCTCAGTCTTCTTTTTCATTTCCCATCACACATCCATTCAGTCTTCGTCTTCTTTTCCTCCCTGCTCCTTTCTTGTTTAGACTTCCACTAGACAAGAAACAAAACACCCTTCCGGCGCGGTCCGTCTCAATCTTAAAGAGACAAATAACAAGTAAGTCACTCTTTTCTTTTATCATTCACCTTGTCTTTACTTTCTCTTCACTTCATTCCTATCATATCATCACCTTGTCCCCGACCTATCATACATCACTTCATCTCCCCCTTACCACCACCTTGTCCTTACTCTCTCATCACTTCATCCCTATCTTATCATCACCTTGTTCCCGACATATCATACATCACTTTATCCTTCCTTTCCTTATGTCATCATCCCTACCTTACCACCGCCTTGTCCTCAATCTATCATCACACTATTCCTACCTTACCATCACCTTATCCCCCCCATCCTCACATCATCCCTCTACCTTACCACCAACCTATCATCACACCATCCCTACCTTACTATCATCACCTTTCTCTCTTTTGTCATCACCCTATCCCTCACTTATCAACACACTATCCCTACCTTACTATCACCTTTTCCTTCACCTGCTTGCCATCATATCCCTCCCTGACTACCATCACCTTATCCGCCTCAACCTATTCTACCCTTTTCATCGCTGTTCATAACACTGACCCTTGGCTTTCTTCTTTCTTCAGACAACATGGTGCCGATGCGCCTGTTGTTCGCGGCCCTCGTGGCCTTTCTCGCTTTCGCGGTCGGCTCGCCGACCACAATCTCGGCACTCCTGGGAGCGCCCCCGGCGGCCTCCTCCGCCTTCTCTGTCGTCCTCGCGGCGGCTTTCTCTCTGGTCGCCGCGATGGCGACCACGACTCTCGCTCGCGGCCTCGGCCGCTCTCGGTTCTCGCTCCGGGCACTGGCATCGCTCGCCATGCCCGCCCTTCTCCTCTCGGCCGTCCTCTTCGTCGGCCCTGCTTCTGCGGCTCCGTGGAGCACTGACCTCTGCGTCAGGCCCACGTCGGTTGGTGCGTCCTCCGAGGGCGCACCGTTCACCCTCCTCGCGGAGGCCGGCTCTTCCGTCCGGATGTTGCGACTCTTCCGCAACAACGGTCGGGATGGCTACCTCCGTGGTCTGGTTGTCGTCTTCTCGGACGGCACCGAAATGCGCGCCGGCGTCCGCAAAGACCAATTTGCGGAGCTGACTCTGGAGGACGATGAGGTCATCACCGGGATGACCTTGTGGTCCTTCACGCCACGCCACCGGTGGACCAAGTCCGCCAAATCGGGTCCCCGTGTCGGCCGCATCGACGTGTCGACAAACCAGCGCTCGTGGGGTTACGGCGTTGACAGCACGGCCAAGCTATCCAGCAAGGCTGTCAACGTCGGCTCCGGGTTGCTGGTCGGTTTCCAGGGTCGCGCCGGCGATGACCTGGACCAGGTTGCCCCCGTCTTCCTCCGGACTCTGGAGAGCTCCGTCGTCGACGACATCGTCTTCGACAAGCCCGCCGGTTCCGAGGGACTTCGCCTGGTGACCCTCCGAGAGGGCACCGCCGTCTTTGCCGGAACGCCATACTCGTGGCAGTTTTCCGGCTCCGAATCCCGGGACGCCTCGACGGCCTTCGCCAGCTCGACAACGAACGCGCTGACGATCGGGACGACGTTCAAGGGTGCCGCGCTCCCCGCCATCATCGACGGGGGCATCGAGGCCTCTTGGACCTTCACCGCCGGCACGACGATCACCCGGACCCTCGACCGTTCGGCCACTCTGTCGTGGAGCACGTCCATCGACATCAGCGAGAGTAATCCCGCTGTGACGTGCTCAGCCATGGTTTGGGAAGGTCACCTCCGGCTCCGCTGGACGGGGACCCAGACCGTGGTTGCTGGTGGTGCCGTTTCGTCTTTCCCTGCGACGGGGATCCTCAACCACGTCGCCTACGGAAAGGTCGAGACGTCCTGCCGTCCCGCCGCCGCCGTTTCGTCGTCGTCCTCCCGCCGCGTCCGCCGCGCCTTCGCGGCTTAGGCCGTGGTCGTCTTCTCCTGGAATTCGGTTTCGCCAGTTGAGTTCCTCGTGTGAACTCCTGGCTCGGTCTGGGTCCTGCCTGGTCGAGGTCGCCAACGGAACTCTCGGCAGGGCCTGGACCGTTGGGGGATTTTTTTCTGGCTGGCCCGGTTGAGGTCTTGCGGGAACTTCTTGGCTGGCTTTTTTCTTTTTTTCTTTTTGTATATACCTGTTGAGTTCTCCTAGAGAACTCCGGTATGTAGATACCTTTTGTGTTTTTGTGGAGTAGTGGGTAGAGGTCTGGCCGGAACTCCCCCGGTTGTGTCTGGAAAAGGTTCTGGGTTCGGTCGAGTTCAAACTCGCAGAACTCCTGGCAGAGGGTTGGTGGATGGGATGTTGGTTGGGGGGAGGGGGCTAAGAGACTCCGAATAATAAGGTCGTGCTTGCCCCCGGGGGACTGCTGCAACTCTCCGACTCACCACTCGACAAACTTTGCAGCAGTTCTCACTGGGCGAGTACGGCCAACACTCGACAATTACGTCTCCTTGTCCTCCCCCTGGGTTCGATCGGATACCTCGCGACAATAACACCGTTCGGCCCTCGACTCTCAACATTCTCGACATACCAACAACTCTCAACCCTTAACTATTACGACACAACTCTCTATACTCAAATGACAAATATACAAATTTCCCCACTCAGTTTTACTTCATGTCGTGTGTGCTTGTTTGGTGAACTGACCCTCTTCTGTCAACATACAAACAACTCTCAACCTTGAACTATCAAGGTGCATTCTCTGTACTTAAATTACAAATTCACAAGTTTCCCCACTCAGTTCTCAATCATCTCGTGTGTGCTTGTGTGGTGAATATGTCTTGCTTTCTCTGTGCTTCTAGAATGAACCAGGTGCAGCATGTAATAACCGTGTAGTGTGTGCCTGCTGCACTTGTGACTGGATCTAAGTGACTGGCTCAAGTGTCTGAGCATGGAAATTAAGTCATCATATTCACATCTGGAATGAGGAAGAAAAAGGAATAAAGTAGGTGGCGCCGAGTTTGTTACGGCGGTTTGAGGTACGCTTTTCTTTTTTTGTCTTATATTTTGGCCCCCTCCATTTATTTTATCCTCGTGGTTATCCCCCTCTCCCCCTTTATTTTACAAAGCCCTATACCACCCTTATAACCCCCCCTCGCACTACTCCTTCCATCGCCCCCCGAAACCGTCCGGTCCGCGGATAGCGCAGTTGGGGGGGCCTGCGACTCGCAACAACGCTTGCACCCGGGTTCAATCCCGGGCCGAGCAGAAAACCACCCACCGGGTTTTCGTAGCTGCCTACCTTACTATTCCTTTGTTCCCTTACCTTACTTTGGGGCTAGAGAGAGGTGGGTAGTGAGCTTTTGGTTTATTTCTTCCCCTTTCATTCTTCTTGTGTTGAGATCTTTTCTTGTCTTTTTTTTCTTGTTCTTTGGGTATAAGATTTGGATCTGTTGGTTACGTTCATCGATTTCCTTTCCCGGGGGTCAGGTTACTGATGCGTTGGGATGCTCCTGGGTGTGGTAGTCTGCTTGTCGATGGGCGGTATAGCGCGCATGGATGGGTCAATGTGCTTATGGATAAGCTACTGTGCTCAATGGTGGGTGATGATAATGAGGGTGAGGTTGGATTGCGTTTTGCCGGTTGTTGGTTGTTATGTTAGACTTGAGGTGTTAGCGTGGCTTGGGTACAATCACAACCGTAGGTAGTTTCTCGATTTCCAATAGCTGAGTCATGAAACTTCGGACGGTTTGTTGGGTGTAGTTATTACGCTGTTTGGATTTGGATAGCATGAGTCATGGTATCTTGTTCTGGACTACGTAGCTTTCTTAGGTATCCTGGATTTACCGGCCCCAAATGATAGCTTGAACAAGAGTATCTGAGACATACAGTTCGAGGGGCATAGGACAGAAAAGATTTGAAGCTGTAATAGCTGATCAAGAAAGTATGTCCGGTTAGAAATACACTGTACCTTTGCTTAGTGTTTGACCTGAGGAGTTATTAAGGTTGAGTAAGCGGCCGTTCAGTTACGGTATCATTGGAAGTGGACCACCCTCATCTAGTATCGTGCATTGCCGACTGCTTGAATCGTATATTCTGTCGATTAGACGCCCTCGATTCGTGTAACGTTATGGCCGTTGGGAATTCTCTTTGTGATCTAGTCTCCGTATCTGCGTTGTCGGCGAGGAATGCAGCAAACGGGTCTACGCGTTCAGGGGTTATCCCCGCTTGTGGCCCAAGGTCGAGTAAGTGATGATTATACGGTAGAAGTTGAAACTGTTCTGTTTGGGCAATTTCGAAGCCCGTTAAAATTCCCTTGGCTTACATCGTAGCGTACCACGCCCTGTGGCATTCACCACGCCTTGTGGCATTCCGAAGTTGCATTCCTTGAACGAATCCAATCGGCTACAAGGTGGCATTACCTGCCTAAAAGGGACTGCATATGGCACATCAGAGGCTCTGCCGGGTGCTTCCCAGCTCCATCTTGGCGAAACCGCGGGAGGACAACCCCTCATTAGCCGCGATCGCGACAACAAACCGCGGGCAAGGGTCATAGAGGGATATTTAACCTCCAGCTGCCTCTTAGGACAAGAAGGACCACCATTCCTCACTCACCTCTCTTACACATACTTGGCTATCTATTTCTCGAACTTGAATTTGGACGACATACAACCCAACATGGCTGACATGTGGACAGCCAGAATCCAAGCCGGCACAGCAGACTTCGAAGCCCGGTTCGAGCACATTAGGGTTACTTACAAGACGGTCGACGATACCCAGCTCGAGGCCGCCGTCTTCATTCCCAAGACACTGACGTCTCGCTCTGACCCGGTTTCTGCACCTGTGCTGGTGCATTTCCACGGTGGTGCCCTCATCACGGGCGCTGCGCCGGATCTTTGTTTTCTCTCTGACTGGTTTGTCTCTTCTTTCACTAACCTACCCCTTTCTTCTTTTTTTCTCTTCCCCTTTTTTCTTCTTCTTTTTCTTTTTTCTTTCCTGTTTTTTTCTTTCTTTAAAAAAGAACATGAGACTAATCTGCTTAGGGTCCGCGACCTCGCCCACACAATCCCCGCCATCTTCATCTCCCCCTCCTACCGTCTAGCCCCAGAAACCCCGGCCGTCTCCATCCTCGACGACATCGCCGACTTCTGGCGCTGGCTGCCCGTCCACCTACCCTCCCTTTTCTCTTCCCCCCCTTCTCCCCCTTCTCCCTCATCATCATCCCAGAGTAATAACTCCCCCAACTGGCAACATATCACCCCCGACCTCACGCGCCTCCTGGCCCTCGGCGAAAGCGCAGGCGGCTACCTCGCGCTGCAATCCGCCCTTCTTTTGTCCGTGCGTCCCGCACTACGTGCTGTTGTTGCTCTTTACCCGGCTATTTACCCCGATCTGGCCGTGTTCAACTCCCACTCATCAGATGCTAAAAAGGTTAACGAGGACGACAACGCGGTAGTCACGGCGTTCCTGGCCGCTCGGCAAGGTAGTAACCAAACAACCCGTACGTCGACGCCCTGGCCGGGTTTGTTGACCGAAACCATCGCCGCGATGACGACTGGACGAGCGAAGGAGGTCTGGGGGCCGGATGAAGAGGGACGGTTGGAGTTGGGGTATGCGCTGCAGCAGGCGCGGAATCGGGCGGAGAGGAGTTGTGGTCCTAGTCGGGGTCCGGCACGGGGTCGGGCTGCGGAAGTACGGGAACAGGGTGGTGGTGAAGGGGAAGAGGGAGAAAGGAAGGGGGGACTACCGCCGATATGGGTGGTGCAGGGGACGGAAGACACGGTGGTGCCGAAAAAGGGGACGGATGAGATGGTGAAGCGGTTGAGGGAGGAAGGGCCGGAGGGGACGGAGGTGAAGTATACGGTTAGGGAGGGGGGGCATGGGTTTGATATTCCGCTTAGGTTGGGAGAGGGAGAGGAGGGTTGGGTGAGGGAGGGTGTGGAGTGGGTGAGGGGGTTTTGGTTGGGGGGGGCTGCTAAGGCGTGAGTTAGTGTTGCTGGACTTGACTGGTTAAGGGTGCATTGTTTGTTGTTGGAGTTCCTCTTGTTTACTATGGTGTTGCTGTCAGCTAGGCTAACAACCGCCAGCAAAATAAATAAAATAAAATAAACCAAAATAAAATAAACTAAAATAAAATAAGCTTCAAGCCAATCTTCATGCACACTCGGACTTGGCCTCGGACTGAGTATATGAAGATAGCTGGATCTCATTTCCATCCCGTGGCTAAACAGGATTCCAGGGGTGCCTAATGCGACACTGCCGCTGCGCCGTCCACGAAATCCCGGCGCGACAGGGGCAGCAACAAAGCTAAAATCGGCGACGGCCGATGAATGATACAAATGGCCGGCGGTTTCCTCATACAAAATAACCTTTTGACACCCGACGCGACGCGATTAACAAAAGTAGTGATCAACCCAAAAAAAACAAAAGAGAAAAACAACGAAAACTCAACACCAAAAAGAGCATCACCAACCTCACCCACCAAACAATCCAACACCAAACCAAACTGAACCCCAAACCAAAAACGTCAAAATGCATCTCCCCACCCTCCTCACCCTCACAGCAACCTCCCTCCTCACCACCACGACCTCCGCCAACCCAGCGCCCGCACCCCGCGACGACCGCCCAACCCTCCTCTGCCCCACCTCCTCGTCTTCCCACCTCCCCGGCTACACATTCACCTTCCTCCCCACCCTCTCCTACACCTTCCTCCTCAATTCCCCCACCACCGTCGGGCAAATCTGCACCGCCGGCGGCACCCTGGTCGCCCACGCCCTGGGCCAATCCCTCACCGGTGGTGACAACGCGCCCGTGTCATGGGGGATTGAACCGCGGGATTTGTCAGAAGAGGCGGGATATGTGGCGGGGGTGTTGGTGGTGAGGGCTGTTGGGGGGGTGTTGGATAAGTTGAATGAGTTGGTGGGGAATCGGACGTCGGGGTTTTATGTTGGGCAGGAGGATTTGTGGGCGAGACAGGTGGCGGAGCAGGTTGATGAGAAGTTTGAGGTTACTTTGAGTGAGTGATTCTTTTTCTTTCTTCCTTTCTGGGGTTGAGTTTTGACGGTGGGAAGATGAGGAGCTAACGAGTATTAGGGGAGGATATTTGAGGGACTACTTCGGGAGGGTGTGCTATGAGATGGTTAGATGGAGTGGAGAGTTGTGCAAGAGTGGGAGGAAACGTACCGGGAGTAATGACACGACATCACGGTCATTTGGAAGAAAATCACAGCAAACTCGCCCACGGCAAATGTATCAAAAATGTCCTTTTGGTCCCAAAGCAAAAACTCCTGCCAACCTTGATATACACAGACATGTACTCCGTACCCAGCTGGAGCCGGGCCATCAAAACCCGCCCTGTTCTCCCAATGCAACCAAATCACTATTCTTCCTCGCTCAATCTATCATTGCTATATCCCCCTTGCTAAAATCACCCCACAGACACCACAACCACCTAAGTAACACGCTTAAACCGGGGCGTGGGTGAACAGGTACGAGACCGACTCGCCTGTGACGTGTCAGTATCGGTATCAGCAAGAAAGAAAAAGAATCCGGGCGGCTTACCGTTGTGGGTACGGCGGATAGCCTCGGCGATGGTCGGGCTGATGTCAATAACACGCAGCTTCGGGCACTGGAGAGCACCGCGTCAGTGGACAGACAGCCCAAAGTTTCCTCAGCCGGCCAAACTTACTCGTTCCACCTTGTCGCCAAGCGGCACTGTGTTGGTCACTACCAGAGCGGAGAGAACACTGCCGTTCAGCGTCTCAATGGCATTGCCAGACAGAATACCATGGGTGACGAGCGCCAGGACAGACTTGGCCCCGTTCTCCTTGAGCACCGCGGCAGCCTTGACCAGGGTGCCGCAAGTGTCGGCCATGTCGTCTATGAAGCGTTAGAACCGTCCGTGAAGCTCTCCGTGAAGCTCTTCCTGAAAGAAGACGGCACTCACCGACGAGGATGGCAACCTTGTCCTCCACATTACCGACGAGGACCATGCGGCCGACAACATTGGGACGGGGGCGCTCCTTGTGGATCAGCGCGAAGGCCGTGTTAAGGTGGTCCGCGATCGAGGTCGCACTTTGGTCGTTAGCATGGTCGACGCAGCCGGAGATTGTAAAGCACCTACCGCTTGGCGCCGCCCGCATCTGGAGAGACAATGACGCAGTCTTCCGCATTGAAGTTTTCCCTGATGTAGCGCAGGAATGAGGGCTCGGCATACAAGTTGTCCACTGGTACGCTGAAGAAGCCTGTGCCGAGTAATTTGTTAGTCCTCCCATTCAAGCCCCAATATTCTCCAAGATCGTACCTTGGATCTGTCGCATGTTAGCAAATTCCTGTTACGGTAACATCAACAGCTCGGCTTACCTGAGATGCATGAAGGTCCACAGTCACAATGTCTGCGCTGCAATCAGCATGTGATCAAAGCACCCAAGCCCGAACAAACATACGGTTGGCGCCAGCCGTCTGCAACATGTTGGCGACGAGGCGAGCACTAATGGGTGCTCTCGACTACACCATAGTCAGCATGTGACTGCCAAACCCCAGGGCTACCATCCCATCGCACCTTGTCTTTCTTGTCTTGTCGAGCATAGGGGAAATTCGGGCTGCCAACGTCAGCATCGGTCGAATTCGAGTCGGCGTAGAAGTGTGTCGTCGCCGCGCAGGAAAGACAGTCGCTCGAAAAGGAATGCTCACATCACGGCCGTTATCCGCCTCGCACTGCAGATCGTCAAAACCGTCAGCGACTCAATTCCTTGCCTCCCCATGCACACCTGTAGACCATACCTCGCAGTACGACAAGCCGAGATCATAATCAGCAGCTCCATCAAACCCTCATTGACATCGCCCGTGGCGGTGGACTGCACAATAAACACATCCTCGTCACGGACCGACTCGCCGACGGTGAACGACGTCTCCTGGTTCGAGTAGTTGAGCGAAATGGTCCGGGCGACCTCGATGCCGAGTCTGCGGGAGTGCGCATGTTAGCGGACTAGTCCATATCTTCGGGTCCGGGTCCGAGTGAGGGTCTGTCTGGAAAGAATGCGACGGGGTGTGTGGGCAAGGCGAGTGTGCGTGTGGGTGTGTTGGTGATGCGTTGACAAGGCGCATACACGCTGGTCTCGCCGGGGTAATGGATATGGATGTACGGATCGTGGGACTCGACTCGATTGATCGCAAAGGGAAATTATTATTCAATTCAGGTGTAGTGTTTTGTTCGTACCGCTTTGCAACCTTGTCGCTGAGGTCGGGGTGGCTACGGCCACTGATCAATTTGATCTCGTTCGCCATCTCGGCAGACATGGTGAAGAAGAAGGGAAGAGGGTAGGACCCCGGGGGTTGCTCCGGCCGGATGACGGGCCTAACGATTTTTTCTTCGGCGGCTTTACCTCGCAGCGCCTGCCCGGGCTTTGCCGCAAGCGCGAGCCTCTCGAAAGACGAATAAAAAAATAGCTAAAAAAAATTATAAGCCAAAGGCACGCGGCCGTTAGCGGGGAGAGGAGCCCGGAACTGCGGGGCACTTTCAGTCTCTCTCTCAGCAAAGTGACCGGGGGGCTGCAGCGGCGAATTGAAATGTCCCTCGTTGGGCCGGGGGGGTTCACGAGGTGGTGTGGGAGGTTTCGACGGTGGCCAAGTTGTTGATGTTTCCGGGGAAAAGATGCGGACGGTTGGAATGCAGTTCGCGACGGGAGAACGTGCGCTGCTGGGGCGATGGGTACATGTACTGTAATTAATGGGAACATCCTGCCTGCCTTGCCCTTGCCTTTATGCCGGCAGAAAAAGTCGAAAAGAATTCCCAAGTGGAGTTGGCTTCTTACCCCGGGTACCTGGTCAGTGTGCCAGTGAGCCGAGCTCCAGCTCCTCGGTTATGTTATCGATAACGTGGCTTCCAGTGCGTGGGTGAACATTTAACAGCCACGTGCATTTGAGTCAGCGGAACGCAGAACCATGCGGCGTCATGCAGGCGGCTCTTCCATTGTTAAACTTCCTCAAGGTTCCAATTCACGGCTTACGCCGTGGGTCACGATTTACGTTTGCTGCAGGTCACGGTTGATGATCGGGTATCTCCGGCTTCCGGAAATGCCCATTGCCCGAGAACCATTCTGAAGACACTCCTCGTGTTCACAGACCCTTTTCCTCGATCCGTCCCCTTTTTTTCTCGGGAAAGCCGCTGGCTCATGGCAAGGTTTATTCAATTCCGCTTCAGTATCTCCTGCTCGCCTATCCCCGAGAATATACAGTAGCCCAACTGTTCAGTGGTCCCTACAAAATAGCATCATCCTTCTTCCCCTTATCCTCCTTACCCGGCGCCTCATCCAATACATCCTCCCCCATCGGACCACTGACTTTGACTCCCTCCATGGACGTCACCTCAACATCTTTCTTCCCTCCACCATCTCCCGCCTCCTCCTCCCCCTTCCCCACCTCCTGACTCTTCAGACTACTCGCCTTGCTCACACTCCTGCTCTCCGGATCCTCCACCCGTAGTCCCAAATGCTTATCCGCAGCCGGATCCTCATGATTATCCCCCTTCCAGTTCGCCGCCTTCATCTGCGGCACCGGACTATCCACACCAGGTTCATTGATCACCACACCCGAGGGTATCTTAACCAACACAGGCTCTCCAGCGGCCCCTTCCCCAACCTCCGCGCCCGCGACCGCCTCACCCGTGCCCGCCACGCGCCAGACAACCGACAGCCTGTCCAACGCACGCGCCCCGCGCCGACTAGACCCCTTGATCCCATCCATCTTGTCCCAGTCAATCTCAAACACCCCGCTGGTGTCGGCTTTACCGTCCTGCTCCGGCCCGCGGCCTTCAAAGAAGGTGTTGAACCACACGTGCGCTACGGCGGTGACCATGGTCAGGCCCATGCTGGCTTTGTTGCGGCGCTCGACTGAGATGTTGACGTCGCTGTTGGGGATGGCGATGGGCGTGGTCGGTTTGAAGATGACGGCTTGGCCGCCGGGTTCGGACGGGTCGGAGAGGAAGGTGTTGCTGGTCTGCTGGAGGTTGGTTGTTGAGAGGGAGTTGGGCTCGGTGGTGGTGGTTGTTTCTGGGACGGAGGTGTCGCTGGAGGGTGCCTTGGACGGGTCGGGCAGAGCGATGGTTTTGCTCTTGCTACCCAGTTTGCCGAGGCCTTCAAGCTTCTTGGGGGAGCTGGGCTTTTTCGTCGATAGCTTCCGTATGAGATTGGTGGTGCGAGATCCCTTGAGCTTTTTCGATGAGCTCCTCGCCGGTGTCTCTCCGAATTTGACCTTGCCGTCGCTCTCACTCTCACCCTGGGCTTGCTCATCATCTCCCCCCTTTTTAATCTCCTCATAATCCGCATCCTCAGCGACCTCCCCAGCCGAACCAGCTACCTCACCCGCCCCGTACCCAGCCATATCCTGCACAAAATCCAACACCCCCCCTCCACCCGGCGCACCCGGCTGTACGACAATCCTCTCCTCCCCCTTAAACGTATGCATCACCCGAATCTTCTTCCCTTCCTCCGCAAACCCTTCCACCGCCATCTTCACCCCATTCCTCAACCCCCACACATGAATCTCCACAATCTCAATCGGCCGGTCGACATATTTCTTCCCACCCTTCGCCCACCGATCAACATAGCTTATCCACCGCAGCTGACTGGGGATCGACACCCCCGCGCCAAACCCAGGCCTCATCCGACGCTCCGTAAACCGCGCCAGCGCATCCTCCGGCTTCCACCCACACTCCGCAATCAAATAGCTACACGCCATTGTCCCCGACCGGCCCTTCCCCGCTTTACAATGCACCACCACCACCCTCTTTTTCTTCTCCTCCCCCTTTCCCTCTTCCCCTTCCCCTTTTCCACCCTTACCATCACCATCCTGAGGCTCATCATCAACAACCCCCTCCAAAACCCCTCCCTCCAACCACCTCTTCATCCCCCCCACAATCCTCGGCACCAGCCCAAACGGCGGCGGGTGATGGTCGGGCCAGGGGAAATGGCGGATGCGGTTGTACACGGCATCGTCGGGGTATCCGGTGCCTTCGGCGCGGAACTCCCAGATGGCCCAGCCTTTGCCGTGTTGGGCGTCGAGGAAGGAGACGAGACGGGAGAGGGGGTTGCGGTAGGCTAGTTGCGGGTAGGTTTGGGAGGGTCCGGATCTGTGCCGGGGGTGGTTAGAATGGGTGTTGTTACGGAGAGGGTAGGTATGAGGGTGGATGTGGTATCAACGAGGGGTTAAGAGGATAGGTATGAAGGAGGGTGATCATGAGATGACAAGGGACAAAAGCCGAATACTCACGTCGCGATAACGTTAGAAGTCACATAACACAGATCCAACCCCGTCTCCTGGTGTTTCGAGCGCGGCCCGGCCACAATCTGCCGGAGAATTGATGCCATTGTCAACTCGGCGCGCCTCAAACCAGAAAGGTTGAGCGAACGGACAGATAGGTGTAAACAGCCCCGCTTCAAGCTCAGGCGAGGGGGGAAAGACTTGTGAAAATGAGACACAAGAAAAACAGAGCTTAATTGAAAGAGAAAAAAGAGGAAAGAAAACGGTGCAAAGCTGGATAATCCGAACCCAAAAGTCCAACTTTGGTTATCTACACGCCAGAGGGAAGTCTGATATTTAAAAACCAATTGACAAGACGAAACCAGGAAAATGAAACTCCCCACTGCTCGTTGGTCTCAGGAACGAACGACATTGAGTAATCCAGGCTCGGTTCTTTTGCTCCTTCGGGTCCTACGTCATCAGCGTATTCGTCGAGCGCAGGGAAGTGGGGTTCGAGAACCAGGGCTTGGCAAAGGGTCTTTTTACAGGCAGAGGGTCGTGGTCTAGGCTCTTACCGCAATGATTGCCTTCCTCGTGGCTGTGCCACTTGCAGTCCAAGACAAAATATGTATTAGGATTCTAAAACACACATCACAAGACATACAAGCACAAATTAGGACGGGAATACAGCCTAGACATTGTGATACAACGACGATAAGACTAATATCAGACAGACACCGGATCAATTCCGCCGCTTCTCTCTCCTTAACGGCGCCACCAACTCCTCAAAAACAAGGACTAAGTTAGGTCCAGTAGGAAGCTAGTGAAAGGAAGGAAACCCCCGAACCATTCCGTGACCAAGGAGACCCTATCATATATCCTCCGACATGTAGTCGTCTGCTTTTCCGCCACAAGTCTCACTTCTCCCCCTTCTCCTGTCTTCCTCTGCCCTCCCAAAAAAAGTACTCGATACCGTTGCGCAGCTAGCAAGCGCGCGTATCACTCCTGGCAGCCATTCTCACAGCAGCCAGACCGCTTCATGCCGCATCTTGCTACATGCGGAAAGCGCCTTGTCGCGTAACAGAGTATCCACGGCGCTTGCCCACCTAGGACGTCTTCTTGGGCGCAGCTGCGCCGCTGGCGTACCGGTTGACGTCGGTCGCGCCGTGGAACTGGCGGGCCGTGCTCTTCACGCCGTCCCAGACCTGGCGCGCGGCCGGCGGGGTACCCTGGGCACCGATCAGGTTGTCGATGCGCGCCTCGAGCTGGGCGAACGAGCCCTGCACATGGCTGCTCTGGGCGAAGCGCGCGCGCAGGAAAGCGGTGTAGACGGCGAGGAGGATCCATGATCGGCGCTGGAAGAATACGGCGGCGAGAAGTAGGCGGATCCAGAGGAGGATCTCGAGGCCGGATACTACGGACATGGAGGCGTCGTAGTACTGCTTGACGAAGGACTTGATGGTCTCCGAGGCGGGGTGCTGAGTGTATTGGGGCTTAGCGCCGTTGGCGGGCGAGGCACCAGCGGGCGCGTTGATCTTGGTCGGGGGAATAATGGTGGGGATAAGGCTGGCGGCGATGTAGGTGGCGACGTGGAAGATCGAGTAGATGCCATATGGGAGAAGGGCAAGCGGGTATTGGGGCATGAAGAGCCAGATAAGGGCCAGAACTAAAAAACACTCGATTAGCCAAACAGGAGTCCTTCTACCCTAGCAGAATGAACTAGTGCCAGGACCTACCCAAGTATTGAACGTTCTCATCGGCGAGGTAACCGATGACGCCGGCAGGCTGCCTCGCCCCCGTCTTTTGGCGGGCGCGCCACGTCTTGTAGACCACTATTCCATAGGCGGAGGCGGCGGACAGAAAGGCGACACGGTAGCAAAACTGGGCCCAGCCGCTGTAGTAGTTGAAGGTGATCCACGAGAAGGAATAGCGGATGATGGAAAGGAGGAGGACGGCGTGCCTGTAAGCGGAATTCATGTGTTAGCCAACGCAATCTCGGTCTGGTTACGTCTTGCATCGGAGGGTGCAGCGCGGTGTTTTGTCGCCCTCGGCACCGGGGGGCACTTTGTCGCCCGATCGCGTGCGTTGCTATTGTGTCGGAAATTTGGGGTCAAACATACCCAGAAAACCAAGCAACTGAACAAACACTCAGGTTAGCTTTGCGATCTGTCAAGAAAAGCCGGGTCCTGAGCTCCCCGCGGGGAGGGCCGGGCCGGAATCTGCACACGTACACTGCAGGGTCAAGGCGAGCTTCTGTAGCCGCTGGAGAAGCGGCAGATCTGCCGGAGGCGGGGGAGCCATTGCGCAAAGTCAAAGGCAAGTCAAAGCGATAGAGGAAGATGTATTCAAAGGTGAAGATGAATGGTACGCGGTTCGTGGTGGCGTCGAGGAGTCGGGTTTGTGATGTTAGATCGAGTTGGCAAAAGTTTGGCCGGGTCGGGTGCGTGCTGTCGGAAAAGCCCCAGCTTGGTGGTTGGTCTTGGGGGAATTGGCAAATGGTCGGTGCGTCATGCACGGGCAGCCAGCACTTCACAGCAGAGCAAGGGTAGGTGGGGTGACGTCGCTTTGTTCAGCGGTCAGAGTAAATGTTTAAAAAAAAAAAAAAAAGTTGTGAATTGTGAACAACCAGCCTCAAAATAGATTTAACTAGGATACCAAACAAAGGTGACAGTGATGCAAACAGGCGAGAGTTCGAGGGAGCCCGTGATAAAAGGATCTGGGCAAGGAAGCCCTCGAAACGCACACAGTTGCCTTGGCTCTTGGGCTTATCAGGTCCCATTAATCGTCACACCTTTGTCGTCATCAGCAGGGCAGCTCAGCTCTTGCTGGCTCGTGAGCCCCACTCCAGCAGATCTCGGCATTCCCTGGGCCACGCTTTCATGGCCCCGATCAGCTGTGAGCGATCGGGTCCGATCGAGAATGTTCTGCGGCAAACGGACAATGTAACCAAAGACTGGCGTTTTCAGGTTGCTAGCGGTTGCTAGCGGTTGCATAGCCTCCTCTTTACACTAGCAGACTAGCTACCCTCGGCCACACCGGCCTGTATGCCGAGGGAAACAAACGTCCAAACGGGCTAGGTAGCAAGATGTTTCTTGATTCGTAGGGAGAAAACTCCGCTGATTGTATGTCCTCCAAGAGGCATTAAGAGCAACTAGCAATACAACATAGGACATAAGAACTTCATTAGCCGAAACCATTGTTTTTAATACAGAGCCCTTGAGGTGTCCAATAAACCTTAAATCCAGCAAAGTAGTCACAATTTTGTCATTTACAATAACATCATGAAAGGAAAAAGATCTGGACTGCAACAACCTAGATTACTGAACGTAAAAAACACAAAAAGCTCACTGCTCACTTCCTCCCGGTGAAGGTTGTAGACAGCTACGAAAAACCCAGTGGGTTTTTCTTGGCTGCCCCCTCCCTGAATCGAACTTAGGAAGGGGAGCAAGCGGGCAGCACCGAGTGTGCCCGCACCCTCCCAAATGCACCACCCGCGGTTGAGCACTTGTCAGATGGGGGAGCTGTTGGAAACTGGTGGCCGAAGGGGGGGTTATAAAGGGCTGTGTGAATTTGGGGGAGGGAAGGAAGGTAAGCAGGTATGCCTTCAAAGTGTTTGTAGGGAGATAACAGCTAGATAAGACCGTTCCTGGAGCATATAATTACATTACAGAACCCTGAGATAAAGTATTCCAACGCCGTTCTCCAATCCAAACCTCAAAATGCATGTTTAGCCCTCACACTTAGTGTCCCCAAACATCACGAGACCACCTCCCCCGGTATTTCCTCCCTTCCCAAAAGAAAACCCCATCACACCCAACTCGGCTTCGGCCTCAACGGCCACCCAATATCCTCCCTCACCGGCCCACCCTCTTCACCAAGCGACTCCAAGCTCGGCTCAGCCCAGCTTCTCCTCCTAATGCTAGAAACTCTGGTTCTCTTTTTACGACGTCGTGTCCTCGCTCTCGGCGTGGAATCGGCGAGGGCCGTCGGAGCCGGCCGTTCGAGCGGGCTCGAGAGAATACAAGCGTACACCCGCTCGGTGCTGTCGAGTTGATGGAAGTTGGAGGATAACGTTTGTCGCGAAGGCGACTCGCAGGTGTCGGCTACGGAGGCTTCGGCGTCGGAGGCTTCGGCTTCGGACTCTTCGGAGATGGGGAACGATGTTCTTGGGCTTTGGATGGAGACGGGTGCGGGTAAGGGTATGGGGGAGGATGCAAAGGTGGGGAGCGGGAGCTCGGGGGGGGATGGGACTTTATGGGCTGGGGGTGTTATGAAGGGGTCAACGGCCTCTGTATCCATCGTTTCTGCCGTCTTCTCCTGTGTGTCGGCGGTTGCTGTCATGTCCGAGTGGTGTAAGTCGACGGGGGAGTCGCTTCTCGAGAGGCCGGGGCGACGGGTCGGGGTAAGGAATCCAGCGGACCCTGGGGCTTCCACCGGCCTGGATGGCCTACGAGGTGTGTGTGGCTCCATCGCCGCTTGCATGGGAGGGGCGTGCTCGCTGTCGATGTAGTTGACAACAGTTGGGTCGAGAGCCTCGCTGCGGGGTCGTCCAGCTGGACCTGGTCTCTTCTTCCGGCGGCGCCAGAGAAACAGGTAGATCCCCAGCAGGGTTAGGACACCTGTGCCTATTGCGGTGACGAGGACAGAAACGACGACGAGGGGTACCGCTACGGTTTGGCCCCTTTCTCCCACTATCCGCGCTTTAAGCTGAAATAAAGACGTTAGCTATGGTTGGGGCAGGGCCGGACAGTCGGCCAAGCTTTATGACCACGTAAGAAAGGATAGGCATCCATACAAGATGGGCAATAGGGTTATGTGTCGTGCGCAAGGGGCCGGTCTGGTGTTGACTAGACGCTGAAGTCCCGGGACCAGCTTGTAGAGCTGTCGGAAGGCCGATGGTTCCATCCTGAGTCGTTGTTGGAGGTAAAGCTGAAGATGCTATGGCTTGGTTCATGCTCACGTTTCAAGTCACCAAAGGACCGAGAAAGGGGCAAGGTAACGGGAGAAAATAGCTTGGTTGACGATAATGCCGTCAAGTTTGGGGTCGAGAACGGGAACAACAAAAGGAAGCTCCCGCACAATACCCTAGCTTGTATGCGGAACAAACAGACAGAAGGTTGAACATGGTTCACCACAAGTTGATGATGCTAGGCGTTGCTGGCTTGTTGAGGCCCCCGCCTCAGGCGAATAAACGCTCGGACTGGTGAGAGTCGTCCCATCTCTGTTTGCCATCGGCGGGTCGCCAGGATAGGTAACTCCCGGTCGAAGAGTGGGAGACAAGCTGCCATCGTAAACCGCAACTATGGCATAATTCAACAAGTTAATGCTAATACAAGCCTATCTAAACCTTTATTTGGTAAGATCAAGAGTCAACATTCTCGTAACTGTATTTCACTTCACCACCTTAACTCGGAGCCTTCCCCAGGTTCAAGAGGTCTTCCGGAGCTAGGTCCGTTTGCTCTCCAAACCAACTCCGCGTCCGTTGTCTCGGCAGTGGCGTGTAGTTGCCAAATGTGGTGAACCCATGACTCGGACACTAGGCGCACGGCTGGAAACGGGACGACGCGTCAAGGAACGGACCATGAAGGCGATACAACGTGGGGTCCAACATAACGTTCGTTTCCTCGAAACCACACGTGGGAACAGCGGTTGTTTGGAACGTATAAATAAACTGCCGAAGAAGGAAAGGGATTGAGATTCGAGGATGGCCTGACTTTAATGTTAAAAGGATAAAAGATAAAGAAAGCCGAGCAATTGCACCATTCCGTCTGCCAGCCGATTGCCAGCTGCCGCAACTGCCTGCCCCGCGATCAACCACCCCCCCACCAAACACTCGCTGCTTATCGCTCACTTCACCTGGTAACCTATCACCCAGTTTATTTTATTGCAACTCTACTTTTCAATCTCCCTCTCTATATCCGAGTCACCCAAAATACGACCCCCCACAAAAATGGCCACGATCAACTCCCTCCAACGGGTCTCAGCCGCCTCCCTCTCCAAAATCATCCTCAACGCATCCGACGTCGCGGCAGCAGGCGACCCCACCATCGCCGTGATCGATGTCCGCGATGATGGTATGTCCAACCCCCCTCCTCCCTTTATTCCCCCCAATCTCTCCCTCAACTCACCCCATCCAACCCTTTACCCATCCAAGAAATCGACTAACTGACCAATGTAGATTACATAGGCGGCCACATCAAAGGCGCCCGCAACGTGCCCTCCCGCCAACTCGACGCCATGCTGCCCACCCTAGTCCGCCAGCTACGCGACAAGGATACTGTCGTCTTCCACTGTGCGCTATCCCAGCAGCGGGGGCCGAACGCCGCGTTGCGGTATTTGAGGGAGAGGGATCGGATTTTGGCTACTGATTCTGCTGCTGCTGGTGGTGCTTCTGAGGGTTCGACGGCGGGGACGACGGTTGTGGGTGTCGCTGCGGCGGATGTGGATGGGGTGGGAGCGGGGGAGGGCGGTGGTGATGGTGCTGCTGCTGTTGCGGCTGTTGCTGGGACGGCGTCTGGGACGGGAGAGGAGGGGAAGCGGAAGAAGACGCAACAGGTGTTGGTGTTGGATCGGGGGTTTGTGGGGTGGCAGGAGGAGTTTGGGAAGGATGAGCGGTTAACGGAGGGGTATCGGGAGGAGTTGTGGAAGGATGGGTATTGGGGGTAGGTCGGGGGCCGAGGGGGTTGTGGGCGATGGGAATGGCGAGGCGGAGGCACACGGTTGGGCAACCGCTAGGTGGGTGTTGTGAAGTGGTCAGCGACGTCAATAATTCACCATCTTCAACCACACCCAAGGCACGAGATTTCACAATGGACAGCAACCTTTCCCGACAAGTGAGAGCGATAACGTGAATCGCGAGGTTTGAATTAAGATTATGTGCGCCAACTCCTTCCAACCACAAGCGTCTAGACATGTATTCCCATTCATATCCAATCCATGCATGTGTTGACAACCAAAGCAGGCCTCCGACGTATTCTCATAGCTCCTCCACATCGAAATGTCGTATGTATTCCTCGCTTAGAGCGCAGCAACGACACCGACAAAGCCAGCCAGGGCAGCAGCCATGGCAACGAGGCCGGTCGAGCGGGTGGCGTCGTTGGGCTTGTCGCCGTTGCCGCTGTCGCTGTTGCTGTCACCACCGCTGCTGCTGTCGCCACCGCTGCTGCTGCCGCCGGTGGAACCGCCGCAGGTAGTAGGCAGGTTGGTGGGTGTGGGGATAGCCACGTCGCCGCCAGGGCACTTGGAGATGGCCGAGCTGTAGGCTTCGCCGTTCTCGTTGAACCAGGACGAGGCCGCGGCCTGGTAGCTCGAGAGCTTGGACTCGACCGTGGGAGGCAGGGTGACCTTGCAGGGGTCGGTCTCAGTCTGGGTAACGTAGAAGGAGGCAACCTCGGTGGGGAAGCCGGGCATGCCGCTGGTCACAGTGGCGAGGGCCTCTGTGCACGCCTTGAGGTCGTCGAGGGCGTCACGGGCTTGGGGCTGGCCGGGCATGGCCGCCGCGACACCGACGAGGGAGAGGATGAAAGTCTTGGAGACCATGTTGACGGTTGTGAAAGATTAGAGATTATGGTTTTTGGCGAGTTGTGACGAGGTGTCGAAAGAGAGTGACCGAGATGGAGATTTGAAGGAGTGACTGACGGTTGGAGATGAGAAGAGAGAAAAACAGACTTGATCGGACCTTTGAGACCTTTTATTATTTACACCAACGTTCCTTTGCCTCCTCCCCCGGACCATAGTTCGACCATCGCACTGTCATACTTTTCCACATTGGAGCAAGCTCCCTTGCCCATGACTCCATGAATCGCTGAGGTTTCCTTTTTCGGGAACGCTAGGTTGTGGGGATCGCACCCGTCGGTTTCGTCGAAAATAGCAGACCAGGCCCCTTTCTCATCCCGTTCGGAGCTCTGCCGGGTACGGATCGGGTTTGGAGACCGGCTTGATAGGCTGGGAACGCCGTGAGCTGGGATACCTGGACCTTGATGCTTCGCCCTGTGGCTCGAGGGAAATTGGCGCTCGCAGTGGTGTGTGCTTCAAATGGTCCTCACCAAGGCGGAGCGCGTTGTGCAAAGTTGTCGTGCGACTGAGCATTGTCTCCTTCAACAAATGCATCTGTTCTATGAAATACGGCATCTACATAGGTCGTCGTTCTAGAGTGGATCTATGAAGTCAAACAAAGTGTACCGACAAGCAGGTCAGGCCGTTTGGAAACAGCAAAAATGATTCTCTGCACTGGGCAACTGGCGACCTTTGGCCCCTGAACGCATCGAGGTGTTACCGTGGGCTCAAATAAAGTTGAACCGGGGTCCCCGGGCCCACAGCGTTGATCAGCTCGTTGGGCTGAACTTTTGCGAACCACAGCAACCGTCAGCTTCGGTGCGTTTCGGGTCCGAGCCACACGAAACAGCTTTGAGAAGTTTCTCACGGGCTGCAACGTTGTGATTTCCAGATCCACCAGAAAAAGGCAGACACAAGGCAGAGAAGCGAAAAGGTGGGGAGCAAAAGGTTCCTTGGGCCCATCGCAATCTTACGACTGTCCACCGCCAATCAGGGCATGATTCCTCTGAATTTCTTTGCAAAAAGGGAAAGTGTGACGGAGCACCAAGACCCCCGTCACGTGTTGGCACTAACTAACATGAGCTAAACTCTGAACGTGTCTCGCGACTTCCTTTCCTTGCTGTGGGCATTTTCACAACTCTTTCCACACCGAAAGTTCTGTTCGCAAGGTCCTCACATCTTGGCAGTTGACGATCCAACCAGCTTCTCCACGGAGACAAGCCACCTTGGGGGTCCAGCGAAGACACCAAGAATCAAGCCTTGGCAACCAACTCCCCATTCGCAAGCAAGTGGTCCTCACTCGTGAGCTTGTTCGCCGCCGGCCGTTGCCACTTCACAATGCTCCGTCCCTCCTTTCGCGCCAGCCTAACCAACGTGGTATTCCAGCTGCGAATCTGCTTCGTCGTTCCATCGCCTTGATCGCTCTCCACCGTCAACTTCTCCAGCTTGGGCCAGTCGATGTACTCGGACGCGTCCGTGTAAACGGCAATCTGAGGTCCCGTCTCCCGCGCTTTCAGCCACGCGCCGAGTACCGCGCGGTACTCGGCGACAGGGTGGTCGAGCACAACGTCTGGATGGGGCGTCCATTCGTCCATGTCGAGGATCGTGTTCAAGCTGAGTTCTTCCCAGGTCGTGTCTCGATAGTGGAGATCGCGGGTGATGATTTCGTAGATGGTATAGGCTACCGCCCGGACGTCGTCCCTGTTTTCCCTAGTCATGGGAATACCAACAATGTCAGCGATGGGGTCGGATCATCAAGAAACGAGGTATAGGTGCCTTGCTGATGTTGCTGCTTACATATATTGACCGAACGACTCGCCGCGGACGTTACCGATCTGGGCCGCCCAGTTGAAATCGAAAACCATGAGATTGTCCAAGGCTTCATCGATCAACAGGTTCCGTGTAACAAGGTCCTGGTGGGCTACGCCGTACTTCAGGTTCAAATCGTCGACGACCTGGGTAAGCTGACGCAGCCACTTGAGCTTGAAGGGTCGCGTCACGTTGTCCTGAAGGGTGCCGCCGGGAATGTAAACAACACTCACCAGCCCATGACTTGCCGTTCCGCCTGACCCCTAACTTCACCCGCTCTTTCACCTACTTTCTTCTCCCCACAGCTCCAACGACCTCGACCTGAGTCAGCACCCCGAATTCCAGGACCCCTTCCTCCTTTTCCCCATTAGTCCCGGCCCCCAAGGCGCCCCCAGACAAAACAGCCCAGCCCCGCGCCAACCAAGCCTGCCACCCTCGAGACAACCCAGCCTCATACCTTCGCAATCTTCCCAGATCTTTCGCTCGCGAGCTTCAACCCCTACCCCGACTCGGTCTGCCGGCCCTTCCGGCTTTGGCTCCAACGCCAGCACTAACTCACCTCTCCGGCTGCAGATAAATGTAAGCCTGTTTTCATCTAGCCCCAGTCCTAGTCCGGGTTTCTCGCCCACTTCTAGGCCTCGAGGTCAGACGCCGACACCAACTCAGACTCAGACTCGACAGAATGGGGGCAGACAGAGCCAGCTGGGTTCTTTTCAGAGTAGCCGGGTGGGGAGTAGTCCGGTGAGTGCCGGAGCGGGCAGAGGAGGAAGTAGTGGTGACGATGTGTCGCCTGTTGTGAGGGCTCGGTCTGGGACGCCTGGAGGGGCGGGTCGGGGGAGATAGGGGAGGGGATTGAGGGGGGAGGTTGGTCTGGGATGGAGTATGGAGGGTTCGGCGTTCGGCGTTTGGTGTTTGGCGTTTGGCGTTTGGAGTTGTGGTGTTTTGGCGTTATTTATTTGAATAGATTCGGTGTTCCTGGTTGGATTGCGTCAAGCGTTTAGGTTTTTCCTGGCCTTGGCTTTCAAGAACAAATTCCAGTTTCCCTATAATTGTTACGCTCTTTGTACTCGTGATTTTCTTGACAGCCTGGGGTTGGAGATACAACAGACGCTCAGCTGTCTGTAGCTGAATTATACTCATACACCTACTCTAGGTTCGTATCTAGTGCCACGCTTTAGCTCAGTCCACTGTTTGCTCAAAAACAAAGGCTTCTTCGCCAACTTAATCACAGGTTCTAAAGAGCCGCCGCAGGAAAGGGATTTGAAATAGGAAACCTCCCCCTAAATTGTTTGATTGTGAGGCACCAAACCTTAACGTCCCGATGGGAAAGTTAAGGTAGGGTTGCTCGCTGTGGCCAAACAGATAGCTCAAGTCCAATCCATTAACATTTGATCGAAGCTTAACAAATTTTGATTGATAATTTGATTTACTCTTTTTTTTTTTTTTTTTCCCTTTTTTTTTTTTTTTTTTTTGTTTTTTTTTTCTTTTTTTTTTTTTTTTTTTTTTTTTTTTTCACTTTCTGGATTTATTCGTTTTGGTCTTCTTTCACTTTCTTTAGTTTATTCTTTTTGTCTTTTCACTTTTGTAGCGAAGTAAGTTAATCCATGGACTTGGTCTGTCGCTTTTCTTGGTCATAGCGAGGGTTGAAATATGTTCTTTAACACGTTCCACTTACACACAAAATCGATTGGCCTCAAAGTTGATCATAAGTGGGCCTAGAAATACCAATACCGACGCTCGGTAACTTGATACTGTTCAACTGCCATTGATATGCCGTTCCATCAATCAAGCAGGTCAATATCCGGCAATATCAGCCGCCAAGTTTGAGTCTTGGTATCGGCAATACAATAATCACAGATCTGACTGATATGATTGCTACGACAATCTTCCTAGTTTAACATTTATCCGACCTGCTATCACCTTATGAACCTTGTTCTGACGTTCGGCTGTGCGATCGTACATAAGACGAATTCGGTCGCTACAATTCCCCACACTCTTTGTCTTCCTGTATCCTCACACTTGTTTAGCGTTGGCAACATCAAATCGCAACAATGATGCTGACACTCCCACTGGTCGCTGCGCCCCTGTTGCTTTCCCAAGCAGTATGGGCCCGAAACATCCCCCCTCGACACGTATCAGAGCCATTCGACTGCGGAGAAGTCCGCGTCGACTCCGCAGACACCACTTTCAGTGGCTTCTTCGCTGCAGACTTGGACACAGAAAGGAGATACGTAGTCACCAGCACCACCGACCAAAAGCGGCTCCTCACCCGGTTCGAAAACAACACATTATTTACCTTGGTAAGCCAACTATTTCCACTAACCTACCTCATGCATGTGAGAAACACCGCCCTGACAAGAACCGCCACATTCAAAGAACAGCAGCGGCAAGAACCCAACCTTCGGAGCAACCTTTGGATTTTACTGGGACACGCCTCCGGGTCGACCAAACTTTGCCGTGTCGGCACAGAACTATGCCTACTGCAACAGTGTTGCTGCGTCCACGGTTGGCGATAAACCGGCCAAGATTGCGGCTTCGATCAATGAGGCTGGGACTGACCCTGCGACCGGCGGGAAACGGGATCACGAAAGCGAGTCGGCTATTTTTTATTTGGACCCTGAGAGTGGGGAAATAACTTCGCAGTGGGTTAATGATGATGGGTGTAAGTATTGTTTTTTTTCGAGTGTGTTGTTCTGATTAAACGGAGGGGTTGACACGTTTAGCATTTGTCTCGGCGGTCTTTGTGATCAATACGCAAAGGAGGATCAATATTTCGGGTAATCTGACGAGGTACTTTGAAGAGTGGGAGGGAACGGAGGCAAAAGTCTTTTGCTCGGGTTCGGCATAAAGCGGCGTTTGGCAGTGCTTGGGGGGTAGGGTTGGGGAATTTGTGTTGGACTTTTAGTTCGCGATTCTTCGTTCTTCCGGGGGATTAACCTGAAGGTCAGGTTTGAAGAAAAAAGATCTAATTCTCTTTCATATGAGCGGATGTTGTAGGTAACCACCGGGAAGCGAAATATAAACCCCGATTACTCCGGTGTTAAGCTGCCGGTTTGTTCCTGGCCCGGGCTTAAGTGGGGACCGCGGACCGGAGCATCGGGCCCGGAGACGGGATTGAGTGGGTCCAAGTGGACACCCCCACCTCTCGCGTCATCAGGCGATTCCACGTTCTCACTGCATCCTGCGATAACTTGTGTCAACTCTGAATGACTTGGAATCCAGGTTGACTTTGCTTGCGCGGCGCTTTTGAGTTGATTTGATCAATCAGAAACACTGGGTTTTCTGAGTTTATTTTTATTTATTTTCTCAGACACCTGATACGGGTATCCCGTTTATCCTTCAAGATGAGCTCACCCGTGAGCCTCGATTCACTACCCAACGAGGTTCGTAGGCCCAATCTAAAGACTATTTCACTACCCCTGAGCATTATCCATCCCTAATCATCATTCCAGCTCCTCTCCTCTATCCTCTCCCAATTGCCCACAACTGCCCTCTTACCCCGGATCACAATCAACCATCGCGTTTACTCCACAGCCCTGCATATCCTCAACCAGCGCCTACTCCGCGCCACCTCCCAACCAGACCGTCGTGTCATGCTGGAGTGCTACCACCCATCCGAGAAACTCTACACGCCTTACCTCTACTGCAATTACCTCTGCAGCGACCCATTTCCTGAATTTGGGGCGTCACCACCAGCCGAGCCAGCTGGGGAATCTTCCCAGCATGAGGGCAGTACTAGAAGGGCTAGTGATAGCGACGGTACCAAAGGGTTACGAACCGCATACTCCCACTTCCAACCCGTGGAGCAAGACGAATCCCGCCCGCGCCGCGGCTCCCGGTCCTGGTGGCGACCCAACGGCAGCTCCGGGTCCTATCTTCCCACTCCTACCTCCCCAACATCCACCGCCACTACTAGCAACACCAACGGATCCCACGAGCCATTCCCACCACCACCACCACCACCACCAACCACCCGTCCATCACTAGACATCTACCTCGACGAAGACGAGTCCTTCTCCCAACTAGTCTGCGTAACCAACCTCGTCCGACTGGGTCAACGCCCCGGTCTGTTCCGGAGCCATGTGAATGTGAGCGAGGCGGTGGTGAGGGTCGGGCGGGATTGGTTGGCTCGGAGGGCCAGGGCCAGCGGGGCTGTAGAACCACCAGATGACGACGATATCCTCTGGGTCGACTCCTCCCGCGCCATCGGCCTCCGATTCCGCGTCACGGAAAAAGACCTGCGCAGCGAGCGTCCTGTGTTAGTGGGAAGTGATGAGCAACTGCCGGTTGCATACCGGTTGGGGTTTGATGAGTTGTTGATCCGGAGTACCACGTTATTGGTTATGGCGGAGAGGGAGGAGGTGGAGGAGGTTTCGGCGGAGGGGAAGGCGATTGTTTTGGCGACGTTTTGAGGGGGGTGCTGATCGTGTTGGGCTCTTTGCTATATTGGGGGACGGCACGGGTCGGGAAGGGGGGGACACGGTGGGCGAAACGGTTTGTGGGTGATCTGTGGTGGAATGGGTCGCGGCTCATGTCAAATGGAAGTTGATGAACCGGTTGGCGGGATGGGAGTCTTATTTTAGTCCCTCGATCGCCGTGTCGTGTCATTCGTGACATTAGCCGCAGAGAGTGTTCTTATTTTAGTTTATAAGTTTTACGTTTGGCAAACGGCTCGTCCATGAGACGGCGGGAATCAGATCACGAGGATCAATGTTGATATTTGAAACGAGTCGAAATTTCATACCGTCCTACGCCTTGAAGTTCATATTACTCTCGCACTGCTCAAGCTTTGGGACAAGGGATTCCCTAGATCGATAGCAGACTCAAAGTCTAAGTTGGTCACAGGGATACGCTAGGCCTTGCTGTAGTCGAGATATAAACCGCAAAGTTGCAGTTACCCCCACTCCATGTTCTGTTATCAGCCTCGGTAACCCGGCGATTGCACCTTTTCTCTTTAACTAACCTGGTTTTGCTTCATGGTGGATGAACCCAGAGCGCATAGCCAGGACACTTCAACAACTTGGTAGAACACATGAACCGTCGGAACGTTGAAACGTTTCTGACGCCAATGCGGTTCAATAATGCCAAGTCTATTCCCATCTCCTGATTTGACTCTTGTTTCAACGGCTCTGTCCAAAGCCCGGAGCAAGCGGTGGGGCAACTGAAACAGGATCGCTGTTCGTGTGCCCAGATCACCCTCCCCAAACCCCCAAACCAAAGAGGACCACCAAAGACGGTCATGCAGACAGACACCGGCGATAGCATCCGGTTGCCGCCACACTGGTTCTCGCCAGGAACCGGGATCGGTCACACACGACAAGCCTGTGACGCCACGAACAGACTCCTTTGAGCGACCTGGAACGGGACGCTCAACGCATTGGGAAGGGATGGTCTGTGTGCTGTCTCTCTTTTTCTCCTTTTTGCCGTTGCTTAACCTTCGTCTCAACTCTTGAGTTGGGACGGACACAAGCGAAGGAAAAGCAACCCCTCCCTTACGCGATGCAAGTCTCAATTCAGCTACGGCAAAGGGACGGGAGGTATCATCCGGCCGGCAGTTGAAGTGTAGTTCCCGATGGGACGCACGCACGACCTCAATTCATAACTTTTCAGCGTGGCGAGCAACGGAAAAGAAGTGGTCAAACTTCGAGCAACGGAAACCCGGAAAAACAAGTGGTCAGGCAAACTCTTCACCGAAAATTTTGTTTTTGAGCGGCCAAAGAGGCGGTTAAGCAATTGCTATTGCAGAAGACGGGAGGAAGAAGGTCGGCCGAGCTGCGGACATCAGGAGAGAGAAAACTGCCCCTCGCTGGACTCCACTATGCCAGGCCCGCTGCGGAAGGCGCCGGTTGCTTTTCTCCCCCACTTTCCCCCACCAACATCGTTAAGACCCCACCGGGCCGTTGCTTTTGGGGGGTCTCAGCCCTACCTTCAACGCCAATTGATCAATTGATGAGGAAGGAACGTATGCCGGTACATAAGAAAGCCGCACACTCCCTTTTCTCCCTCACCATTGGATTCCGGAACTGCGGGAAGCCCAGGTGAATGATTTCCGCAAAGCATAGCCTCCAAGACTGAAGACAAAAGACCAAAATGTAGCAACCCCACGGTGAACGCAACCCTCTTGCATCACCCGCGTCACCTCCCGTTTCAGCCTCTTCCCTCCTTCGCTTGTGTGGTCCCTGCGTTCCCGTCGCTTGGACTCGGCGCGCGGGCCGGGTAGTGGCAGCCGTTCACAGTCCCCATTGCCTGGAGAGAGCGGGACCCGACTGAACCATTTTCCTCCAACCGGGACAACGCCCTCTCTTTGACGACCGGGTTGCCAGGGGGAGTATGCAACCCGTTGTCCGGGCGGGCTCAAAAAAGCCCCGGAGACAGGGACTACTCAATGGGTCGAGAACGGACCCCGGGATTTGGGTCCCTGCCCTGTGATGTGTGACAGGGCTCTGGGTCGGACGTGATGGCTTCCGGGAACGGACGGATCCTCCTCCCCTTGCTTCAGTTCGTGTCGTGGAGGGGCAAAGCGAGGAAGAAGGAAACGCCCTGGTTGACGGCACTGCAGGTATCATTCGCCTAGCCCCCTGGAAAAAGAGCGTCATCACCCCCCATCTGTCGTACATATGATCCGCCGTGGCTTTTTTCGTCCTGGCTTGGACGAGAAACCCATCGAGGCCAGGCAAGGGCTATTTGTTATTTCTGCAGGTTCGCAGTGAGATTCCGCAAGGCGGCATGTGAGCCCAGATCCGTCCCCTCCGTCAGCCCGTGCTCCGGACCGGTCTTTTCTCTTCTTCACGACTTTGTCCAGCTTTATTTTTTGTGTCCGGTCTGCTGGTCAGCAACGACAACAAATGCCCTTCGTTTCTTAACTTGAGCATCTCCTCGGCGAGTTGAGATGTCTTCGATCGCTATTCCGGACGGTCCAGGGGAAGATATGGATTTTGCCAAAGAGATGAGAGATGAAATGTCTCGGTTGGGTGGAAAGGAAGACACTACGACACCCGAAATCCGACGAGGCCCAAACATGACAGTCCCGCCCTCGCCACCAGCGAAGGACCTACCCCCACCACCCGCGCTGTTAAGATCACGATCCCCAAGCCCCATCGGCACTCCCTCAGAGCCACCCAGCAAACCACTTCCACCACCGCCGATGAAGAAGTCAGAGAGCGTAAGAATTCCACAACCGACAAAGGCACCGCCGCCATCACGAACCCAGGAGCCACTGGCCATGAACCCGCCGACACGACCCCCGACAGCAGCGACCCAGAGGTCGGGGCCAGCGGCCTCCCTGGCGCCGCTCTCGACACAGCGCTTCTCTTGGGCAACAGATGCCTCGCAGCGGCCGATCAAGTATGGTCAGGGGAAATATGGGCGCGTGGAGCTGGTACCCCAACCGAGTGATGATTCAGATGACCCGCTGGTATGTTTAGTCTGAACTTGGTCTCGGAACATGGCACTGACTGTCCGCAGAATTGGCCGATGTGGAGAAAGGAACTCAACTTTTACTCTCTGCTCCTGATGGTGGCCATGACGGGCGTGACCAAGACCATGTTTATGGCTGTGAATGCCCAGCTCGCTCAGGATTATCAAGTTTCCTACACTTCCGTTACCGCCTTGACCGGGGTACCTCTGATTCTCTCGGCCATGGCCGGCTTGCTTTGTCTCGTTGCCTCGAGGGTGTGCGGCAAGCGGCCGTTGTATTTGACTTCCCTTCTGTTGGTGTTTATCGGGACGGTATGGAGTACCAATGTTGCGGGCAGCTATGCGCAGTGTATGGCTGCGAGGGTATTTCAGGGGCTGGGATGGGGCGCGTTTGACACGCTTGTTCTGGGGTCTATCCAGGACACGTACTTTGTGAGTTTTTCGTCGGTTTTCCTTCCACGCTCGCGCGGCTAATGAAGCAGGAACACGAACGCCGGGCCCGTATGGCTGTTTATTCCATTGTCGCCATCGCAACAACCTGGGGTCCTCCATTGATCGGCGGTGTTGCTTCCCAGGGACCCGCCGGGTTCTCCTTGCAGCCCACGATCCTGAGCGCCTTCTTCGTAGTGGCTATCCCAGCCATCGCCCTCGGCGCACCGGAGACAGCGTTCGACCGAACCCACCTACTGGCCCAAACCCCGGCCACGGCCACGACAGACCTAAAAGCAGCCATCTTCTTCCCGCCACGCCAGCTCTTCTCCCTCGACACCCTGGCCGAGTACACCGTCAAGCTCAAGCCGTACGCCTACCACGGGTCTGCCGACTTCAAGACCCTCCTCCAGGCGCCGCGGGCCTTTGCCACGCCCACAACGATGCTCCTCGCCGTGGTCTCCTTTTTACCCTGCGCTGCCCTCTGGGGGTTGACATCCTCGCTGTCGCTGCTTTTCTCCCCTGTCCCCTTTTCGCTATCGCCAGGGACGCTCGGAGCGCTGTTTCTCGCTCCGTTTCTTCTTGCTACCGCAGCCACTGGAATCACGTCCTTCCTCCCCGTCTGGCAGAACCGTTTCACGCCTAGAACCCACATGGTCGGGCTCGCAACAGGCACTATCCTCGCTTTCATCGGCATCCTTACCTTTTCCCTCCACCTCAGCAGCACCCTCGCCCAAACCTCCTCCTCTTCTTCATCCGCGTCCCCATTCCAGCAGGTCCAAGAACCATCCACCACCCCTACCCCAATCCCCACGACAAGCACACCCCCCCTGAACCTGAACCTGCCCGCTCTCTCCCTCATCATAGGCCTCCTAGCAGCAGGTACCGCCCTCCTCGACGCCACGGCTGCCCCGCTCATCAGGCAGAGCACGGCTTTCACCGGCTCCAGTCTGGCTGTTTCCATGCGGAATACGGCTGATATGGCTGGGGGAGTTGCGTGTTGGCGGGCGGTGGGGGCGGGGGTGTTCGTTTTGGGTTTGTCGGGGTTGTTGGAGGGGGGTTCTTCCTCTGCTTCTGCGTCTGCGTCTGCGTCTGCTGCGGGTGCTGGGGCTGGGGCTGGGGGTGGTGTTGGTGCTGCGACTGGTGAAGCGTTGAGGGGGATAGGGATTGGGATGGGGGTTGCGTTAGTGGTGGTTTCGGGTCTGGCTGGCGGGGTGTGGTGGGTTTGGGGGGAAGGGATGAAGAGGTGGGATGGGAGGGTGATGGGGTTGGTGGATTTGGAGATGTTGAGGATGCAGGCGAGTTTTTTTGATATGGATTAGGGTTTTGGTTCTGTGCAGCAGGCTATGCTATCTTTGAGGGTTGTGTGTTTAGCCTTGTTTTCTTTTTTGGGAGAGATGAGGTTCTGTATGATGATGATGCCCGGCATGGCAATGGCAATGAACTGAAGGAATCGTTCGGGATAATGTCTGGTATGAGCACCGACTCACGATGATTGTATGTATGATGGACTCGATTTGGATGATGGCGTTTGGAGGGTACTTCTATTCATGTTAGCTAGGAAGGGAATATGGGGTTGAATATCACAGCGGAGACACTCTCAATCCATTCAACGATGAAAACCATGACCGCTTCCCATCTTATATCACATTCCTCTCCGCTGGCCTCTTCCCCATCTTCTCACAACCGTCCACATCACCCATAATACCCGTTCCGTTCGCCAACCAAGCCATCAAAATCACAACTCTCCCAATTCAGCCTATCTCCCTTCCGACCTCTCCCGGACCCCCCCGAGACACAGTATCGTACGGGGGTAAATGGAAGAATCTCAGGACCTTCTAGAAGGTCGACTGACGGTCGATCAATCCGGGTCATGTCCGGTTCCAGCTTCCCAATCCTAGTTGTCAAGGCCGGGCCCTTCGGAATAGACTGCACCTCTATTCTGCCTCATCCAACCATCACGCATCATTCATTATCTAACCACCCACTAACCGCGTACGGTGGGGTGCATGGAGGGGGGGTGTCACACACTTAACATCTTACCCCCCTCATGTCCTTACCACACACTCCCCCCGGAAGTGCCCGTCACACAGGAACTTAGTCGAGGGACGACAGCAACGAGATGGACAGGCGGGGGTACACTTCACTACACTGCACTTCACTACACTGCACTACACTACATTACACTACACTACATTACACTACGCTACATTACACTACACTACATTACACTACACTACATTACACTACACTACATTACACTTCACTACACTACTGGGCAGGACAGATGGACCGAAAGAACAGCGACACGGTATACAATCAACCCAGCAAGGACCCCAAGACATAAAGCGGGATGGATGGGCCAAGACCCTCCATTAACTATACCCTGCAAACGCCCTGGCGATCAAACGCGGCCGGAGACAGAGCGAAAAGCTATCCGCATATCCGGATATCGGATGATGGATGATGGATGGATAATCAGCAGCCTTGGAGGTGATGCATGCGAGAAGGGCATTAGATAGATAATTCCTTCTGAACTGTGATGGGGTGATGTGATGGCATGATGTGTGAGTGGATAGGTAGGTCTGTCGGGTAGGTAGGGGAATGGGCAAGCGACGATGTAGGGTGGTTGGCTACGTTACTGGACGAGAGAAACGACAGACTGTGTTTTAGAATAGGAAATTAGCTCGGGGTGGTGATTTAGCTTTTGGGGGTTGGGTGAGTTGTGGGAGTTACCGTCGTGGGTGTATGGCAGCTGATACATTCATTAGCGAGAGGAGCGTGACATTTCCCTTTAACAAACAACAATAACAAACCTCCCCCTTACACCACAAAACAAGCAATCCCCCATACCACGCAGGAATCAACCTTAAACACACAAACAATCATAAATACTACTCCGCCCACTAAATAAATAACCATACATTTTTCCATCCCTTATTAACCACCGACCCATGTCCCAGCACCTGCATGTAAACCCCATATGACCCATATGACGCCAAAATCCCGTCCGCCCAGTCCAGTCCCGCATTGAGAAGAGAGGAAAGCAAGCCAGTAACGCAACCAGCCAGTTACATAGCCAGCCAGAAACATACATAGTCAGCAACATACATAGTCAGCAAGATAGTAAGTAATCAGCCCGAGATAACCCCCTTAGACCAGTCCCCTATGACCGCCCATTGCAAAGTTAGATTACCTAGTACCTTGCCCGTCCATCCCAACCGTAGATAGCCATAACCATATTTAACCAGCCAGCGAGGCATGACACCGCGCGTAAATCCCCACTAGGGCAACACAAACTCCAAGCATAATACACACTGGAACGAAACACACACCCACTTAGTCACTCACCCACTCACCCACCCACTCACTCACTCAGTCACATACCCACACACCAACCAATTTCGCGGAGAAAAAAAAAAAAAAGCCTAACTCCGCTCACTAACAGTCCACCGCCTCTTCGAAGCCGTGACATCGCGAAACCTATCTGCATCATCAGGCGGCCTTGGCGCGCCCCACAGTCCACCCGATCCAGCCCCAAGCTGGTCCGGCTCTGGCTTGGGCGAGCGCTGTGTTGTTAGGCCAGGAGCTCCATTCGCTAATGAGGATGAGGCGCCGAGGGTGGGCTCGGCGGTTTCGTTGGTAGTGGTGGAGGTAGTGGCAGTGGGTTTGGTTGCTAGTGGGCTGGGGGTGCGTTTGATATCTACTTTGGGAGTAGAAGTTGTGAGTTGCGAGGTGGACGAGGCGGCGTTCGCGGCTGCGACAGTGGCCGGCGGGTCGAAACGGCTAAAGTTGAGACCCCCAAACGAATCCTCGTCACTTTCCTCGCCCGTCGGCGTCCACAGCCCACTTCGGGCTTGAGCTAGAAGGGATGGCCGCGTGGCCGCAAAGGAGGTCACGCCGCTGCCGACTGTGATGCCACCACTACTTCCGCCACCAGTCGCGGTGCTGTTGATAAACGACAGCCGTGGTACGGGCGAGTCGTCTTTCGGGCTCTTGCGGTACCCGCCTAGACCCGCACTGGAGGGGCTCCTGTTGCCGGGCCCGTCGTTCCAGTAGAAGCTGCTGCCTGAGGTTGAGAAGGACAGGTGACGCGATCGGGGGCCGTTGAAGGGGTTGGAAACGGGGGGCGGACGGGGGCTGGATGGGGTTGTGGCGGGAGAGCGCAGGTGGTCGCTGTTGGCGAAGAGCTTGAGGTCGTAGAGGTGATGGGTCGGTGGTAGGTCCCCGATTTTCTGCGGGATGGTGTTTTCGCTTTCGGAGTCTGGTTTCCGGACAGCCATTGTCAGGGACGCCATGCCGACGTCCATTAGAACGGGTTGATGCGTAATAGCCCCGATCAGAGCGTTGCAGCCGGCGCCGTGGGAGACAAGAATCACAATGGACTCTGTCTCGACGTCCTCGTCGCCGTCCTCAGGCCCACCCACCGGCGCATTCCTCACATTCTTGGTCACCGGCCGGGTTGGGTTCTCAGCGGTCGAGTACCAGTCAACCAAACTCTGAACACCCGTACGGAACCGCTTGTGCATCGCCGCCCACTCCTCGGGGAACGACCCGCCGTCGCCCCAGTCCAGGACACTTCTCGTGGAGTGCCACTGGTAGTCGATGATGCTGCAAGCGTCCCTGGCATGAGCGACGTATCCCGCCGGGATGGTGTTGTTATTACCGATCGCGTAGTGCGGGACAGGCGAGATATAGCCAGGCCCGGGGGTCCGCGGTTCCTTGTCGCTGCGGATGGAAGTCGACGGGGACGGGTTGGTAGGGGCTCCGAACCCGTTCGACTGGCTGCCACCGAACGGAGAGGTTGGGGAGTCCCGGACGATAGGGCTCCAGAGGTGCCCTTGCGAGCTGCTGGACTGGTGATTCGGTGTAGAGTTCGAGTGGTGGTGTGACACGTAGTTTGCATGGTGGCTGTAGTCCTCGCGGCGTAAGAGGTCGGCCTTGGCGCTGGCCAGCATCATGACGGACTCGGGGGGCGGCGTAATGAACTCGAAGTACTTTGGTGTTAGCCACTCGCCGAGGAAGGCATCAAGGCGCAGGACCGATTTCCGAATTATGGTAGAATTCGCCGAAGCTGCTGTGTCTCGGAGGTCGGTGACGACAGACGGTTTAGAAGGACCAGTCGCCTCATCTTTCGACTCGGACGGCGCAGTTGGGGAACTCGCGGGCCCAAATGGTGTTGAGTCCTGGGCCAGCCCGGCGCTGATGGCGATTGAGGTCTGGATGCATCGTAGGAACGGCGAGCTGTGGAGGACAACTTCGTACTTCTTTCGCTTTGGTTTCGGGTTCGAATTCTGACCAGCAGCCCGCTCGTCCTCCTCGACTCGCTCGCGGATGATGGAGGCGATTCTGACGCCTAAGCTCTTGGCTTGTTGCCAGCCGCTGTATGTGAGAGGCGGATCGTACGGGGTCGGGGATGAGAGATGCCATTGTTTGTCGGCCGCATCGAGCCGGTAGCCGTGTCTAGCATGGTGCGTCAGTATGCATGCATGACGTTGTAAATCGAACCCTGCGTAAAGGGTCCTGTCGTTTTGCACAGACAACAGAAACTCTGGGGAAAGCTGCTTGGTGGCGTACCTTACGACGAATAGGTACGCCGGAGGGCGCCCCATGGTGGTTCTTCTCTAAGGACTGGATAGATGGGAAATGGTACGATGAGGGAGGGAGAATCTGGTTTCTGGCAGTCGTACGCAGGTGACGTTGGACAGCCCGTCGGAAGTCCTGTCGAGGTTGTTGCACAGAGAAATGCCAGACAGTGAGTGGGGTCCGCTGTAAGTTAGCTGGGACCAGGAGCAGGGTCCAATGCACCGAGTCAAGAATGTAACTAACTGTCTGCAGAATCTGCAAGAGGTGCGGGATGGATATTCAGGGATACGCAGATCAAAAGGGAACTCAAGCAGGTATAAATGAAGAATCAAAACGAAGACGTAATGTGTTTGGGGCTTTTCTACGTTGCCTCTTCTTGGTAATCTAGTCAGGCCGACCTAGTCACGCGGAAACTTGGTGTAAGGGCGCAGGCTGTTGGATGCTTGAGAGCTGCTGCACCTGCGGTTTGAGACGGTTGCGCGGCGCGGGGGACGCAGCGGGGGAAAGGCAGCTGGTGCGGGGGGCTCAGCAGGGGACGCGAAGCGCCAGTGCCGGGGCTGAGTGCGGGCCGTTTTCTCAATTGAGCGGGGACCAAGTATGCACTTTAATTCCACGTCTTTGGGTGTGTCTTTGGGTGTAGTTGGCTTTCCTGTCTTCTCGTCACCTCCAACGCTTGGATATCAAGACATCTTCCGTCACTACCCGGCTCTCTGACGACGGCCATGGCCCGCTACCAGACAAAGTTGGTCACAAGGGCAGGGTCTTAGGTGAAATTGCCCGGTCCGAGCCGACCAAACTTGGCGAATTGTCCTTGCCGGGCTCGGATTTTCCTGCGTTCCCCTCAGGTATGAGTCTTTTTTCTCCAAAATTCTCTCCCTTCTCCCTTCCCCGGCCGAAAAGATCTTGATGCATCACATGCTCGACTCTCAAACTTTATTCGCGTGGGGAATTGGGGTTCGCGCCAGTGGCCCCACCGCACCTTACCAAGCGAGCGAAGCTCGGGCCAGACGCTCCGGGGGCGATCCAGGGGCGCTTATGTAACAACTTTATCTCATCCCAGCGCCCTGCGCCGATGACAAAGCGTCGTCGAATGTCAAATCAACCAACACCAACCCCGAACATCGTGAGAGGGATGGGCCTTTGGAACAGGCCGCATCAGTAATATCTCCATCCTAGGCGACTGTTTTTTTCCTCGTATCCCTAAACAACCACCAAAATGAAGCTGTCCGGGCTCTTCGGCCTCCCGGCACTCCTCGCCGCAGCGCTCCTAGCGCCCGCGAGCCTCGTCGGCGCCGAGCACACCAGCAACTGGGCGGTGCTGGTGTGCACGTCGCGCTTCTGGTTCAACTACCGCCACTTGGCGAACGTCCTATCCATCTACCGCACCGTAAAGCGGCTCGGCATCCCCGATTCCCAGATCATCCTCATGCTCCCCGACGACATGGCCTGCAACCCGCGCAATGCGTTCCCGGGCACGGTTTACTCCAACGCCGACCGCGCGGTCGACTTGTATGGTGACAATATTGAGGTGGACTACCGCGGGTATGAGGTGACGGTGGAGAACTTCATTCGGCTGCTGACCGACCGGGTTGGGGATGAGATGCCGCGTAGCAAGCGGTTGTTGACGGATGACCGGAGCAATATCTTGGTGTACATGACGGGGCATGGGGGGAATGAGTTTCTCAAGTTTCAGGATGCGGAGGAGATTGGCGCGTTCGACTTGGCGGACGCGTTTGAGCAGATGTGGGAGAAGAAACGGTACGCTCTGTCTGGATCCAATCACTCTGCTAGAGACAAAATAAACTAACCCTCGATCCCCCCAGATACAACGAAATCCTCTTCATGATCGACACCTGCCAAGCCAACACCATGTACAGCAAGCTCTACTCCCCCAACATCATCGCGACCGGCTCCTCCGAACTCGACCAGTCCTCCTACTCCCACCACGCCGACAGCGACATCGGCGTAGCCGTCATCGACCGGTACACCTACTACAACCTCGAGTTTCTCGAGACCGAAGTGCGCGACACCAGCAGCAAGAAAACAGTCGGCGACCTCTTCGACGGGTATACCTACGAGAAGATCCACTCTAACGCGGGTGTCCGCTACGACCTGTTCCCCGGCGGCGCCGAGGCTGCGCGCAAACGGCTGGTCACGGATTTCTTTGGTAATGTGCAGAATGTGGAGGTGGACGGGGCTAAGAACACTACTGTGTTGGACGAGGAATTGTTGGCGCTTAGCCGGACGATTGCGGCGTTGAATCGGAAGGCGGACGAGGAGGAGTCGGGGTCGAAGGAGAACATTACGGCGGCAGCGACGGGAGAGACGAAAGGGGCTAAGCAGCATCGGGTGCAGTTTACCAAACCGTTGTCGGATGATAATTGGTGGACTAAGAAGATCTTGGGCGCTGCTGCTGTGGCGGGGTGTACATTGCTTTGGGGGTTGGGTTCTTATTTGGAGGGGAGGTAGATGCATATTAGCGTTGTTTCTGAATAATACACGTTTGTACATCATACGTCTTACTCCGCGTGCCGTTGACGCCCCATAGTTGAAGTAATATTGACAGTAGTTGTAGGGTTAGGGTTAGGTTCGTTTATGGCAGCTCAACTTTGAAGTGAGTGGAACCTCACTTCTATTGTTCTCTTCAACAATTACAACAATTGCAACAATTGAGACGCATTAGTGTGTAAAAGCGACAACCACCGCAATGATAAATTAACACCATTTTTCTCTCAGGACAAAAATGTTCAACTATTCACATCATTTTCACAACCCAATTCCTTAACCACTCCCAGTCAGCAGATATCACCATGAGTTCTCCTCCTAAAAAGGCTCCTAAGCAGAAGGTAAGTTTTTTTTAGTTAATAGCCACACTATAATTTTACCTACCAAGCCGCCCCTTTTTCTGAGATTTTTTGTACAAAACCAATGAGATACTCTCCCAGTGCTCCTCATAACGGACCTCCCCCTCCACCACAACTGCACATCCCCCCTCACTCACCATACAGACAATGACACGAAAGCTAACCCCCCCCCAGCTCCTCCCCCTCCGCGAAATCACCCTCAACGCCCGCCCCCTCGCCAAACGCGCCATCCAATTCTCCTGCGACGGCGACCTCGCCATCAGCGCAGACGACTCCGTGCATGTCTTTGTGCCCGAATTTCCTGACTTTTCCAGGCAGCGGGATAAGTTGCGGGCGTTAGCTGAGCATGGCCAAAATGGCCAGTTAGGTGATGCTATGAGGAATGGTGAGGATGATGGTCCGCCTGGGGAGGAAGGGGAGGGGGAAGGGGGAGGTGGAGGTGGACAGAGGGGGTATAACCATACGGTTCTGCGGGCGCAGTACTCGGAGGGTGGGAGGCATATGCCGGTGTCGTTTCCGCCGTTGGATCCGAGGGTGAATAGGGAGTTATTTTTGGCGATGGGGTTGGAGTTTCCGTATGATGGGGTTGTGGTTGTGGAGGAGGAGGGGGAAGATGATGAAAATAAGGAAGATGGTGAAGGTGCTGAAAAGAATGATGATGGCGAGGGTGACGAGGGGGAAGAGGAGGAGGAGGATGATGATGAGGACGATGACGATTCCGGCTCAGATGGCTCATTTGGGTCCTATGACTCCGACGAAGACGAAGACGAAGAAGATGACCCCGGTTCAGAAGACGATAACTCATCCCACTCCTCCTCCTCCGGCCCCCCCAACACCACCCACGCCTCCAACTCCAACCGCCCCTACGGCGCCGGCTACGGCCCCATCACGGGCGTCGGCAGCAGCATGAACCAAGTCATCACCCTACGCTGGTCCCCCTCCGGCCTCGGCGTCCACCGCCGGCCCATCCTCGCCGTACTCACGGGCGCGGGGACCCTAACTGTCCTCGGCGACGGCGGGGAATCGGCCAACATCCTGTCGCGTGCAAACGAAGGGATGTTACAGAGGCGGGAGTTGAATTCGTGGATGGTGCTGTGGGGGGTTGGGGAACGGTTGGTTTTGCCGGGCCAGCAGACGGAGGTGAGTGAGTATTTGAGGGGATTTGCGTGGGCGATGGGAACGGAGCAGCAGCAGACTGCTGGGCAGGCGTTGCTGGCGACGGTGAATGATGTCGGGGAGGTGGCGGTGATTAGTGTGCAGTGTGTGTTGGTGCCGGAGGATGAGGAGGGCGAGGGGGAGGAGGATTTGGGTGGGTTTCGGACGCAGCCCGGGGAGAGTGCGGTTTGGTTGGTGAAGGAGGTTGCGAGGTTTAAGGCGGAGGGGCCTCATAAACCTATTGATGTGAGTTTTTTTTACTTTTTTCTTCCCCCTTTTCTTCTTTCCCCCCTTTCCCTTTTCCTTTCCCCTTTCCCCTTTCTCCTTTCTCCTTTCCCCTTTCTCCTTTCCCCACTCACGACTTACTTACACTTACAACAGAAACTCGACCCCGACTACGTCCCATTCGGCACCTCATACGGTATCAGCTGGAGTCCCTGGCTGGATGAAGGCGATTCCCGTAGCAGCCTCATCTCCTTTGTCGACCGCGGGTATGTTGGCTTCCGGAAGGTTACGATCAAGGGCCTCTGGGTGCGGGGCGAGTTGCCGGACCTCGAAGTCGGGAGAGAGGATTTATACGGCATGTGTGTGCCTCTCGCGACTGATGCGTTTGTCGAGTTTGAGGATGCTGTAAGTTTACCTCGTGTCTGTCCACTGTCAAGTATTATTGGGTCTGATGTTTTTACTTCTAGATTTGGACCCATGGTTCGGTCTCCTCATGTCGTGGGCTGCTCTCAACTGGGTTTGAGCTGAAAAACTTTGAGGTTGCCATGGCCGGGGGTCCGGTCTACAAAGTCCAGCAGCATAGCGCGTGGGATTGTCAGACGGTGTATCCGCGAGATAGCGGGGTGGCCTCGCAGAATCCCATCGTCGGTATGTCTCAGCCCCCTATTCTCATCCATATGTTTGTTTTAAAGTCACTAACAAGTCAGATCTCGTCATCCACCCTCCCAACCTCGCTAACCCATCTCCTACACCCCTCTACACGCTCATCCGCATGTCCGCCACAGCCACAACCCCCGACTGGTACCAAACCAACGTCCCCCCAACCAGCCCCGAAGACCCCCGCCCCCAATGGGTGCGCACCATCGCCCAGAAACTCGACGTCCAAGTCCCCGTCGACATGCACCTAACGCGCAACTACGACGAAAGCGGCTCCGACGGTTCCGGCTCCGACGCCGACGATGTAGACGACGACGACGGCGATGACGATGGCGACATGATGGGTCTAGACGGTAACCTCGACTCCGACGACGACGAAAATGAAGAAGAAAGATTCGACGGGTTCGCCGAGCCCACAGTCCTGGACGTCCCCGAGATCCACCCACACCGCTACCGTCTGCATGGCCTGACTCTTTCCCCGGGGGGTGGTGTGGCCGCGGCGTTGGTGAGTAACCATAGCACGCAGCGGCCGGAGAGAGGGGGGTGGCATACCGTGCGGTCGAACGTGTTGTTTGGACATAAACCGCGGCGTCTTCAACAAGTGCACGCTCATAACGAGGAGGAGCCTGATGACTCCAGCTTCCCCATTGACCCGCAGTTCATGGCCATGACAAACAGTCATACGACAGCAGAAAATAACCCCCCATCCTACTACGACCGCCTAACAACCGAAGCCAAACTCTTCGAGTCCCTCTACGGCGGCGGTCCCGACGTTCCCGGAATCCACTATCCAGCTACCATGAGCCACCCAAATACCGGACGGGAGAATTCTGAAAATTACAACGATCTTCCCACCCTCTTCGCCCACGCCCTCTCAACCCAAAACTGCGACCTCTGCCACGCACCCATGGACCAGCGTCGCCAAGGCGGTTCCCTAAGCGGATGCCGCAACGGACACTTTTTCGGGACGTGTGCGACATCCGGGTTGGCGGTGCAGACACCGGGGGCTACGCGGAGTTGTGGGGCGTGTGGGCTGAGGACTATGAGGGCGGAGGTTTTGGTTGGGAAGATTTTGGGTCTTGAAGGGGAGAAACAGGGGGAGGAGGGAGAAGGGAGAAGGGAAGAGGTGAGGAGGTTGATTGGGGAGGGGGTTTGTGGTGCGTGTGGGGGGAAGTTTTTGAGTTAGGGGGGATGATTGAGCAGGACTTGCAATACAGAAGACTTGGAATGTTACGGAGATCTTCAAAGTTGTAATCTATGTACAGTACATGTTGTAATTGTATCATGCCATCTTGCGGTCTATCTCTATGCAGAGAGCGCGATGTTATATGCTGCAATAGACTAAACGAGACGCAGCCAAGAATCAAGAAACAAGAAAAGAATCCCAAACTCCTTCTCGCTCTCTAACCTTAAACGCATGCGCGAAACAAGTCTTTGACGAACGAGATATCCCAGCCATACCTACCATACCATACCATACCAAACAAGGCCCCCATATATCCATCCCATAGACTACACCACAGAGACAGAGAGCCTAAAACACCTTATTCATAGCCTGATGCGCCAACTCAACCCCCAAAAACGTCGCCGCATTCGCCGGCACGGCCCTCGCCAACGCCGGCCCAAACCCCGGGAAAAACGCCTTAAACCCCCCCTGCGCATACAACCCCCTCACCACGCCGCCAATCGTCACATTCCCCTCCGCCGTCTGCAACCGACTCTTGACGGTATCAATCGGGAAAACCGGAATCCACATCGCCACCCCCGCCGCCGCACCCGCACACGTCACCGCCGGCAAACTCAACTTCCCACTGACCTCCCCGGTCACGGGATCCCGCGGCGTCAACAACTTCTTGATATACTCATACGCCGCGAAATACGCCGCCGACCCAGGGCCGTCGCGGGCCAGCGTGGCCGCTGACCCGCGGAAGACGGAGCGGATGCCGCCTTCCCGGTAGAGTTGGCGGACGACGTCGGTGCCGCCGGAGTATTTGGGTTTTTCGCCCGGGGCGAGCTTCTTTTGGCCTTGGACTTGCAGGATCACTTTGACGCGCTCGAAGGGGGCGGTTATGGCGGTCATGGGGATGGCGGAGAAGAAACCGGCGGCGGAGATTTGCGCGATGGAGAGGGAGCCGTCGGGGGAGGTGATGGTGCTGGTGCTGCGGACGATGGATTTGCCGAGGTCGTAGCCCCAGAAGGAGACGGCGACTAACCTTGTTAGCATTTCTCGAGGGAGCAAAAGTGAGAAAAAAGGAAAAGAGAGGAAAAGAACATACACATAGGCGTAACCCCCACCAACGGCGCCGACACACCCGCATACAACCCCCGTCTCAACCCATCCTTGGCCACGCTCTTGCGCACCACATCCATCGCACTCGAATACACCCCCTTCTCGGCCGTCTGCAGACGGACCTTTACCAAATCAAACGGGTGGCCGACTACCACGGCACACACGCCGCCGAAGCCGCCGGCTACAAAGGACCGCAGCTGGGCGAGGCCGGCCGAGGTGGCGGCTTTGGCTTCCGCTTTGATCTCGGCTTTGAGCTCGTCTTTTGTCTCGGGGAGGTGGGGGACTTTGGAGGCCACTGCGTCGGGGAGGGTGGAGGCAAGTTTTTTGTTGGCGGCTGCGCCGGCCGTGTCTTGAGAGGTCATTGTGGGTGTGTGTGTATGTAGATGGTGATGTTGAGGTTGGTTTGTGGTCTCCCACGGCGGACGGTTCCAAACCTCGCGGGGTTATCGTGTGGGGGCTTGTTTAACTTTGGCGTTTTCTGCGATCGCTCTCAAGTCTAGTCGCTCGGATCAGCCAACTAAAAACAGCACAATCAAACTTCAACACTGAACTGATCAACTCTCAAAGTCTTTGAAAAGGAAAAAAAAAGTGCAACTCTTCAGTTTTAGACTCAGCGGGAGACGGCAAGGTGGGGCTTTGAGACCCTCTCGGCCCGTCGCAAAGGGGACGTCACTCGCCCAGGGGTGTGCGAACCTCGGCAAAAGGGAATTCCCCTCAGCCCCGCCATCGCCTGCAACACGGCAGGCGGGTACTCCGTACGGCAGGCAGGCGGGATGCAGTTCAGCGTCCGAAACGCCACAAGCGCCGGGGCAGTCAGTGCAACGCCACTGTCAGGGCTCTCAGGGACCGTCAGGGCGACTTTGACAGAGTGGTGCTGCGCGAGCCGTTTTCTTCTCCCGTCTGGATCTGCCGTGAAGAGATTTCGGTTGCCCATTAAACAGCGAATACCTCTCCGGCTTAATTAGAGTAGGTACAGTATGAGAGAAAATGGATATACCAACTACGAAGTACCCCGCCTCTAAAACACAGCTATAACTCCAGGCCCCTTAACCCCGGAACCCCACGACACAAACTCGATTCCATGTCGCCGAAAACACCAAAAACATGGGGTAACCCCCCCCCCCCCCCCCCCCCCCCCCCCCCCCCCCCCCCCCCCCCCACGCAGCCATCGTCCCTCGGCATCACAAGAAACCCATCACTTCACTACCCAGGCCTACTATGGTAAGCCGGGCCACCGTCAAGACTATTCTCACCCGCATCCCAATCCCAGAAACCAGTGTAATGACCTACCGTTCCATTCCCCTCGTCCTTCTCGCCCCGGACATCCGCATCTGCACCGGACAGACGGATCACTACCCTCCTTGCCTTCTTGCCATATCGCTTCAGCCCTGCCTGATCCGGGGGCCTCGTGCATGACAACCCGTAATTCACTCTCCCAACCAATGAAATAAACATCCCATCGCTTACATAGTACAGAGCACACGAAAAGGGTGTGTCGCATGACAGACGGGCGCTTGTGACGCAGTCCCGCGGCTGAGAGGAAAAAAAAAATAAGGTATGAGTGCCAAGACTTGCATTGGGGAATGTGGGTGCTGGGTGGCTTGGGTGGGAGGATTGACATGTGAATGCGCTATTTTGGGGATAACGTTACCTACCGCACAGGGAACACTAGATGGAAAACAACATCAGTGGAGAACAGAACTACGGAAAAGCAGGACTCATACGGAGGAAATAATGCGTTTTGGTCTCGAGAGTGGAAATTCGTCTGAAATCGGGACCAATCTGAAAAACAAAAGAAGAGTGAACATAAAACCAGAGACGTAAAAAATAGCTGCAGTTGTAATTAACTCGAAGGGCAGTGTGTCAGACAGCCATTTTGATACCTCTCAAAGGTTTACACCCCGTCAATATGATCGCCCAACGTGTTGCGCCTGGAAATGATAAACCCAACTCCCAAAGGCTGACAAAGGGCATATACACACACACGTCACAAACCAACGTCCTCGAAGAAAAAAGTGTCCATATCCCATATATACAACCCAACCCTCACTTTCGACTCCCATGTTCACGTACAATCCAATTCATCCCATACCCAATTACTCAACCAACTCCGCAGTTCATCTCATCCATTCCTCAAACCAACTCCTCACACCAACCAAGCACAAGTCCGCTGTCTGTCTCTCTGCTTCTCTAAACTCGGCAATGAAATTCCCAACTGAGCTCGCTGATCGCTGACATTGCTTCCAACATGCTCCCACCAAGTACATGTACGGATTACAAAAAACAACTAGGTAGACACGCTGCAGATCATATCATCCTTCATACATCCGTCCACCCACTCCTGTAACCCATCCTTCCCAAATCCCCATAACTCTCCAACTCTGCTTTCTCAGACCTTCTTCGACCACATATACCGACCCTCAAATTCTGTGTGTGCATCTAAAAAACCCCCACACTCCCCTTGCGCGTCTGCCCCTGCGACAACGGACTCCTCCCAACCCCACACCAACAACTCGTATCCCCTTCCCTCTCCACCTGCACAATAACATCGATCCGATGCTCCAACATATACTTGCGCACGCGATCCCGCACATCATCCACGTCTGCCGCGCGGGCCGCTACCACGTGCATCACGCCTAGTAGTCTCGGCCCAGCTCCCTTGCTCTCGCTCCCGTGTCCATGATTATCGTCGGAAGGGATGCTGGCGGCCTCGACAGTCCGATCATCAATCCAAAACTTCGGCGCCGCATACCCCACGACCCCGCGCAGCCCAACAATCCCCGACAGGGTGTCGCGGAGGGAGTATTCGACTTCCGCAGGGACGGTGAGTAACAAGCGGCGGGCAGAGGAGCGGACGAGGGGGAGGGCAGACAGCAAAATGAGGACGGCGATGAGGAAGGAGGCGAGGGGGTCCCAGCCGGGCCATTTCCAGAAGTGGGTGAGGATTGTGGAGACGATGACGGCGGCGCTGCCGAGGGTGTCGGCGAGGATGTGAAGGTAGATGCCGTACATGTTTTCGTTGTCGTGGGCGTGGCTGTGGGAGTGTTTCTCGCTGTGGTCATGGGTGTGGGAGTGAGAGTGACTGTGTTTCTCGTCGTGGTCGTGGTCGTGGTCGTGGCCGTGGTGATCGTGGGAGTGACTCTCATGGGAATGACCACCACACCCCCCATGCGAATGGCCGTGGTCATGTCCATGCCCATGATGATGATGCCCAAACGCCATCATGCCCACCAAATTCACCAACAACCCGGCCGTGCTGACCACAAACAACTCCCCCAACCGCTTCGTCTCGCGCCCCTCGTAGATGCGCTCGCAGGCCTCCGTCATGATCTCCACGCTGATCAGTATCAGGAACACCCCGTTTCCAAACCCGCTGAGCGTCTCGATCTTGCCGAACCCGTACGGAAACCGCTCGCTTGGCGGCCACTTGCTGGCCACGGCGGCGAAGAGCCCGACGGCGAGGGCCACGCAGTCGAAGAACATGTGTACGCTGTCGCTGAGGAGGCCGAGGGAGTCGGTTACGTAGCCGTAGAAGGCTTGCACCATCATGAAGGCGAAGTTTAGACTGACTACGGTTAGCGATCTTATTTATTACGTAGCAATGCCTTCGGATGATGACACACCTCATAAAGTAGAATATCCTCCTCGAATCCTTATTCGTCACCACCGCGTGCAACAACGGCCACGAGTACGTGTACCTCAGCAGCAACGCCGTAAACCTCGACCGTGGCCCCGCCTGCTCATGCGCGTGGGCGTGGGCATGCGCATGGCCATGACGGTGATGTGAGTGCGAATGCGATCGGGACCGCGCCCCAGCTGGAGGCTCGTACACGCCGGCCGCATCAAACCCGGCCGCTGTTGGGGATAATAACGATTTCCCGCCTGGTGTTGACTCCAGCCTCCACTGGCCGCTCGAGTTCAATGGTGGCGGGACATGGATCGGGGCTGGGCCGCCGTTTGAGTTGGACGCGAAGTGTGTGTGGTCGCTGTCGTGGTGGTGGTGTCGGGAGTGGTTGTGAGAGTTGCCTCGTAGGTCTTTTCGGCTTCGCGACGGGCTCAGAGAGGATAGCGAGGAGGAGGATGCATGGGAATGGGTGAGAGAGTGCGAGTGAGAGTGGGAGTGTGTATGTGCGTGCGAGTGCGAGTGGACGCCGGCGCTGTCAGAGCCATGGTGGTGGTGGTGTTGATGGAGCCCCGAGGCCGGTAAGGCATATGTTGATGCCATGATCTTCGTGCCGTAGCCCTACGATCGGTCCGAATGCCGTTGCGAGGCGCGGGGTGTGTTCGCGGGGCGGGGGAGCGTCGACGCGCTCCTCGGTTCAGCCAGCGGTGGGCATCGGGGTAGTCGTCGATGGATAGGGGTTGTCGGGTTTGTACTCCGTACTGGTTGGACCGTCGCGGAGTTGACCGTCGATTCACGTCGGCGGAAAACCAGGACGCCCAGAGTTTCTGTCCCAACCCAACACCCAAACGAGTCAGCCCTCTGCGATCTGAATCGAACCGAGAGACCCCCGTCCAAAGGAGCGTCAAAGTACCGATGGGTCGCACCGAAGAGCCGGAAAATCCTGCCAGTGCCGTACACTACTGCGAATGCCGCTTTCCGATGTGCGGCCAAGCAACTCAACCCAGAGCAACGGCGCAGTCGTTTCGAGTTGGCGAGGAAGGATTGTTGCTGATATGAAGCAGACCCATTACCTCTCTGGGGTGCAACCGAAAGATGCGAATCTCCGCCACCAAGTCAAGCCCATCGAGCCCATCGACCCATCGAGCCACGCAGCGGAGCAACGGTTGTTTAGGCGGTCCTCTTCTTGGAAGCAGTGCCCCCTGTCGCGGGTCCCGATCAACCCCGTCCTTCCTTTTCTGGCCCCTGAGCTCGGTGGGGAAGACTTCGACATGCGGGAGAATTTGGGTTTGTGATTGGCTGGTGCACGTGCGGCAGATGGCCAAGACCCGGCCGCCCCTGTTCACCCCGGAATCAGCGACCACCAAACCAGCGACCTGCAGGCCGATAAGCGATAAGGCGCGTCAATCTGGCCGGACTTGGACAAGTCACCACCAGCTTCGCAGCTTTGAGCTTTGAACTTGTGAAGACGAAACACTGCACTCACTGCAAATTGGGTGGCGAGGCTGAGATTGTTGGTGTATCACGAGGCTGGAGTATTCCGGTGCACCACTTCAGATTCTTGTTTTTCTTACGTTAATGTTTTCAAGAGGCCGAAAGCTGTCCACAGCTCACGACATGCAACGATGTTACTCTTGTTAATACTTTCTCTCACCCTCTTTGCTCTTGGCCTTCTTTCTGCCGTAGCTTATTTTCTGCTGAGCGCCACAAAGTATTATGGGCCTAGGGCCGGCACGGCCGGAGAGGCTGTCTCTGTCCAGATTCTTGTCCTGGGGGATATTGGCCGGAGCCCACGTATGACATACCATGCGCTCAGTATCGCCAAGCATGGGGGGAAGGTGGACTTGATAGGATATCTCGGTGTGTATTATTCTCAGTGAACGCTATGAGTCTAGACAAGTAGCTAACACAAATAGAAACCTCACCTCACCCTGATGTCGTCAACAACCCCAACATCACCATCACATCTCTTCCAACTCCCCCTTCTCGACCCCCATCAATCCCCTTCATCCTCTTCGCCCCCTTCAAAGTCATCCACCAAGTCATCCACCTCACCCACCTCCTCTCCCACACCCTCCCACCAGCCCAATGGCTCCTCGTCCAAAACCCCCCCACCATCCCAACCCTCGCCATCGCCAGCCTCACCTGCCGCCTGCGCAACACCAAACTCATCATCGACTGGCACAACTACGGCTGGACCATCCTCGCCAACACCCGCGGCAGCACCCGCCACCCCTTGGTCATCCTCTCCAAGCTCTACGAATGCTACTTCGGCCGCCTCGGCGACCTCCACCTAACCGTAACCAACGCCATGGCCCGCCAACTCCGCAACCCTCCTTACTCCGTCCCAGGCCCCATGCTCGCCGTCCACGACCGGCCCGCGTCCATCTTCCAACCCGTCACCTCCCCACAAACCCGCCTATCTACCCTCCGACGTGTCCTCCCAACCCATGAAACAGCCATGCTTGCCCCGCACATCCTCTCAGGCACCACCCGCTTGCTTGTGAGCAGCACCAGCTGGACCCCAGACGAAGACTTTTCCTTGCTCCTCGACGCATTAGTCGAGTACGCCGCGTCGTCCGACACACCTGGGAGCACCAACCCCCCGCTCCTAGCCATCATCACAGGCAAAGGCCCGCAACAAGCACACTACCTCGCGCGCATTGCCGAACTCACGGCTGCCGGCCATCTCCCCAACATCCGCATCGCCACGGCTTTCCTACCCTTCGCCGACTACGCCGCGCTACTGGCGTGTGCCGACTTAGGAGTGTGCCTACACCGCAGCAGCTCGGGCGTAGATCTCCCGATGAAAGTGGTGGATATGTTTGGGGCCGGGTTGCCGGTGGCCGCGTATTGCGGGTATGAGAGTTTTGGGGAGTTGGTGAGGGAGGGGGAGAATGGGATGGGGTTTGAGACGGCGGGGGAGTTGGCGGGAGTTTTGGGGAGGTTGTTGGGTGGTGGGGATGGTGCGAAGGGGGAACTGGGGAGGTTGAAGGAGGGGGCGATACGCGAGGGGAAGAGAAGGTGGGATGAGGAGTGGGATGGGACAGTTGGGGTTGGTCTTGGGTTGGTGTCTGGCCGGGGTAAATAGGTTTGGTAGTTTGCCGATATTTCCTCCAGTTAGTTATTTCAGATTCCTCCCTAGTGCTTCCCCTGATACTCGGCCTTCCATATCCGATCCCAATTCTCCCTATCCACCGCAAACTCCCTTACAAAATCATGCTCCAGCTCATGCGTCCTCCGCCCCAACAACACCAAACTATGCAACGGCGGCCCCAACACATCATCCGCCTCACACAACTCCTTCAACGTTCCCGCCACAAATTTCTCCGTCTTCCCCCCGACTCTCGCCGCGCCAATCGCCAGACTCTCCGGCCCGTACGCCCCCAGCCCCTTTTCCTCCTCCACCTCCAACATCTGCTGTGCACACGTCCCCACCGTCATATACCGCGGCGGCTCATAGATCTTCCTCCCCCGCGCCATATTCTCCAAACTCTGCTCCTTCACCTTGATATCCAACAACACCAGCGTATGCAGTCCAATATCGCGATTCTCCTTAATCCGATCATAAAAACTCGCCGGCCGCCAGTTGTCGGTGAAAAACACCATACTGACTGTCTGGCCGAAATTGTACAACTGCAGTCCAGCCGCGCCAATGCCCGACATGATGGAGGCGTTGGGGACGGTGCGCACGGGGATGTGCAGCTCGCGCGCGCGGAGCACGATGTCGGTGTGGGTGGTCGCGCCGAAGGGGTCGCCGACGACGAGGAAGGCCACGTCGACGTTTTGCGCGTCGTGTAGGATGGCGTCGCTGTCGGATTCGACCATTTCTCGGTCGGCTACGATCACGGGGCGGCCATAATAGGTTTCCTACTGAGTGTTAGTGTCAGTGGGATGGGTCCTGGGGTTGTTAGTGGAGGATAGTCGAGAGAATGCGTACCAAAACCGACTTGTCGACGAGGAGGATGCTGGTGTAGGCCTCGAGGTAGACTCGGGAGGCCTTCTTAACCACCTCGAGGCCCTTGACGGTGATGTCCGTCTCGTCGGAGAGGCCGAGGCCAACCAGGTAGAGCATTGTGACTGCTACTCCTCTGAGAGTTATCCCTTTCAAAATACCTAGAAAGAAGAAGATTCTCAAGTCAATGCCGCTGGACAACCCCGCCAAAGCTCTGCCCCGCTAAAAAGTCCAGACTGCAGGGGTCCGCCGAGCTTATCGTTATCGATAAGCATGCCTGCCGAGCGCGTCACCGCGATCAAGTCCCTGGAATCCAGTAGTTACCTACAGTTCCAACACTTCACGACATCCCAATAGCAACAGACACCTTCCGACCTCCTTGAGCCACACACAATCCCGACCTGCTTGAAGACACACTACACAACCTCCAAAACCCGACCAATCTCCCGTTCGTTCGTTCGCCTCTATCCACCGACCGCCACGATGACAAGCAAATCCGCCTACGGCCAAGCGGCCGGCGACACCGACTTCCGCAAAAAGTACGACCTAGATGAATACGCCTCCAAAGCGGCCGCGCGCGAAGCCGCCGAAAAAGAAGAGCGCAAACTCCGCTACGAAGCCAAACTCGCCGGCAAAAAATACTACAAGCCACTCGACGGCTCCGAATCTCTCACCACCGCCCGTTCCGCCACCCACGATTTCAGCAAACTCGTCGGCACCTCCACCCTAGTCCCGGCGGGAGCGGGGGTTGGGAAAAGGGGTCGCGGAGCAGGGTTTTATTGTGACGCTTGTGATCTGACGTTTAAAGATAATTTACAATGGGTGGAGCATACGAATAGTATGCAGCATCAGAGGGCGATCGGGGCGACGGGGGAGGTGAGGAGGGCTAGCGCGAGGGAGGTGAGGGAGAGGATTGAGGCTTTGTGGGAGAGGGAGGAGGAGAGGAGGAAGGGGATGGTGGTAGATTTGAAGGCGAGGTTGGAGGTGAGGAGGGAGGAGGAGGAGAGGGAACGGGAGGAGAAGAGACGGAAGAGGAAGGAGGGGGAGGAGAGGAAAAGGAGGGAGAGGGAGGAAGCGGTAAAAGTGAAGAGGGAGTATGGGGAAGATGTGAGGATTGAGGGGGAGCATGAGGAGGAGGATATGTTGGCTGCTATGGGGTTTACGGGGTTTGGGGGGAAGTAGTGAGGGGCTATTATGGATATCACGATATAATTTTGAATGGTGGAATTGAAAGGCATCTTGACTGTATGTCTGTGAGAGAGGGGGCAATCTTGACCCTGAATGGCTTAAATGTGTTCATACCAACACGTCGACATCCCATCCTATTAAATTAACAAACAAACAAACAAGGGATATCCGAACAATCTTTGCATACCACCGTATACATATACATCGAGCTTTCCCATACCATTACCGGTCCTCCACGTTCATTCAACCTCGAAGGTTAATATCAGCAAACTCCAAACCCATGGTAAATCTCCAAACAATCTTTGCACGTACAGCACTTCCATATGTACCTAAAAGAAACCCTCACTCACCCCCCCTCTTCTCCCATTTCTCCCTCCACTCCCTAACCTCCTCCTCCCCAATCTCCCTCAACTTATTAACCCCCGCCACCTTCCCCCTCACAACCCCCTGCGCAACCTGCGCCAAATGTCCCACCACCCCCCTCGAACCCACCGCATAATGCGCCGACGCCATCCGCACTCTAATCACCCCCAACCGCGGGTCCTCCGGTCCCCCATCATGTACCCCATCCCCGAGATCCCCAAGCCAGGCTTTGAGATGTGAAGAGTAGTGTTTGTGCACGAGGCTCCGGTCGGTTTCGACGCGCGCCGTGCCGCTGATGGAGGCCCAGTCGCCGGTGGAGTGGTTGAGGAAGCTGATGTTGGTGTGGCTGTCGCTGGCGAGGTCGGAGGCTTTGCCGGAGGCGGTGTTGGTGTGGAAGAGGAGGTCGATGCCGCCGGTTTCCTTTTGATACCTACTGTGTCAGCTTTTCTTTTTTCTATCCTTCATGGGTTGGGGTAGCTCGAGATAATTGTTAGCTGAGGGAGGGAGGGAGTACCTGAGCCGCTAAGGCCATACACCGCGACATCAACCCCCCCGTGGCGGCGTCCCGCGTGGTCATCATGGCGAACTTGCAGTGGGCGATGAAGTGGCTGAGGTCTTGGATCTTTTTTTCGAGGGGGACGTCGGTTTCGAGGTTGGTGGCTTTGTAGGGGTCGGCGGGTTTGCCGGCTATTTCTGTCTGATGCTCGGCCATTTTGGTGTTTGTGTGGTCTGATAAATTCTGAATTATAGAGTAGATAAGTGTGTTTACATGGGACGTGGAGATGGTAGCAGAGTTGTGCAGACAAGTTGGATCAGTACATAAATATGTCTTCGTTCTGATGATGCAAATGTTACTCACCAAAACAGTATGCCATCATTGACTTTCAGCAATTCACGTGCCCATTCATAATCAGGGATTCCTCGAGGTGTAGTGAACGGATACCGGTCCTGACGTCAGGACGTCAGCCGTTCTCTGGAGTGGCGACTCGGCCAGGTCTCGAACCTATACTGTAGTAAGTAAGCTAGCCAAAAAAGAGAAATTGACAATAACAACAACATATGGGAATAAGATTTGCAAGGTACAGTTGTCGGTTACCCAATGCTCGGTGAAGATCCTAGTGGTGAAGAAGTTACTCGTGAGATTAGACGGATAAGCCGGCATCTATCTTAGGTACCTTGACCAATAAATGGTTATGCCAGCTTTAGCACTTGCCAGCGATGAGAGCTCTAATTCACAGCAATTGCCGGCGTATCGTAAAAAAAATATAAATTACAGGAGAGAGGTATCACTATCACTATATTACACATATCAAACAGCCACTCAAACCAGAAATTAAAACTCCCTCGTCTCCCCCACAGCACAAGTCTCAAACACCCCCTCCTCCTCAATCCCACTGGCCCTCAACGCCTCCCTCAACATCCGCGGCGGCTCCTCCACCTCCTCACTCGTCAACACCCACGTGCCCCAATGAATCCCCATCCCCCTTCTACACCGCGTATCCTTAAAAATCTCCACCGCATCATACGGATTTGCATGTACAGGACTCATCAAAAACCGTGGTTTATACGCCCCGATCGGGATGAGACCTAGGTCAAAGGGACCGCGCAAGGCGCCGATCTGTTTGAATTGGGGACAGCGCGGGAGGGAGGAGTAGGCCGGGCCGTAGTCGTTGATGGTGGGGGCGAGTTTGGGGACGGTGCGGTAGCCTGTGTCGCCGCCGAAGAAGACGGATTTACCGCCGGAGTGGACGGACCAGGACGCCCAGAGGGTGTGGTCGCGGTCGAGGCCGGTGCGGCCGGAGGAGTGTTGGCAGGGGAGGCAGCTTATGCGGGCGAGGATTACGTCGGGGTCTTCTTTTACGTCTGTTGCTGTTACCGCTGTGGTGTTGGCTTCTTTCGTCTTGGCTCCCGGAGTCTCACCCATCCGGTCCCTCCGCAGCGTCAAATCCGCCTGCTGCCACCAGTCCATCTCAGTCACATTCCTAATCCCACAATCCCGAAACCACTTCTCCAACCCCAGCCCAACAAAAAACTGCGCCTCCGGATTCCGCTTCGCCAGATCCAACACACTCGGATGAGACAAATGATCATAGTGCGAATGCGAAATAACAACAGCGTCAACGGGCGGTAAATCCGCCAGCGAGCACGCCGGCGGAGAGTACCGTTTCGGACCCATCCATTGCACCGGCGCACAGCGGTCTTCAAAGACCGGGTCGAACAGCACGCGCAGACCGCCGGGGAACTCGACAAAGTAGCAGGCGTGGCCGAGCCAGGTGGCGCGTAAGGGGCTGGAGGCGTCGGCGCGGTGGGGGAGGAATTGGGGGGTTACGGTCGGGATGGTGATGTCTTTGACGCTGGGCTGGGGGAGGTCGCCGCTGAAGACGGCCCTGGAGATGTGTTAGTGACTCTGTAAATATCTGGAAATAATATAAATCTATTAAAAATGAAGACGAGAAATTTACTTCGCAAGCTTAAACGGCATCGCCCACGGCCCCGGCGGTATATCGCCAGCCGACGGGTGCGGGTTGCGGAAGCTAGCCGTCTTGCCATTGCGCCCTTTGACATGGTGGGCGGCCAGCTCGGCGTCTTCCGGGACGGCGGTTGGCGTCTCCGGTTTGGAGACGAGGCTCGCGTATACGGCCATGGAAGCTGTGGCTGCTGCGACGGTTGATAGCGAGGCCGATGCGCGCAGGACAGGCGTAGCCCTCTTGGTTCTAGGGGGTTGAATTCTCGTTTTTGATGGTAGCGTGGGGGTCGGTCGGAATGCGAGTGAGCGTCCCAGTCGCAGACGTGTGACGAGCTTTTCCATGGATGGCGGGGAGTGAAGCGAAGTGAACAGTACGGAACTTTGGACTGCAGTCGGGTAATTAGAGTGCCGAGGACGCCTCACTTATAAAGGCGAGAGCCCTCATGAAGGAAGCCGGTTCGAGACCCAAAAGGGCCTCGTTTAAGCGACTGTGTATGACCTATTTTCGGCAATCCCTTCCAAATGGCGTCCGGCCAGCGGACATCACGGAAAGGCTCCCAAAGCCACGCCATCAGTTGACGTTGTCTGCTGCGTTTGATGTGTGAGCGGGTTCTTGTTCCTGTCCGGCCCGGGCGGGAAATGTCATTATCTCCGACCCTGGATCTCCGCTTGCGGTCCGCGGGGGAGAATCAGCCCGTTGGCCGACGGGGTCGGAGTTTAATAGGGTTAGGGTTGTATCTGGGTATCTCCTCGGTGCAAGTCAAAACACCAACAACAATCAAGAAAACAAAAAAGAAAAGCACAAAATGAGGGCAGGAAGTAGATAGTAAAATAAATAAAAGGAATACAGAAATTCAAAATGCAAAAGCTCACCACCAAGCCCTATTCCCATCCGGAGGAATAGAGGTTGGTGGTTACGAAAAGCCCACCGGGGGGCTTTTTCTTCGCTGGTCCCGGGAATCGAACCCGGGACCATTTCGATTTACGACGGTAGTGGCGCGCCCAGCGCTCCTCCCAATACCGCTGCGCCAAACCGGTGTTTGGTTTAATTGGGAGGAGATGGTAACTGGGGGAGGGCGAGAGGGGTTTATATACGGGGAAGGAATGCGCGTGGACTTTGGGAGGGGTTGAGCTTTGGCACCTGGGACTCGGAGGATCCGGTTTCTTGGTTTGGGAGTCACGGAGGTAGGTAGTGGAGACTCGTTCTGTAAAGCATGTTGTATTCTCTATAAGTTCTATTTCTCTATTTTTTAATTCACCATGTTCACCATCTCTTGATAAATTTGTTCTCCCCATAAATTTGTACCTCAACCCCCCAATCAACTACACCATATCAACCATCACATCACCAACAAGACCCCAGCAACCACCTACAACGACACCCCCTCTCACCACCCCGTCAATCCCACCGTAGCCCTTACAGCCGCCTGTAACCCCTCCAGCCCATACCACCCCCACGACTCGGTAAAAGGACAGTCCAACGACTCCAACAAAATCCGGCATTCAATCGCTACATCCACACGTATCATCAGCAAATCACCCTTAGCAAAACCCCCCGAGCGACCGACCCAAGAACACAATATGACAGGACAGGATATGTTATAGGGAAGGTAAGGTAGGTACTAACCAGTCATCGCCCCCAACCGATCCACCGTCCTCGGAAAATTCGGAATCGGTTGTCCAACAGGTGTATGTGGATTCTCACCCTCTTGGACCGAAACCATGCCTGCTAAGGGGGAGGTCAAAGTGCGTACTTGGCTGTTGTGCTGTACCGCTTGGATGTTGATCAGCCTGATTCATCACCGAGGTTAGCAAGACTGACTTATCCCGAATTTGCAACAGCTCCAGCAGCGCAGGACATCACCATTGACCGACTGGCTACGTAATATAACCAACCCCAGGCAGCGAGGAAAGGGAAAGAGAGAGAAGACTTACCTCGCCCTCAACCAAACCATCGTCTGATCCATCGCTTCCAACCGCCGGTCAATATGCAAAAAGGCCTCGGGGTAATTGTTCTGCCAGTTGTTTCTTCCCATCTCCGACTCACTGAGGACGTCGTTGGTGGGGGGGAAGAGAGCGTGCTGGTGGTGGCGGTGCTGGCGGCGGTGGTAGGCTTGGATTTGCCGGGAGGGGATCCTTTCTTGGGGGGACATCTTTGCTTTGGGGGGGCTAGGGCCGTGGCGTTGCTTTTGTTGATAAGTGTGCTGTGTGTTGTGTGCTGTGTGTTGTTTACTTATTGGTAAGCGTGTGTGTATGTACTTGTCGTGATGTTGGTTCGCAGGGATGTGGTCGTGGTGTGTTGAGTCGCAGGATGCTCTGGTTTCCTTCAAGGCATTTAAGTACATAGAGTTGAAGTTGAGTTGCTCTGGACACGTACATACTAGAAAACTCTGTAGACAGGCACGTCATAGCGACATACATAGATAGACCATTTGCACCAGCAGTCGCACGTACAACCGCACTGGCACATTGGGCACGGCTACGCCTGAGACGTTGATCTTGAATTACTTTTAGCATGCTGTTGGCTGTGCTGTTCTAGCCTTGAACTAAAGTGGTTTGGAGTGAGTCTCATGATGTTGCTGCAAGTAACGAATCCAGGGGCATTTGTTAGTATTTTACTATTTTACTAGGTTAGTTGAGAGGTGATGGCCCAGTTTGACTTGACTATCTAGACCTCGATGGAGATCGTGAAATGGCTATCTCCCTTGGAGATATCATTGGGGGGAAGTCCTGATAAGCGATGTAGTCTGAATAAGGTTATCAATCCCACTCAGTTCCTCGGTCCCGAGTTTCGATTCGGAATTTTCCTTGCAGAGGGGAAAGAAGGAGTAATGAACACACGGACTTCAGACTATCTATCTTCCAAACGGTGGAGTGGAGTATTGATCAGCTAAACTTGTAGTTAGTTTCCCATTCCGGATAACCCTATCACAGAAGACAATCATCTCTTGTCACGCCAAAGCTCTCCTTACAGAGGGGCAAAAAGGGGCAACGAACCCACGGACTTCAGACTTATTTGTAATTACTCGAGCAGTGGAGTCTTGATCAACTAGACTTTTAGTTTCCATTTCGGACAACCCTACCTATCTTACAGATCTAAACGTACTTTACATAAGCATACACTAACATACACATCCCCCCTTTTCCAAACACAACAATGCCTTTCAATCATACACGTCACGCCCAAATGCTTTTCTACAAGATAAGACACCCTTCCCGTCTCCCTCTCACTTAAACCCGTTTCCCTCTCACCCATGTTTCCCTCTCACCCACATTTTCCCAGCTGTTTCCTGCGAGCTCTTAAATACTCCTACAAAGCATCACCAACAGGCGTCAAAACCAGCACAACCCACCCAACCCTACCAACCCCATCTTTCAAAGGCACCCAACTACTCACCACCCTCTTCAGCGCCCTCTTCCCCGACGGCCCCGACACCACGCCCGCTCCGGCCCCGCCGAGCATCAGCACCTGGCTGAGGAATCCTGTCCCGCCCCGGTGGATATCTGTCATGCCGGTCGTGCCGGTGCCGGTGCCGGTGCCGGTGCCGCTTGGGCGTCTGCGGCGGGAGCGGGATTGGGATTGGCTTCGGTCGGGTTTGGGTGGGCGGTCGAAGTGGCTGCTGCGGTCGGTGGGTTGGGGATGGTGGTGGTGAGCGTGGTGGTGGCCGTAGTGATGGCCGTGGGATTGGCTGGGTTGGCTGTGTTGGCTGCTGTGGCGACTGTGGCTGCTGGCATATCCCTCCGAAGTGGGATCGTAGTGTACGTTTCTCCCCGCGGTAGCACCCCATATCGCCCCGCCGATATCACCAGAAGAGGACTGGTTAGCCGAGGAAACAAGGCCCGCTGAGCTGCTACCGGCGCTGTGCTTATTCGAGGACGAGGCCGACGTCGGCAGGGGCGGGACAGGCGGGGGTGAGGTGGTTCTGGATCTCCTCTTCGGGTGTAGGCCGAGGCCCACGGTAGATCCGGATGCAGCCCCCAAACCACCGCCCAATCCTTTCTCCCTTCCCCTCTCCCTCTCACGACTCCGGCCACCACCACCACCTCCACTACCACTTCCTGACCCACCCCAGTTCCCGGGAGCCATCAGATCCGCCGTATAACTTTCCCCGCGCACCAGATGCCCGAGGACTGTCTCCCTAAACGCTCTGTTAACCGTCGGCGAATCGAAATGCGACGCCAGCACGGCAAAGATATCACGACCCGCGACTACCGCTGACGGATTCGACTCGTGATGCGGCTGCAGCTTGATGCCCAGCAGCGACAGCGCGTGGGGAGAGCAAAAAGCGATGGGCAACCGCTGCTTTTGGATCGGATCACCGCTGCTGGCACTACCCCCGCTGCGGTCGCTCCCGCTGCCGCTGGTGCCGCGCGCCCGTCGGTGGGGTGAGACGCTGGCACGGTGCGGGGAATTGAGGTAATTCGCCGAGACGGAGGGCGGGTGTGGGTTGGTGAAGCGGAGGACGAAGAAGCGGGAGTAGGGCGTGCTTTGCTCGTCGATGTGCAGCTGCTTCTCTTGGTGGCTGTACGGGTACGGCAGGGTGAAATGATGTTCTAGGCGTTCCGAGGCGAATGGCGGTGGGTGTGCCGGCTGTGGCGAGGGGACCGTGGGCGGGGGAGAGCTGTCCTCTTCCACAGAAGCCGTGCTCCGGCGCGAGTGGGACGAGGCCCGGGAGGAAGGGGATCGGCGGTGGAAGTGCCGCAGGAAGCGCCGACGGCGTGAGGTGCGCTGTTCTCCGCCGTGTTGGTCATCGAGGTCGTCGGGGTCTAGGTGCTCCGAGCTGAGCCGGGCTGACGAATGTGGAGAGCCGGGAGGGTCCATTCGGGGGCTGCTGAGCTGGCCTGGCATATGCCCGAAGTTCAAGATGCCCAAGATATCCTCGTAATCGGAGCCCATGTTCTCTGACACGTTGATCTGGGCCCCGAGTGAGTACCGCACGTTGCCCCTTTCCATGAGCGGGCAGATAAACAACAGATTCCAGTAAGGAGCGCCGTCGGGCTTGTAGTTGAGCAGGAGTTCCGTTACCGGCTTGCCCGCTGCGGCCGCTTGGCTAAGCCGGCGAATGGCCTCAGGGTCGGTCCCGGGCCCTTGAAGGAGCCGGCAGTTCTTCCCGATGAGGTCCCGGCGCGGGTATCCCGACATGGAGAGGAACCCGTCTGAGGCACACACAATGGGGTTGTCCGGCCGGAGGGGGTCCGTCAGACAAAAGGCTTCGCCGAGGCCCGGGTACCGGTGTCGCAGCTGGTCGCCAAACATGAAATGCGTCGACAGCGAGGCGGTTAGGCACTGAGAGAGCTGGTACTTGACAAACTCAGGGTAGAGGTTGCGGGATAGCCGTTCCTGGGCCGTGGCCCTGGCCTCTCGGTAGACCTTGTCCAACGCCGGTAGTGCTGCTCGCGTGCAGTACTTGACGTTGGACTTGAGGGCGCCCGCCACGTCGGGCGTGAGCTCCAGTGGCGAGGTGGCCATGGAGCCTGTGAAGTGTTGTGAAATGTGGGTCATGAAGCCGATGATTTCCTCTAAAGCGTGGGAATATTCCTCAACCTACAAGTCGATTAGCCTTAATATGTTCTTCTCATTAACACCCCTCGCCAGACAATGGCAGCTTACCTTGGACAGAAAGTCAATATCGGACCCGGTGTGCCTGATTTGTGCAAAGGCACGCAGTCGCCGTACCGTATCCGGATTAGAAAGGACGAGGTCGATCACCGCAGGCTCGAAGAAATCCGGGAGGACCTGGCCGTTTAACACAAGCCCCTTGAGGTCCGTGATGGGGGGGTGGTCTGACGCGTGATCCGCTTCGCTGCTGTTCTCCTCCTCGTCACTCAACACCGTCGCGGAGGTCGACCAAGCAGACAACCAGCTATCGGGCTTGCCGTGGGCGGACCGGCGAAAAGGAGCCTGATTTGTGGTCCACGCCAGGCCCGAGTCGCTCCTCGGGCGGAAAGACGACTTTGGTCCAGACGACTGCGGGCTCTTGGGTGCCGGGCGGGGCGACAACGCCGTCAAGATAGGATCGCTCCATTCCCGATGAACCTGAACCGGAGTGGAAGTATTTCTTTCATTGTTGCCCGGATCGCCCTTTAGCGTGAGCAGAGATTCGTCCGTATCCGACCTCTGGGGCTGCATGGCGTGTATGACGTCAAGGTGTAAGCTGGCTGGAGTTCAATTGTAAAAGTTCGAGAACGTCTTGTTGCTAACGTGGTGGTTATCCTGCACGAAGATGCGCTGCGAAGACACCATGTGAAGCCATGCCGACGGATTGAGGATGTTGGTCGACGGCGAGCCTCTTAAATAGATTCTTGCATAGTTATTCGAGATGTTCTAGTTCAATGAACCCCAGGATGATGACTCGTGAGCTTATATCCACCCAAGGAATCGACCGGTCGCGAACATTCGACGAGAGCGTGGCGTCGTCTGAAGTCTGGGTGGAGACGACCCCGGAACCTTCGTCCGGGACCGAGGCAAACGGGCTAGCGGTTCCTGTTATGTAGAGCCTCAGGAATCATAGTGCCTTTGTAAAACTTCGCTTCTCGTCGGCTAGCCAACCGTGCTTCGTCAGACAAGTGAGCCGCGTAGGAGTTTGGAGTTAGTATGTGTCTGGATGACAGATAGTTTTGGCCGTTGAAGTCGACGATAAACATCTAGCTTGGTGTAAAAGATTGTTGGCAAGCCTCGGTTCGGTTAATATCGTGATGGTGTCAGCCTGTAGACCTTGCCACATTGTAACATCCTCTAAGCAGCGTTACTATAGGAAGCAGAACACCAAGCGGGTGAGGAAAACTCGGATGGTACGATTATTGAGTAACAAAGTTTCAAATCCCTTGGGTTCTTTGCCTTAACCCCAGCTATGCGAAGAGAAACCGCATGATGATTGAGTAAGTAAACGCCTTGTTGGAGACATCAGGCTCAACAACACTGACGTTCTCTCCACAGCCTTTCGCGATTCGGGATTCAATCTTGGGTCTTTGCGTGCGTACCGTATGTCGTCAGTTGGAGCAAGTTCGGAATCCTCAGACATGGCAAAAAACTGAGTAAACGAAACAAGAGGGAAAAAATCTCAAGACTCCATTCAGGCCCGCAGAGAAGTTATAAGTTATGTCAACATCAGGCGCGGGGGGCAACGGAGGGCGCCGACGGCCGTTGAAGGAAAGCTTTGTTGGGTGGGTTCTTCCCCACAGGCACATAGGTAGAACACAGGGTACAACCCAAGTTGGGGCTTCAGTTCTCAGAAAACATCATAAGACTATCGACGTCAAGGTCCTGGGGCAAAGTCAGGATCCAGCAGGGAGAGGGGCGAGACAAGCGACGGGGTTAACGTCTTGGCACGCCTGGTCGGCTGGCAAGCCTCTGTGCCTCCCAAACGTCAGGAGAATTTAGCGCCGTCCCAGTCAGTGCACACCAAAATTTACACAAGTTTGGCCCCAACGAACAAAATCACGGTTTTGCCCAAAACAGCCGCAAATTGAAGTTTTCGATCCGGTTTAATTGATATTTACATCGCCCACACCTATATATATCTTTTCATACCCGATTTTCCATACCAACGGCAATACACATATAGTTTGATACCCTCCGTCTTTCAGTTCGATTGTTATCTTATATCTTGGTACTACATTAGGCCTAAGTAAGTAAAGTAGGTAGGCTATTAAACTATATATATATTTCCATTGATACAATAAGCAGCTATCAAAAAATGGGTACGAGTACGGGTAATATAGCTCTCATCAAAACGGATTGGAAAACTTCAATTTGGGGCTGTTTTGGGCAAACCCATGATTTTGTTCGTTGGGGACTCAAACGGCGCTAAATTCTCCCGACGTTTCGAAGGCACAGCTGTTCGCACTAAGAAAAGTCTCCACATTCAGGGGCGGCCCCAACTGAGTGTGAGGAACCGGCCCTATGGCGGGACGCAGATAGGCGTTTTAATGTGTTATTGAGAAAGCTTGCAGAAAGAGAACTATCTAAGGGGGTGCCTCGCCCAGGGCTGCTTATATCCTGGTGGTCCCTCTCGCTTGGCGTCCGCATCCGGGCCAGTGCCCAACGGGCTTCACACCCGGCTCCGGCCCGGTTCGGAGCCCGACCGGGAGCGGCCCGCTCCACCTGGGCGGGCTATCTCGGAAGAGGGACTGCCCGGCCACGTCGCCTCCAGGCCATCGGCCACGATTCAACACCACTGCTCATGGCCCTAGGCCTGAGCCCTTATCACCGAGCATCGAGGCCAGCTATCACAACTAAAACGCCCACGGTTTATACAACAGTCGCCAAATGTATTGTTTAAACATTAAATATTGCATTAAAGTGATTGAACTACAAACACAGCCGACTTGCCACCGGACAGCAGCCTCTCGCGGTCCACGGAGACGATGACGCGGTCGCCTGCCGAATCGAATTTGACGATTCCGGCATGGACAAGTTGCACCGTAATCACGTACCGACCATGTCAGGGGTGACGGGTTTTTTTTCAACATTTCAACGTGCATAATTATAATCCCTACAGCTCAGCCTTACCCTCCCCCTCAATGTCTGGTGTGAGTAACGTTATTGGCAGAAGCCAGCGCAAAGCACCACCAAAGAAAATGCGCCGCTGCGAGGCAGACTCGAGCATTTGCTCGCTCCGCCACAGCTGAGTTGTCCCGCAAAACTCTCTCAAAAACTCAATACATCATTTCTGTGCTCCATTCTTCCTGCCACTGACCTGAGAAACTCCGGAAACACCTGCCGAGCGGGATCTCTTCAAAATAGGAGATGGAAGAGAGCTTCGACTTCAACGACGCACGCCCAAACGGCAAGCGACCAGCCGCAACCGCCGAAGATCTTGGGGGCGAAAACAAGCGCCTTCGCGTTGGGTCATCAGCGGAACCGCTTCACCTCGACCCGTCGTGGACAAATGGTACGCTTCCACCGACAGATCTCACTCACGGTACGAGTTTTGGGCCGGCAGCCGGGGAATCATCGCAATGGCTAGAATCTTATCCCGAGAATTCCAATCCTTATGCGAATGCTGGTTTTTCCGACTCGTGGCCGGTGTCCCCTGGACCTGAGCCGTGGGTTCCATCCTCTGAGCAAACACCTCAACGTTCGACTTATCAACCCCCTTTCTCGTCCTTGGAGCCCTTGGGGGTCCCAATTCCTGGTGGAGCCGCCAATAGCTTGCCCGAGGTCACTTTCCCAGACGATATAATAGTGTCTGCTCATCATGAATCTTATCCCGCGCATTCCAATCCATATGCGAATGCTACTTCTTCCGACTTGTGGCCGGTATCCCCTGGACCTGGGACGTGGGTTCCATCCGCTGAGCAAACACCTCAACCTTGGACTTATCTACCCCCTTTTTACCTGGACTATGGCAATATTATTGGTCATCAGTCGATGTCGGGATTCGATGACTCGTTCAGTACCCCAGATACCCACGTATCCTTCACCCCTCCGGCAGCTTTGATATCGGGGTTCTCTAGCTTGCCGTACACCCCTGAAACCGGCTACAGCGTCTCGTCTCCGGTGAAGGCAGAAGAGATTGTGGTTGACGAAACGACAGGGCCGACTCCTTCGCCGTGCGAAGATCTCCCAGTGGTGGAGGGTGACCAGGGCGGATCTCCGACTGAAATAAACCACGATGTGTGTTTTGGTGTGGTAAGTTCAAACGGCTGCGGTTTGAAATGAGGAAAGTGGCTAACAATCTGGAACACATACAGATTTTGACGAAAACTGTGTCATCAATGGAGTCCCGCAATGAAAAAATGACAGCTCTTACCGTGGCCTTACTCGGCAACGTCCTCAAGCTATCATTTCAGGACACCGGAAAGTATGCGGGCCTCATCACCTCTGAGCCGCTAGGACAGCTCGTGAGAGACTTCTCGGTTTCACTCACAGCACGCATACACCCGGCCGAGCGCCAACCTGAGAAGAAGTCAAAGAAGGTCGAAAACAAAAACAGGTCAAAGACGAACGTCGACTCTCTAGGAGTGGAAGTCCCCGTTCGAGTTGTCGTCCATGGCCTCATGACCGAGAAGGATGTTGTGGCCCGCTTTCTGTCCGACCATGACCTTTTTTTCCAACATCCATTTCAGGGCGAACTCGACGGTTCCGTCCCGTACTTCAACCCTCACTACCTGCTGCGTCCTGGCGCGGAGATGCCCGATCTGGGTCGTCTGTCATTGCTCTGCGGCTCCACAAATCGAACGCCAGCAGAGGTGCTCGATGATGTGTCCAAGGCCCGTCTGATGCGTGTGTTTGATCTGGCCTACGACCCGGGAGAATCTATGGAAGCCAAGCCAAGCCCACGGCTCAAGACCACATTGAAAAGGTATCAGCATCACCCCCATTACTGTGTAAGTAATTGCTAACACGGTGGGAAGACACCAACTTTCGGCGTTAGCGATGATGACGGAGAAGGAATGTGGCGTCATCGATGACGCAAAGTTCCCAACTCTTTGGGAGAAGCTGACTGAGGATAATGCATGGTGAGTTGTATGGAAAGTTGTTAAGGATTTTGAGCATTGCTGACCGTCCTCGTCGTGTCTTAGCTATCGGTATCGGCACCGCATAACTGGAAGCAAAGAGGACCGTCCATGGAGGCAGAGTGGTGGACTACTAGCCGACGTACGTTATTCTGTGTGTTCGGTTCATGATATCAATCTTCTCTTGGTAGAAGTGGGATATTACTAACCCGTGCTCATTGTAGGAAATGGGCTTGGGAAAAACGTTGAGTGTTTTGGCACTAATCTGCTGGTCCCTGGATTCGAGCAACCTGGCGAAGAATGGGGATCAAGCTGAGACCGATGCGCCTCCTTATGCGACACTTGTTGTGGCTCCAAAGTCAAGTCAGCAGTCTCATCTCTCTGCCCATGTGTTCACAAACTGACGCGCGTCAGCTCTGCCTGGATGGCAAGAGCAAATCAAGCGGTATGAGACAATGATTCTTTTGTTGGCTGTACTAGTCTGATGAAGTTATAGGCATGTCCGCAAAGGTCAGCTCAAAACGAGTGTGTTTCACAGCTCAAACAGAGGCAAGAAGTCTTGCATGATGCGCCGAAGCGACGTTGTCTTCACCACATACGAAACCCTGCGGTCAGACTGGCAGGGACAGCGTCTTCTTTATTCAAAGCCCTGGCTGCGGGTGATTCTCGATGAGGGTCTGGCCGTTCACCCCTCGCTTTGGTATCGATGACACCTCAAGCTAACGTAAATGCATAGCCCATCACATACGCACTCGATCAACACAGGTATTCCAAGCGGCGTGTGCCATTAATGCAGAGTTTCGGTGGTGCCTCACCGGGACTCCCATCCACAACTCTCTCGACGACTATGGCGCCCTTGTCAGTTTTATCGGCGTCCGGCCTTTCTCCATCAAGTCTGTCTTTGACTCCTGGATCGTATCTCCGCTGAAGAGAAAGCATCCCGGTAGCATGCGAAACCTCGAAGACCTCGTGAAGGCGACATGCCTCCGCCGGACGAAAACCCAAGTCGAGGGCCACCTCCCACTCCCACCACGCCTCGACCGGGTCGAGTGGATTGACCTCAGTCCCCCGGATAGGGAACTCTACGAATACTTCAAGGCCAACACAGCAAGTGTTGCATCAGGGATGGCGACACAAAGGGGTTACCGAAAGAAGGAAGACAACATCATCTGCCTCATCAACATCCTACGACGCATCTGCGGGCATGGCGAGATGCTCCTTCCAGAGTCGGCTCTTAGAGCTTGGAGGGAGCGGCAGAACGACTCTATTGACTGGCAGACGATGCAGAAATGGCGTGGGAAGCAGTGTGATCTTTGCGGACAGGACGCAGCCGCCGGAGACGAATCATCTTCAGCTTCGCCAGATGCACGATTTCTCTGTCGACATGTCCTTTGCCCGGATTGTTCAATGGAGCGTGAGGAGGAGGATGAGGAGGAGAGGCGTGACACCACCGCTTGCCCCGTCTGCAGTGCTGGTCCGGTTAAAGCAACAGCTCCATCAGAGACGCCGGCAGGGGTTGAGCTGCAACGCCGCCCTGTCATGTCGTCAAACAAGATCCTGGCGCTAGTACGCAACATTTGCAAGGAGCAGCGGTCACAATCAGGAGATTCCGTCACAAAGAGGTGGGCCTCGTTGAATCCATCTTGCGGAGAACAAGCTAATCATCATCTCACAGCGTTATATTCAGTTCCTGGACCAAGATGCTGAATCTGGCGCAGCATGCCCTTGAGGAAGCAGGATTCTCGGTGGCTCGTATTGACGGCCAGAAGAGTCTCCTGGAACGGGCTCGTGCCATATCCAGGTTCGGCGAGGACCCAGGATGCACGGTCATGTTGGCCACTATTGGCAGCGCCGGAGAAGGGTCTGTCACCGCTTTACCCAGTCACATAAACGAATTTTCGTATGGATTCCTCGCTAACGTTCCGGCTTGATAGCATTGATTTGACACCTGCCAATTGTGTCCATCTGCTCGAGCCACATTGGAGTCCAATGGCGGAGGCACAGGCCGTGGATCGGGTACATCGCATCGGACAGAGTCGACCAGTCAAGGCGACACGCTACGTGACCCGTGAATCTGTCGAGACCGTCAGTCCAAGACCTTCTCCCCAGCTCCCATACTCTTTTCCATCGCTTACCGGAGAATAGTACGTGCAATGGGTTCAAAATCAGAAGCTACAACTCATCAATCAGTCTTTGGCAGTAGGAATGGGTGAGGAGACGCAAACGGACATCGATGAGCAACGCTGGAGAGTGAGTTCCATTCATGAGATCGACTCCTAGAGTTACCTTACAGCTGACATCAAATATAGAAACTGCAAGAGTGCCTGGCTTGTATCAGAAGCCCTTAGTTACAGGTATTCTTCAGGACAGACACCGGCAGTTCTGTCCGCCTCCACTTTCGCTACTAGCTCGTCCCAACTCATTCCCACCCACTTAGATATTTCCCTGGCGCCGACTTCATCCTTGATTAATTTAAAGTGCGCTCCTAGGACGGCGACATTGGGGTTGGCTCCCCTGTACAAAAGGAATTTCGCCATTTCCGCTGCTTCAGGGGAGCTTCTTCGAAGGGCGCGCTGAAGTGGTGAACGGCCCCCGTACCTAATGTTGTTGTTCCTAGTCGTGTAATTGATATTAGCGCCATAGCGGAGCAGGGTTTTGGCTAACGGGATAGAGTAGCATGTCTCTGCAACATGTTTCAGGCAGTTGCCAAAGTTCACTTGCTTTAGGGTCCGCAGCAGTTTATCCCACAAGAAGAGAAGTCGCTGCTCGCGGTCTGGTCGGCGTGCGGTGGCCCTGACAACGATGGAATCCATAGCTCTTGCTGCGGGAGACGTATGCTTCCTCGCCCTCGAGGTTGTGAATTCCCTGACAAATTTTGGAAGAAGACATTGGAAAAGTTCTTCGGAGTCTGACTCAAGGACAGACTGTAGTATTGTGGCCCAGTCCGTATGACCACTGGCTAAGTTGAGGTAAGGGTAGTAGTTTAGACTTGCGGTGGCCTCTGTATCCTCGTTTTTTAGGACCCATTGCACTACTTCAATATTCTTGCTTTGAACTGCCCAAACCAGGGGGAGTAACGAGTACCGGCAGGGATCCATGGGAGATTCACGCGTCTCAGATTTGACCCAGACATTGTACAATATGTCCATCATCATTCCAGAGGCAGATGCTGAGGCGAGGCGAATTAACTCTCGTTGGAGGGTTGCCGGCATTTTCTCGAAGTGGCCAAGAAGGTGTTTCACTTCTCTTGTGCGGTCAGCCCTGACAAGGTCAAAGAGCAGGGGCTGGATTTCGTCTTTGTCGGGCTGTTGGGCGCCGGATGTTTGTGGCGACTGCCGTTGCTGGTCCTCCGTGTGGTCTTGGTCTAGATGGGCGTTTCTCATTTGCTTGGAGAGGAAGCCTATCTCGACATATTCGCACCCGGGGACGTCGCATTTCCATGGTTGATCATGGTACCTGGTGTGAGATCTCTGGAGTTTCCTGGTCCCAAAGCCTTGCCTCCTGAACGTACACCCAAGGTATGGGCATTTGAAGAGACAGGGTCCGTAAAGCCTCCGCAGGCTGAGGTACTGGCAACATTTGTTGATATGCGTCGAGAGACCACACAGAAAGGTGTCGAATGCTTGGTGGATAGAAATGGAAACATCCGAAGTGTTGAGAGGGTTAAGAGCCCTCCACCTTTTTTCTGAAATGTTTGAGCTTGTGTATTTACGATCGTTTAGAGCGGAATGATTACATACCATCAGTCATCTGGAATGCAGATGATCCACACCGGCGGTTGAACTCCGTCGCTCGTAAGAGAAGTTCGTAGACAATCGGCAATCGACTCTTGAACCCATCAAAGTCTGGGTCGATAGGATGCTGCGGGGCCTCGCATTCTTCGTGCGATCCGCCCGCAAATCGATGGGCTGCGAATGTTTCCAGGTGTTGCAGGAGCTCCGATGGGATGGGGTTAGACCCGTTGAGGCTCAGGCATCGCTGCACCAGCGGGAACCACATGCTCTCAGCGTACGCATGTAGCCGGTAGACCCCGTGCATAATCCCCTCCTCAATTTCATTAGTTGAAAGACCAATGTCATGGTGATCTTGGCAGAGATATTCCAAACACGAAGTCGTGAGTAGCACCGTCGTCTTCATTTCCTCGATACTTCCATCAATCTTGGGGGAGAACAAGTATCTGAGACATAGTTAGTATCTAGACATGGCCGCCAATTAACAGGTTGTGATAAACTTACTCCTTTACGGTGAAGTGAACAAACTGGACGTATCCATCGATGACTTCCACAATCGGGCCGCAGAGCTCAACGGGGTTGAGAGAGGAGCTGACAAGATAAGGGCCAGACGCATAGTCCAAATCCAGTGTCAGAAGCTGATCCAGTTCATGGATAGTCAAGGGCGTCGGAGAGCAGCCCACATATCCGATGAGTCGCTTCGCCTTCAATTTTGCTTGGGCGGACGGGAGATTGTTGACTCGTTTCAGAATCCTTTCGTATCTGTACTGGGTTAGTAGACGCCGAATCATTATCGGAAGTTGAGGACCTTGCCAGGACGTACGCCTCAGGCAGACTTGTGGGCAAGACCCTAAGTTCCTGCCTCACTTCCCTGATGTCGCTCAAGAGGTCAAGACAACTGAGGAGGACCTTGGCATAGAGGAACATGCCTGCCAATATAGAGTCAGATATCGCTATTTGAGTTCATGAGTGGTGACAAAGGACGCACCAACGGCTCTGGACGCAACAGGAGCTAAGAGGGCTTCGATTTCACTCCTTTCATGTGGAAGAAAGTCATTCTTGGCAATCCAGTCGCTGCTCTGTCTGTTGACAAACGCCTGAATACTTCCAGAATTCTGCTTGTCGACACGAATCTTCGGTGAAGCGCCGAGGGTACGTTCGATATCGTGCTCTGGTCTGCTGCATATGAGGATTCTTACCGTGTCGCACTCTGCGGACAGCCTAACGAGCTCAGCGAGGAGTAGCTCGCGTTGTCTCTTTTCAATCTCGTCGACGCCGTCAACGATAAGAAAGGTCATTCCTGCACAGTCGAGAAGCGACTTCAATAAAGAGGCTGCAGAATGCAGATTGCTCTTGAAACTCTCGCGGCTTGACTGGCACAGAGTGGCTTGAAGATCTTCTGTGCTCAAGGCCAGCTGAAAGATCAGTGAGTGGAAGATGGAAACGGCCGAGGTGCTGGCTGCGTGGACGTGGCTGAGAAACACATAGATAACGTGGTTTCCTAGGCTTTGGCATTTGTCGATGACAGTTCCGGCGAGAAATGTCTTGCCTAAAAATGATGGTGAGATAGCTCGCACAAAACTCAAGGTATGGAGGATGGCACAGCGACCTACCGGCCCCAGGAATTCCGTTCAGCCACAAGATCCCGTTGATCGCGTTGCTGGGGTCCAGCCACCTGAGAAACTCGTCGTTCCGCAAAATCCATTTGCCCGTCCCGTCACAAAGACTGCTTGATATCCAGGCAAGTTTGTTGTGGTAAAACGTCGGGGCGATGCCTGTTTGGATCCTGTGGAACTCTTGCAGCATTCTCTCCCGCTCCGATTTCTCGAAATCGTTCAGAGCTCGTTGCCTGGCGGCATGTTCTTCTCGAATGTGCTCCAGGCGGACTTCGGTCCTCATCAGCATCGCGTGCCGTTCGATATGCGCCTTGACAAGATCGATCTTCTCCTTTTGCCTCGGCCACAAAGATTCGAAGAAATACCGCCATCCTAGAGAGTTCCAGTATGAGCTATGATCCTGACAGTTAAGGGTACAAGATGGGACACTCACTTGACAGACTGAAGAATCTCAGGGTGACAAAGTAGAAGTCGAGGATGTCTTGGAAGAAGAGGGACAGGACATCGTTCAGCCGCGTGCTGTCGTCGAAGAGCGTTGTCATGTTGGTGAACTCGGGAAGAAGGTCGCCAATCTCGGTGGTAATGTTGGCAATCGCGTCCTGAGACTTGCTCAGCGTGCTAGTCCACTGGATCAGAAGCTTGACGGGACCCCAAATGAGTCCGAGGATGTCCGGCTTAACTTGGACGAAGGTGTCGATGGCGCTGACATAGAGGTCCAACTTTTCCAAGTAGGGTTTTAGTTTGGAGAGATGGCGGAGATGGCCGGTCTTGCCCTGCTCGGCCTGGATCTGTTCAGCTAGGTCGTAGACCTGGTCCATTGATGTTGTTGCGAGGATCTCCTTGTACAATGCCTCGTCCTTGAGGTTCTTCTTAAATTCGCTTATTGCCCTTTCGAAGTGCAGGATGGCCGGGTCCGCAGCCGGCGCTAGCGACATGGTGACGGTAAAACGGAGGAAATCTGGTGTAAGTTGAGCGACCGTGTCAATCTGTCAGAAAACTGAAATGATATCTGGTGGCGGAGAAGTTGACAGCAGAGCTTGAATTCTGCTGTCCTCTGGTGGCTCAGTCCACGTTTTCGTGCTACCTAGCTCAGCCTTGTCATGCAAGCCCCTCCAGCATGTCTGCCTTGGGCTGCGAGGCATTGTTTTACCCTGATGCCCGACCTCATGGTGAACGACACAGAGCGGCCTGGAGGAGGCAGAGATAGCGAGGCAGCCCTCGGGACTAAAGGCATCTCACAAACCAAATAAACCAAACCTAGCCCTGTATTTGGTTTGGCTGGCCCTCAGGTTTGCTGGCCAACCCCCATATATATATCTTAACCCTAAGACAACCCCAAGCCGGCACCCGGCCAGTCCCTCGGCATCGGAACTAATTCGCACTAGGCCTGTCTGTTTCTGTCTCTGGCAAATAGGTCGTTCAACTCTCTTGAGATAAGGTCTGGGGATAAACTGCCAAAACAGACAAGTGGGTCCCTGCCACGGCAAATGCCCCACCATTCCCCAAGCTCTTTCCTGATCAGGCCTGTCCATCATCACTTGAGCGATCGGGCCATTCCCCCATTGTTTTCTTTTCTTCTTTATTCTTTTTTGTAGCAATGATGCTCTTTCCTTCCCGCCGTTTTCGCTGCCTTTGGCCACTCAATACTATCTGACAACGAAGTTCTAACAATCAATATCTGTCTGTCCCCGATTTGCCCCCAATTGACTCATTATGGAAACACAAGGTCGATTCGATCGACCGGTCGGTCTCTCAAGACAGATGTGCATTGCACGACAGGCGGGGCCGGTTACAACGCGATGTGTGATTGTGACGATGCAACAAGAGGACCTGAATCCTTCGGATGGGTAACGTTAACAATGGCAATGTCTTGCTGGTTGTTGATATTTCTAAAAGTATGGATGGGAATTGGAAGCCTGCTCAAGATAACACAAACAGGAAGGTCAAAAATAACCAAGTCCTTCATCCCCGGGTTGCTGCAGAAGGTTTCTTGACATGATTCTCGTATCAGCAGCGCGGTGTAAGACCACACGCGGGTTGTAAATTGACCTCGGACGGCTTGCCGCTCAATTATCTGCAGGCACATCCCGCTTTCCCGTGGTTTCCCCTGTATTCCCGGACACACAGTACCGTGTACGGATCACACCGTACTATAAGGTAGGATGCAGGAGCCTCGGAAGGGAGGTGCTCGGGGTCGGCGTTTGGGTGATCGCCGTGTTGTTGCCGTCCCGTGGCGGTCACTCATAATAAAACCCACCCCTATCCCGGCGATCGTCAACAACGCCCGAGCGAGCAACCCCCCGCGAAAGGGTTTGTTTACCCGTCCGTTCGCTCATTTACTCGCAAAACATAGCGGTCTTTGCGGGTACTGTTAGTACCATCGTTGGTGTTTAGGTGTTATTACCACAGCACCTCTACTACTAACACCGAACCCCGTGGTTACCGCAGCGGCCACTCCGCCATGGCCCGACTACTTCTCGCCGCGTGCTGGTCGGCTCTGGTGGTGAATATCTTGGCCGAAGACGCCTACGAGTCCTTCGACCCGCTCGCCTACGTCGACCCCCTCATCGGAGCAAGCAACGGCGGCAATGTGTTTCCCGGCGCGTCGTTACCCTACGGCATGGCCAAGGCCGTGGCCGACACCAACAGCGGCAGCAACCAAGGCGGCTTCACCCTCGACGGCGCCTCAGTAACCGGCTTCAGCATGATGCACGACAGCGGAACGGGAGGCAGCCCGAGTCTAGGCAACTTTGCCCTCTTCGCCTACACCAACTGTCCCGGAGGCGAGATCAATCGGTGTGCCTTCCCCAAGAAGGCGCGCGCCAAGTCCGGCCGCTTCACCAACACCAGCGTGTCCGCGAAGCCCGGCACGTTCGGCATCACACTAGACAACGGCATCCGCGCCGAGATGACAACCACCCACCACACCTCCCTCTTCAGCTTCACCTTCCCGAGCGTGGATGCCGACCAGGAACCGGCGCAACCACTCATCCTACAGGACCTCACCGACCTGTCGGACTCCCGCCAGGATAACGCCACGGTCCGTGTCGACCCAGACACGGGCCGGATCACGGGCAGCGCGCGGTTCCTGCCGAGTTTCGGCACGGGGTCATACGTGCTGCACTTTTGCACGGATTTTCGGGGCGCCGAGATCGCGGACGCCGGCATCTTTGCGGATAGCAGGGCCAGCGCGGAGGTGCACCGGCTGACTGTCTCGCGGTCGATCAACGGGTACCCTTTGCCGGGGGGCGCGTTTGTGCGGTTCAACTCGGCGGCTGAGCCGATCCTGGCGCGGACGGCGACGAGTTTTATCAGTGTTGAACGGGCGTGTGAGCATGCGGAGCGGGAGATTCCGGATTTTGACTTTGCTGCTGTTTCGGAGGCGGCTACGGATCTTTGGCGGGAGAAGATGAGCCCGATCAGGGTGTCGCCGGACAAGGTGGACGGGTCGATGTTGACTAACTTCTACAGTGGGATCTATCGGACTATGGTAAACCCGCAAAACTACACAGGGGAGAATCCGCTGTGGGCTAGTGATGAGCCGTACTTTGATTCGTTTTACTGGTACGTTTATTTGGAACTGAACTGAGTAACTAAACTGAGGATGAGTTGTTGAGAAATGGAGCTAACTCTAAGCTAGCCTCTGGGACCTGTTCCGGTCTCAGCTCCCGCTCCTCACCATCACGGACCCGAACGCTGTGACAGACATGGTTCGGTCACTGATCGATACCTACCGTCACACCGGGTGGCTTCCGGATTGTCGGATGACTCTGAACAAGGGTTACACTCAGGTGAGACTGTTTGCAAAGAGTTACTCGAAAGACACACAAAACTGACTCTGGCAGGGCGGGTCTAACGCGGATGTGGTTCTGGCGGATGCGTACGTTAAAGGGCTCAGGGGGGGTATCAATGTGAGTCTCAAGTCGAACCCCATTCTAACAAAAGATAATTGTGTGTTGTACACGTCTAACCTCAACAGTGGGACGACGGGTACGCCGCGGTGGTAAAAGATGCCGAGGTCGAGCCGTTCGACTGGTGCTGCGAGGGCCGGGGCGGCCTGGACAGCTGGAAGGCGCTCGGGTACATTCCGGTTCAAGACTTCGACTTCAAGGGCTTCGGCACGATGACGAGGAGTATTTCGCGGACACTGGAGTACGCGTACAACGACTTTTGCATCTCCCAGATGGCTGCGGGGCTCAACAAGACGACGGATAAGGAAAAGTACCTTGGGTCGAGCGGGAACTGGGAGAATCTGTTCAAAGAAGAGCAGGCGTCGGAGTGGTGGAACGGGACGGACACCGGGTTTACGGGGTTTTTCCAACCGCGTTACTTGAACAAGACTTGGGGCTATCAGGATCCTCTTAATTGCAGCAATCTTGATGCCACGAGTGTTTGTTCTCTGCAGAACACGGGGCGCGAGACCTTTGAGAGCAGTATCTGGGAGTACGGTTTGTACGTTCCCCTCTTTTCCTTCCCACACCTCAGACATGAAAGACGCAACGCGAAAGAAGCTAATTAACAAACCAATTCCCAGCTTCGTCCCCCACGACCAAGCCTCCCTCATAACCCTCTACGGCGGCCCCTCCTCCTTCATCTCCCGCCTCGACTACCTCCACGACAGCGCCATCACCTACATCGGCAACGAGCCCGCCTTCCTAACCGTCTTCCAATACCACTACGCCGGCCGCCCGGGCCTCTCCGCCAAACGCGCCCACTTCTACATCCCCCACTTCTTCTCCGTCGCCCCGGACGGCCTACCAGGCAACGACGACAGCGGCGCAATGGGCTCCTTCGTGGCCTTCTCCATGATGGGCCTGTTCCCCAACCCGGGCCAGAACGTCTACCTCATCACGCCGCCGTTTTTTGAGGCTGTCAATATTACCCATCCGGTTACCGGGCGTACGGCGAGGATCAGGACCGTGGGGTTTGATGCGGGGTATGAGGCGATATATGTGCAGAGTGCGACGTTGGATGGGGAGGTGTATACCAAGAGTTGGGTGGATCATAGTTTTTTTACGGAGGGAAGGGAGTTGGTGTTGACGTTGGGGAAGGAGGAGAGTAGTACGTGGGGGAGGAAGGTGGAAGATTTGCCGCCCAGTTTGGGGGAGTATCAGGGGTTTGGGGGGAGGTCGTCGGGGGGCGGGAGTGAGAGGGGAAGGGGGAGGGCAAGTGGGAATGGGAGTGGAAACGGGACATTGAAGAGGACGGTGATGGAAGGGTTGTTGCACAGGGCGGAGAGTGGGGGCCTGTTTGGGTTGTGAGAGGGCTGTTTACCTACCTTACCTACCACCTACCTACACGGACTTTCCTACCTAGTGCCTTGCCATGCATCGCTAACGGTTGGTAGAACTTAATAACAACAGACATTTCACTCACAAAGTCCAAGGAGGGAAAGAAGTTTATCGAGGCCGGTGTTTACCACCCACGTTCTCGAGTGCAAGAATACGCTATAAAGACGGGTTTCCCCAGCTTAGAGCAGCGAACTCCCCAAACGAAAACAACTAATCTGTTCGAAAATACCAGAATGCGAGGCCGGTTCCCGCGACTGAACACCAACCCTGTCATGTTGTGAATCTGCCCGGAGGCGAGTCCCCATGGCGGTGCTGAAGTAAAGTGAGTGGGAAGGCAAACCCTAAAAAAGAAAGGAAAACCCGTCGCAACCGCAACCTCAGTGCCTTGTGAGAGTTGGAGGGGACGGGAAGTCCGAAAATCCGCGATGGGGCAGCCAAGCTCGCGATGATACCCTCTCATACCGAAACGAAGCGAAGTTATCCCCCACCTATAACACAACCCCCCTCGACCCTCCCTAACTATTTCTCCTCCCTAAAAGCGTGAATAACATCACATCGGCGACAAACCCAGTCCCTCTCATCGTAGTGATCATCCTCGGGATTAAACTCCTCCGGATCCAGCTTCCTGTTTTTGATCCTGTCAAACTCCACCCACACTTCCTTTTCCGAGTCCTGCCGCAACGGCAACTTCTTGAACACCGTCTTGCGGTGTCACCACAGGCTACTCGGCCGGCCGGGTTCAAGGGGTACAGCAGCCATCTTGCGCACGATGCCGTCGGTGTCGAGGTAGTTGTTAGGGTCGCGGTTATGCGGGATGCCAAACCGACTACTATCATCATCGTCGGGGTTACCGCGATAACCATTCAAATACTTCCACCGCTTCATGGTCAACCCCATCCATCTCTTATATTCATCATCCAACACCCGATGTGGATTCCGCAACTGCGCCGTCCACTGCGGCTCCCACCGCAACCGCTCACACTCCGCCATCCGAAACAGCGTCCCCGCCGTCCCCCCACTGCCACTGCCATACCCAGAATCCCAAATTCCACTCACTCCATACCAAGTACTCCGAAAAAACGTTGCATCCGACTGCAGCAGCACCCCATCATCCCTCAGCATAGCCGCCAACTCCCCGCCCAGGCCGCGCGACATCCGGCCGCGGGGCAGGCCGGTCAGACGCAGCTGGGGGAGCCATTGGCCGAGGTGGTTGTGGACGAGGTGGAAGAGGGCAGTGTTGGGATACATGGGGAGGGAATTAGGGAGGAAGTTGACAAAGTCAATGCGCGGCCAAGCCAGGCTGGGGAGGAGGAAGGTTGGGCGTGGGCAGTGGTCGGGGATGCCGCTGAGGATGCCGCCGAGGGGGAAGGGAGACCGCCATGGAGGATGGACCTTTCTCTTGTCGCCCTTGGTCTCGGTCTCCTGGGGGCCTGTGGGGGTGTCAGAGGGCGGGTTATAAGGAGCGTGCAGAGCGGAGAGGAAATCTTCGGTTTGGGTCCAGGCGTAGCAGCGGAAGCGTGGTCGTGGCGTAACAAGGGAGTCGACGAGCCTGCGGGTGATAACGGGGAGATGGACGTACACGTCGCGGCAGTTGAGATAGGACGGGTGCGGTGCCTGGCCGAAGAGGGGCGGGATCGGCGTCGACGTCGTCGGGAGAGGGTCGGCGTAGAAACGGGCTACGATGCGGAGTTCGACGTGCTTGATCAGGGCGCGGAATCGAAGTGGTAAGGTGGCGAAGTGGGTGACCGCGGCCGGGTTGGTGAAAGTGAAGGTGTTCTTGCCCCAGAAGATGGCGTTGCTGCGGGCGTGAAACCCTCGGCTAGTCGCGAACAGGGCCAGGTTGAAGGTGTTTTTCTAGTTGAGTTCGTCGGCGGTCATGGCTTCGGGTTCCTTGTGGTGCAGGGGATTGATGATCGGCTTGTCGCTGATCAGGTCAAACTCCATGATGCGGGACAGGATCTCCGAGGGAAGACTCGGGAGACGGCGGATGTCACAGTCGTTGGTATTGTCGCCGTCAATCCCCATTTTGTCGTTGCCCATCTTCTGACCCGAGGCCGGGTCAATACCGTTCTTCAAAAGGAGGCTCTTGTACTTGGCCACTTCGCCTCGAAGCTTGCGGCACTCGATTCGGGCCGGATCGTAGTACCAATCTTTGGCAGAGCTGACCTGGTCGCGGGCCTCCCACAGGTGCTCGCCCTGGCGATGTGTTAGTCGGTCTCGGCCGGTCTGCCGGATGGTACTTGTATACCGGGGCTTGATGGCTTGGAGCTGTGGTATGTGTGGATGGGAGGAGTGGTACGAGAGAGAACTAAAGAGGGATTACCCGAGGGCCTCCGGAAGGAGCGGCCCGATCGATTCAAACAGGTGATAGTTTTGAGGTAACTAGCGACTTACAGGGTTGACGGCGGCCATCTTGAAGATGGGGAGTATCACTTTGATAAATCAGAGTGTGCCTTGTCAATGGTTTCTTGGAGTCTTGTACTCCCTTATGCTATGCAAAGGGGCCGAGGCCAAAGTCGGGGTTGAAAAGGATCCCAGGCTTTGGTGCTGTTTGTGTGAGGTCAAGAAAAGAGGAAGAAGAGAGGAGGAGGAGAAGGATGGGCAGAGGAGGGAGCTTAAATAGGTGTGCTAGAGGCCCCGGGAAGCAAAGAAAAACTCTTTGTGCGTGTGACTCGGAACCCGGGCTATATCGGCCTCCGCACGCACTTGTTTCCGTGGGAGACATTGATACGATGCGGGTATCTGTGTTAATTACGACATGTCGGTATGGGTGAGCAGCTTGAAGGGATGGAGGATGGTTGAGGTCGGTGTTGTGGCGGATGAGGCCGGGCGGTGATAACTCAGGGGTTGTCGTTGACGCCCCTAAATGTGCTGTCTCCAGCCTACAGGGAGCCGAAATAAGGACAACGAGAAGAAGGCTATCAATATGGAAAAGACCTGAAGCTTTATTAACATGATTAATTGGAGTGGTAGTTGGTAGGAAGGGGACAACCCCCTCACGATCATGGTGTCGTAGGGTTCACAACGACAGAGATGTGCCGAAGGGCGGAGCTCACCGACTTCATAGTCTTCAGACAAAACATATCCTTAGTGTAAGAATCGTCATAACCTGCACCGATGCACATCATGACAGGTTCTAGCCGGAAATTTTCACTAGGGCTCAAAGCCCTGTGCAGAACTAGGCTCCATTGGGGCGGAAATGGGATAGAGAAATTCAAACAAGCCAGTGAGGAGGTTGGCAACCCGGGTTCTTGGGGTTGAATTCAAATGTAATTAACTCGTTGGTTTGTAAATTGCACGGGCACAACCTTTCAGGGCAATCAACAAAGGGACTAAGCAAGAACCAAAACTATGTCAGAGCAGTTTCTATGTGTGTAAATGTTGGGAAGTCGGGAAGTTGGGAAGTCTGGAAGGAAGTAAGGAAGTTGGGAAGCCGCATGAGTTGAGTTTACTTGATAAATCACCGCAAAGCTTTCCCAAGGAACGACAATCTAAAAGAAAGGACGGCCAGTGAAGCGGCCTGCTATTATCGGTGTGCTTTGGAGCTGAATTCGAGTGTAGATCATTGGCTTGTAAATCACAGGGGAGCAGCCTTTCAGGGGAATGATCAAGAGGGGCCGACTAAGGACCACAACTACGTCCAAGCAGTTTCCATATGTACAAAGTGCAAAGTGCAAAGTTTGACAAGTTCGGACCCGCATAAGTTCACTTGACCAAAACACGGTAATACTTCCCCGAGGAACAGCGATCACCCCAAAAAGAAACTCAAGACTTGTTATACCAGCTAAAATCTCGCTCAGAACCTCAAATTATCCACCATGATGCCGGAAACTCCCAACTCCAATGCTGCGGTACTCGCCTCCCTTCAACACTTCCCTCCGGGCCAGCAAGTTCTAAACACAAACCCTCCCTCTCTTTAAGTCTCTAATAAGTAGTATACCGCACCGCCACCCCTCCAGGCACAGATACCGTGTTCACCGGCACGACGCCCACAGTGACAGGCACAGATGACACTGGCACAGCGGAGACCACTGGTGTGCTAACAACGACGGGGACGGAAACAGGGACGGAAACGCCCATGTTGACGACCGTGGCAGGAGTGTATGTGGTGGTGGTGTATGTTGTTGTTGTCGTTGTAGCTGTTGGAATTGTTGTTGGGGTTGTGGTTGATCTGGGATCATGGGTTAATTAGTGATACGATTTGAGAGAGGGAGGTCAATGAAGGGGGAAAGCTGGAAGATGAAAACGAGGCGAAGGTTTTTTTTTTTCTTTTTTTTTTCTTTTGGTATCGTGGTTGCTTGGCGGGTTGGTAAAGCTGTATGGTACGGATAAGGTGATGGTCAAAGAAATGGAAGAGAGAGAGTGGCTTATTCATGACGGTGTTTGGGGTTGGTTGCCTTTTGAGTTGGAGACTCTTTGGATCGCAGTGCTTCAACAGAAAGGAAAATGGGCCTTACCCGCGGTGTGTTGTGAATTGAGGTGTGTAAGCGCCAGTTACGGGCACGAAGGAGGGGTAACCCGTGTAGGAATACATCTTGCTTGGGTTGTTGATGGTTGTGGTAAACGGGTGGTGGTGAAGGGGATAATGAGCTGCTTAGAAAATGGTTGTGAAGAATCCGCGAGAGAGAGTGCGGAACGCAGGGAGGGGACCGTATTTATACCCTATGACCCCTCAACAGCCGAGAAAATCTATCCTTTGCTCATGCATTGTGAGTTGTACACGTGAGCCAGAATAAAGGGCTGCGTAAGTGACAGCTATCCATGTGGGTGTCAGGTGGCCAGTTTGGTTCCAAGTCTCAACTTCATACCATGTAGATACGGCCTTTGAGAGGCCACCTGGCAATAGGGGAAGATCTTATGGCTACCTAGCTGTTTGGCTAGAAAGCGGGGATATCACATTCATCCCAGGGGAAGAATCACTATTCTTGGTTGGCGTTGGTCCATTCCATTGCCCTTGGTTGAAAGCGCTTCGAGATGTTGACTCACAACCATGCATGCCTCAAGGGCCATGAAGTATGACTTGCTCAAAGGCGGTTTGTTCATCCATTGCTGGTGTGATTTCCGTACATAAAGCGCTCCTCAAGCTAATATCAATACAGTAATGAGCAGGCCAATTGCCACAATCTCCCCAGAGATCCTAATGCTACCCCATCCGCAGCACAGGAGCCTGGCTGCTACTAACTAGTTCACTTGGCGTGTTCCTTGACCATCTTAGCAGCGGCCGCTGCTAGATCTTTGAGCGCATCGCGGCGCTTGTACTTGGCATCCTCAATCACACCTAGAAAAGGATTACCGTGTCAACACTACGACTGTCTCGCTCTTACCATAGTATCGAAAACGGGATCGACTTACCAATATCAGCATCGCTCGAGAACTTAGACGTCCACCGGACAAACGTCGAGTCCGCTAGCTCGCCCGACGTCACTGCCCAGCAGCGGACGGTGCTCACCACACTCGAGTACGAGAGCTCCGGTTTGGTGTCGATGACGCTGTACGTGATGAAGTGGTCCAGGTTCTGTCATATATGTGTGAGCAAAGCATACTCTAAATTACCCAAGCCCTCTGCTGTGGAAATCTCACGCTGTGCTCATCCTGCTTGACCTCAACCACACTGCCATCCTTGAAAGTCCAGCGCACCACGTCGGTCTCACTGCTAGTGCCCTTGACGTGCTCGGCCTTCTCGATGGCGTTCCAGAACTTGTGGAACTCGGGCAACTTGATGTAGTGCCAGACGTGCGAGAGCGGTGCGCGGATGACGGCGCTCTCAATCACCTCGTTGGTGGTGGCGATGTTGTGAGAAGCCATGGTCGTTTCGATTTCTGATTGTCGGGGATGTTGTTTTCTCAGAGTCGGTTTGGACTTGGTTTGGTGTGTAAGTGGTTCTTGGCGATGCAACAATTTGCTTAAGAGTTATGGAAGGTGGAATTTGAGTTTCAGTTCAATGCGTTGAAGGGCTTTCAACCATTTAAATTACAAAACAAAGAACCTGTTTGACGGGCACATTCTTTTGAAGGCAAGAGCCAAGCAGGCCGGCCGATGCCATTCGTTGCCCCAATGCCTGGTGTCGTTGCTTCCCAATACGGTGTTTCTCCTTGCCTACGTCATCACTCGGTCATTGCACATGTGGGTCCCTTGGTATGAGGGAGCTCAGGGAGCAAACAGACTCGGCGCATTTCCCGGTCCATGCAGCTCAAATCGGGCGATGCCTATGGCCTCTCAAGACGACCTGCCCACGCCCATATCCGGAAACTCCAGATCCTCAATGGTTTAGCACGAGACGAAGGAAGCATGGTGTTTCAGAAAACGGCAATCTTTGTACCTGCTAACCTCACGACATTCTCGGTCAATGCTTTTGCGGACGGGGCCCGACACCGGCATGCCAAACATCCTGTACCCTGACCTGGCGCCATCGGGGCTTCATGAAATCCACATCGATGAGGGCAAAACCGATGTGCTGGCGAGGCTGGGGATGCTTCATCGCGGAAGAGTTGCTTTTCCTCAGCCTGATCCCCACGCGGGAATGCGGCAGCCTAATAATCCATGCCATTTTCATGGCAGTGGATCCAAAAGGATAGGATGCGCAAGAGAAAACACAGAGGGAAACCAGCGTTGCCAGTCCGACCCCAAGAGCGAGGCCAAAAATAGACCGGACTAGCAGCCACACACAGTTGTGGGCGTTAGGTTGCCAAGAACATCCATGAGCGTGGCTTGAGGCTTGGGTAATTATTCCGGCGGCTGCCATTCTGCCACAGCCGCGAAAACCGCTGTCGAGAGCGAGGGAGTGAAGTCGCACTATGATCACCGCCCTCACAGTCCAGTCCTACGGTTCTTTTGAAGCGGCGCATCGGAAGAGGATTATGGTTTTCCTGTGTTCCGACGGCAAGTACGCCTCCATAGTCAGAACTTGCGTTCTGCGAACCTGTCCTGTCCAATCATTTCCGGTTTATTATTTTCCCTTTTCTGCAGTCCGCCCGATGACGAACACTGACTGCGAAGGCTGATTTTGGACATGAAAAGCGAGAGCCAATCTTGTAGCTCGATGCGCCCATCCATGTGAGAGCTCGATCGGCCGACCGTGGGAACATAACGGCCTAAGCCTAACCATTCCGAGCCGATGTGCATTCCGGTCCGGCTTCGAGACGGGTTGTGGTAAAACCGTGGTAGTCAAAACTAGAATAACTTCTTTAGAACTTGTTGGCAACCGGGAGGCACTGTCGTTACTGTCTGCGCCAATCTTCAATTTCCTGAGGTTGTGAGGTGTATACACACTTCGGAATTGGACGAATACCAGACTCTCACGATGGAAATGGCGGGGAGCTTTTGCGCCAACAAACAAGGTTAGCCCCACAGCTGAGGCTCAGCCCCAGGGCGCCATCGCAGTGCCAGGGGAGTGCATCGGGGCTCTTGCGAGGTCGCCGATCTGGACTGCTTCGCTTGTTTTCTTTTTACCCGACCCTTGGTCGCAAAGTCGTCACGCCCTGACCGATTCTCTTGGTCTTCACGGCGAATCGGGTTTGGCAGCTTTCTCATCGTCACTCACGCTACGTTCGTATTGAACCTCACCGACCGACGTCTAATCTTTACAGGTTAATTACTCTTCACCGCCAAAAAGTGTGGCCTTGGGCCAGGCCCGAAATTCGACCGACAGCGCATACCAGCGGAACGTTTGGGGGGCTGCCAACGATTGGGTGGGAGGAGACGAAAGCTCGGAGAGCTTGAGGCAACTCGAAGATCCAACTGCCCACGCAAAACATTGCCCACGAGATCTCCCGCGACCGCCGTATCTGCACAATGGGGGTCTCAAGAAGGCTACGCCTTCTCCCAATGTGGGTTTTAGCCCTGGTCGTTGCCTCGGCATCCGCTGCCGACCCGATCGTCGACTTCAGCTTTTATCCCGAGAAAGCCCAAGACTGCCTATACTCGGCCGCCACAAGCTCTCAGTGCGAGTCGAAAACGGTGGACGCGACAAACTCGTGTTTTTGCCGAAATGGAGGCGATTTTATCACAACAGCTGCCACATGCATTGGGAAGTCTGCACCCGGAGCTGTGTCGAAGACCTACGACACGATGAGTGACGCGTGCAAGCTCTCGCAAACTCCCATAACCATTACCAAACAGGAGTTTATAAGGGCCGCGAACGGGCCCTCCCCAACAGCGACCGCGACAACATCATCCGCTTCGAGCACATCGACAACCCAATCCTCAACCTCTACGAGCGCCAGCGCAACCACCACCGGCCCAGTCCCGACCACATCGCGGCCGCCTTCAGAAGACAATGGAGACAGTGGGGCTTTATCCACCGGCGTTATGGTCGGTATCATTGTCGGCGTAATCGGAGGGTTGGCGATGTTGGGCGCGGCGGTATACCTCTTTTTTCGGCGCAGGAAGAAGCTGGGCGAGGAATCACACCCCATGCTCCCTCAACACCAAAACCAACACGAGCAACAACACCAAGCACACAACTCAATGGCGCCGTCGGGGCATGACTCCACCGCGAGCGCTTACTACAGCAGCCCTCCAACTACGGCGGGGTGGCCGAAGAAGGACTGGAGCACTTCGCCTGACCTGCGTGTGAGCGGGCGGACGAGTGATTTTAATTGGGAATCTGCTTCGCAGTTAGCATACCCCGGGTCGGCGGTTACCACATCGCCGCCGCCGTTGCCGGTCCAGGAATTGGACGCCTCTGAACCTCTTCCAGGGTCAACAGCGGCACCTGTCGAGATGGGGGGAACACCAGTTGCGTCCACGCCGCCAGTGCCCAACACACAATACATTCAACCTTATAACCCGTCCGGGCAGCAATACTCTGGGCAGCAATACCCAGCACCTGGGTGGGGTCAGCAAGGGAGGGAGTGAAGAGAGAGAGCGGGCTGTGATGAAGGCGACTGTGGGGGTTGTGAGCGAATATTAGGGTGCGGGAAATAAAAGCGGCGGTGAGCCAAATGAGAAACGCTGGGAGTCGAGAACGAACATGAGTAGCACATACAATGTAATGACGACGGTGGTGGTACGGTTTACAGTACCCGGCTGGGCGGATGCCAAGGGGGCGGTCAGGGTGCCGGCGCTTAGCTCGGCCGGCGTTGTTTCTCTGTTTCTTTTTTTTCTCTTTCTTTTTTTTCGCTTCTTATGCAGCGTGGGGTTTGAACTTTTTTCGGTCACAAGGACACATCGGGCCCGGTGACTGGCAGGCGCTTGGTCGGAAGGGCACAACGTGAGCGGGATGCATCAGCGCATGCAGCAAGCCGCTGGGGAGTTTTTCTGGAATTTGAATACCCTGATTTGATCGTCACATTTCGGCCACCACAATGGATTGCGGGGTATGCTTTGATTTGAGTCGAGAGATGCTGAGGAACCTGGGACATGCAGTCCGTCATCAAGAAACAAGTGGTACACCTAGTGTAGACACCCATGGATGATCCGACCTAATGGGGAAGGATTGAACGGCTCGAACGGCTACAGGGTAAGTATGGTTGCTTGCAGTGGGAAGTCTGAGAGAATGCATGGAAGACACCAAGGGTCGTCGCTGCCCGCCAGAATGCCACGCTGTGGTGCTGAACGGGCAGCTTCCCCCACCTGCCCACTGGAACCGCTGAAAAAGTGAGGCGCCTCCTTCCTTTCCCGCAGAAATGGAACAGCACCGTCATGAAAAGCCTTTCCACTAGCAGCCAGTGGCGGCTCTCCCGCTGTGGGGGCAGTGGGTCACTCAGCGCATCGCAGCATGGGGTTGCGGCGCCGTTCGGTAGGTGTCATGGGTGCCCAGTGGGATACCGTGCCTCCCTCGAAAGTGTGCCTGCCTTTCTCGCCTTCCTACAGCAAAAGCCCTGAGCTCACCTCAGCGCTCGTTGGTTCCAGCTGCGTCTCACCCGCTCACCCGTTCTGCAGTCTGCAGCCATCTGCGCAACCTTCCTTGCGCCTGCAACAAGGTCGCCGGGTATATCTCCCGAGACAACCGCGTCGAGTAACTATCGTGTCCCGTTCACAAACAAACCTGGGCACAACCAGGCTGTCCGGCTGTTCTTTCGATTCCTCCCTTCCACGATACGTCTGCCGGCTGTCGGCGTCGGCGCAGACCCCGCCCGGACAATTCCACTGGACGATCGACCTTGTTCCAGCGGTCCTACCTTGGGCCAGGTTCAAGGTTCAGGTTGTGGCCAGCTTGCGCTTTACCCGCCGTTACCTCCAGTCTCCGGATGGCCTCCTCCTCTTTAGTCCGAAACTGTCGGTGAAGGGTGGAGGAAGCACTTCAAAATTTCAGGGCCTCTCGTAACAAACACTCCTCCGATCACCGGGTTCGTGACCCGAGCCTGTGCCTTGGCGTATACCCCTTCTGTTCTTTGTTACCATCGTAATGCCTGGTTTTTTTCCCTCTTCTTATTGCAATCCATATAAATAACTCCCATCGCCCTGACCCCCCTCGCAAGTTTAACACCTTCTCTTGGAAAAAACCCACCACACACACCCAGCCCGTTCTCCCCACGTCCAGCTGCCTCCATCCTGGGAGACGTACCCGGGCACCTGCATCCCACACACACATTTGCACAGTAACCCCACGCTCCTCCCCCCACATGGCTGTTCACCTACTCGAACCCGGGGGGCTGGATAGCCTGTGGCCGTGCTATAGCTGCTGCCGACAAATATGGGTAAGTGCCTTGCCGAGTTACACGAGATGATTCCGCTACCCGTCGGACTCGATCAACAATCGCACATTCACCGTACACATTGCCGCTTTTGCCATGCTCACAAACAAATGCATCATAGATACCTTCACTTGGTCAATTTAGTCCGCAATGCCTCGGCGTCGTTGGCCATATTCCTCTTTGGATTGCCATCATCACGGTAACGCTCCGTTATGGTCTGGGTCCGGCATGGTCCGCTTACCGCCCCATTTGGTTGCGCGGGTTCGCGACCGAAAAAGATGCACTTCCGTCACTTGCGCCCAGCGACCATGAGGCTGGAGATGGCCCGGTGCTCCGTAAGCCGTGGACCGCGTGGACCGTCTCTCTCTTTCTCTTGAACGTGCTCTCTGCCGTTCTGAGTGCTATTGGCGCATCAGCTTGGCCGGAACAAGCTCAGATGTACTTGGTACCTCTTCTTCCATGCGTAAGTACCCCTGAACAATAACCTGAGGACATAATCATGCCATCAATTCGACGCTCGCTAACATACCAGGATAGATTATTTCCGGTTTCGTTCTGCTCATTGAACGGCCAAGGACTGCCCCTGGACCTACGTTTATCATCAACAGCATCGTCTTAGTGGTCATGGCTGCTATACTTGCGCTTATGCCTCATATGTTCGCTCCTGGTTGGCCTCAAATTTACGCCTGGATTGCTGGGGTCCTTCCGCCTTCCGCATCCATCCTCGTGATGATCAACATGCCTCTCAGGGACCCTTTGTTGGACAGCAGCGGAATCAGCGAGCCATTCAGCGAACCCAATGCCGCAGTCCGAAGCCCAGAGGATATCGTTACAATCTGGCAATGGATGTCAACGTCATGGCTCGGGCCTCTCATCAAGATTGGCTACCAGCGACAACTCGAGGTCCGCGACGTTTGGTTGCTTCCGTATCAATATCAGCACACCAGACTCCATCTCCTCTTCCGAGAAGTCCCCGGTACCGTCCTCGGCAGGCTGTTGAAGGCCAATGGCGTCGATCTCATCATCACTACATGTCTCGGCATTCTAGAGACCTGTCTCGAGCTATCGGAGCCCATTCTGCTCAAGCAACTCCTTTCTGCGCTGACTGCGGAGGAGCCAAACGTTCGGACCGCTACTGTTTATGCCGGGATTACGCTACTTATGAGACTGATCAAAACCCAGTCGGGCGTCTTCAGTATTTTCTACTGCCGCCGCAATTACGAACGGACCAGAGGCGAGCTCATTACCATGATTCACGAGAAGACGCTGAGGAGGAAGGCATTTACCATCCCGAGCGGCGAGGACGCACCAGCTGGGCAAACCGAGCAACAACAGGGACCTCCGTCGCCTACCCCGGGCATCTCTACCGCAACAACTCTTACTGACGACGAGTTCAGCAGCCATGATGGGAATGAGACAGATGGAGACGCGGTTTCCACCATTTCTGAGCCGTCCAAGCTTCAGAGGCTCAAGTCGCTCGTTCGGCGATTCAACCCACGCTCGGCACCCCGCGCAGAAGTTCCCCCGGCCTTCGTCCCAGCCTCTACTGGGAAAGTGTTCAGCCTCTTCCGAAGCGACACTTACGAAATCTCCCAGCGTTTCTGGGACGCACCGAGTCTGACGACCAAGCCGCTCAACTTCATCCTTTCGCTTGTTCTTCTCTGGCGAATTCTTGGTCGCTCGTCTTTGTTCGGTATTCTCATCTTGATTGCTGGCATGCTGGTCAACTTCGGCCTAACACGACTGGCACTACGCATCGAGCGGGCACGTCGCAAGGTCACGGATACTAAGCTACAGCGGACCACCCAGTTTGTCGACGCCATCCGCCACCTACGCTATTACGACTGGCACGATTCCTGGTTGGAATCGATCATGCAAAGCCGTCAGGAGGAGTTGCATGCCCGGATCCAAAGCAACGTCGTTACCAAGGCCATAGAAGTCGTCAACACGCTTTCTGCGTACCTCTTCCCCGTCGCTGGGTTCTGGGCATACACGGTGTTGAGTGGGAAAGAGCTGACTGTTGACGTGGCTTTCCCGGCGCTCGATCTGTTTGGGATGCTGCAGACGAGCTTGAAGGATCTCCCGGGACTGGTGATGATTTACTTGAACGCGAGCGTAGCAATGGGGCGGGTGGAGGAGTTCATGCTGGAGCCGGAGAAGGAGGAGATGGATGTCGACCTGATGGACGCAAGCAGTGGTCCTTTGGAGGTGGGTGAAGTGCGCCCGCCAGGAGAGTTGGAGATCATCTTGCAAGATGCGTCGTTTTCATGGCCTGGCGTCCTTAAGAAGGTCCTTAGGAATGTTTCCATCGAATGCCGACCCGGATTGACGCTAGTGTGTGGCAAGGTCGGCATCGGGAAGACGGCATTGCTCCAAGCCATTCTGGGAGAGTTGGACCAGCTTAGCGGCGAGCGGATTGTCCCACAGGAGATGATCGGTTACTGCTCCCAGGGGCCGTGGCTGGAGAGCATGAGCATCCGCCAAAATATCCTCTTCTCGTCCTTCTACGACAAGGGCCGCTTCGAACAGGTCATCGATGCCTGCTGCCTCCGGGACGATCTCAACATGTTCAAGTGCAAGGACCTCACCCTCATTGGCGAAAATGGAGTCGGTCTCTCAGGTGGCCAGAAAGCCCGCGTGGCTCTTGCGAGGGCCGTCTACAGCCAAGCCCGCATCCTCATCCTCGACGACCCCATTGCCGCTTTGGATCACCACACAGCAACCGCAATCTTGGAGAACTTATTCGGGTCCAAGAACTCGTCACTCACGGCTGGCCGCTTGGTTATCTTCGTCACACATCGCGTGGACATTGTCACCCCATATGCTTATCAAGTGATTGAGGTCATGAAGGGAGGTCGGGTGGAGAGCTTTGACAAGAAAGAGCTAGAGAACAACGAGGAGGAACTCGAGCATCTTGCCAAAATTGCCAGCGCTGCCGCTCCAGCCGAAGAGGGTACCACGACTACCGAAGACGAGGCAACGCCCGACAACTTTATCGAAGACGAACACCGCGTTCACGGAGGAGTTATGGCCTCGGTCTATTGGCAGTATGTCAAGGCTGGCAGGCTCGGCTGGTGGGCTACCATGATTGGCTTCTTTACTCTCTACCGCATCATCAGGGTTGGGTATTTCTGGTTTCTCAAGGAATGGGGCGAGCGGTACCAAAAGAAGCCGGTAGGCGTCAACAGCGTTTATCTCAGCGGCTTGATCGGGGGCGTGGAGGACCGGCAAAATGTCCTCAGCAGCTCTCAGAATGCTTTCGGTGCATACGGGGATGCACCTTCAAACGGCACTTGGCCGGATCTCGGGCAGTATCTCCCTTCGCCAAGCGAGAACGTGAGCCCCTGGCTCATCGGATTCCTTATCCTCTCTATGCTCCAGGTCATCACCCAGACCTTTTCCGACGCGGCACTTGTCGTCATCATCTACAAGGCCGGCAAGAACCTCTTCGAGAGGGCCATGCACCGAGTCACCAACGCCACCTTCCGGTTCTACGACGTCACTCCCGTCGGACGCCTCATGAATAGGCTGACATCGGATATGGGAACCGTTGATGGTCAGATCGCGAGCCAGCTGATGTCCGTCACCTTCTACTCGCTGGGCTGGTTGTCGTCCATCTTTGTCATTGGCTCGACCACGCCATCGTTCCTGGTCATCAGCCTGGTCATGACGGGGCTTTTCATTGCCATCTTCAACCGCTTTTTGCCCACATCACAATCGTTGCGCCGTCTTGAGACCGTGTCGCTCTCGCCGCTGTTCTCCAACTTTGGTACCCTCATCGAAGGCTTGACTACAGTACGTGCCTTCCGCTCGGAGCCGCATTTCCAGAACCGTGTTATCAAGAGCACCGATGCTTTCCAGAACATGGACCACATGTACTGGTGCCTGCAGAACTGGTTGCAATTCCGGTTTGACTTGCTTTCGGCTATCAGCACGTTTGTCTTGACGATTACCGCCATTCTTTCGGGTCTTTCGAGTGGTACCGTGGGGTTTGTGCTCGCGTCCGCCTCCAACTTTGTCTCGTCGACGCACAATCTTTGCCGTCGCTACGGCGAGATGCAAATGCAGTTTGTTAGCGTGGAGCGTGTAGTTGAGCTGCTCGATCTTGATCAGGAACCCGAAGGCACTGTTCGCCCGCCTGCTTCATGGCCTCATTATGGTGATGACATCGTCTTCGATAACGCGACAATACGGTATGCACCGACCTTTGAGCCGGTCCTGAAGAACCTTAGCTTCACGATCCCAGGGGGCGCCAATGTGGCCGTGACGGGCCGCACAGGGTCTGGCAAGAGCACACTCGCCCTTACTCTGCTTGGCACGCTGCACCCAGAAGATGTCGACGGCAGCGCCCAGGGGAGCATTCGAATTGGCGGAGTTGACCTCTCCACGGTCGACAAGCACGCCCTCCGTCGCAACATCACCTTTGTCCCACAAGACCCGGTTCTCTTCCCCGGCACGCTGCGCGACAACCTCGACCCGCTCGGGTCGCGCGACGAACGCGAGCTCGCCGACGTATTAGAGCGTGTGCTAAACGGCAACACAGGAAGTGGTAACAGCACCTCCGGCTTCACGCTCGACAGCTGTGTCGACGGAGGGGGCAAGAACCTATCACAAGGCCAGCGACAACTGGTCGGACTCGGACGCGCGATCCTGCGTCGCAGCCCCGTCGTGATCATGGACGAGGCGACCGCGTCGATTGACGCGGAGACCGCCGCGTATATCCAGCGGCTGCTACGCGAGGAACTGCGATATAGCACGGTAATTACGATTGCGCACAAGGCGGAGGCGGTGCAGGACTCGGATTTCGAGGTGGTCTTGGATCAGGGGCGCGTGGTGAGGGCTGGGCCCAGGGGGAAGAGACTCGTTGAGGTTGAGGCGGCCGGGGTCGGGGACGGGGACGGGGACGGGAATGAGATCGCCGGGGGTGAGGAGAGCTGATCGGCGACGATGGCATCATTAATCGGGAATGGCCTGGGGATGTGTGAGACCCGTGAGAGTCTAGACTCTCGGCCGTTGGGAAAAAGGAGTTTATTGGGAAAGGGGGAAAGGAGCGACTGGGGGAGGTTCACGGGGTTATCATTTTTCGGAGTTTTTTTTTCCCTCTGCCCAAAAATAAGCGATTTGTTTTTGTCACTTTGGATCAGGGGCTGGCTTAATTCATTAAAGCGTTGTTGATTTTACGTTTTGTGTCATTTCATGTTTGTTGCACTTGCGGATGATGCTAACTAACGGGAGTATTGCGGTAGACAGCAAAAAGGAGCGGTTGTTGATTCCGGGCGTTGGGGTTGGTTGGTGTTTCCTTGCGCATTTTTTGTTTTTTGGAAACACAAAAAAGAAACGCAAAGCAACGGATAGAGGGATAGGAGTCTTGGACATAGAATACCACACAGATTGCATCATCAGATGTCTCCAGATCTGCGACTTCTCCTTTTCTAACACTCGCCCTTAACGTTAGTACATGTGCTAACAGGTTGGCTATCGCTGATCATCTTATCGCTTTAAGGTCTCCACTGCGAACTCCAGAGTCCAGAAGCGAGATCCTTACCTAGCTTCCAAAAGAAGCCTTCTTTTCCGCGAGAGTCCGCTGCGATAACATGAAAGAAGTTTTTGCCGAACATTCACGTTAGCCGTTCACGTTAGCCGCAAGATGGTGGAGTCTTGCTTCGGGTGCCGAGGGGTCCAGAGAAAAGGGGAGGGATCCGATGTCGATCTTTTGCCAGTTCCTGGTGCTGGCTGGCCTGGGTTGAGCTTTTAAGGTTCTGACCCCTGGCGACGATCCCCATGGCCGCGCACGCTTCCGCGGCTTTACGCCCCTTTCGGCTCTCTTCCATTCACCCCTGGGCCCAGGGCGCCCAGGGCCCAGGCGGACCGCGCAAGGCTTCTGGAGTGTCCAGGGGGCTGGCTGACTCGCTCGCATAGCCGACGATAAAACGGGAATGTTTGATTACGCGGGGAATCGCACCCTGGAAGGGCAATTTCATGAGGAGCCGTGCATCAGGGGGGTTGTTTGCATAACTGCATTGTTGTTGTTTCTTCGGCACTAGTGGACGTTAAGCATGGGTGCCGGTTGTGCTGGAATAAACCCATAACTAGTGTAACTAACGTTATTCTCGTCTTGTCGCTTCTGGTTTTGGGACTGGTGTAATTGAGAAGGAGAGACTATCGGTTTTTGTTCAGCGCAGACAGACGGTTGGGGAAGTTGGGGTAAGACAGACCAATTTATCAATTCTGTGCGAGTAGTGCTAAGGCTGGCTGATAGGGGAAGTGGAGGGGCTCGCGAAAACAACACTGAACACAGTCAGCCAACGTCTCGTCCGAGCGGGAGGAATATATTTTGAGATACCCATGCGAAATACGGATACCAGGGCAGCTCTGCTTTGGGAACAGGCAAGGTTGGCACGGTAAGGGTGGAACATTGTTTGTTTGTTCTCCTGAACATGGAAGCAGCTCGCCTGCGGTCTAGCGGCGATCTTGTGCGAAATTCGCGACGAAAGGAGAGGGTAAATTTCGGCCGTGTAACTCGGAGATTTTTCTCCTGTTTGCAGCTGCGGTGGGCCGTCGCCAAGGTGGGCGTCTAGACGTCGCTGACCTGGCGATCAACTGATTTCTGGGGTTGAGCTCCTGAGAGGTCTTTGATTGGCATCAGACAACGGATATAAACCCATGTAGTTAATTAGTGTAATTGTAGTTGGTCTACACTAGTGTACACAAGTAGTCTACACTAACACGATTCCATCGCAGCATGTTTAGCAGCACGCTCGGAGATATTTATCTTCCCCAGCTGAATCGCAATCGAGTCCGCCGCGATGGACAACCCTTGAACCAGAGGCCTGGGGTTGAGCTGTCTGCCGGTTGATGTTTGCCGACAGTGTTGTGGCCTGCTGATGCCAAGGGCCCAGGGTGACCAAACCGTGCTGATTCTCTGCAGGAACCACAATTCAACACGGTTCAGCACATTTGGATCGACCTTCCATCACAACATGTCGTGCTTCCGAGGCCGTGCGGTCCCTGGGGAGTTTTGTTTTGTTTGGAGAATGGGGAAAGCGATCGTGCTCCTCGAAAGGGTGCGCGCTGCGCAATTTCCACACCTCAGATGGCCCGAGCAAGGGAGAATGGCAATTGGGATTCCAAACCGGGGCGCCTGGTCACGGCGGTGCCCGGCATCCACCCATGTGCCGAAGCCCCGCATCAACGAGTCCATTCGGATTCAATTCGGATCAGAGCCCGGGGTATTGCCCGGCATTGGGCATCGTGAAATGGGACGACGAAGGAGAGGTGCTCGCTTCTCTCTCGTCGATGACGCAGACTGGTGGTCATCCAGGTCGCCAAACCCGAGCAAAGTTAGTTGTGATCGGGTAATCGGTTCTCAGCCGCCCTCTCGTGTCGTGCCACACTTTTTCAATAAAAGCCTGACAGCATCGTGTTCGGTGGCGGTTTCCCGGTTTGCCGTCATTTTTAGGTCCCAGAGGTGAAAAACAGAAGGGAGCGACAGGGGTGTCAACAACGGCGAACAAGCGGTTCATCCAATGGGACACGGGCGGTTCCCCACCATGCCTTGGTTAGCTGCATGTGGTCTCCGCCGCCTCGCGATTGGTGCTGCTGGGGGACGCCTTCCTCATCTGGGCAGAACCATGAGAGAGTTGTTCGAAAACATTGCGCTTGGCACTGGACGGCTGGAAGGGACGACCCAGCGACCAGCGGACTCACGGCCGTGAGAGCCAACGGAACACGAGGGCCATCCACTCACCCGGGTTCTTTTCCGTTCTTGTCTTGAATTTTCATCCCTTCGGTTTGTTGTCATGATTCAACGACACCGCTGGGGAAAAAAGAAGTTTGGTCGGCTCCCACTTCCACACTCCACCGTCGCCAATCCTTCGTGCGTCTTGGTCCCCGCACCATCGTTTTTCTGCGTCGTCGGCCGCTGCATGCAGGTTGGTTGGGTTGGGTTTGGCCACTCTCGCCCGGATCAAACGGCTTGTTGTTGTCGTGCAGCTGTGCGTGGCGCACGTCTCGCTGACTCCGTGGAGAACCATGGAGCCTCTGCTTGTTATTTTTCTCTCGTCCCGCTCGAGCGTCGATTTGGTTGCGTTCCGCCTGATGCTACCTCGCAGCGTCAGAGGAATGTCCTGGCCCGCGCCGTGTAGTGTAGTGGGAGGTCTTCCATGAGTTGACCTTTGTAGTTATCCGTACCCCGAGCATGCGAAAGCGAATGCTCGCCCGTCTCCCATGCGCTTCCATTGGCAGACGAACATCGGCTCAACCGCCTCAACTGCCTCGATGGGCAAGTGAGCACCCGTTGCCAACGGCCTGGGCCGGCGGTGGCTGGCCGCCATCGCCGACAAGGGAGTCCCAAGCTCTTTTGGGGAGCCGCAACTCGCTTGATCCATGGTGTCTTGGCACCATTGGGCCCCAGCGAGTCCGCGGCCTGCGAGCCAGCCCCGTGGACTCCGACGCGCGCAAAAGGGCGCCACAGGTCGCATCTCGTATTCCCACCGATTTGGCATGGCGTGGCTCACCAGGATCGTGAGTCGCGGTCGACCGGGGTTCAGGTATCCCCCATGCGAGGCAGGCCGCCCATGTCCCATCCCATGTCCCATGCCCCATCCCATCGACAAGCAACGTTCCCAAGGCGGTGGAATACTGGAAATAAAGACTGAAGGACGGCCTCGGACGCCCGTTTCCTCCCTCCCCCGCCTCGCTCTTCCTTCCATTCCAATACGACCTAACGGTGTACATATTTTTATACACTTAATCCCCGCTGGGGCATCGTCGTCACTCGTTTCTTTTTTTCTTCACCCTCACGCTCGTTAGCCCCCCTTTAAACCGCCATTATGCGTACCGCCGTCTTGTCTCTGGGCGCCCTTGCCCTTGGCCTAGCCAATGCCCATGAGTACCCCAACTGCGTAAGGATATCATAACAAGATATGAAGACTACGGATATTGTTTACTAACTACCAAACTAGGAGTCGGACAACTGCTACCGCAACCTCATCGATGAGCGCTTCGCGGCTGAGGCGGTCTCGTGGTGCCCTGAGTTCCTGGCCGGCACCACCACCGCGGCCGCGGCCATCCCCACAGACTTCGGCAACTGCGATGGCAATGTGGCTGCGGTGAGCTCGGCTTGCTCGTGCATCACGTATACCGCCACGGCTACCGCGACGACTACCACCAGCACTGTCACCAGCACAAGCACCAGCACTACCACCGCCACTAGCACCACCAGCGACGATGACGAGTGCACAACAGACGTCCCGGAAACCACGACGACTGAGGTCCCGGCCACTACCACTACCACTAGTGATGACGAGTGCACCACCGATGTGCCCGAGACTACTACCACGACCGCGGCGACCACCACGACTAGTGATGATGACGAGTGCACTACTGATGTCCCCGAGACGACCACCACGTCTGAGCCGCCTGCCACGACTACCACTAGCGATGATGATGAGTGCACCACGGACGTTCCCGAGACCACCACCACCACGGAGCCCCCGGTCACTACCACGACCACCGACGACGAGTGCACCACCGACGTTCCGGAGACTACCACCACTACCACTGATGACGAATGCACCACCGACGTCCCCGAAACCACTACCACGACCGAGCCTCCCGCCACTACCACCACCACTGGTGATGACGATGAGTGCACCACCGATGTGCCCCCGGAGACCAGCTCGACCGAGGTCCCTCCGGAAACCACCTCGACCACTGAGGTTCCCCCGGAGACCACCCTCACCACTGTGACCACTGCCCCCTCCACCAACAAGGGCACCCAGACGCCTTCCGAGACGCCTTCCGAGACTCCTTCCGAGACTCCCTCGGAAACCCCCTCTGAGACCCCCTCGGAGACTCCCTCGCAGACCCCGTCCGAGACTCCTTCCAACCCGCCCACCAACCCTCCCCCGACTCTGACCACTGGTTACAGCAGCACTCAGTCGCCCGCCCCGACCACCTCGGGCCCGGTCACCGCCGGTGCTGGCCGCGTTGTCTTCGGCGTTGAGGGCGTTGCCATCATCGCCGGGTTGCTGGCTGCTCTCCTGTAAAGAGGGATTGAAATGTCGATCGGTCCGGTCGAACCCTTGGAAGCAACGTGGGATATACCTGGATACCAAATCATGTTGGCGGGGGGTAAACAGTGTCGGTTATCTAGCCTGGGGTTGAGGGATTATTTGAAAGCTTGCATGCATTTTGCATTTCTTGATTTTTTTGTTTCTGCGTTTCTTGTTCCTTTGTTTTCGTTGTTTTATTTACTTTGTCGCTTTCTTGGATCACGAAAAGAAAAGCCAGGAAATATTGCAACGGGACTGTTAATCTGCGCGCGGACTCGAATAGCTTATCAAGGCAAGTGGTAATTACCCGTATTTCTATTGGTAATTATTATTAAGAGAGAGACAAAGCAAAGGCGGCATCCCGATGAGGTTCACTTCTTGTATATAGATGTTTATCGACAACTATAATGGATACCCCAAGTTGCCGTCGTGCTGGATACGTCTTGGACGACGGTGAAGGGTGGTCCGCTGTTTTTAAATGTGGAGGGTCTTTGGATTTGTCGTTATGTTGTTGATACCTCGGCATGTATTGTTATTTCTGGATTTAAAGCTTAGCCAATGATATTTTTCCATCTTAATCAACCTCCTATCACGAGTTGCACTACCTCATCACGCAATACCCATGGGCCGCTATATGCTGCTGACACAAGTCGTCCTATTTCTTGTAACCTTCATCGAATGTCAGATGGAAAACAATTCTTTACTCCTCGATACAATGTGTGGCACTACAGTAATCCAACAACGAACACATAAAAACCATCCTCTCTGCCTCATACCCAGTTCCTTCCCTCCCGCTACCAGTTGACAACAGCCCCCCTATCCGGCAAATGCCTGCCCGGACCGCGGATGGCGCATTTGGGGGGGGGGTGCCCGAGCGTGCCCGCTTCTCCGCTTCATGCGTTCGACTCATCCTGGACGGGGCACCTAAGAAAAACTTTCGGGTTTTCTCAGCAGTCCTACAACCTCGGAGGAAGTGGGCGGAGAGCTTTTTGTGGTTTTCTCTTTTTCGTCCTTTTTTTTGTTTCCTTTTCATATCTTGAGAGCACGGAGAGTTGGTTGTCATACACCACGTTAGAGTCAGTCGACCTTCTAACTCCCACTATCTACTATGCTTACTAATTATGCCCCTCCCATCACGCCGGAACATAAAAGTCAACACAGCTCTCATAAGTCTGCTTATTACCCCCAGCATACCAGTACCATTGTATGGCACACTTCCCGCCGACATCACAGGCTGAGGTGAGGCTTTCCGGGATGGTCACGTTGAAGTCGACTAGACAGTTGTCAGCATTTCCTTTTTTAAAGGGGACTGATTTGGGGTTCATTCAGGCTTGATAGGGGAGGACGGGATGAACTAACTATCAGACCGGGGCGTGGTAGCCGTAGCATTCGGCCAGTCATCCCATACCTTGAGCGGATCGCCAAGGATGGTGTTGGTCGCGAGGTCAATTACGGAGACGTTCTAAACAAACCCATCATCAGCACCCATATCCCCCTTCCTTTTCATTTCTTTTTCTTCCAAAAATAAAAAAGATGGAGTGACGTTTACTCACCGCAAAACCGGGATGATGTCCCGCAATCAAGTCAACGTGAAAAACAACCACATCACCGACCTTGTAGGCTGCGGCTTCGTTGTCTTCGTACTGGTAGCCGCGGCAGAGGTAGGCGTTGCAGCCTAGGCTGGAGCCGGCTTGGGCGACGCCGTTTTCGATGGGGCCGGCTGGGTCTGGGGTTGGGTTAGTTAGGTATGGTGCTCTCATCATAATGGTTCCTGTGTAAGGGATGGACGAAGGTGTGATGGGTGTTGTGTTGTTAGTGTGAGGGGGGTGGAGGGAGGATGGGCTCGGCTCACCTTTTTCCATGTAAGTTGAGTATGTACTCCCGCAGAGTTCTGTGTACGCCGGGCCGGCCTATGGTAGAGGACATGTCAGTTTTGGGTTCAAGGTTGAGTTGTTTGCGTTCTGGACGGGGGTGTGATGTGAAGGACTTACAACACGGGGCTGCGGTTTCGTGACAACGGCGTGGCCCAGCGCGCCTGTTGCGGCTGTGACAAGAGCTAGAAAATGAGACGTTGACGGCATATTTGCGTATGGTCTCGATGAAAACTTGGAAAAGTGTGCGTTGGTCTTGGGAAGTCAAGCCTTTGCAGTCTAAGACACCGGGCCATATTCAGGGGGTCATGATGTTGATGGATATGGATCTCTCGGGATATTTTCGGTCTGGATCTCGCCATTCCCGACTAACCCAGGAATAACGGATGGAGCCATTTCTCCGTGTTAATTCCACGATACTTCCCCCACGGCCGTCCCCAAAAACAGTAACCGGTGTAACAACAAGCGCCCTCGAAAGCTTTTACCACGAATAGGACCAGAGAAATCTCTCAAAATTAATTAAGAGGCCACACGTATTCGTTTTTCTCCTCCATCACGACCAAGCCCTCGAACAGTCTTTCTCACGAGACCCGAATGTCCAATTCCAGATCTTGAAGTCCTCATTCCCAAAAGTTGAGGCTCAACGTCGTCGAGGTCTTGGCTGCAGCGGCCGATTGGTGGGAGATCTATTTGGCCGTTGGTATCCCAGGCACAAAAACGCGGGGGAGAGAGGAAGGACATCTGCACATCTGGCAAGGTGCCATGCCAGAATTGAAACAATACCACTGTAAAAAAGGGATCGCCGTTGTCCCCAGCTCTCGGGCCAACTGAAGGCGAAGGAATCCCCCTTCTTTTTTGTCGCGGCGTTGTATCCAAACAGAGCTACGGTAGCGGGCCTTCCGGGACTCCAAACATCGGGCTTTTTTTTCGGGTGTTGGACCCCACAGCCAAGCATGTTCATTGCCATGTTGCTTGCGATCGAACATCGAAGTACCCTTGACCGGCTCCGCAAAAATGCAGGTAGGGTGGGTTGAGTGCCGGCTTGGCCGTCTCGGGCTGGAGTTCCACCACTGGTAGCGGAGGACGGGGTGTATTCTTGGAATCCAGAGGTCACCCCCTTTGGTGTTTTGGGACGCAGTCCTCAATTTCGAGAAACTGGGGTTACGATGTACACTAGACGCCTTGCCTCGGAGGTTTGTCGATAAACCTGGGTTGGAGCTCACACCATCCCCAGGCTTCGCTTCGTCCCCCTGGCAAAGGGACATCTTCTCATTCGTGTAAATTCGTTTAGAGTTTCATCCGGCCCTCCCACCTGGCGAGCGCGTCACTCTCAATCCTGGGCACGACACGCTGGCGGAGGAACCCGCGATGGGGTGATCGACGGTTTGGGTGGAGGAATCGAGGCCGTGATGTCGTCAGATAGATGAGTTTATGGGCGGGAAGGGTTTGGTAGGGGGAGATGGTGGATATAAATAACGAGGACAGCCTTCTGTCTTTGTAGACTTTGTTCTGGACAGCATCACCATCACCCAGGCTGTCAACTACGACAATCGACTACCCTGAGTTCGAATCAACACCATGAAGTTCCTCTTCACAGCCACCCTAGCCGCGCTGGCGAGCGTCGTCGCGGCCTCGCCGACGCCCACCGTCAACATCCAGAAGCGGGCGACCGCCGATGACGTTGCCGACATTGGCTATGCCACGACCAACGGCGGGTACGTTAACCTCCCCGGAGTTCACTTTCCATGGTCCTGGTACACTAACAGTAGATAGCACTTCTGGCGGCTCTGGCGGAACCACCACCACGGTGTCCGACTTCGCCTCCTTCAGCGAGGCAGCCAAGGGCGACGCGAAGAAGATCATCATCGTCGACGGCAACCTCAGCGGCGAGGGCTCGGTCAGGATTGGCGACAACACCAGCGTCCTCGGCAAGAAGGGTGCCAGTATGTTCCCTTCCCTAGGTTTTACACTCCGTCGACGTTTCTCTTACTAACCTTGAGTAGCCATCACGGGCATCAACCTCACGATCAAGGGCGTCAAGAACGTCATTGTGCGCAACCTTGTGCTGAGCAAGGTGGTGGGCGGCGACTGCATCACGGTGCAGGAGGCCACCAACGTGTGGCTCGACCACCTGGACATCAGCGGTGATTTGAGCGTTGACAAGGACTACTACGACGGTCTCATCGACATCACCCACGCCGCCGACTGGGTTACTGTTTCCAACGTCCACTTCCATGACCACGTAAGTTCGCCTCTAATGCATCTCTAGACATTTACGAGGTAATTAATGGGCATGTCACAACAGTGGAAGGCCTCGCTCGTCGGACACTCCGACAGCAACGCGGACGAAGACACCGGCACGCTGCACGTCACCTACGCCAACAACAAGTGGACCAACATCAGCAGCCGCACGCCCTCCATCCGCTTCGGCACCGGCCACATCTACAAGTATGTCCCCCTTTTTCCCTTTTTCCCTTTGTCCAACCCTAACCCTTCCCCACCCTTCCCATAATTAACCATATTGTCTTGCTAGCAACTACTACTCCACCATAACCACCTCCGGCGTCAACACCCGCATGGGCGCCATCGTGCTCGTCGAGTCCAGCACCTTTGTCGACGCCAAGCGGGCCATCACCTCGCTCGACTCGGACATCACCGGCTCCGCTGAGGTGCGCGACGTCGACCTTGGTGGCTCGACCAACGATGCCCCCGAGGGCTCGTTTGGCACTGTGCCGTATGAGTATGAGGCTGTGGGGGCTGCTGGGGCCGAGGCTGCTACTGCGGGGGCTGGGGCTACGCTGGACTTTTAGGTTTTACGTAGGTACCTGACCTAGTAAGGGGGGATGGGATTTGATGGTGAGGATGGAGGGTTAGGGTTGGGGAAAAGGGGTTGGTGTTGTTGAGCTGTTGGGTGGGAGGAGACGGGAGCAGGGAAGTTCTAGTGATGGGGGTTTGGTAGCTGAATAAATTGTGTGTTGGATGTTGTTGGGTTATTGCGAGTGCTGTGAGCAGTAGGCCCTTGAATCGGTAATCCTTCAGCTACTGTTGTCCAGTTACAGCAAGGTATACGCCAAAGGAATAATCATCTCCTTTCGCAAAGTTTTATTATGTGACATCTGGATGTCCCGTCTTGAACCGCTGTTCCCGCTTATTCCCACTTCTGCTTTATTGGGATAATAACAGTCCTGGCATATACCCCTCTAGACAACTCAACATCAGAGCCGCTCGTAAATATATACGGTACACACGTGAACACCCCACACGGCATTTCCTTCTGTTTATATTGCACGTTGCTACCAAGGCACATGCCGTGGAATAGATTGATGTCCCGACGATCGTCAAAGCTGCCGAATCGGAAGATGGAACCAAACAAGAGCAAATCTGGGGAAACGCGGCCGGGTAATTTAGAACTGGGCCCCGGCGGTTCGTCATCGGCAACCGTTACGGGTGGGATTAATTATAGTCTTATATGTTCTCCATAGAGGTAATAAATAGCCACAATACCCTGCCAACCTTTTTATCCCCTTCTTTCTTACCATTCTTGTCTAGTCTTGTGAGTTGCGTGAGGCTCCGACACTCTAGGTTCCTGTTATTCAACACCGATGGCTACACCACAAAAACCACCATGATACCCCTTCCCATCTCCCTCACCCTCCTCGGGAGCGCCCTCCTCCTCTCCAACCTAACAACAGCAGAACCAACACCCGGCCCACCCCCCATCACCCAACTCCTCGCCGAATCCAACGCGACCTCCAACACCGTAGCCTCCCTCCTACCTCCCACGCTCGACCCCTGGTACCGAGCCCCAACAACGTACGACTGGGCCGCCACAGAACCCGGTACGGTCCTCAAGATCCGCCGCGCACCCCAACTCATCGCGGCTCCCGTCCCCCTCATCCCCAACGCATTGGCCGCGTATCATTTGTTGTACCGTTCTACTGATAGTCGGTATAACCCGTCTTGGGCTGTTACGACGCTGTTTGTGCCGCGGTCGCAGGCGTTATGCTATCCTCTTGCTCGTGATCCTTCAAATACAAATCAGACCACGAACAACAACACCTTCACCAATAACCCCCCAACCAACCACCCAAGCCACGAAAAGGCAGAACGTCCATGGTGCAGCCCCCCCCTCCTCTCCTACCAACTCCCCTACGATACCTGCAACCCCAACGCCTCGCCCTCTTTCGCCCTCGCCCTCTCCTCCCTAACCGGCGATCCCTACGGCGACATCACCTCCGCCCTTTCCCTCGGCTGGCTAGTCGCTGTCCCCGACTACGAAGGACCCTTGGCTAGTTATTCCGCTGGTGTGCAGGCGGGACATGCGACGCTTGATGGGGTACGGGCTGTTTTGGCTGTGGGGGAGGGTTTGGGGTTAGGTTTAGGGGGAATGGAGAAAACGAAGGTTGCGTTATGGGGGTATAGTGGTGGAGCGTTGGCGTCGGAGTGGGCAGCCGAGTTATCCGTGCAATACGCCCCCAAACTCGGGGAATCCCTAGCGGGCGTGGCATTGGGGGGGTTAACGCCCAACGTGACGAGCGTAACAGGGTATTTGAACCGCAAAAAGGGAGCAGGGTTGATACCGCAGGGGTTGTTGGGGATGGCTTCGCAGCATCCGGAGGCATATGAATGGATTGTGGGGAGGTTGAAGCCGGGGACGGGGAGGGAGAGGTTTTTGAGCGTGAGGGGGATGACGGGGGCTCAGGCGGTGAGAGCGTTTGAGTATGAGGATATTTATGGGTATTTTGTGGGTGGAGAGGGGGATTTGTATGTGCCGGTGATGAAGGGGATGTATGATGTGGATGGGTATATGGGGTATCATGGGGTGCCGGGGATGCCGGTGTTTGTGTATAATGCTGTGAATGATGAGTTGAGTGATGTGAGGGATGTGGATGCGTTGGTGGAGAGGTTTTGTGGTGTTGGGGCGAATATCTTGTATCAGCGTAACTGGGTGGGCTCGCATGAGGAGGAGTTGGTTAATGGACGGGGGAGGGCGTTTCGCTGGTTGCGGAGTGTGCTGGATGGGAGTTATGGTGAGTTGTATGGGACGATGGGGTGTACCGTGCAGAATGTTACATATAATATCATGCCGTGGGCGGATAAGAGCACGTCGGGCAATGATGGCGAGTAATATATTCCCCAAAGCTTCCACAACTAACTCTCCTCAAAACCATTCTCCCCTCGTCTTGACCTCATAGGAGACGACCTACTCCCTCCGCCTCTTCCCCCCCTCCTTAACCCCCACCCCCAAAACCACACACACCCTCACGACCATCGGCACCACAGCCGAAGCAAACACGGCCCAATCAAACCCATTCCACAGCCCCCAACTCACAAACCTCTCCCACCCGCCCACCGCCTGCACCGAACTAACATGATACACCACATCGCTCACCAGCATCCCCCAGCACAACAACCTCCATACCCGCAGGTCATCCACCAGCCGCAGCAGCACGGCCTCGTTGAACGCGAATAGCAGCCACGCCCCGCCGAGCTGGGTGTACAGGAACTGGTTGGCGGGGGTGTAGAGGGTTGGGTTGTGCGTGATGGAGGTGGCGAAGCCCGAGGGGTCGCGGAAGGTCATGAGCGCGCCGTTGAGGGCGAAGAGGGGCTCGATGTAGAGGAGGGTGAGGCGGTAGAGGAGGGGGAGGGAGGTGGATGCTTTGGTGGGGGCCATGTTGATGTTTTTGAGTCTTGTTATTTTGTGTTACTGTTGAAGTAGGGGTTGTTGTGTATTTTGGACGGTTTAATTCGGTATTGAGGAGTTCTTTAGGAGTAGTTTTTTTTTGTTTTTGAGAGCAGTTGTGAGAACCGGGGTTTTAGGAGCATGAGTAGAGCTCCGTTTGTTTCTGGGAAAAAGAGTAAGCGTGACATTTAGGGTGTGGAGGATTATAAGGAAAGCTGACTGACAGATTTGACATGGAGACAATTCTTATCTATCATTGGATCAGAAAGTTCCACAAAGATTCCTTCACGCTGCGTCGGCGGGAATCGGACAAAGCACCTCATAGCTGTGACAACCATTGTGTGATACCGCACATAAAAGAGAACTTGATTTGGAGTTTGTCCTGGAGCTGTGAGCGATCCCTAAAAGCTAGATTTGGACTACGATTGATCATCTACTCGCTTCTTAGCAGCTCCACAATCAATTGATACTCTCCCAAAACGTAGTCTTAACATTTTGTGTACATATGTACATAGGGAAAGCATGCGGTCGTTGAGAAGTCGATGAGAAACAGTAATTTCGCAATGAGACTGAGTGCTCAGGTCGGTAATTCAAGCCCTCAAGAAGAGTCTTACTTTTGCGGTTGAGGCTGCTAATAATAGACAACCACGTTCCGGTGTTTGAAACAGATCGTTAAAGTAAAATGGCCTTGTCTGTGTTTATGCCTTGTGGAGGTCCACGCCCTCTGAGTGGCATGCCGTGATATGCCTCGATGCTGTGAAAGTTGAACGATGAGCCTTGGACAAACGTAATCACCATTTGAAAGGGCATGATGGCCATCTTGCAAGGCACATTTGAGATTTGTGGAAGCTCAAGGCCTAGAATCGGCGGCTCCCAACGTTCCTTCTTTTCACCTTTCTCAAACTTCGGAACCATCGAGCCATCTTCCCTTCCTTGCCATCCCTGAGGTCGTGATTCTTGGATTTGTTGAGATGACGAAGCAGCATTGAAACAGCCTGCCCCGCAAAAAGGGGGTCACCAAGCGGTTCGCCAATCACCCCCTCGATCGGCGCCGGGGGAAAGAGCGGCCCACGTGACGGCCCGTGGGCCCGTCTTCTGGAATCCCTTGAATCCCCAAAGTGACCCCTTTCCAGCGGGCTTGCCCCTGTCTTCAATACACCTGAAATGGGGAAGATATTTGCCACTTCGGGGCTGTGTTCGAAGGCGGCCTCCCTGGACGTCGTCAATTTTCAATGACCAAATGCCCTTTTGGGAATTTGGTCCTGGTGCCGCGGCGTTTTGGGGTTAGGGAACACGAATAATTCGTACCGAGTTGCTGCATTACCCGGTGTAAGGTATGTAACTCACGTTAAGTGCCTCGAGAAGTGAGATGGCTTCATCGAGAGCGAGATCGTCAAAATATCCTGCCGTGCGCACACCGCAACAAGCCGCAACGTTAGTTTGTTTCTATCGTTGCTTTTGGCAGCACTTATCTTGCCTTTGCAAGCTCTCCTTTGACAAACCCCTTCTGATCCGCCCGGGAATCCATCCATCCCCTTGTGACCTGCGGGGCGCTCTGATCCCCTGTGTCATCATCACCAATCTCCCTCTGGCGCGTCTCTTGCCGCTTCTTGATGAGAGGAGCATTTGGCATTTTTGCCTCTCGCGTGGCCCGCAATCTCCTGTCCCATGGCCGGGCTTGAGCACAGCCCGCCCAGTTACTAAATCTGGCCCGATGGGATACGTACCATGTACACTTGCGCTGGAACAAGTAACGAAACTAGTGTAAATGCGAGAAAAAAGAGATTAAAAAAACAAAAGTGCATAGCGAGTCCGCGCTTGTTGCGTGTCCTGCTCCATCTCGAATCGGCGTCTCAGATGTTGGCGCTTGTGCAGCTGCTGGGCGGGCTGGGAAACAAGGGGATGCTGTTTACCGCAGCAATCTGCGGGGCTTTTTCCGGTTGCTCAGCACCGTCCCCCAGTAGCCCCACGCTGGCCGGTCACTGGTTCACCTCCCAGTGGAGGTCCACCAGGACGGTTTCGAACTTCGCGGCCCCCCAGTTCTGGCCCGCACCGCCCGACAACCCTGAGTGAACCCTTTCACTTCAACGCCGCCCGATCCGTACCTCACCTTTAACTCTGGGCCTGATTCCCGAAAAAAAACCAATAACCCGGGCGGCAATTCCTCTCCGCCGAGGCACCGAGTTAACTATCGCCCCTTTTGGCAGCGACTATTTACTGACCTCTAGTCGGGAATTCCATTGTCGATTTCCCCTCTCCACTGTTTCTTCTCCGAAACAGCATCACGCGGCTTCCACAACTTCGAGTTTCGACCGCGCACCCTTCCACGTCGCCATCATGTCCTGGAAACTGACCAAGAGTATGTCAACATCGTGAATGGGGGTATCGGGATAGCTAGCGGTGCCACCTGTGTCGCTGCATCGTGGGACCCGTGCGCTACCATGTCAAAGAAAGCTACTGACGCAACGATTCTCTCTAGAGCTGAAGGAGACCCATTTGGGTCCCCTCGCGAGCACTTTCTCCCGAACCCCCTCAGCATCCCCTCTTCCGGAAAAGGAAGAGAAGCCCGCGGCTGCCCTCTCTGCGGCAGCGGCCGCCCCGACAAATGAGAGCACTATCGGTACGTCCCGTCCCATCTGCTCTCCATGAGCCCCCCATCCGACTAGCGGACGAGTTTTCCTCCCGTTCAACTAACCACAACCCACCTCCTCTCTAGCCGCCTCAGAAGCCCTCTCTCAAGCCCCCGTCGTTACGACCCCGAAACCCGGTATCCTCGTCGTCACCATCCACGAAGGCCAGGGCTTCTCCCTTCCAGAGCAACACCGAAATGCCTTCTCCCCGTCCCACGCCGGAAACTCGCTATCCACCGGCAACGCCCTCGGCATGGTCGGCTCGCCACGCCCCCCATCCGCTTCCCGCACGACCGCCTTTACGGGCGGCCGACCCCAGACCTCCGGCGGCTTCAGCGGCATCCCGACGAACCACGGCCGTATTTCCACCAAATACATGCCCTACGCCCTGATCGATTTCGATAAGGTGCAGGTGTTTGTCAACTCGGTCGAGGGCAGCCCCGAGAACCCGCTATGGGCGGGCTCTAACACGCAGTACAAGTTCGATGTCTCGAGAGTGACGGAGCTGGTGGTACATCTCTACATCCGGAACCCCAACGCCCCACCAGGATCCGGTCGCAGCCAGGATATCTTCCTCGGCGTGGTCCGCATCAACCCGCGCTTCGAGGAGAAGCAACCCTACGTGGAGGACCCCAAGGCGAGCAAGAAGGACCGCGAGAAGGCCGCGGCCGAGCACGCCAGCCGGGAGCGTTCCCTAGGCCACAGCGGTGTGGACTTTGTCGACGTGCAGTACGGCACGGGCAAGCTCAAGATCGGCGTGGAGTACGTCGAGAACCGGGCTGGCAAGCTCAAGATCGAGGACTTTGAGCTGCTCAAGGTGGTGGGCAAGGGCAGCTTCGGCAAGGTCATGCAGGTGCGCAAGAAGGACACGAGCCGGATTTACGCTCTCAAGACCATCCGCAAGGCCCACATCATCTCCCGGTCCGAAGTGGCCCATACCCTGGCCGAGCGCTCCGTGCTGGCCCAGATCAACAACCCGTTCATCGTGCCGCTCAAGTTCACGTTCCAGAGCCCCGAGAAGCTCTACTTCGTGCTGGCCTTTGTCAACGGTGGGGAGCTGTTCCACCATCTGCAAAAGGAGCAGCGCTTCGATGTCAACCGTAGTCGGTTTTACACCGCGGAACTGCTCTGCGCCCTGGAATGCCTCCACGGCTTCAACGTCATCTACCGCGATCTCAAGCCCGAAAACATCCTCCTCGACTACCAAGGTCACATCGCCCTGTGCGATTTCGGTCTCTGCAAACTAGACATGAAGGACGAGGACCGCACCAACACCTTCTGCGGCACACCCGAATACCTCGCGCCTGAGCTGCTCATGGGCAACGGCTACAACAAGACGGTCGACTGGTGGACGCTGGGCGTGCTGCTGTACGAGATGTTGACGGGTCTCCCGCCCTTCTACGACGAGAACACCAACGAGATGTACCGCAAGATCCTCAGCGAGCCGCTGCACTTCCCCGGCCACGACGTCGTCCCGCCCGCGGCTAAGGATCTCCTCACCAAGCTTCTTAACCGTGACCCGCAGCAGCGTCTTGGTGCTAACGGGTCGGCTGAGATCAAGGCTCACCCGTTCTTTCATGCTATTGATTGGCGGAAGTTGCTTCAGCGCAAGTATGAACCGGCGTTTAAGCCGAGTGTGGTATGTCACCCCCCTAATCTACCTACTATTACTTTCAAGACACCCGATATTAACATCATTTTTTAGGTCGACGCGCTGGACACGGCTAATTTCGACCCAGAGTTCACGTCAGAGCCGCCGCAGGATTCCTACGTCGAAGGTCCGATCCTCTCCGAGACCCTCCAGAACCAGTTCACGGGCTTCAGCTACAACCGACCGATTGCCGGTCTCGGCGACGCCGGCGGGAGTGTGAGGGACCCGTCGTTCGTCGGGAGCATCCAGGGAAGCTTGAGATAGACGGACGGGGAGTTTTTTTCTCTCTCACATGCATGCGAGGGGGGCAATTGGGTTGGTGTAGACCGACGGGTTTGGTCGGGAAGCTTTTTTCTTCTTTTCTTTTCTTTCGTTCGGGATAACTGACACTTGCGGCAAAGCGGGGAGCGGCGACTAGCATTTCGTATCGTTGTTTTCTCTCGTCTTTTTTTCCTTTCATATCTTTTCTAGGTGGGAAGGGCCGGGGAGGGGGGGTTGGGCATATGGTCAACGGGCATTTCCTTTTATCTCGAGCTCTCTTTCTCTCTTTCTCTCACTGTCTGTCTGAGACTGATTCTCTCTCTCTCTCTCTCTCTTTTATTTTCTGGTTTTCGCCGGGCGGGCGGATAGGTGGATGGATGGATGGGTCAATGGGCACCCATCATCCATTGGAAGAGGGATGTAGAATCTTGGCTCGCTTACTCAACCGCTGGCCGATGAAATGTAGGAGGAAAAGAGAGGATGAGGAGGGAGGAGGAGGAAGGAAGAAGAAAAGAGAGATAAAAAAACACAAATGCAGCAAGGGCTTGGCACTCAATTCATGTGAAAAACTGGTTTTGGTGGTGTTGTTGTGACTGACTGGCATTGGTGGTGGCATTGGAGTGGGTGAGTAAGTAAAAGGTAACGGGGGGTGATTACCTAACGATCAGAAGTCCATTATCAAAGCAGGTTCGTGGTCAGGACAAAGCCAATGTAAGTGCTGACTATGTTCTCGGTTCCTCTGCACCGGCATCTTGGCGGTAACTACGGTAGTTACGGTAGTTCGGTGGTACAGTGCATACTGCGGTCTCGAACCAAAAGCCGGCCTTGATTTCTCTTTCTCCCCGGGCCGGCCGGAAATCGGTTGACGAGAGAGACGGACGGAATAATTTACACCAGCAGCCCCCAGCACGCACCCACCCCCCCACGCTAAGCACAAACTGAGCAATTGAGGCTCTTAATCAGCGCGAAATCGCGAATTCGGCTAAATACTCAGCTGTGGAGAGCGAAAGCGGAATGCGACGTTTTGCCTGTGTTAGGGGAAGGGGGGAAAAGGTTCTTGTCTGTCAAGGTGCTAGGTACCACAGGAAGCATTGTAGGTGGGGCGGAGGGGCAATGAGAAGTTCTGGATGGAGCCATCTACAGAGCCGACGTGCCTGTATGGTGACGTGCACCGGGAGTCTGGGTCTCTTTTTTGAATGGTTCGTTTCTCTTTTGGAGTTGGATCGTCGTGATTTGAGGGTGTGGATGAGAAAGCATGACAAGGGCATGACTTTTAACGTTATGCTTTCTCCTCGGGTTCCGTCCTTGAGGGGTTAATGGGACTACAATAGACTCGAGGGCTGAGACTGGGCTGGGCGGATCGGATTGTTGTTGGGGAGAATAAAAACCACTCAAGTATCCTCGAGTCTTTCCTCTCGGGTTCCCCCCCATCCTTTCTCTGTGCTGTGCTACTCGACGTTGAGGTGTTTTTGCAGCAGTTTTTCTAAGAACCAAGTAAGTTAGGTCCCTGGTTGATTCCATTCCGTTCCCTCGAGAAAAGTTGCTCTGAAACCAACGCCCGCCACGCCTCTTGTCCTGCGGCGCCCATACGTCAGTCGGGCCGTCAGTCAGCGCCTGCAGCAAGCCGTTGTGGTCCCGCATGCGGGGCACAATCTCGAGAGCTTGCCGCATGGAAGCTATCAATCACCCCACCCCACTTCCTTCCGTCCATCCCACCTACTTGAAGTTGTGTTTCCCGGTCTCAGGTTTTCTCTTTTAAAACACCTCTCCTGCTTGCGGCAAGTTTGTGCACACTTTGTTTCTCGCTGGTACCAGCTGCAGTAGGCAGATTGTTTGATTTTGAGTTCTTTACACCGTTGTAAGCAACTTGAAGAAGGACGAGAAACTAAAACAACAAAAAGACAACAACCCCACTACACAGACCAAACACCGACTAAAACGACCACGATGGCTCCCGCAAACACGCTCCCCGCCTGGGCCGAGCTCGAGGCTCACCACAACAAAGTCGGCAAGTCCTTCGTGCTCAAGGACGCCTTCAAGGCCGACCCGAAGCGCTTCGACAACTTCTCCACCAAGCTCTCCCTGCCGGCCGACATCTCGTCCGAGGCCAACGGCACCGAGATCCTGTTCGACTTCAGCAAGAACCTCGTGACCGAGGAGACGCTATCCCTGCTCGTTAAGCTAGCTGAGCAGGCCGGCCTCGAGAAGAAGCGGGATGATATGTTTGCGGGTGAGAAGATCAACTTCACCGAGAACCGGGCTGTCTACCATGCTGCGCTGCGGAATGTGGGTGGTGTGGAGATGAAGGTCGATGGGGTGGATGTGATGAACACGAAGGGGGGCGTTAATGAGGTGTTGGAACATATCCGGGTGTTCTCGGAGCAGGTCCGCAGTGGGGAGTGGAAGGGGTTTACGGGCAAGAAGCTGACGACCATTATCAATGTTGGTATTGGCGGGTCTGATCTGTAAGTTTGGGTTCTACCTTCCGTTTTGTTTTCCCGTGGTATTATTGAGGGCGGGTGTGTAGGTCAGTTGGGCTGACTTGGAGGTAAACAGCGGCCCGGTCATGGTCACGGAGGCCCTTAAGCACTACGGCGCCAAGGACACCACCCTGCACTTTGTGTCCAACATCGACGGCACGCACATCGCCGAGGCACTCGCCAACTCGGATCCCGAGACGACGCTCTTCCTGATCGCGTCCAAGACGTTCACGACGGCCGAGACCACGACCAACGCCAACACGGCCAAGTCGTGGTTCCTGGAGAAGACGGGCGGCAAGGGGGACATCGCGAAGCACTTCGTGGCCCTCTCGACCAACGAGGCCGAGGTGACCAAGTTCGGCATCGACGCCAAGAACATGTTTGGGTTCGAGAGCTGGGTCGGCGGTCGTTACTCGGTCTGGAGCGCCATCGGCCTGAGCGTGGCGCTGTACATTGGCTACGACAACTTCCGCAAGTTCCTAGCCGGCGCCCACGCGGTGGACAACCACTTCCGCAGCACGCCACTGCGCCAGAACATCCCCGTACTGGGCGGCCTGCTCTCGGTCTGGTACTCCAACTTCTTCAACGCGCAGACCCACCTGGTTGCGCCATTCGACCAGTACCTGCACCGATTCCCGGCCTACCTGCAGCAGCTCTCCATGGAGTCCAACGGCAAGACCATCACGTCGGACGGCTCATCGGCTAAGTACACGACGGGCCCGATCCTGTTCGGCGAGCCGTGCACCAACGCGCAGCACTCCTTCTTCCAGCTGGTGCACCAGGGCACCAAGCTGATCCCGGCCGACTTCATCCTCGCGGCCAAGTCGCACAACCCGGTCTCGGGTAACCTGCACCAGAAGATGCTGGCGTCCAACTATCTGGCCCAGGCCGAGGCGCTCATGGTCGGCAAGACGGCCGACGAGGTCCGCGCCGAGGGCGGCGTCGCCGAGAACCTGGTCCCCCACAAGGTCTTCCTCGGCAACCGCCCGACCACCAGCGTGCTCGTCAGCGGCGTCATCGGCCCTGCAGAGCTCGGCGCCCTCATCGTCTACTACGAGCACCTGACCTTCACCGAGGGTGCCGTCTGGGACATCAACAGCTTTGACCAGTGGGGCGTGGAGCTGGGCAAGGTGCTGGCGAAGAAGATTCTCAAGGAAATTGATGAGCCTGGGAACGGCCAGGGGCACGATGCCTCCACTGGCGGGTTGTTGGGTTCGTTTAAGGCGTTTGCGAACCTGTAGGGTGGTCGATGGATAGATGGATGAGATAAATGTTGTTTTGTAATGGAATGAAATCTTATATTTTTAGGCATGATGATGAGTGAGCAATAAATTAAGAGCCTGGATTTTGGGACCGTACCTCTTAATATTTTATACGTATCATAACCTCAACCGTTCTATATCACTCCCCAATTTCTACTTCGTTTACACGTTCCATGTCTTCTACTCTCTAGACTAAGTACTGGCCAGCTAACTACGTTATACAACCATCCTACCTGCCCCGTATCCTCTACCTGCGCCGTGGGTGGGAATCTGTTATGTAGTTGTCGCTTTGCCTGCTCTGCCTGCCTGGCGACCTCCCGTCCCTGCAGCGCCGGCTGTAGAAGATGTGGAAGATGTGAAAATCAGGGGGTGATGTGGTGGGGTTAGGGTTATCTATGGGGATGTGGTCATATCGTACGGTATCAAAAGTCGAGGCGTACGGTCCCAAAATGCAGGTCCTAAAGTAACAACGGATATTTTTTTTTCAAGGAGCCTGAAGCTCGGAGTAAGTGATTGTTTGATGAACTGAATGATTGGTTCAACACGAAGAAGGCACCAGCCAACGCGGGTACAGACCGAAGCACGCTGTGAGGCCTACCGCCTCACGGAACGTGTTCCAGTCGACCACCTGCGCGTCACACCAGTTTGAGAGGCTTACGGGCCGTTTGGTTGGACAGGTTGAGAGATGCAAACGGGATGCCTCTCGTGTTGCGTTGCTTTGGTTTGCTCTGTTGGAGAGTGAGGAGTTGGTATATATTGGCCGGGAGACTTTGGGACATTTTGGAAATACCAACCTCTGTCTCTTCTTCTCTATCAACGGGCACCCCTCACTCGACAACACGAATCATGGCGACTCCCGGTTATATCCCCTGTGCAAACTGGACCGTCGGCGGTACAGCGTGCAAAAAGACGGGCACGTTCAGTTGCAAGAGCTGTAAACTCGTATCGGTGAGTTTTGTGTTACTCGTTTTTTTATCACCAACCACCCTTTCTGCTTCCCCCATCGCTATCCTGAAATGTTAACACTTTTCTAGTATTGCGGTCCAGTCTGCCAGAAATCCCACTGGTCCGTCCACAAGACTGACTGCAAATCCCCGCTAAGTAGTACCTCTTGGAAGCCAGGCTGGGAAGCCGAGAACCGGACGCCGAGTTTTGTTGGTGACAATGATGGGCCGTCGAACTTTGGCGGGATGAAGTATTACTGGGGGAATGTGCCTGCTCTGGATGTGCTGAAGCTGGGGGAGAATGAGGGGGCTGGGCATGAGAAGCATTTGAGAATTTTGTGTGCTGGTGAGTATTGTCGTATCATTCTTTGTGTGGTTGTGTGTTTGTTGACATCAGGGGTAATTAAACGCTGACTGACGACGATACATACAGCATCCGGGGACTTCCGTAATGTAGTCAAGACCATCGCCCAGCTACCCAGCAGCTATTCTGGCACCGTCGAAGTGACTCTCAACGACAAGGAACTCGACATTGTCGCACGCAACGCCATCATGCTACTAATCGGTCTTGTCGTTGACAACGACGACAACTCCAACGCCCCCAACATGGACACCGCCATCGACTGCATCATTCACATTTGGTACTCCGCCCTCATCCGGCCCTCCGACCTCTCCATCCTTCAAACCCACATCCGCCCCCTCATCGCAGACATATGCACCAAAACAGCCAACAAACCACCGCACACTCTCCTCGCTAAAACCTGGACTTTCCCTCCCGTTTCTTCTTCCAACCCCACCAACGGAGGGACCCCCCGGACCCTCCGACTAACCCTCCAGAAACAAGCCTGGGACCGGATTCTCTCCTTCCTGGACGTGCCGCAGGGCTTGACGGCGGAGAAGGCCCATAAGATCCGGACCGGGGTCACGCTAGCAAGGGAGAGACGGGATTATCGCGATCGGTATTATACGCTGCAGGTGCCTGCGCAGCGGGTGGCGAAAGAGCGGTTTCGTGAAGATGGGGTGATGTTGCCGTTTGGGATGGCCAGGCAGGGGTTCTTGGTGCCGAACCCGTGAGTGTTTTTTATTTTATTTTTAACTTCTACAAAAAGGGTTTACTGACGGGAGATGATATTTAGCACATTCTTCCAGGATGGAACTTGGCACATGCCTGATAATGCGAACCCCCTGGACGGGTGGTCCGAGGAAGAACTGGCAGAGTATCCGCACCCGCCGGCGTCGGCAGACATGTATGGCAAGATGTATTACTACCTCCGTGCTATGCTCCGGGACTTTCTTATTCGCGTGGCCGAGGGAAAGGTTACCTTCCGGCTCTTTCACATGGACGCTGCTCAACTTCCGAAACACGTCGAAGCAAGCTCTTTCGACCGGATTGATGTAGGCCTAAGTTTATCCCATCACCCCCCTCTCATGACCTCCAATAAATCTGTCTAACACAAAACCAGGTGTCCAACATCTCTGACGCCGGCTATCTTGGCCTTTACCGCACCCTCAACACCATGATCCCGCTCCTCACGACACCCTCTACCAACCGCCACGCCACGCTCATCACTTTCTTCATGAACGCCATCCCGGAAATGTCAAACCCGCAGGACACTCTAGTTAGCATGGGCCAGTCCAAAACCAAGCTGATGCAGTACATGCCCAACTTGTTGGCCAATGCCCGCGTTATCCACGCCGTGAGTGGGGGGTATCAGTACAGCCTAGAGGCTGTAAAGTTTGTATGTGCGCTGGAGCTTATGGGGGATCATGATGCTATCTGGGATCGGTATGTGCCCTCTTCTTCTCCCCCTTCCGACTGACACTCCAAAGCCAACAGGCTCACCTCCGCGAGAAAACTAAACAAAAAAATAATAATTAACACAATCCCTTAGATATACCTCCCTCCATAACTTCCCCCACACCGCTTCCCTATGCAATGCCTCCATGAAGCCCCAACGGAAACACACCATCATCGAGGCCTGGCCCTACCGTCTCAAGCTGCAGCCCGGCCAGCCGGGCGCCCAGGCCGAGTTTGACCGGCGCCTGGCGGGCGGTATGTCGGGTAAGGAGAGGTATGTGGAATGGAGTAGGAAGGTGTGAGTCACAGAGATCAAGTTATGGAGATGAATGTAGTAGATATGGTTGAAACTTTCTAGGAATGCTTGAAAAGAGGCGATGTAAACGTAGAGGGAAAACGGCAGTGGTATTGTATTGTATTATACCTTATCGAACCCAACCCATGAAATCGAGAACGGCATCGCCCAGCTTGACATGCCTCTGAACTACGGTGATGTATTAAAGCCTTAAACCACCTTTCACCTTGCCATTACTGTTCCCAAAACTCCAAACTTGGCCAAAATTCACACAACTATCCCCCCATGCGCTTTAGATCACACACCCGGGCACTGACCGGCCGCTCAACAAGAAGATAGAGAGGAACCAATCTTATAATTAAGCAAGCAAATAAAGCTGTTTCTGTGTCAACTTTTAGTTTTACCCACAAAGAACAGTCGCCTCCCAAAACAACCCACGCAGCCATACCATACCGCCCACATATCAATCAATACGCCTTGCCGTGATCAACCTTGACCATGAGCCATCAGCCATGAGTATCAATCATCACCCCCCAACCTAGTAACTCATACACACGTTACACACGTTGGAAACAAATTGGAACCCAAAATTGAGAGGAGAGAGAAGAAACAAAACACGAAAAAAGAGCGGAGTGGAATAATCAGCACCGTGTGATCCCACTCAAAACTCACAAATTTCAGGAGAGGAGAGAAAAGAAGAATTCTTCGCCTACGGAAAAAGCAGTTTGTTTGGTTTCTCTCTCTCTTTCATTGATTCCTTTCTTCTTTCTTCCATTTCACTGCTTTCTCCGTTCCACGCAAGGCCTGAGGTAAGGCAGGCAGACGGATCAGGTACCGAGCAATGTAGGTAAGGGGAAAAGGCGAAAAATTTCGGATTGCGACTTTGTGACCTTTGTTGAACTCCGGCGTTGTGGTGGCAAAAATCATGATCAAAAACTCATTCCTCCCTTCCCATTCTTCATCATCATCATCAACACCCACAACATAAACCCCCATCCGAACCGAACGAACTGAAACGAACCGAACCGGCCATGTTGCACCCCTCCGTTACCAACCGCCATTGTTCCCATCCGTACCGTTACCGACTGTACCAGTATACCAGAGTTGTATCCCGGTTATCAGCTCTGCTCTGATGAAAAAAAGAACCGGAAAGCAAAAAAAAAAATCAGATAGCCTTTATCCTCCCCGCCTTTGGTCCTCCGTATGTCACGTATCGCAAATCACGGTATCGCTTTCCCGCCTTCGCCGCCTCATTCCTTTTCCTTTTCGCCTCCCCTACTAACTTCGAAATCAAGAAAAGGAAACAGTTTCAAGCATTGGATTCTGCTTGATCAATGCCTAGAGCCCGGCAAGCTTATGGGCGCGAGGCATCTTCACACAACCATCATCCTAAGTGATAGTTGTTACCCCAGCCACGAGGGGCGTTGCCGTAGTAGGCGCCTCCCGCAAACCCTTGGGTGCCGTAGCCACCAGCGCCGTAGCTGTTCTGGTGGGACTGGCCGCCGCTGGCGCTCATGCCGTAGCCACCGGCGCCGCCCGACTGGTTGCCATGCAGACTGTGTGCCTGCTGTTGCTGCTGCTGTTGCTGCTGCACATGGCTCGGGTAACCGCCATATCCACCAATTCCGCCGAGGCCGGCGCTCTGCGGGTTGGACTGCGGAGGCGGGAGACCGGACTGCGACGGGCCGTTGTTGGCCGCCGAGCCGGGGCGCGCGGAAGCACCGAGGGAAGGGCTCGGACCGGCACCTGCCTTGGACTCGCCAAAGGGCTTGAGGTCGTCGGTCGCCGAAGGGCCGGAGCCGGGCTGCGAGCCGGGAGCGTTGAACGACTGTCCAGCACCCTGGGATTGGTAGCTGGATCCGCCGCGGCCGAATGTGTCGTGCACACCACCGAAGCCGCTGCCACCGAGACCTTGCTGGCCGGACTGAGCTGAGCCAGCGCGGCCGTAGTCGCCCAAGCCAGCGGCACCCACACCGCTGCTGTCACGGTGCAGGGCAGACTGGCCAAACCCGCCGGCCGGGGACGAGTATCCGTGAGGGCCCTGAGGAGTAATGCCGTATTGGCTGGGCTGGTAGTTCAGGCCGCCCTTGCCATAGGGGCCGCCGTAGCCGCCCTGGTTGTACCCCTGGTTGTAGTTGAGGTAGGCAGAGTAATACGGGTTTTGGTAGTACGGGTGGTTGCCGTACGGGTAATCGTGGGGCTGCTGAGTGTGCGACTGGGCCTGGGTAGTAGGGGCCGCCTGGGCCTGGCTTGTAGTGGCCTGGCTCGGGGTCGGAGTGCCGGTGGCCTGCGACTCGGCGGTAGCATTGGCCCCGAAGCGCGACTGTTGGGCGCCGCCTTGGGGATACTGGCTGAGGTTGTCGCTCTGGGGGCCGTTATAGCCACTGAACGAACGCTGGGGCTGTTGCGACGACAGGGCGTCCTGCTGGCCCTGCGCGCCCTGTTGCTGACCAAAGTTTTGGTTATAGTAGTTAAGGCGGTTCTGCTGGTCCGCCGTATAGTAAGACGAGAAATCGCTGGGAGCCGAGCTGAATGGGCCGCCAGGTTGCTGCTGGCTCGGGGGCTGGGCGATTTGGCCCTGGCCCTGGAAGCCGCCCTCGAATTGGCTTTGCGCGGCCGAGGCCACGGCCGGTTGCTGGCTGAATGGCTCGAACGGCTTGGAGGTCGTCGGGAACGACGAGGGCTCCTGGGGAGCGGACTGGCCGAAGCGGCCGAATTGTTGGTTGTTTTGGGGCGCGGTAGGCGGTTGCACGGTAGCTAGAGTAAAGTATGTTAGACCCTGTTGAGTAAAAAGCCCAAGAGGATGAAGGGAGGAAATCAGCCTACCCTGCGAAGCAGACGGGGTGCCGGCCGCGGGCGCGGTAGGGGCAGCAGCTAGAGAAGCGTCAGTCTGGGCATGCTGGGACAGTCCAGGCGGGTAGGATCCCATACCAGCAGGCCCCGTGGGAATTTGCGCAGCGGCGGGCTTCTGAGCCGGGAAGGCATCGGGCACCGGAGTCGGCTGCGCAGGTGGAAGTGAGGTCCGGGGGTGGGCGACGGGAGAGTCCTCGGGGGGCTGAGGACGGGTTTCGGGCTCTTCGCGGTCTCCATCGACATCATCATCAATCGGGCCATTGAGGCTGAAAGCACCGAACTGAACGGTAGCACGGTCGACCTGGTCACGGTTACCAGGCATGCGCACGGCTTCACGCTGGTCGAGCATGCGGCGGGGGTGGTGAACAGCAGCGCGAGCTAGCGGCTTCGCTGCTGCGCCGCGCTGTTGACTGGCAGAAAGAGGTGTGCCAGCAGAGCCGGGGCCCGTCCCACGCGGGTCCCATGAATCAGCGGCCTCGCTCGCGGCGGTTTCGGTCACGGGAGGATGGGAATCATCCTTGATCTTGTCAAGGTTGGTTTCGGTGAGTTGGTCTTTCGAAGGCACCAGCGCGACCTCGGGAACGACGACAGCTGGAACGGCAGGTACAGCGGGGATAACTGGAACGGCCGGTGTGACATGCTCGACCGGGGCGGCGGGTTTGGTTTCTGTCTCAGGCTCGGCAGCGGCCGGCAGTTCGACAGGCGCAGGAGGCTCGGGCTCGGGCTCAGGTTCGGTCGGCTCGGCCGCGGGAAGAGGTTCAATGACAGGCTCTGGGGCCTTGACGGGCGGCTCCTTAGGCTTCGGCGCCGGCTTAGGGGCCGTCGACTGTCGCAGCATACTCGCCCAAGTGGAAGCGGGCTTCGCAGCGGGAGCTGGGGTAGTCGTGCTCGGGGCGGCAGCGGCCGCAGTTGCAGCGGTAGTCTCCGTCGCGGCAGGCTCGCCCCATGCAGCCGCCTCGTCGGCCAGCTTGGTATTCCATTCGGACGCTTCTTCGGTCGGGACCGAGAGAGGGTCGGTGTCCTTGGGCCGGGTGCCGTTGGTTGTGCCTTGACTGGTCGATTTGCCCCGCGCACCACCGCGACCACCACGCTCGGTAGCCCGGCCACGGCCACGGCCCCCTTCAGCACCACGCCCGCCTCGGGCATTTCGGAGTGCGCCGGCGGGGATCGATTCGCCGGTTGTAGTCGTGAAAGCGTCGATCTTGGCCTTGGGACGTGTGCGCTCCTTCTTGGGCTTGGAGACTTCGCCCCACTGTGAAATGGTCCCTATTGCAGAGGCGAGCGCGTTAGCGAGGTCAGGCGACTGGCGTGTCAAGCTAATGCCCGACCAAGGACGGTGACGCCACAGGGTTTCGAGTAGAACTCTGTGCAAAAAATGCAAAGCAACAAAAGCAAGGAAGGGCTGGCCTGGGCTGAGCTGGGCTGTGTGCCGCGACAGTCTCGGCATTGGCAGCACCAACAGCAATACCAGCAAGGGAGTCAAACAAAGAAGAAAAGAAACAAGGTCTAAGCTTACCCTCGGCGATGCGGGTAACGGTCAAGTTCTCGTCGCCGTCTGTCTCTTGCAGGGCGAATAGAATATCGACCGAAGACCAGTCGGGGAACATCTCTTTGATGACGGCAACCTTGCTGCCGTATTGCTGCTTCAGTTGGCCGACGTCGCCCTCGTCTTCAAGTGTCGGCAGAGAAGAATCTGTGTCGTGCTTGGAATCGCCATTGGCACTAGGCCGAGTACCGGCGCGCCCTCCGCCTCGGGTCGCAAAGCCGCCACGGCCACCACGGCCAGAGCCTCGGCCGCGCGGGGCAGCCGGTCTGGTCTGTACCTCAGACATTGCTGAGTTGTGTGTGTGTGAATGCGATGATGTGGGATCAGGAGAAATTTGGCGATCGAATTTCGATTCGCTGCGTTTGGTGGAAGACCACGGCACGATGGGGGCGGTATGTGTGGAGTAAAAGAGAAAAGAAGGAGAGGAGGAAAAATTGAAGGGCTTGTAAAAGGAGATGGGACTTCGCGCAGGGCGAATCGAATCGTGGTGCGACCCGTTGGATGGATCGATCCAGGTGGTTTGTTGGAATGGGAAAAGGAAACAAGTGCAGGTGTGGGAGACCTGAACGATGCAAGGAGGCGTTGAGTTTTTGCCCAGCGATTCACAGTCACCCAAAAAAGGGTCGCAGAGGCCACCCAAGGTTAAGGTTCAGTGGCACTGTGCACTGCCTGCTGGCACTTGCCCGCTGCAACAGGGCGCCCCAGCCTTGCCTGGCGGAATTATGGGTCCTTACTCAGTGCGTCACAGGACTGGCCGGGCGTCAATCAGCTGCCGCGGTTCGAGGTTCTCGCCGTTTGCAGGGAGTTGGTTTTAGTTCTTTTTTTTGAGGTCCTTCCTCCTCCCTCGCTTGCAGAGAAACCAGGCGTGTTGGAAATAATGCAAAATCACGTCAATTGCACCAGCAAGTATTCAATTTACAGTAAGGGAAGGTACGGGAGCCCCCAAAAATCTAACCACTGCCCTGACTCCACGAAGACCCAACGGCCGAGTTTGCCAGGTGACGCCAACAGAAAGATGGACATGCGCGGACTTGCTTGGATTGGCGTTGTGGGGAACGGCCCTGAACAACGGCAGTGGCCTAAATCCCATTGTGACCCTCCAAGCTCGAGCTGCCAAGGACAGCAGAACAGCTCCCATATTAGGTCGTGGCCGAAATGGTTTACAGTAGTTAGCTTCTATTCTTCTATTGTGTCTGCGCAGTCTATTGTTCAAGGGAATCGAATCGCCTCCCAATCTTTTTCCATCTGATGAGCCGGCCTCTCTACACTTTGCCACCCAGCGGATGAGCTGAGCGGCCCGGTGCCGGCTGTCTGGGGATGGTCCAAGCCAATCCGGACTTGGCAAGGGGCCGACCAGGTTGTGGCCCAGCTGGCGGATATCACATGACCGCTCGGCTGACCAAGACCCAACGCACAGACCACCATTGTCGACGGTCCCACTTTGTTTCCCCTCCAAGCTCGAAGGCGGCGCCGAAAGCTCCGTCTCCAACGTCAACATCGGATTCACAACCGCCCAATTCTGGCCACGATTGGGCCAATTTCGCCCCAGGAGGGCTGCTACGAGCGCCGCGAACTCATCTAAGCGACCACTACCCCCTCATCGACGCCCACGATGCAGAAATCTCGGCCCCTCAGCTCTTTCAAGAGCATCTTCCCCCCCATCCACGCCCCGATGCCGCTCGACCAACGCGGGTCACAACGACTCCTCGAGACGATGAAGACTTCATTCCGCGCCGAACTCGATAAGGAGCACGGCTCGTCCAAGGCAGACCCCGGCCCAACCTCGAAACCGGCCATGCCGGGGGCTACCGACCAGCACTTACGCAGCATCCTCCACAACCCGCTCTTCAGCGTCAGCGACATGGTGCAGGCCCCCGACAGCCATCTTCAAAAAGTAGAGAAGCAGAAGGCCATTTTTCAAATGGCCGTCTCCAGGGGACTCATGGACCTGCCAAGAGCGCATGGGTTTTTGTTACGCGTTCGGTCAATCGCTGGTGAAGGGCTGCCGGACAGTGTTTACTCGTCCGGCGCCGGTCGGCTGGTCTTTGAGTGGCTGAGGTCCTCGGGCATGGAAAACGATCTTTCGTTTCTGTCTAACGGGAATGGTCAATTTCGGAGGTTACTCATGCGCTTCATGCTCGGGGATGGGCTAGACAATGTGGTGTGGACCTGGTACGATCGGCTGCTCGAGGCTCGCGAAGGCGCGGTACCCCCGCAGCTCATCAGATTGCTGATGGGGGACTTCGTCAATTCCAAGTTCTCGACCCAAGAATTGGGACCGGCTTATTCGACACTGATCCAAGCAGAATCGACCGCTCGGGAAAGGAACGCAAACATTCGCAGCGTGCTCCGCTTCGCATGGCGTGTATTAGCATTCCACACCACCGTCACGCCTCGAGGCAAATTGAAACCACCTGCAGACCTCTTTGACCGCTTTGTGTCCATGGAACCCGAGCTCATGCCGCGAAAGGTGGAACGCGCGCACGTCAACCTGTTCCATCCCGTCGAACCTTCCTCCGGCCTCGCAGAGGAGATGCTCCTGAACAACAGCTTTTGGAATCACCGCAAATACTCCCACACCAATGTTGCCGCCGCAGGGGTACGCGATTCCCCCGTTTTAGACACATCTACAGCAGCGGACACAGTCATTGAGCCCCTCCTCCTCCCAGGGACGCTCACCGGCCGCTTCCACCATACAATTTACCCTTACCTCAACCGACCCGCCAACACATCAATTTACCGTCTCGTGGTCCTCGGGATCGATACGGTGCAGCACCTGATCCGGACCAATCGAGAACCACAAGCCATGCGGGTATGGGACCGCATCGTCACAGAGCTCCGGTTACCTTTCACATATGAGCAGGTGGCTGGGATGACGCAAGTTGCGCGGTGAACGGAATGGGGCGAGATTTGATCTGGGGTCGGCTTATTGCCGTTCTTGGTCATTTTATTGAACTATCAACCCCTTCTCTCAGATGCCAAAAGTGACTCGTGGCACCGCCGATACACTGAGAGCGCTCCGACGGTACGCCGATACGGCACACGTTTCCGCGGGCATCGATGAACTCCCATGGCTAGGCAGATATCTAACATCTTCATGAAAGAGAATTCTCGGCTTTGGCACGGGAGAGACCTGGGTCTGAGATTGCCGACAGCGGCTAGGCTCGGCCGTCCAGCTCTACGGAGTTGACGGCGGGATGTGGCCAGTTGCTGTTGATTGAGACAAAGGTGCCTGATCGTCGTCAGGACGGGGCTATCAGGAAAATCTGATTGCTTCATGTATATACACACCTGTACTGTACTCTACATACGATTCGTCACGCAAAGAGAAGGATCAATAAATAAAATGAACCTCTGAATTGGAGAACAAAAGAAGGTAAATGGTGTGTCATAGCACCTTTATAGCTTACAACACCCTGTCCATTCATACCAACATACCCCCGGCGCTACTCCCCACACTATCCCGATCCTCTTCCAAACCATTAACAGCCCATAACGCCCGTCTTAGGCCCAGTGCCGCGCTAAAGAAACTCAATTCCTGTCCATCCAGAAACTCCTTATTCCTCCTACACGTCAAACTCGGTAACCTCCCAGCCCAGCCGAGGGTGCCACAGTCCGACATACGCCCAGCGCAGTTGCCATAAATACCCACGAGGCCTTGATATCATCGTATCCGCTACGGGTAGTACAGTACAACCGTGCCGCTTCATTTAACCCCTGAAATAGCCCAAAAATGGTAACAGCACGGCAAGGAGCAAAGCAACCGACGATAATTTCGTGAGAGTCGACAGACTAGGGGGTGGTGCACTAGACGCGGTTCTGATCTTGGGTCGGCGTGTTTGGGTTAACTTTGAGTACCATGGCCGTTGTTGCTGCTGGTCCTGTTGTTGCTGCTGCTGCTGCTGCTGCTGCTGCTGCTGCTGCTGCTGCTGCTGCTGCTGCTGTTGTTGTTGTTGTTGGTAGTGGTGGTAAGGGGAGGAGGAAGAGTCCGGGATGATTGGGGATACGGGCTCGCTGGCGGAGGCGGTTCGCCTGCCGCCGCTGGGTTGCGCTGGTGTTGTTTTTGATCGTCGTGGGGGGGCAGTGTAGTCGTCGTTATATTCATTGTCGTCGCATGCGCGCTTGTTGCTATGATCTTTGGGGTTCCCGTTACCTGTTGTGGTTTGGTATTCATAGTTGCTGGAAGTGTGAGGGTTGGACCCTGTAGGCTCGCTGGAGTGGATGTTCGTTGTATCGAGTCCGAGTTCCTTGAACACGGACTTGCGTTCTCTGGGGAACTTTCCAGATCCGGAAAACGAAGGGGGGCGGCCTGTGCCTTCGCGGATGCGATCTTCGGTGCATCGGTGGTGGAAGCTGGGTCGTCCTACAGGTTGTGTTGAAGGAGGCGTTTCAATGGCGGTGCTGGCCATTGTGGGTGAATTGTAGCCGGGGCAGCTAGGTAGGTAGATAGGATGTAGTGGGTGCGGAGGGGAGAAGGTAGGTATAAGGGCCGGCTACGAAATGGTGGACCTGATCACGGGCATAGGGTGATTAAGTTCCGGTATAGGGGTGTTGTTGTCTTAATATAGCGTTGCTGGGGTCAATATGAAAATAGAAGTGAAGCAAAATGTGTCAAGAAGAAACAGCAGAATATACTATGCCCTACGGTTAAGCGGCGTTGGACGTGAGGCTTGAAGCAACCAAATAAGAGAGACTCGAAACTAAGGGAACAATACAACAAATAACGTTAACCCTCAGCCGCTTTCCCTCGGTTTCTTGCCGTCATTAACTCATCACAATTCTCCAACGTGGGCACCCGAATGCCCGGAATTGGTGCACGGCTGACCCACAGGATTCTCAAGATCAACGATGCGGAGACTCGGGGAAGCAGAAAGACCAGGCAAAACAGCCAACCACACCCGTCGACGACCTCTCGGACCTGAAGGCAAAGACATCATCGACAACGGCAGGGATCCTTCGCGCAGCAAATGAGGATTTGGGAATATGGAGGATGACTACACAGTGTTGTAGCAAATCGAAATCCCAGAGACTTGCAACGTTCCCCTCAATGCTGATCGCCCAGAAGTTCAGCCTATACAATGCCCGGAAACCGGAAACAAGTTGGAGTTTGGAGAACTGGACTGAGTTCTGGAGTCGGACTGCGGTGCGCGGCTGCCGAAAGGAGAAGCTTCCTAGTGTCTTGGCATTTTTGATTGGCCGGCGCCCGGAATCAACTGGTCCTTGGAAGGCCCGCCGTTCCCCGGATGAGCTCGGTCCGGACCATGACTTCATCAATGGGTTTCCCACACGCGGTCCGTATCCGAGGTATCCTCTTGGAAGCGTGCTGTTCTTTAACCTTCAACTGACCATTAGGCAGCTAGGGCCAGATTGAGAACAAACTACAATTAGCAGCCGTGCCAAGGCACCCGAAGACACGAGCACCATCCCACTTTGCGCCCGTTCATTGGGAAGAGTAAAACAACCAAAAAGCTAGGTTATATATTTCATGTCAATGCCATCCAGGTCTCCGAGGTTGATTCGCTCCCACTGCAATGTATTACGGTGTTTGGAAGGCTGCGGTCCTGTCAGTTAGGGAGGTTGTGAACCTGGCGAGACTGTGATCGTGCGCCATTCAGGGTTAGGGTTATGTATGAGAGAAGTCACGTATACAGTCCCGTGTATCCAAATGCCACAGTCTGAAGTGCATGTCTCTTCTTTGAAAAATTTTGAGGAAGGTTCGATAGGTAAGGAAGTATTCTGCTTGGCGACCAACGAGTTGGGTCTTATGTATTTATTGGTGCCTAAATAAATGATGGAATATCACAACTGAAACCTGAGGCCTCTGCGCGATACGCCCAGTCCAAGTTCATCTCGAGTTCTCGCTTTATTGCCATCACCTCATCCGCCCAGGAAACTGGGGCGCAGGATCGACCATGCCACCAAATACACCCCTTCTCCTCTATGGCACTGCCTGGAAAGAGGATACGACCGCGAAGCTCACAGAGACGGCGCTTGAGAACGGCTTCACCGGCGTGGACACGGCCAATTATCCGACCGCCTACAATGAGCCGTTGACCGGCGATGGCATTGCCGCCGCTCTCGGCGCGGGGCTCAAGCGCAGCGACTTGTTTGTACGCAACACCATCCGCGGTTTTCTTCTTCTTCTTCTTCGTTTTGAATGACGCTAATACGCTAACCTTTGGGGCGAAAGATCCAAACCAAATTTACGCCGGTCTGGGCCCACGAGAAGGACAAAATCCCGTTCAACCCCGACCAGAGCATTGAGGACCAGGTGAAAGAGTCCATCAAGCAGAGCCTCGAGCATCTCAAGGTCGACTACCTCGACGCGCTTTTCCTCCATATCTACTTCGAGAACGACGCCGACAACCTCATCGCTTGGAAGGTCTTTGAGACTTTCGTGCCGCACACCATTCGCCGCCTTGGCGTTTCCAACTTCAACCTCTCTCAGCTGAGGGAGTTGTACGACGCTGCGACGGTGAAGCCGAGCTTTGTGCAGAACCGGTTCTACAAGGAGACGGGATTTGACCTTGACGTGAGGGGGTTCTGCGCCGAGCATGGGATCACCTACCAGGCATACTGGATGCTCAGGCACAACCCAGAGGTCTTGGAGTCTGAGATCCTTGCGTCTGTGGACGACAAACTGCACGTCAAGAAGGAGCTGGCCTTCTACGTTCTTATCCTGGGCCTGGGAGGCACGCAGGTGCTCGACGGCACGACAAAGCCGGAGAGGATGCTGCGTGACGTCAAGACGGTCGCCGAGGTTTTCAGTAACGAGGCACTCTTGGGCGAGCTGCAGCGGGATATTGATGAGTTCCGCAAGTTGCTCGAGAAACTGGCTGGTTGAGCACTGTAATAGCTCTCTCCCTCTCTTTGGCCCCCCGGCCAGGCAACCCCAAGGCGTCAGGGGCGGTTGCAATTCTCAAGCAGTGAGGAGTGGATCAGATAGCCAAGTCAGTCCGTGGAAGGAAGGTCCACCATATAAAGTGGTATTGATGATATTGAAGGGGTTTCCCTTCACCGCGCATGTACCTGCGGTGTTCTGCGAGCGGCTGTGGTGGGCGATGTTGCGGCAAGGCGATGGTTTGCAAAAATATCTAGGTACCTAGAGAAGCTTGCTGTGGACTTGGCACTTCTGCGCTTGCTGCTGCCGTCGCAACGCCATCACGTGCCTTTTCCCCCCTGCGAGGACAAGGCTCAGTGCCATGTGTTTTGCCCAACCGTTGAGGTAATAAGTGGGTCTCGTTGGCCGTTGACAAGACACCGCTTCCCACTTTTTAGTGTTGACAAACAAAATTTGAAACACCGCCAGTTCACGAGAAATCGAAGAAACTCCAACTACCTCTTCTCTTGTCTGAGAAACTCACCCAACCATCCGGCTTCAGCCATACCGGCTAGCCGAACAGGTCTGATGCCAAGGAATGAGCCGCCAGTCCCTGGTGTTCTTTGTGGAACCTACACTGCAGGCCTATCAGAGATACCAAAAAGCTGCAGGAGACCCGCTCCTCCCAGGGGACCGGCTGCCAGCTCATCCGCAACGAGGCCATACAGATGAATTCGTCTAGCTGCGCCGTTTCAACAGGCGCTGAACCGCGCGGCACGATTCTTCAATCCACTGAGCTGGCCTGATGGAAACCATGGATGGAGCAGGACGGCTTCGTGCGATAGGTTCGCTTCTCCCCGTGGCCCCTGGTTCCTTCCTAGACTGTGGTTGCAGACTCCGGGCCGTTGGTAGTTTGGCCCCCAACGCGGGCATGGGCTCTAAGTAGTTCTATTATGTATATCACTTAAGTGCAAAAAAACGCCCTGGTTGAGGGTGGCCTTCCATCCTTCTTGGTTCCCTCATCGCCTCGAGACAAAGCTCGTTTGTGGTTGCCAGCTTCAACGCCGAGCCGCAGGATCGGCTTGAGCTATTGTATCGAGGTGAACTTAGTTCACGTTGTTTACTTCTGAGATTTGACATCCGACTCACTTAAGCCACCACTGTTATACAGCCGCTCCTTCGCCCTTTTCTTCCTCTCTTTCCAATATTTGTTTCATCCTCTCTTTTCGGCGTCGCTTCATCATGTTTTCCTTAATACTCGCGACACTGCTCGCATTGTCACAGCTAGCATTAGCTATCGAGTTTCTCAGCCCGCCACCCGCGGACGGTACACAGGATTTAAAGTCGAATCCCGTCTACAGCTCGGGCTCGCCTCTCCAAGTAGTGTGGACGGATACTGAGGACACCGGCATTCCGTTCTCCGTGGTCGTATATCAGGTCGACGTTTCCGATGGAATCACCATTCCACCAAACCAGGCGTTTGAATACGTCGTTCGTAAGTTGCACCCGCTAGTTCACGACGAGGAAAATCAAGGGACAGGGGCAAAATTAGACAGGAAGAACGCCCATAGCTAATTAACACTCCGCTGTTAGATGATGCAGTGAATATCACCGACAGCCAGTGGGTCGTGGGAACAGCCAAGGACGTCGCCAGATCCAACGTTTTTGCCATGTCCATCTTCTTCAAGGGAGACACGGTGGGCCGCGCGCTCTCAACCTATTTCAACATCACTAGCTCCCCTAGCCAAGGCCAAACACATCCCCCGATAAAAACCACGACGCAGACAGCAACAAGGCCAGCCACCACCATGCCAACCTCCACTGCATCTTCCAAACGACCCCCCAAAACCACAACATCGCCGCCCTCGTCGGAGGGAACTACCATCAACAACAATAACAACAATTACAACAACAACTACAACAACAACAATAACAATAACAACAATAACAACGGCAATAATAACAATAATAACAACAACGTCGGTCTTAGTACAGCAGCAGCGATCGGCATCGGTGTAGGCGCCGGCCTCGCTATCATCCTCGGGTCCGCGGGCGGCTGGTTCCTATTCCGACACCTCAATAGCAAACGCCAAGGGACACAAGAAGCAGGACAAATGAAGGATACATCGTCATCAACCGGGAAACTGTCCCCATCTCCCTCCTCCGGAACCTCCTCCACAGCTGGCGGCGGAGCTGGCGGTGGTGTTCCCGACGCCGACTTGTACAGCCACTTTTACTTCGGCCCGGAGTCGTCCGGCTACGGCTACGGCTATGGGCTAGGAGGTGGAGGTGGGGCTGGGGCATCGGCTGTCAGTGTGGAACAGAAAAAGCAGCCGTATGAGATGAGTGCGGTGGCGTGTCCGAGGGAGGTGGAGGGAGATACGAGGTTTCCGAGGTATGAGTTGGATGGGTTGGAGAGGTGATAGGGGTAGCGAGTACAGGGGGGAAACAACGATGGTTGGGTAAATGGGAGTTGGAGATGTAAATAAGATACCCAAGATATGTTTTGTTTATAAGTTTCGCTAGTGCGTTACTCTGTATTTTATTTCTTGTTGGAAGAGATGAAGCCGTTCGTGGTGCGAGCCATTGCGCATCTTCCCCTTCTCGCCAATATAGGACCTGACTCCTTACACCCCCTAGCTGGTTCCACAACATCGAGACTCAACGTTAACCCTTCGGTTTCACATCAAAAACGCCAATATTCTAAACCGACACCGTAAGCCTTATCTTCTCAATTTTCGGTTTCGCTTCGTTCCTTCATTTGTCTTTTGTCAAGTCCGGGCTCAAGAAACCGTCACACCAATCCCTTGGCTCTCATCTCATCTCACCCCCGCATGAACAGGCCCCCCTTATCCCCGCAAAACACGGCTGAGAAGGATTGGGATTTGGAAGTATCTAGAAACCACAAGAACTGTCTAGAAACGATGCGATATAGGATGGGGTCTCATAGGCAATAGGTCTGGTGCGAAATGATTCATTCCAATTATTTGGAGATGGGTGTTGGGAAAGGGATAAAAGGGGCGATGGCTGGACTTTTAGAGACATACTTTGACCTCGACTTCTTGTTCTTCAGGAGTGTAGAGCCCTTCTTAGCTATCACTGCAAATCAGCCCTAGGTCCACCTTCTTTCCGCCTGCCATCCCTTCTTCCTCTTAGTTGTTTTCAGAATCAACACCAACATGGCCACCGAGTTTGACTTCGTTATCGTTGGCGGCGGCACGGCCGGACTAGTGTTAGCCGCCCGTCTGTCCGAAGACCCCAACACTCAGGTCCTTGTCATGGAAGCTGGCGAAGACCTGGCTAACGACCCCCGTGTTAACATCCCCGGCATGTGGACGCAGCTGCAGAGCGGCGCCACGGACTGGCAGCTCAAGAGTGTTCCTCAGGTTCGCCCCCACTCTCTACTCTACATCTTATCAGGTCTGGGTATCTTCAGTAGCTAATTAGTTGTGTTATTACAGGACTCCTTAAATGGCCGCTCAGTGCCCATCGCACAGGGCCGACTCCTCGGCGGTTGCAGCGCCCTCAACGCCATGAACTTTGTCGTCCCAGCCAAGGAGGATCTCGATGCCTGGGCCGAACTCGGCAACCCGGGTTGGGACTGGGACGGCTTCTCCCGATACCTCAACAAGACCCACAAGAAGGGAATAACAGATGGAAATAAGCTGGACGATGATGATGGCACGATCCAGGTCAACATTCCCAAGGAAGAGACCAAGTGGCCGCAGGTCTGGCGTGATACCTGGGCCGGCCTGGGTTATCCCACTGACAATGACCCCTATTCGGGCGATATTCATGGTGCGGTCACATACCCCGATGCTATCCACCCCGAGGCCAAAACCAGGAGCTATGCAGGTAATGATTACCTCGGCCTTGCCCGTGGTCGGGCCAACCTTACCGTCTGGACCGGGGTACCGGTGGACAAGATCCTATTTGACAACACTACCAAGGATGCGGCCGTGGCAACGGGCGTGCGGTACACTACCAAAGATGGTAACACTTCGTCCGTGAGAGCACGCAAGGAAGTCGTCCTATCAGCTGGGGTGTTCCACTCTCCCAAGCTGCTCGAGCTCTCGGGCATCGGTAACGCCCAGCTTCTCCAGTCCCTCGGCATCGATGTGGTTGTCGATAACCCTAGCGTCGGTGAGAACCTGCAGCACCATCCGCTCAGTGTGCATTCCTTCGAAACCGTCCAAGACGGCCAGCCAGGCTTTGAAACTATGGATGCCCTCGTCCGCCAGGATCCCGACGCCATCGCCGCGGCAGTCAACGCGTACAAGACGACCCAGAGCGGGCCGCTCTCTCGCTCCAACTGCAACACCATGGCCCATCTCCCGTTCCCGGGCCTCGACACTGAAGCAGGTAAACACGATGCCCAGTCCATCGTCAAGACTCTCACCCAGTCCGAGACCAAGTACCCTATCGGGAACAGCGACAACGATACCTACACCAGCGCCGCAACCGCCCTCGCCACTCGCAGCTTAACCGACCCTTCCTCTGCCTCAGGCTACTACGTCTTCATCCCCTGCCCCGCCGGCCCCCCGGAGCCGACAACCCCCGGATCCGTACCCAAAACCCACATCACCATCGCCACACTCCTCACCCGCCCTCTCTCGCGGGGCTCAACCCACATCACCAGCGCAGAAAAAGCCAAACCCCCCGTCATCGACCCGCGCTACCTATCCCATCCCGCCGACATCGCCACGCTCGCCCGGCACGTCCGCTTCATCCGCAAGACCCTGACCAACCAACCCCCGCTCGCCGACCGGCTTGTCCGCAACACCACTGCTGATGATGACGACACTCCGAAAAAAGACACCGACAAGGATGACCTAGACCTAGACAGGCTCACCACGAGGCTCCGCGATACAGCGGCCGCTTCGACACTGTACACCAGCACGTGCGCTATGATGCCGCGGGCGATGGGCGGCGTGGTGGATTCGGAGTTGAGGGTGTATGGGACGCGGAATTTGAGGGTGGTGGATGCGAGTGTGATGCCGTTTATTACGAGGGGGGATACGATGGCGACGGTGTATGGGATTGCGGAGAAGGCGGCTGAGATCCTTGGCCGAGAGTAGAAAGTGTAAGGGATGATGGGAGGATGTTGGAGGAAAAGGGGGGGATGAATAGGAGAGGATGGATAGGGTAGATTGCTTCGTTTCCTTACGTACCGGTACACTTGTTAGAATGGCATGTTATTCTATACTCGCGCGCTTGTAACCATGTTAAATAACCCCAGCATCATCCTCCTTCAAGTCTACTTCACCATAGTCCACCACCAGCACAACCCCTTCCACAACCCCCAACCAACACCACTCTCTCACCCCTCCAGCCATTCTACTTCTCCTCCTCCCCAACCGCCACCAACCTCCCCACAACCAAATACTTCTCCTCGAACCTCTCCTCCCAACCCCTCAACGCCTCCAACTCCGAAGCCTCCAACCCCTCCAACGAATCCAAAGCCCCATCCAAATCCTTCGTCAACATCTCCTCATCAAAACTCCCACACGCCAATCCCCTCGACGCATCCCTCCCGGCAAAATTCTCATACGGCCCGCCCGGCCCGTAAAAGTTCCGTCCCCGCGACACGTCAAACACCCGCCCGCGCACCGCCAGGTACACCGGCGAGCCGTCGGCGCCGTTGTAGGGTAACAGCGTCCGCGGCGTGAAGGTGCGGAAGACTACGGCGGGTTCTTCGGCGGGGAGTGAAGGCGGCGGCGGGGCTGGGCGGAGGAGGAAGGCGTAGGCGGTGTAGGCTAGGAGGGAGAGGAGGATGGCGTTGAGCGGGGTGAGGAGGGCGCTGTGGGAGGGAGAGGGCGGGTTAGCGGGGAAAGCTAGGGAAAGGGTGTGGGGGTGACGGAGGGATGTGGACAGAAGGGGAGAGGTGCGTACCTGGAGGATGTGTCGGTTTGGGAAGCCATTTGTGCGACGCGTTGCTGGACGTAGTCCATGTGGAGCGGGTACTTTCTGGATAAGGCAGGGTATGGATGGGCAACGTGGATCTGTCGAGCTGAATTTGCCGTTCAATTGCCGTGGTGTACTGGATCGATTTCTGGACCTTGCTGTTTGCTCGTTCAAAGGAAGTCAAAAGCTCTCTCCCGCCGCAGCCGCTGGAGCTCTCTCCGAAAAAGCCGGAGCCACGCCAGCAAACATCGGCCAAGCCGCAGCGGCTGTTCCCCACTTCCAGTGCTGCTGAAATGGAGTGGGTCTTCAGCGCCTTTGGATCGGGCCATGCTTGGCAAATCGGTGGTCCGTGGAGACGCACGGGCCACATTTCTCCACTCTTAAATGCAGGGACCGATCACTTGATGGCAGTTCTTGGCACTCCTCGATAGCTCGATGGTCCCCTCCCGAACGATCTCTCCTGGCTTCCAATCGTGATGCCCTCATACCCCTCATGTCCTCCCGGCCACGGTAACTTTCATCCTTGAGCAAATAAACATGGCACAAGGGTCTTCGGCCATGTTCCATTAAAACTGTGTAAGGCATGGTGACTTGCCCTACTCCCGGATGCCTCCTTCTACACAACGTCTCTAAGCTTGGTCTCGTTTGGCTGTTTGTTAGTTGGCAAGGCTGGCTCCCGAACACAGCTCCCTTCCGTTTTCTTCCATCCCGCGCAAGCATAGCCCAGATCCCCTGGCCAGCTGAGATGATCGGGAACCCCGCAGCACCTGGACTGTTGTGAAATCCCAAACAGAACGCTCGCCGAGACGAATTACCCACAGCATGACGTTCCCCACGGCACACCAAGCACTGCCCCGCCGCTGGCCAGGGTGTGCCAGGCTGCTTCTCCGACCAACTCCATTGGTCGCGTCACCGTCACCACAGATATGGTTTGGCGGGGTTTTCGATCCAGCTGAAGGGCCCGTAAGTCCCTTAATGTAGTGTAAACCCCTCACATCTATATAAACCTCATGGGATCTCAGTTGTGATTCCCAACTCTTGTTCTCGTAGTTCCACATCACAACTCAAACGTTCACTCCCCAAGACAACTACCAAACAATACACAAACCCGCATCAATTCATTCTTCTCCACAACCATCAAACATGGATTTCGTCAACAAGCTCGCGAGCAAGGCCACCGGTGAGCACCAGCAGGGTGACCAAGCCCAAAAGCCCAGCGGTGGCGACGGCCTCATGGACAAGTTCAATAACCTCGCCGGTGGCGGCGCCAAGGGCGAGCAGAAGGAGGATGGCCTTGATAAGGGTAAACACCCAGCTCTCCTTGCACCCTAACCCTTCCGAAGGGAAAACCCCCTCCCCGCCCTATGACGTCACGCCACGATAAGAACCGATAAGCTAACCAGACTCGCTCAACAAGGCATCGACTGGGTCCAGGAGAAGGTGTTCAAGCAGGGCCCTCAGGACAACGAGAGCGCTGCTGAGCAGGCCACGGACAAGTTTATTGCGGACCAGATCCGCAACCAGTATAAAAACGCTACGGGCAGGGACTTCCCGATCGCCGACAAGGAATAGAGGATGTCACGGGATAGTAGAGAGTGGGCGGAACTTAATTTTCAAAGATACCTAAATTTATGAATTCACGATTTTTTACACCATCTTGAGTTCTCTCAAACCTGCGAGAAGTAGTGGCTTGTTTGTATCTGTTGTGAATCTTTCTCACGGCTTACTCTTCATTTCCGTCCTCAATACTGAACGCTTCGCGATTGCCTCTTTAGACCGGGCTCCCTTTCAAGGTTAAACGAATCTGACCCCTCGCAGGCCGCCGCCGAACTACCCCTTTCTTTCAGACACACATCTGAACTCTAAATCTCGAGCACTAACTAACCATTCACTCGGCCCCTCTGCATTTCTGCGTCAAGTCCTGCGCGTGCTAAATCAGTACGGAACATTGTCCGCCCCTGGTATGGCCGTGTTTGAGGGGCTAGATCACGATATTTCGTATTCTTGGAATGCGGCAATATGAAGGCAGACACTAATGAATGTGAAAAACACAATATTTGCGAGGACACACTGAAACAAAAAACAGGGCCTGCCTCATGATATAGTGGCCTAACGAAGTGAAGACAGAAACAAGTTAAGCATCGGTAACTGCTGGTTGAACAACCAACTCCAAAGCCATGCGGAACTGGAGATTGACAATTTTTACAGCTGATAAAAGATCCTAATCACATTTCCATGCTTAAGATGATTTTGTAATAGGATTATATTGCTCGTCGATGTGGTGCAGGTATTAACGCGACAATGGTGTGCTTACTAGTATTAGGAGATGGCTGATGCAAGGGTTAGGGTCTGGGCCCAGCAGGCTGCGACACGCAATTCCCGGCCCGACCCCACCCAGTGTTAGGCGTGCCTGGGACTGCGGGGTGTGGCACCTGAGCTCTACGCCGCCCCAAAGCCCACCTCTTGGCACCCTCAACAACACCAGCCTCGCACTAGGGCATTGATGCCGATCAGCCTAGTGCCTTCTCAACCCTTAACCACACCGACACTCGTCCTGCCCCGAAGACGTTCCGTCCCAACGCCGCACTTTACTCGTTCCTCGACCTTGGCCGGTATCCGTTCCCCACAGCTACACGCAGCTTTCTAGAACTATACCCGAGGCACCTCACCCCCTTGCATGTCTCCCCACGACCAGGAAGCTATCCTCCGAGACTCACCCGGGGCTCGGAAAGATGTGACAAAGCCCGAGGATGGCGAGGCAGCCCCTCCCCCGGAACCCACCTCAAACACACCACAGGGAGCGGCAAGCGCGGAGGATGACGATCTGTTGGATCTCAACGGTGATGGGCACGACACAGCGGAGAGCCGGAACCCCTTGGGGATATCACATGCTGGGAGCGAGTCGACGAAGCAGGGCAAACAACCCGAGGATCCCGACTACATGTCCTCCTCTGTCGCAACGCTGCGGCCAACCACGTCCCCTACCACCACAACTGCCACGCAGTACCTGACCGCCGAATCCCGAACATACATCGACCCTACTCCACCGACCCCGACCGCCTCGCGGCCCCCATCTCGAGCGCCATCGTCGGCCCCCAGACGCAGGTCAGAAGATCCTTCCCCGACGAGATCCGACGCAGCCTACGATGAGAAGAGATACACAAGTGAGGATGAGCAGGAGCCGGGGTCGAGGTCCGAGATCCAGAGTATCATGGAACAGTTCAGTGAGCTCGGGGGCGGGCCTGACGCCGACGAAGTCATGAGCCCGAGGCTAGAGATTGCGTCACCATTATTAGGGACTTCCATTCAACACCCGCCTCGGAAATCTAGCTTGGAGCCACTCGCTCCCAATATCGCTCAGCAGCTCCAGGATTTGCCGGGTCCCAGTGGTTCAGCTATCTCGTTGGCGAGCACGAGATCACACAAAGAAAGCGATGACTTCGGTCCGCCGGTACCACCAAAAGACGATTCTAGCTACTCTGCGCGTTCGCGGGATGAGAGTACCGACTCCCCCATGTCCCCCATTACTTCACTACACCGGCCACCCCCGCCGGAGCCGGAGCCGGAACCGACGTTGCCCTTCGACTTTCATCGGTTTTTGGAGCAGCTCCGTAATAAGAAGGCGGATCCTGTGGCGCGATACCTCAAATCCTTCCTATCCGAGTTTGGGAAACGTCAATGGATGGTGCATGAACAAGTCAAGATTATTGGCGATTTCCTAACCTTTATCGCAAACAAGATGGCTCAGTGCGAGGTATGGCGTGAGGTTTCGGACGCTGAATTTGACAACGCACGAGAAGGGATGGAGAAGCTCGTGATGAACCGTCTCTACACCCAAACATTTTCGCCAGCGATACCAGCACCACAACCAGTACCCGGGGCAAAGAAAAAAAGGGGCGGCGATCGAGTGATGGGCCCAGGGCGGCGTGGGCAACACCAGGAAGATGTGGAGCGAGACGAAATCCTTGCTCAAAAGGTGAACATCTACAGCTGGGTGAAGGAGGAGCACCTGGACATCCCAGCAGTAAATGATAGTGGGAAACGCTTCCTGAAGCTAGCGCAACAAGGTGTGTTGTCTAAGCCGGAGCTCAGTGGTGTCCACAAACGCTAACATGGACTAGAGTTACTCAAGATTAAGTCGTACCGTGCGCCGCGGGACAAGATCATTTGCGTATTAAATTGCTGCAAAGTCATATTCGGTCAGTTTTCTTGGATGGACTGAGATTTCCCGGGGACTGACATTTGCTAGGGCTGCTAAAACATACGAAATCGGACTCGTCGGCCGACTCGTTCATGCCGATGCTAATCTATGTCGTCTTGCACGCCAACCCTGAGCACCTCGTCTCCAACGTCCAGTACATTCTCAGGTTTCGCAACCAAGACAAGCTAGGGGGGGAGGCAGGGTACTATCTGTCATCTCTGGTATGGTTACCTTGAGTCTCACAGAAAAGTCTTCGTGTTACTAACAACCGCAGATGGGCGCCATCCAATTTATTGAAAACATGGACCGCACAACACTTACCATCACCGACGAAGAGTTCGAGAACAACGTTGAGGCATCCGTGTCAGCAATTGCAGAGAAACACCGCGCCGAATCCCCGCCTCCAAGGCCTCCTTCGTCCGGGAAACCAACTTCCCTAAGACCCCCTAACGCGGGTGAATCAAAAGCCTCGTCTGCCCGGCCATCCCTCGATACCGACCGCCCTGACAGCCCGCGCCGATCGACTTCCTCTAACGAAGCACGCGAGAGCGGCGAGTACAGCGGTAGTGACGAGAAAGCCGCCATCACAGGTCTCCTACGGTCCATCCAGAAACCCCTCAGTACTATCGGTCGCATCTTCTCAGACGAGCCATCAACATCAGCTACGGCGGCGGGCCCTAGCGCCGGCGGGAACATTGCGAGCCCAGCACGCACGCCGCAGCCGGAGCGAGGCGCCGGTGACGCGCGTTCGAGACAGCGTTTGTCCGCCGAAGAGGCGGCCGCGCGGCAGGCAAGTGCCGAAGCAGCTGAGGCGCAGCGGCTTCATCGGGCTGAGCATACGAATGTGGTTGAGACGTTGGCGGGCATGTTCCCGGACCTAGACCGAGATATCATCAGCGACGTCGTATATCAGAAGGAGGGAAGGTATGTCTTGAAATTCCTAATCAATTTCTTTGCGAAAATGTCCAAGATGCTGACACTTTTAGGGTCGGGTTGGCGGTTGACGCCTGTCTCGCACTTTCGGCGTGATCGAGTTAGACAGAAATAAATCAGGACAAAGACGGAAGCTACATCGGCAGGGAGATGGGAATATGAGAAGGATGGCGTATCAGGCTCGTGAAGCTATTTCATTTTTAGCCCCTCCGTTTAATCCCTTTCCCCCTTTCTTTCGTTCAAAGCGAGCATCAGACGGGGCGGGCGGCGAATATATTGGCTTGATTTTCTATTTGTGCATGGCTGGGGGGTTGATTTCGTGGAATCATCCAGTCTTTCACGACCAACTGAGGCAAGACAGACAGAGGATAGTGGCCTGTGACTAATGCGAGATCGAAGATTACCAAACTTGCTATGACACGACGTTGATGAAGCGACCCTGACATCCGAACGTCCGAAGCGATGGTTTTAAACTACAAATCTGGCACGGATCAGACACAACTGTTTACCTCTTCCAAGTGAGCCAGACGGCCCTACATTCCATCGATGCGTCATCCGTGGGAGGGCAATGCCAAGACCTAGGACACACGATCCAGCCAGCCCGTCCCTTTGCGGCGGGGCGAACAGGCGAATGTGGTGTTGTTTGAGGACGGATGTACCTTGCCATCTGCAAGAAGTCCGTCACCCAGGAGTCATCACCCGATACCGCCTTGTCAAGCCTGTGACAAGCCCGAACCACCTGCCCGCCGGTCCGCCACCACCGCGCCCGGCCGCACTTTCCACCTGCCAGCACCTTCGGCCGCCTTCCACACGTCACCCAGACCACACTCTGACGCTCCTTCCTTCATATACCACCCCCAAGCTCCTGGTTTTCAACACACAGTGCATACCTACAGCTGCTTGGCGCAGTGGAACGCGCGCCGGGCTCATAACCCGGAGGTCGCCCGATCGAAACGGGCAGTAGCTATTCAATGGTATATTTTTTTGGACTTTTCGGTGAATGGGCTTTTTTTTCAACCTGTGATGTTTGTTAGCACTTTGTAAAGGATCAACATTCACTGCTACACACACCACTGGGTTATTCTTTTAGGATTTTGGCGCGGCACAGGTACTTATCATTAATTATCCGCTGATTTGTTGATGCGAAAAACAAAACGCTTCTGTAATCCCGATCCAACCCGCCGTTTTTTTCGTTGTCCAGGTAGGTATCAAAACTCCCAACGCAGACGCTCTCTTCCTCTCCCCCAGCTACACTTCCCTATCAATCCTCGCCCAAACTCTCCCTCACACACTTCCGACACCGCTTCCTGTACTCCTTACTCTTCCCCTCCCTCTCCTCCCGCAACAGCCTCGCCGCCTCCACATTCGCCGGGCTGTCCTCGTTGGGGTCCTCAAACAGGCTGATAACGCTGATCAGGATGGTCTCGGGCGTCTGTACGGGGCTCCATCGCTCGCTTGCCTGCTCGTATCCGTATCGGTCCTCTTCGGGCGGGTGCAGGATGCTGATGCAGAGGTTGCCGTTGGCGTAGATGTTGGGATGGAAGGGGATCGGGTCTTTGAAGGTCATTTCGGGCGGCATGAGCGGGTATGTGGGGGGGAATGTGAGGTGGGCGCGGAAGTTTCCTCCTGGAAAGGGTGGTGAGATAACGGTTAGTTTCAGGTTACACGGGGAAAGAGATAGATGGAGAGTTGTGGTATAAGAGAGACGAGGTGGGTGCGGGAGGGTGTTTACGGTGTGCTTGCTTGATTGGCTAGCTCGGTTCGTGGACTTACCGCCGTAGTATTTGCAATCATCGTTGATCATGAGCATGACTTCCCATACGAAAATATTACTATCGCTGACAAGCCCACACGAGATACCCGGGAGGTCCTTGGCGGATTGCATTTGCTTCAGCTGTCGCTTCAGCAGAGAACCTGCAGCCAGTGTGCTTGTCTGCAAGCTGGCCACGGCTTGAGCCGCTGCTTGAGCCGTTGCTTGAGCCGTTGGTTGGGCCATTGGGAGAGAGAGTTCTAGGATCCAAGGTTGTGTTGTAAAACACCGGTAGGAGAGGTAAGCTAGGGATCGGTGGAAGCTGGAGGTTGGAGGGTTAGACGAGGGGTCGACCGGTCGAGAAGATGGAGGTAAGTCAGAGGGCGGACGGTCGGGAAAACTCTCGAGAGTTTGTTTTGAGGTCCGATGAATAATACAGTTTGACGTCAAATCAAGCAGAAGGAAGCAGCTCGTGAGTCTTCCTTGTCGTGAGGCAGGAAAGAACCGTCACGTCAGGATCTCGAGGGCGGCGAAAGCGGGGCGGCCAAAGCGGTACCCAATGGTGGGGACGTGGGGCTGACTGCAACGGTCGTGGGGGTGTCGCGTGCGAACAAGAACCACCGAATAACACAACAGTTCAGGGGGGATGGCTTCGTTCCAGCAGTCTAGAAGCATTGTGTGCAGTTTCCTGTACACCTAGATATTCTCGAGGCCCTTACCCATAAAGTCAAGTCGTCCCAAAAGGTTGAAACGGTATGTCCCTCGAACACATGGTTAACATCATTCCTGGTATCGGTCCCGTAAAAACTATATCAGAGTCACACTGTTCCATTCTTGAGGTTACTCATGATTCCTGTCCCACCATGTATGATGAAGTAATTACCTAGTTGGAGTTGTGATCGCATTCAACTGTGGTATGGTAGAGATACACAACCCTAACCCTAGACGGCTTCGCTACCTGCACACCAAGTTCTGGATATAAAAACTACACTCTGGAGCCTGCGTGAGGAGAAGCACAACAGCTATGTTCCTGAAATTTGGATCTCATGGTCTATTACACATTATGTCAATACCGGCAGCAGAATTTTGTCCATTTAGGTCAAGTGCATAACGTTGTTGGCGATTTCCTCCTCCAAATCGACGTTGAAACTCGAGGTTTGGCCGAGTGTCTAAGGCGCTGCGTTGTGGTACAGGGGTACGGACGACATATATATAACCCTAACCCTATTCGCATCGCGGTCCTCAAGACATTATGCCAAGCATTTTTCCACCTCCAACCCTTGGCACTTTCCCAACTCATCCATGAATTCGATATTTTTGATTTCCTCATCCCTCAACGCTTTCCACCGAATAATTCTCCTCGCTAATTCTTCTCCCACTTCCCCATCAGCGCAAGCACATAACACCCAACAACCATGTGCGGCATCCACGCGCTCATCACACGCACGCCATCACCACCGTCCGCATCGTCCCAATCATTACCCTCCAACAACAACACGAAATCCAACCACCTCTCCCCAACACTCACCCGCGACCTGCGCGCCCGCGGTCCAGATCACATCGGCCACGTCGAACGTCATCGCGTCTGCACTTGCTCCTCTCCCACCACCGCCCGTGCCACCGACGAGCCCGGCAGCGGTGATGAAGCTGGCTGGACCCTCCGCTTCACATCGACGGTCCTCGCGTTGCGAGGTGACCATGTCGCGCGCCAGCCTTTGACCGGCGTCGGCGACAGCTCGTCAGTGCTGTGTTGGAATGGCGAAGCGTGGCGGGTGGATGGGGAGTTGGTGGAGGGTAATGATGGGGAGGTGGTGCTGACGCGGTTGTTGAGGGCTATTGGTGGTAATGGTGGTGGCGTGGATGCTGTATTGGACGTGCTTCGTGGGATTGAGGGACCGTTCGCGTTTGTATTTTACGATGCGGTCGCGGGGAGGGTGTTCTTTGGGCGTGATCGGATGGGGAGGAGGTCGTTGTTGATGGCGTTGAGGGAGGAGGGTGGCTTGGAGTTGTGTAGTGTCGCGGGGGAGTCCTGCGAGGGCTGGAAGGAGGTTGAGGCTGATGGGGTGTATGTGGTCACGGTGGGTGGGGACCCAGACCCGGTGCGGTACGATTGGGTCGTTGGACCAGATGCTACTAATTTTGTGAGTATTTTGGGGCGGTTGTGGTGTTGTGTCTTTGGTCGCGGTTGTCGGCTGTCCTATCAGACTTACTTTACGCTTTACAGGTTTCTGGCATTGGGAGGTTCAACAAGGCACTGCCCGTCAGCCCAAGTCCTTTGACAGCGAGATCCCACTCTGTGGCGGCTTTGGGGCAGCAGCTCCTTGAGTCCTTGAAGTTGCGAGTGCTCAACATTCCAATACCCCCGTCCTCAGACCCCAGCGGCAAGACGCGGGTCGCCGTGCTGTTTTCAGGCGGTCTTGACTGCGCTGTACTGGCAAGGCTATGCCACGAGGTGCTCGACGCTAACTCGGGTATTGACCTGCTCAACGTCGCGTTTGAGAACCCTCGGGTGGTTGCACAGCTCCGCAAAGAGAACAGCAACTTGCTCGACTTTTACGAGGCCTGCCCAGACAGGGTTACAGGGCGGCGATCGTTTGCAGAGTTGCAAGCGACGTGCCCAGGGCGGGCCTTTCGGTTTGTGGCTGTATGTATACCGGAAATCTGTTCCTGCTGTTGACCGTGCTGTGCTGACGCTTTCAGGTCAACGTTCCCTACAGCGAAACACAAGAGCACCGACAGCAGGTGATCTCCGTAATCCACCCGCACAATACCGAGATGGACCTTTCCATAGCGTACGCCCTTTACTTTGCCGCACGTGGCCAGGGCGTTGTGTCTGAAAGCCCTGATTCTGCTCCCGTTACATACACATCTCCCGCTCGCGTATTGCTATCCGGCCTAGGCGCCGACGAGCTCTTTGGGGGGTATTCTCGCCATCCTTCGGCTTTCCAACATCGGGGCTATCCCGGCCTCGTTGATGAGCTGCTATTAGATGTTGGGCGTCTTGGGAAGCGGAACCTGGGCCGAGACGACCGCGCGATGGCGCACTGGGGTAAGGAGGTGAGGTTTCCCTTTCTAGACGAGCGCCTAGTGAAATGGGCCATTGAGACTCCGGCGTGGGAGAAATGCGACTTCGAGCACAGTGAAGAGGACAGTGGCGTGGAAGCTTGCAAGAGGGTGCTACGTTTGTTAGCCCTGGAGTTGGGCATGGTGACGGTTGCAAGGGAGAAGAAGCGCGCGGTAGGCAACCTTTGTCCTTGGGCCGCGATCGTTACTTTTCACGCTAACATAACATAGATCCAATTCGGCGCCAGAACCGCTAAAATGGAGAGCGGAAAGGTCAAGGGGACTACACTCATCGCGTAGCGCCGCGGCTAGGCATTGGCGGTGATGATACACTACAGATACTTCTGAGTCACGGTCGCGATGTCAAATCCGGCAATGCGGCTACGCCTTGTGGTTTCTGAGGAAGCCCTTGAGCGCTAGCGCGGGGTTGCCGGGTTGCATCGTTCTGACTATGAAGTTAAAAGGCAAATCTGAGCCAGTGTCTAAACGCGATCTTCCGTGGCGGTTTCAAATCGCGGGCTTTGGAGCGGCGCATCCAAGCTTGATATCTTTTTTTGGTGGTCAAAGGGACTTTAGCCCAGGCAACATGAGCTTGCTGTCCAGGGTCCTTGGTCCCGCCGCCGCATCGCCCGACTGCGCCGCTGAGCGCGTCTCAGGTCCAACCAAAGTGGCTGGACTCAGGTCCTGCCCGAAGGCACATGCCGTTCAGCATTCCTGGAGCCGTGAGCATCCGTGGATCTTGAAGAAAACTTCCGTCTTGTGACTAGCGAGACTGGCAAGCGCCAGATCTAGAATTACTCGGCATCGGGGAACGAGGCCGATGCGGAATTCGAGTCAGGGGTGTGCCCTGTTTCCCCATATTACGGCCCCGCAGTTGTTACTCCAAAAATGACTTCAAGAAACCCTTGCTGCATTCCCGCGGCTGTTCCTTGCAGTCGTTCGGACGAACCAAACTTCTACCGGACGATCCTAGTTTTTGTTTACCCAGAACTAGCGGATACTTCGCGGCTGTTGCATTGCTACTAGGCTCTCCAGCCATTTGTCCCTTAAGCTGTTAAAGTGCAAATAATATGAAGTGTGTTACACCATGACGATTCCCTTGCATCGACCTGTTTTCTTTGTCTCGAACAAAAGTTTGCTCTCCCGAATCGCCTCACCACAAACTCACATGCATCGGGACCTGTCGCGCCCTCTGTTTATCCTCCTCCTTCTCTTCCCTCTCAGCTTGACGGCGGTGAGTTACCGGATTTAGAGTTCAGGCCCTATTTGCATCATTTTACGACCCAACATTGGGTGTTGGTCCACCTGTGCCGTGCCGCTGTTGGTGAGTTGGGGCGATTCCCATGCCCCTGATTGCGCCGCACACAGCCTTCCAACACCATATTGGCGTCCAATCCCCCTGGAAAGAGGAAAAGGCGCCGGGTCTCAGGCTTCAATTGTTGCTGCCGGCGGGCGCTTCGACTCTTTACCAAAAACCCGGGCCGGATCGACAACTGGGACGGCGGGGCATCCCGTCTTTTGTTGTGAGGAAGGCATCTTTCCGCTCGCTTATTATCACGTCTTCAAAATCCTGGGGTATCTCGCCCGTTAGCCCCGTTGAGTTGTGCTGCCGGGCGGTTTGTGATGGGCCTTGGGTAGATAACGTTGTCAACACGCCAACACCCTGATCCGCTCCCTCGAGATCCCATCCTTCATCACTCTCCAACGATGGCCGAACGACTGAGCACGGCCTCCAAGCCACGCCCAACCTCGCTACCGACACCATCAACGCCCTACACTCCATCACCCCTCACACCAACCGGACGGTTACGGCTCGGGCCACAACGAACAACCCGTTTTACCGAGGACATGACGGACCTCACTCCGGCGGCCTCCATCTCAGAACGGTCCATCGACTACTACTGGTACGGACGCTCGGCGGAAACCGTCGGTGCCCGGGCCGAGACCGACGCCGAGACCAACACCAACGCCGATGCCGAGACATTCACGGCCCCTGACCCTGGGGTAACTACGTCAGAGAAAGCGGGGGATGGCAACCGGGACCGCTGGCGGACTCGGGCGCGTTTTGTGAGCAGTGTGCTACATGCCATGCCCTGTCTTGTGTTATTGGCTATCCTGGGGTATGCGATGAGGGTGTTGAAGGATCAGATGGGGAGTTATATGGGGTAAGCGGCGTTCTTTGGGGATATCGTGGGGAGGTGACGATCTCCTGTGGGATACCTAGAGAGAATACTAACCGAGCCCTTTGGCGTTGCACAGGATTCAAGCCATCATCCTCATTGTGTTTCTTTTCGTGGATGTCTTGCTGGATGTGGTCACCCTCATCAGGGTGCAAAAGCACTGGCTAAAGTGGGGGTTATGGCTCCGGTTCACCTGCGGCATCGCATACTTCGCGTTGTTCCTGACCTACGTCGGGCTAGGTAACCCGTTTCCGGAGGGGTACACTTACTGGGCTCTACCCGTCTCAGCCGCGGCACCAGTCGTGTATCTCCTGTTATGCATCACCGGGTAAGTCTTTTCCCCTTTACCATGCACCGAAGCCAGGATCCTAACACAATGTGCAAGGCTCTGGAACATCCTCTACATCCCCATCACCCGCCACAACCTCGGCAACACCCTCCTCACCTTCATCTCCCGCTCCTCACCACCCTCCTCCTCCTCACCCCTCCTCCCATCCTCAGCACCACCAAAAAGCCCACCAAGAACAACAACAACAACACCACCACCACTACCCCAAACCACAGCCTCAACCCTCCGCAACAACAACAACAACACCAAACCCCCAACCCACCGCCGCCACCCCCTAGCCGAACACGACGAGTACAACGACGAAGACGAAAACGGTGACGCAACAACCGACAGAGCAAGCACCTTCAACCCCCGCTTCTCGGTAGCCGCTGGCACCGAGGCCTCTTCCATTAGCTTGACATGGAGGCGGTGGGTAGGCGGGAGTGGCAGTAGTGGGAGGAATAGTTGGAGGAGTAGTTGGAGGAGTAGTAAAGGAGGGGGAGGGTGGCAGGGGGGGGTTGTAGAAGAAAGAAGGGGAAGTGGGAGTGTGGCAAGGGGTGAAGCGGGGTTTTATAGTCGGGATGATTTGGAGAGTTGTCCTATTGGTGGTGAAGGGGGTAGTGATAGGGGGGGTTTTCCTACGGGGATGGTGGTGAAATCGGAAAGTGTGCTGGTGCCGGAAGTGGATGTGGTGTCGAAGGAGGTGGATGGGAAGGGGAGAGGTGAAGAGAAGGAGATTGGGGTCGGGTCCGAGGGGGTGAAGGCAGAGGAGGCTGGGAAGGGGGAAGCCTTGGGGGGTGAAGAAAAAGAGGAAGCCTTGGAGAGCCGGGGGAAGGAGGGGGAAGTAAAGGAGGGTGAGTCAAAGGAGACGGAGATCAAGGATGAAACCCGGGATGAGAAAGTCCCGGATATGAAGAGAGAGGATTCATAAGGCGTTACATAGTGATGTAGGTGTGGGAAGCATTGCGTCGGCGTATGGTTCAGTGGGATGGGCGGGGGAACTGTTGTTGTATTCGGATACCCTATAGATTTTCTTGTGTCTGATAATGTAATGTAGAGCGGAAGGGAATGGGGTTGATAATGCTTTAAACATTGTATATTATCACGAAAGCAGAGTCTAGTCTTAAAACAGAAGACGTTCATATATAATCACTGAGAAACCTTCTTTTAACACAGTACCACCACTTCCATTCCCGGCCCTCGGCTGTCTTGTTTCTCCGTAAGATATGCCCGAACCCCGAGGCAAGCTCCTGGGGGTCATGTCTTCAGCATGATGTTTGTCCCTTGGCGGACCCAGCTGCTGCCTCGGCCCCCAACCCACTCGACGAGAACCAACCAACGAAATAACGTGCAGTAACCAATCGTCGAAGACAAAAAGCAGAAAAAAACAATTCCCTGCCTGGAGACTGTTCTCTTATCGGGATTGTTTGCCTCGATCTTGAACCCATCATCATTTCCGATTTTATTCGCCGAAAGTCCCCTCAGATTTCAAGGCAGAGAGTGGATTGGCATTTGCCCTCCTAGTGTGCCGTGACACTTGCTTGCTCCGTCTCCAATGGAACTCATACTGAGACACACCTTTTGTTCCACACACAAGCAGCTGTGCCACATTGCGGAAGACAGACCACATTGATCAACAACCAGATTACAGTCAGCGGACAAAACAAGCGCCGCCGGTCGATCCGCGGTCCGCTTCATTACTAGCACAATGATGTTTTTGATGGGGGTTGACTCTGTAATTCGGCCGCAAAGCTGAAAACGGATGACACCCGCGCCTGTAAAAGTTACGCCGTGTTGGCAGATGAATAAATTATCATGTTCGTCCCGCTGTGTGTCGCCTGTAGCCGCCGATGGGTAACGGAGGCAGTTGGTGCTGAGCTGCGGTGCATGGCTCGTCTTGTCGGTTCGGTCGAATGCCGCGTTGCGCTTGCGGCTGTGGCCTCGGCTCCCCGCACACGAAAAAAGGGCTGCGCCTCAGTCGTGCGGTCGTACCGGTCGGGAAGGAGGGCAGAAAGGACGTCAGTATGCCCGTAAGAGGGAGTTATCTTGCGTCCTTCTTTGGAATTACGAACGGGAATCGAGGTGTCTGTCCGTCCCCGCCCCAGCAAGCCGTTCAGGTTTGTGTACCTACACTACCTACTGGTATCTGTCGTGTTGGTTTCCATTTTGGGGTCGGCTGCCGGCTTGCAGATCAACCGGGGAGACTTGGCCAATAATAGAACCCTCCTTACGCCCTCTTGGCCCTCTGCTCGCCGGTGTTCAGAACCTTGAGTACGACCCAAGGCTTGTGCTTTGTGGCTTTGAGATTTAGCATGGGCAGAGGTGAAATGGTATAACACCACTGCTTCCCCATGGTTTCCAAGCTGGGGCTTCCACCCCTTGGTGAAACCTGTGTCTCCCGAATACAAGCAACTCACTCACCGTGATCACCACAATTCCAACCCACATCACCCAAATGGCCATGGTCGTTCCCGAGCCCGGGGGCAAGATGCCTGAAGACAGCCCCAACACTGGCACCACGGCCATGTTGGTCGCAGCATCTGTCATCGGCGGCGTTGCCGTCATCCTGTGCACCCTCGCCGTCTATCTCTACATCGTCAAGCGCAAACAGCTCAAAAGGGACCTGGAAGCCTTACAACGCCTAACCGAAATCGAGACAGCACCCCTTCCTCGACAACGAAAGCGAGGCAACTCCGGCCTGTCGGACGAAGAGGAGTCGTGCAGGACCCATATGATTCGCAAGTCTCTCGCACGGCGGAACTCCAACTCGACGGGGAGTGGGTTCTCAGCCGTGGTGGGAATGATCGACCGGGAGGTGGCCGAGATCGAGCGGCACGAATCGGCCAGGCTGAAGGACGACTGGAAAGAATGGGAAGCAAGAGTACGCCAGGAACGGTCCATGTCGGGCGAGCAACATCCCGCGACAAACGCACCAGAGGCGGCACCCGGCGGCGTCCCCGTCCTAGCCATACCAACGCCGGAAAGGCTCCGAAGTCCAGTACCACCTCAAAGACCTCCACGCTCGCCATCTCCGATCCCATCACCCCTCAACTCGCCGCCCCCGAGCCCGCCCTCTCCGTCCTCGATTTATCCAAGTCTGGCACCCTCCACTCCGCCTCCTCCAAGTCCACCACCGCGCCATCCAGCCCGGAGCTCTCCGCGATGAAGAGGGCCGAGAGCCAAGGAATCGAACAGAACGCCAAGTGCCAAGCGCCAAATGAAATTGCGCCGAACAAGAACGCCAATCGCAGCACCGCCGCGTTGCTGCTCATGAAGAGCAGGCCAAGGGCATCACCAAGAGGCCGGGCGGAGAGCTCGCTCGACGATACACTGCTCCGTGGCGCGGAAAACCTAGCCTCAGAACGTACATAGTACCGTGTCAAATGGGGGTTGGCCCGCCGATAAGACCTAAGGGCTGGTTGGGGCTGCGCAGCGGTGATCTAGGTCGGAGGCCGCAGAAGGTGGTGTACTATGTAGGTACTGGACCTACGCAATAGGTATCTACCTGTAGGTATCTGTTGGCAGAATCGGCCTCGGTGGCCGAATCATGGCGACCGAATGGTTAGTGTGGTTTGACCAATTATGAAACACGAAGCGCCATTCGGGTGATGGGATGGTTTCCGTCGGACAAATAGTTAAATTGGCGTCGATGGAGACAATCCAGGAAAGGATGTCCATACATCGAGTCGAAAATTATTATTGTATCAGTGTAGGCGACCCAAAAGACTGTGTAGAAATGTCAGACCGTGTGATTGGACAAAGCCAAAGCACTTCCGCGGCAGCCAATGTGGCTCAGCGCGCAGCCGCTGAAATGTGGCTGAGGTCACCGAGCGCGAAAGGGTCGTGGCTGGACCCACTCGTAAGGCAGCATGCTGACACAGCAAGGCCCCCGGTCTTCGCTGGATTTCTCTCCCTCGCTCGCGCCCGGTTTCCCTTTCCTGCTCATATATTTTCCATCCCTCTCCCAGCCTTCGGTCGCTGCCTCTCTCTCTCGGAACCATCAGACCTGTCCCTTCGGAGAGAGCCCAAACCTTGAGTTCCTCTTCCGCCCGTCCTGACAAGTTTAACTTGATCGCGTTCTCGACGATTTCGAGACCGAGATAGCTACGGTCGAGCGTCAACCGAACAGCGCCTGTTCCTTGTTCCGAGACGAAGCCAGTGGAAGTCTGACCACTCGGGCACCTTTTAATCGTTGGGACGAATCGCCTGGGACGTCGCATCGAGCCGAACCCAGATCACTGTCATCCTAGTTTTGCGGTCGGCGCAGTTGCCTTGTTCGAAGCAGAAAGAGAAAGGACCAAAGTAATAATTTAAAAGAACAAAGGAAAAATACAAAGGGAAACAAGAACCTGTGACGAACCCGGGCTCGGGCCGTTCTCTAGGCACATCACTTTAGGTTCTTCGCAGCGGCCGAACCTAATAGCAGTTCCCGCTTGAAGTTCCCATTTCGCAACCCGTAAAATAACATTCATTTCCTGCGAGAAGCAGACGCGCCTCTCTCTCACTCTTTGCACGAACTTCACCCACGCTCGCTCGATTGTGTGATACACACGAAAAGGAACCCAGAAGAAAATGGCTAGCTCGACTGTCACTTTCGAGAACGGCGGCGCCCATGTGGCCAAGGACGCTGAATTCCGTGAGGATCTCAACCGCATTCTCATCTGCCCGGAATGCAAGGAAGACCCCCCAAACCTTGTCGAGGAATACTCGTCGGGCGACATGGTGTGCGCCACTTGCGGCCTCGTCCTTGATCGCATCATCGATACCCGGTCCGAATGGCGTACGTTCTCTGGAGACGACAACGGGAACGACGATCCATCCCGTGTCGGTGACGCGCCCAACCTGATGATCGACGGCGACCAACTTCAGACCGCTATCGCCTTCGACGGCAAGGGAGCGAAGAATCTTGCCCACCTTCAGAACAAGATCAACCAGGATAAGGGCACCAAGGCGCTGCTCCAGGCGTACCGGGACATTCAGGCTCTGACCGACAGTATCAATGCCGGAACTCAGGTTGCCAACACCGCCAAGCACATCTTCAAGATGGTCGACGACAACAAGGCACTCAAGGGCAAATCTCAGGAGGCAATTGTTGCGGGTTGCATCTTCATCGCCTGTCGCCAAACCGATGTCCCTCGGACTTTCCGTGAGGTGTATGGCCTGACGAAGGTATCCAAGAAGGAGATTGGGCGCGTCTTCAAGCAGCTCGAGGCCTTCCTCCAAAAGATGGGCGGCGAAGACAAGGTCGCGAAGGCCACCGGGCTGGGTCAGCAGTACCAGGCCAAAGGCTCCACGACCGCCGACGAACTCTGCATCCGCTACTGCAGCAACCTCGGGTTCCGCAACCCCGTCCGCGTCGAAAGCGTCGCACGTCGTCTTGCGGCAATCTCGAACGAGGTCTCCGATCTGGCCGGCCGCTCTCCTCTCTCGGTGGCCGCTGCCTGCATCTACATGGCTTCCCACCTGGCCGGCGAGCCAAAGGCCACCAAGTCGATCTCCGTCGTCTCTAGCGTCAGCGATGGAACGGTTAAGACCGCCTACCGCTACCTCTACGCTGCCAAGGACGTCATCCTCACCAAGGAACACTTTCCTGAGGAGATCTATGGCGATATCCTATCCCATGTGGATAAGGTCCCGGCGAACTAGACCTTCGCCATGCGCTTGTCCTACCGCGCCGCCAATCTTCCCAAGCCACGCAGCAGACGCCCTCGGCCACGGTAGATCCCACACCCTTTGCACTAATAAGGGCTACCCACGACTGTCCTAACGTTCCGACAACTTGCTCGCCACTGGGGTGATAACCCACCACCGCTTAGTTGCCGTTTCTACGAACGAGGGAAAGGGGACAAAGAACAAGATTGCACAACGATCCCTCCCTCTTCCACCGCCCTTTTCTTCCCCTGCAGATGGGATGCAGTGTGATAACTGCAGATGAGAGGGGAATCTGGGGAGAACGAAGACGTCGTTGCTGGAAGATGTAACGACCTTTGGGCAAAATGGGCAGCACGGGTTCGCGGCAGATTGGTCTAGCGTGCCCTGCTTTTCTTTTTCTTGGTCTCTTTCTTTTAGGTCAGTCAGGCTGGATATGGGCTAGATTGGGACTCCTCAACCGGGGAAACATGGCTAGCGCAGAGGAAGCTCGGGCAGCCAGCCCGACGGTTAGATTGCTTTCTAGTTCTTTACTTGGTTTAGTTTTGGGGGTGTTGATAATGGATTCCCACAAGCTGAATTGGGGGTCGTTTGCGCGTTCATTGTTTGGTCAGCTTGGCTGGCACGATTTTTGTCTTGATATGCCTAAGGGCTTGTTAAAGCGGTTGGCAGGCAGGGGAATGCCTTTGCCCAGCGTATTTTAGAGATGATGAAGGATACACAGGACAATGGACTTACTATGATGTTCATGTCACTTTTGATGTGTGTGGCCCTCACATTCTTCATAACCCTTGTGGCCCTGTGTGATTTTGATTCTTGGGGAGGTTACCATTGCCACCGCAGGCAAGCCTCCACAGCTTCAAAGTAACCCCGATATAAGAGCTGTCTGTCAAATGATGATGTCCTGCTGGTGTTGAGGTGACACTAAAGGTATGTACCGTGTTAATATGAAGACCGAACTATAATCGTACTGTACATACCCAAGCATGTGGTCCGAGCGCGTCTCCAAACCGCCAAAATCCACGTCCCTGGGCAATCGCGTCGCATCACCGAGCCTACCCACTTGTGCCAGTGAAATCCATCGTCAATTTGCGCCGATCCGCACAGTAACCCAAATTTCACCAAAAGTATCATCAATCCACACCTGGAACGGCCACACGATGCCCTCGCGACGCACCAGCCGCGCAGCGGCAAAGCGCGCCCAACAGGCGCTCGGTAAGTTGCCAATTCTTTCCTCCTCCCTGCGGCTTTTCCCCTACCCCACGAAATCCCAACAGCCATTCCATTCCCACGGCCAGCCGGTTGCACCTTACCTCGCCACCAAAATTGTCTCATCCCCCAAATGCGGTATGACGAAGGCCCCAGCACGGAATGCCGGCCGCTCGAAATGGGGACCCGAAGCCGCATCGCCAGTTCCACAAGCCATTTGAGCAGGCGCGAACCGTGGGAGGTGGAGCGAGTGCAGATGCAAGGAAGATGCATCCGGCCGTTTGCTCCTCCTCTCCTCCAAATCACCCCCCTCACCCCCTCTCTCTCCCCCCTTCGCGATCGATGAAATTACGCTTTGCTTCATTCCCGTTCTATCGAGCCCCCGAGCAGCTTCGATCCGGCCACTTCGCAATCTAACTTGACCAGCACCAGCCTCAAGCTCGCAAGACATGGCCCCCACACCGAGCGAACAACCTATCAAGATCAAGATTATTAACCGTCCATCACGGTCTATAGAGAGCACACCCAAGACCTTTGAGGCCTTGGACGATGAGGATGAGCCCATGCCTGACGCCACCGAGCAAGACGAGGCCGAACCCGACGAAGAAGCCGAGGCAGAGCCCGAGAAGGACGAGGAGTCAGCCGCCGAAGAGGAGGCCCCAGAAGAGGAGGAGGAGGAGGAAGAAGCCAAATCCCCGACACCCCCGCCCGAGCCCGTCATCCGCCGCCGACGCCTAGGACGTCCGCCCAAGAACAGGCCTCCGGATTGGGACACGCTGCCCATCGAACCCCCGAACCCTGATGCGACGCCGCGACGCCGTGGGCGTGGAGGATGGCGTGGACGTGGTGGACGCAAGGGACAGCACTACCAGCCGACGCAACAGTCGATTGACAAGGACGGGACGGTCTTGGACATCGTTAATGACGAGGTGGACCTACCGGAGGATGCGGAAGGCGAGAAGAAGGTCGACAAGCTGGGGAATCTGCTGGACGGGCGCGAGTATCGATGCCGGACTTTCACGCTGGCCAACCGTGGCGACCGGCTGTACATGCTTTCGACCGAGCCCGCCCGCTGTGTCGGTTTCCGAGACTCATACCTTTTCTTCACCAAGCACAAGAAGCTCTACAAGATCATCGTGAACGACGAGGAGAAGCGCGACATGATTGAGCGAGATATTATCCCGCACAGTTACAAGGGCCGCTCAATAGGTATTGTCACGGCCCGCTCCGTTTTCCGCGAGTTCGGGGCTCTGATCATTGTGGGTGGACGCCGCATCACGGATGATTACGAGGTGGCCAAGGCCCGGGAGGAGGGTGTGGTGGAGGGCGAGATCGCCGACCCTACGGATGTCTATGATCCGGACAAGCCGTACAACCAGAACCAGTATGTTGCGTGGCATGGTGCCAGCGCGGTGTATCATTCGGGCGGGGCAGCCGTTCCCCAGCAGAATGTCAAGGTCGATAGCAAGAAGCGGCGTGTGGCTGTCAACGATGTGAATTGGCAGCTCGAACACGCTCGCGAGGCTAGGTATGTGGGAAAAAGCCTGACCTTCGGGAGTTCACTCCCAGCTAACTGCGTTATACAGCCAATTTAACAGCATGCTCTCGGCCGTCCGCCGCGCCAACCTTAATGGTGTGTACGACATCCACACCAACCAGATTCACTACCCGGTCATCATGCAGCCCACGCACGCACGTATTGAACAGATCGACGACACGGCCGATGAAACCCCGGCCTCCTCTACAACCATCTTCTCCCCCGTCAAGCCCTCAGTCTCTCGCAACTTCCTCGTCATGGACACCCACCTCGAGACCCCGCCAGCTGGTGTCTCTTCAGCCTCCTACGACGTGCCCTTCCGCACCTCCCGAACCAACCCTGCTTCTGCCACCAATGCCTCTGCCGATTTCCTCTCCCCCTTCCGCAGCTTGCAGGCCGTGCCTGACGATATCCGCGCGTTGCTGCCGGAGGAGTGCAGGCAGGCGTTTGATGGCGCGCGGGAGAAGGAGGACACCTGGTTTGCGAGGTGGGGTGATGAGGCAGAGATGATGGCGCGCAGGGAACCCGTGGTGGATAAGGCGATTGTGCCGTATTCTAGAGCTGTTGCGTGAGCGAGGAAGATCGGCATGTTGGAGAGAGGACGGGGTGTTTGGGGTATGGTATTTGGGTGCTTATCTTTGCGTTTTGAGGTTTTACCCTGGTTTCCGGGTCCTGATTTCCGGGTCAGTTGCGGGTCCTTTTTTTCTATGGATCCTTGGAGTTGGTATCTGTAATGTTATCTGTGCGCGGTGATGGTATTAGAGACCCATACTTCTCTCGCTTCAGAAAGTTGAGATGCTGGGGCTTTGATGGCGGTTAGGTTAGCAGGTGGTTGAGAACGACATCTGAGATGAGGTGTTACCATCAGTGGTTGATGAGAAACAGGAAAGGCCGGATGCGTTTGGTGAAGCGGGTGGGAGGAAGAGTGGGGAGTGAGGAATGGACGGGGGCGAGGGTAGATGTTGATGAGAGTTAGCTACACCTAGGGTGTGTGTGTTTGTGAGTGTATGTATAACAATACCCAAAAATGGCAAGATGATAGGAGGACATCATGAGCATGTGTGTTATGTTTGTAATTCAGTGCTGTGCTTTCCATGTTCGGTATATGTGTGTACAACAAACCTAAAATGGAAACGGTGAAGTTCTTGTCAGGAAGTGTGGTGTTTTGAGATTTGGTGCTGTGCTCTCTATGTTGGTTAATTATATGTGTGCATGTACAAACGATACTCATGATAAATAGGGAAAACATGCTGAGAATGTGTGTTTCGTATTTGATGTTTGGTACTGTGTTGTATATGTATCTTGTATATTTGTGTGAAGCTATTATTTTCCAGTGATGTTGTTGAGAAGTTCGATGCTGAATGGTAACGCAGTTCATGGTGTCGGGAAGATACTTTTTAGCTTGAGGCTTTTCCGACGTTTTGGAAATCTTGTCCTAGTGTTGGTAATTGTTGATAAATGATACTTTGGGCGCTATACAACAGTCCACTTTCTTTCTCGACTGGGGTTAAGCTGTGTCCTGATACTTTGTCGTGATGGTATATATCAATATCTGTTTTCAGGCAAAGTCCTCTTAAACATTAACTGATTGACATTTGGTAAACCGGGGTCTCGGCCGGTTTACAAGACAGCAAGACAGCCTTAATATTCATAATGGATCGAGAACATTTCTGTGGACTCAATGTTTGGGATTAAAATAATGCTACGGAGTTTGTCTTAATTATTATTTTTATAATTCTAAACGAGAACAAGGACAGGTATAGTGGCACATGGTTCCAACTGGTTTCTAACGATAACTACAAGCTATTGAACTTTGGTATCCTCAACTAGACAACTCGAAAGAGAATTAGCGCCGCTGGTGTAGGTGTAAGCTTATATTTTATTTGTATGGCAAGGTAACGAATTATTAAGGAGTTAAGTTAGGGCACTAAACCTTACCTGTGAACCCCATTGACGACATTGATCCTTACGAGTAGGCGTTAGTGTTCCTGATAATCTGGGCCGTGATATCAACACAAGTGACAGGTACGCCCTCAAAGTTATTCGACTCGCCCACAACCACCTCTTGTCCGGGCATAAACAAACCTACGTGGCCGGACTCTCTCTTTAGTCAACATTTACCAACTCACCTCTTGAAACAACCGTGCAACAAAAACGGAAACCACCGGGACCGTCAGACCCGTGACTCGAACAGCATGTACGTGTTACCCACATACACCATGTCCCACCATATTCTGTCAGTCGACGAGGAGCTTAGATCCCGAGGACCGGTTTTGCCCTAGCGCTCTGCTCACTCTGTCCTACCACTGCGGTGTCGCCAGAGATCCTGCACCTTGCCCCTCGATATCTCGAAAACCGGGAACTCGTTCATGAACCTCTGCCGACACTGGTTCCCTCCCACCTCATGCTGGCGCCAGACGCGGAACATCGTGCGCGGGGTAGTGTATCAGGACCCGTCCTGCGTGAGGCTGTAACCGTAGGGTATGCATTTGAACGTCCGAGGAAATAAACAAGAGGGATGAGGGGAGCAATCCTCGAAAAAAAGAGGTAACGGCGCGTCCGCATGTATGGGTGCCCTCCGGCCACTCAGGGAGGGCATCAAGCATTAGTTCGTTCGCATGCGATGCGTCCATACCCAAAGCAGCCCCCCCTACCCCCTCTCTATTTTTTTTTCCCACCTGACATGAACCATCAGAGCGGGCCGCGCTAGGCGATGTTTTGATGTTTACCCGCGGACGGGTGCAAGTTATGCGCGCAACCTGAATCCCCTCATTTGCACGTTTTAGTATGGTGGCATGTGGTGGCCGTGTCTGGGAGGGCTGTTACAACTGGTTCCCTCACGATGCGAGATGCGATGGGTACTGCAGCGAGGCCGTTTGGGTTCCGTCTCTGCGGGAGACTGAATGCGTGTTGAGTATCTTTGATTGCGCCCCGTTGGCCCGGGCGATGAGAGCCCGAAGACGCAGATTGGGTTGTCTTCTCAATTGGCTGGCTGCACACACACAGGAAATCGAGACAGTCGACCCGCCCGGAGCCGGTTACATCCATCCATTTTGGCTTCACTCCGGCAAGCATTGCCCGCCTCTTGCCCTTTCCCAATTCCGGTGTCGCGGGGGTTTGTCGTTCGTGAGCGGGCCGCCCGGATTCAGCCGTCGTTGAACATCCCTCTCAGTGAACCGCTTCGAGGCACGTGTGACTGGGTGTCTCCCGGGATTTTGACCTCCCCACTGTGGCAGTTCGGCGCTGCTTGGAGATCCTGTCTCGTCTCACAGGTCAACAGTGAACTTTCCTCGGCAATCTAATTCGAGGGACGAGTAGGATACATCGCCAGCTCTCAGAATCTATCACCTTGAAAGGGAAAGACAAAATGCGACGCGCAACATGACGTGTGCTGAGCACATCTGACCACAGCCTTCGAGACAATGAACAAGTCCCCAGCTAAACGGAGCTGAAGCTTAGCAAACCCAGCTCAGTTTTACTTTATATTTGAGCATTGACGTAAGCCGAAATGACTGAAGTACGAGTGTTTTCAAGGGAGGGACGTATGCTCTCTTCATCGTAGGCTTTCGGGGACCGTGGGCTGAACAGGCAGTCGAAATGCTTGCGACGAGTTTGACAGCCGCCTAGGACGTTTCTCAGCCGCATGCCCCAGGGGTACAACCAGAGAAGGTGACCACTCTTGAAATCGACGTTGTCTTAGACGTGGATGTCCAGTCCTGGACGTTTATGCCCACGGTTTGGCCGGCAACGGGACAAGACGACGAGTCACAGTTCAAGGCACCAGGAGTCGCAGGCCGCGGTGTGGGTGGCCAATTGCAAGAGGACTTTGTGCATCTCAAGCTGCATGATGACGCGGTTGGCTGACGGGCCGGAAAAGAAAACCACCAGGATTTGGCCTGGAAACCTGCCTGCTCATGAGTGCCTATGGCTTCCAGTGGCTAGTGGGTTTGCTATGCCAGTCACCCAGACAAGCCAGACTTCAAACCGGGCGAGCTGGAACTATGAATCAAGGTGACCGTTTGTGAGGACTCGGTGCCAATTTGGGGACACCGCCACTTACGGGTGCTGAGCGAAGATCGTGGATATCTCCCTGCTTTGGGTCTGATCGAGCCCTCTTCAGACTTGATAGACACGATAGACGTGAGGAAATGAGGGGATGGTGGCGCACAAGGTCGTCCGTGACGGTTTCCCCGAACCCCCGAGAACCTGTTCGATCCTGCAACTTGCAAAGCAGCGGTAGTGACGGCTTTAAATGGGGCGGCGAGCGCTGCTCTATTGGCGGTTTCCTGGTCACAGCGCCCCACACTCCGAGCCAAGCGATTTGGCGGGGCTCGGCTGTGAAGCTTGTGGTGATATTGTTGACGATGACGAGGGCGGTTGTTCAAGGTGGGCTCGACTGTTTCCGGGGCGCTGTTTACACTAGTGTAATTGCGAGTCAAAACGTAGGTTCTGCCACGGGATCCTCGGTTGGCGTGAAATAGTAACGACACTTTGTACCCGTAACATTAGTTGCAAAGCGGATGTCTTTTGTGGGCTCGTGTGTTTGTGAGGGACGTTGCATGTACAGCAGTCAAAGTCGAACACCGGGACTCTCCACACCGAGAGTCGAGCAGCCACAACAACGGCGAAGCTCGGAAACGGAGGGTTTGCTGTCTCTGGTGGTTGATCTCGCTGTAAGAGCCCACGGAGCCGTTTCTCGGCGCGAGACCCTGAAATTTGTAGGGTGGTAGACGACCGAAGCGCCGATACGAATCGAACATGGGCTCGAGTCTTCGATAGATGCTCTCTTACCCGATGGATCTCTAAAGAGGAAAATAAATATGGAGATCCCGGCTGCGGTCTTCTTGTCGGACTTGCCTTCGTGGGAGAAAAAAAATTGTGGATGTAACGTAGGCCGGACGAAAGCGCGCGACCCCCAAACTCTTTCTCCTCTGGCATGCCGTTCTCGGGGCGGATCAAAGAATGCAGCAGATCCACTGGGCGCGTCTGCTGCAGATTCGCACGCTTTCGGCCTGTTACCGGAACTACCACCAGACGGAAGAGGGAAAAGAAGTCCTGGGAAGGGTGGGAGCACCCCTCAGCGGGGCCAACCGGGCGAAAGAAAAATCTCTTATCGTATGCGGCCAAGATCTCGTCCCTTTTCTTTGGCGCATTTCGCGCTGTTTGGGTCAAATGGCCGTTGAGGGGGAGAAGCAGGGGTGGAGTGGCAGGTGGAGGAAATGCGACTGCGGTATATTTTTGCTTCCCATGCGGTGCAGCAAAAGCCCTTGAAATTGAAGGGTTTGGACATGAGAACCCCACCAGTGCAGCTTCTGGCTGCAGATGCCCGCGCGGGGAACACCCTGTGTCCCTGCCCAACGCCGATTCTAGCCAGATCTTCCAGGAGCACACTGAGCAGCCGCCCCCGCCGAGAGAATCTCTGATTTTCGTCCGGGCCGGTAGCATAGATTCCATTGGTTCTGGCGTACTCGGCCTTCGACGACGGTGGATATTGTCTGGTAACGACTCATCCATTCGGCGGGGGCGCTCTTGGGAACCATCTCGAGTGAATGAGGGGCAGGATCCTTTTCGTTCCTCGATCACTTGTGAAGCATTTCTGCGCGGGTGCTCATGTTCCTGCCGGCGGGGCGAGACCCATCTGATCCGGTCTTCCCGGCGCGGTGTCTTGTGAGGCAACTCAACCAGCGGACATGTTCGTGTTACCTCAGGCTCACGACGCCGATCGAGACATCTGGACTAGGGTACTTTGACATTTGGGCGTATCGAGCATGCGGCGTCTGATGTCGGTTTGTCAAAGGGGCCCAAGTCTTGGGAAACTCCAATGATCGGGAATGGTTGGGGTGCGTCGTGCCTCTGCATGTGCGGACTGTTTTGGGGGAATGACTGATGACCGCATGAGAGGGGCTTGCATGTGGAAGGCCGCGGGGGCAGGTCTTGTTTCTCTTGATCGGGTTGGAGCGCTGGGATGTATGGAGAGTGGCGGGACTGCTGCTCACGTTCACGAACCAGCCTCCTTCCCAACTCAATACTGGCCAGCTCGTTAGTGAGTGTGCCTCTCCTCCGTGTTGCACCAGAGCAAAACGTTCGAGTTCGCTCCCGCCAAGTGTGGCATGCCGGAGTGGGAGTCATTCGCTGCGGCCGTTTTCAACCGGCGGGGCGGGTTGAAAGAAGTTTGCCGCTGTCACTGTCATGTTCTGCATGGCGGTTGGGGGTTAGGCGGCTTGCCACTGGTCACAGGCCACACCGCCAGCTTGTCGAGGGCGGGGGTCGCCTGTCCTTGTTCAAGAACGGAAACATTCGTCCCCCAAGATCAGGCCATCAGCGAGCGAGTTCTGGACAGGCAGTCTGGAACGGACAGGAGGCTCTCATCTTCAGGCCAACGAGTCAGGTTTGGTTGGCCGCTTTAAGGGGCGATTTGGAAGTGTCAAGTGTGAGAAGGGCTGAGTCGAACGTGCATGGAGAGGCAGACTTCGAGGCTCGGGAATGTGCAAACTCGCGTCCTCACTTTCTTGCAACGTCAACTTGTTACATGTGTAAATGAACTCGGAACATGCTGTTTTCGAGATGCGTTGACAGCAGGAAATGAGGATTTCGGTTCTGCCGCCCACATTGCGCTGTGTGGAAATTACGGAATCGGTTGACAGGGTGAAACGCGTTTGGCGACCATGCCAAGGTCGTTCTTCCCCAAATGGGAAAGCAACCAGAAAGGCAACCTGGGCTGCTCTTACCGGCGATCAGCCAAAACTGAGGGCGGCCGATGGGTGAGCTCTTGCCGAGACAGCCTTTTCACGCCGTGAGAAAGACCAAACCGAGAACCTGCCTTCTGTTTCTCATTCGTTCTCACTCCGGTGCTTCAAGGCGAGGCTGGGTTTCTGCCTATCACGCCTGCTCGTGTCTGCGCCGATTCGAACCAGCAGTTTATTGTCCATCGTCGCGGCGCTGCTGTTGGGGGTTGCTTTCCGTTCCTGAACTTCCTGGGGCGCTTCCCGGCACCACGGTTCCAGTTTTGCCCTGACCGCTTCCTTTCTGAAGGAGATTTTACCGGTACCCCAGAGGGTGGGCCCTCAGCAATTCTCAACTCACCACAACACTGAAATCTCCTGCACCTATGCCTGGGTTTTGATAGGCTGGCCCAACATCAGCGACGGCGCGTGAGCTGACCACTCCTTCATCAGCGGCCTTTCTGACTCGGCGGCCTGGGAGTTGGCTCTTGACTCGGCGGCCTGGGAGTTGGCTCTTGACTCGACGGCGCGAGCCAACTGAAAAAAAATCCGATGTCAACGATTCGACTGTGCCTTGTCAACGCTGGGCCAGATCGTTTCCCATGAGCGGGTGGGTCCGGTACGTTTAAAGTTTTCCCCCTTTCTCCCCCCCCCCCGGGTTCCAGTGATCACGGGGTGGCGTCCACCACCAGGCCAAGCCCCAAAATGCCACCCAGCATGATGCCCTGGAGTGCGATGACTGTGGCTTGACGAAAGGCCAATGGAAACGCGGCCGCCGCCTCCTACGTGCCTGCAAAAGGGCTGACTCCTTTGCTCGCCGTCGGATGGTTGTCTGGCTTTGAAGACTCTCAATTGCTAACCTCTGATTGGGCAGTAACTTCTTGACCGAAACGTCAATCACACGCTGGGGAAATGGGGCGTTTTCTTTCCCCGAAATTTGCCCGTTTGCGCACCGCTAACCCCAACCCTCCAACTCTTTTGAATGGGTCCCTTGACGTGCTGCTGCAAGGTGTGGCCGGCCGAGGTTCTCAGAACAACTGACCAGAGAAGGATACAATTATTCGGAGGTGGCTCGAGGTCGTCGTTGCCTGAACGTGAGTCGTCTCTCGGGCCGCGTCACGAGCTGCGAGAAGTCAGTCTCCTGTCACGTTTTGCATCAACCCTGGCCCGGTCGTCCAGGCTGGAGAATGGCCAAGTCGCAGTGCAAAAAGCGGTCCCCGGTTGAAATACGAAAAAGGTGCGGTCTCGACGGGGAAGGCGTTAGAAGGCTGGCATTCCATGGACACGCTGCCTCGCCTGCCTTTGACCGCTTGGCACGAACTGGCCACCTCGAATTTTTTTTGGGCGAGACTCGGTGGTGCTGTGACCCCGTCATTTCCGTCATTTCCGCAGGCCGCTGGTCACCCCCAAATTCTCCATGCTGGATGCTACCGTTTCGCAAAATTGCAGCAGCGCCTCAGCGTTTTTGCTTGACGGTCCTTCGCCCTGCTTTCGTTCCGCCGTCAGAATGTGACTTATTCCGCCGGCCCGTCGCTACTAGGAATTCGTGTCCACACATTTCCATTGTTTATCTGGCTTGGACAAGCTTTGATGCCTCTTTGCTTTGGTGGACCAAGAACATGAACGCAAGCCTGATGCTGGGCTTGAAGTCTTATTCCCTAGCTCTTGTCAAGCAATGTTTTGTGTAGCATAAGCAGCTCGTCTTGCTCTAACCGTTGGGTATTCCTGCTACAGAGCACACTGCTGTAGCCATTCTTCAACAGCCGCAGAACTGAAGGGCAGAAAAAGGGCCCGGTATTCCTCGGCGCCCATGCCCGCCCGTGCCGGACCACCTGCAGACCATGGGGTGGGCCCTGCGTCATGTTCACCCGACCCCCAGCCCGCTCACGAAAATGGCCCAGGTTCCCTCGCCCCATCTGCCACCCGCGCATGCTGCCACAGTCTCCACCCACAGATGTTCCGTTGCTGTGGGCCCACGCCGGGTCACCCTCGCACGCTCACTCGCTGGCTGGACTTTGCTCGCCTGCAACCAGGGCCACTTTGATCAACTGCTCCGCAAAGCAAATCCCCTTCTTTTTCCCTTCTTCCCCTTCGACCTCCCCGTCCGTCCTTCCACCACCCGACGTTCAACGCCGTGTTTTTTCCTCCTCCTCCCTTTACCTTCGACCATCGCTGAATCCGCCAAGCACCGAGCGACCGACGAGCGGCCAAATTCACTTTTGGGCTGTTCATTTCTGGATTCGGGTGTCTGTTGTCCTTTCGTTGACTCGAACGGCGACAGAGAAACAGCGCCTGCACGCGAGCCGTTCTACCGGTCTGGGGTGCTGTTGTGACTTTGGTTTTCCAACCATTGACATAGCCTGGAGGTCACCCACGACACTCACGACACTCTATCACTCGGCACAAGGGATTACTTTGTCTCGGTTGATTCCTGCTAGGTTCGTACTGACAGTTGCTTCTATTTAATCATGCCCTTGGATTTTTTTCTCTCTGTCGCATCGCTGGCGCCGGTTTCATTGCCCATGCTGGTGCGCGACTTGCCGTTCACCTCGTTGTTTTGCTACCCTTGCATCTCCAGCCTCAACGCGTTTTTGGCTTCTCAGCACCCCTGTCCTGTTCTTGTTCTGTTGGCCCTGCGCTGTTTTCATTTAGCTTTGCTTCACTTGAATTGTTCGGACAGAAGTGTTGGCCTTTGTGGCTGGCGTCAAGACGACCTCGAGACCAACACATTACCGGGCCTCACCTCTGACCGGGGTTATGACCCGGGCCGCTTCACCCACATTGTTTCCAGCCTCACTTGAGCTTCACGCATTTCGCCAACAGACCGACCGCGAGGGATCCCAGCTGACTCACAATCCGACCTGCAGTGCTCTAGACGTTCCTTTTCTTCTCCTAATCCTTTACCGCTTCACCATAACCTTCTTCTCTTCGACGAGGTCACGACTCTGGTTCTCATCGGTTCGTGAACACACACACGGCAGCCACTTCTCATTTGGCACTGAGAATCGCGAGGGTTTCCGAGTCGTTTCACCTGGGCACAAAAACTCACCTTTGTCCGGACGACGAAATCTCCGCTCTATGGCTCTGCTGGCCTACTAGATCTCGACGCCCTCGCCCTTCGAGATCTTTCGACTCTTCGGCTCTGGAAGCTTCGGCTCGACGTGTGGATTAGGTTCGACCCACATACGCCCATTTCCAGCTGCTCGAAGCAGTTCGACCCTCCTTTTCCGACCTACCTCTTCCCTACTATCACCGCCGACGAAACTGCCATTAAAATGCCTGGAGGTGTTTGTGCCGTTCTCGACTATGAGGTCGAGCTTATGGCCGACTATGTCTCCGAAATGGCGACGCGCATCGTGATGCCGCAGCGCCAGGTCAACCCGGCATTCCGCAAATTCGTGTCGCAGATTCTCACCTCCACCCGTCTGCCGAGCACCACCATCCTGCTGGGCATGAACTACCTGGCCAAGCGGATCAACATGATGCATGCCGCCGGTCAGACAACCCACACCGAGGGCCAGATCTGGCGCATGCTGACCATCTCCTTGCTCCTTGGGAGCAAGTTTTTGGACGACAACACTTTCCAGAACAAGTCTTGGTCGGAAGTGAGCGGCATCCCGGTCCAGGAGCTGAACACTCTGGAATACGAGTGGTTAGGCGCAATTCACTGGTGTCTCTATGTCAACTTGGATGAGAGCAAGGACTACCAAGCCTGGATCGCGAACTGGAAGGAATGGCAAGAGACCAAGAACACGCAACAGCGGGCTGGCCGCGACCGTCTGGCTGGTGCCGTGTCACCGGTTGAACCTGATGTGGCCCGGACTCGCGCGGAACAGTTGTATCAGGCTTGGTGGAACCAGCAGATGTCGGATTTGAAGCGTTATTCCAACAATGCTAAGCGCAGCCAGGCGCCACCGACCAACTCTTTCCGCCACGATCCCTCACCGTGGGCGTATTCCCAGGCTGCCTGGCCTCAGACAGCCCCCCTCACACCCCCCGATTCCGGATACGGCACTCCGGAGTACGCCAACTCAACCGCCTTGGTCAACTCGAATTACGCTGAATGGTTTGACGGTGCCCTCCTTAGCGGCAACGGCGGATCAAGACAATACCAGCAGGCCCCTGCTTATGGCGGGTTCCGCTACGGTGGGAGCCAGGCTTCCCGGAATCTCGGCAGCTATGGCAACTACTACGGTTATGGCCATAGCATCTGGGAGCACCCGGCTGCTGCCGACTGCAACTGCGGTAGCTGTGGTGGTCTGCACAAGACGGCTGGGTACTTTGGCACCCACGGCCACGGCTATGGCCAAGCTGTGGTAGGCTAATCATTCGAATGGATCGCATCGTCATCGAATTGATGACCCCATCGGCGTTACTATCAATCAATCTTTGCCTCGACATTTTCTTGAGCAAAGTTCTGCTCTTTGCATCGTCTCCCGGACGCGGGTTTCCTTCAAGGCATATTGGGAGATTCGATACATTTGCATTCAGATACCCCAGACGACGGCCCGGACTCGACGCTAGCCACCAGCATGGCCAACTGCACCGCCACCTCTACCGATCCTGCCATTTCGCCCGCATAACAACATTCGCGAGCTGTGATGTATCGGCAAGGCTGGTGTTATTATGATACCCATGCCTGAGAACCTTCGTTCTCCCGTCCCGGTCCGGAGCACGCCGTTCTCGACTAATGAAATTTCCTTTAACGGTATACCGGCCCTGTTCCATTACATAAATCGGCGTTTTCTTTTTCCCCAGGTGTCAATACCATCGTGTTTTCTCTTCGGTTTTTCATCATAGATTCGGCGAAACGGTTTTTCTTCGGCACATTCGAAAATTTTCAGCAACCAGCCCCACCTTTTTGCGCATCCGACCCCAAGTGGACCACTTGACAAAAAAACAGGGTAGTGGATGGTTATTGAAAAAGAAGGACAAGGCTCGAGAGTTCTAGACCTCCCACCTGGTTTTTGCTCCCGTGGCCACGCACTTGGTCCCGCACAACTCCGTTGGCACAGGCCCGGGATCTGTTACCCAGCAGTCACGTCTCTTGCGGGCAGAGCGGCTTTCCATGCTACCACGACTGTCCTATCACGCGCTGGACACACGACACCATTACACCGAAACAATTATGGCTGTCAGGGCATAGCATAGAGTGCCACTCAAAAGCGATCATTTTGCGCCTTCTTTTTTTGCTTTCTCAAAAAGTTTACTGGATTCATGGGTACACATTTGGTGCTATTTCCCCGGGTATTAATTCTCTTCTGTATGGGTTGGGTCATGAGGCAGAAAAGTTGGGGCTTGTGACCACTCCCAACTACCTTTTTTCCTTTTCTCGCCTCGGTTTATTCCCCTAGTGTGCTTTTGGGAGGCATTTTTATATTTTCAAGTCTCTTTGCTCGATTCCCTTGCTTCTTTACCGGCCGACCACGCTTGTCTAAGCACCATGCACTGGCATCTATCTCCTACGACCTGATATCGGAGTTTGCTTAGGTTGCTTGCAAGCTAGCTCGGCATTTTTTCCTTTTTCCTCCTCGAGCCTCATCTTGGTGGCTAGAATGGCTTTCATTTGGTCTCGAGGTTGTGTTCTGTAACAACTTGGCGAAACGGGTTTACGGGGCCGAACAGTGAGCAGCTTTTTTTTTCTTCATGCCACTGGTTCAAAGTTTTTAGGACCATGAGTAAGGGGGGTGGTGAAGGGTCCCCTTTGTTTTTTTACCAACACCTAGGGTTACGACTTGACGATTCGGGGTTGGGGCACAGACGAGATGACTGAAGGGTTTGGGATGTTTAAGTGTAGGTGTTTGTTTGAAATGCTGGGTTTTGGGGGTTTAGGAAGGGAAGGAACCAGGAGAGAATGGATGGTCGGCTGCCGTGGTTTCTTCAATTTCGGGGCATGCTGGAAGACCTCGGTGTTAGTGTTCGGGTCTCGGGCGTGATTTCTCCTTGAAGGGATGGATTTGGTCGACGCTTGACGGCGCGGCCTGGGTTCCAACATCGGCTTTGATAAAAACAATAAAAAACCAAACCAAATTGAACAATACCCGAACTTCATATCCAATTACTGTGCCCGTCCTATGAGCAAACCTGCTGGTATTTAAGACGGAGAGGCGAGATGAGCCGTTGGTTGAGGTGTGAAGAACCGTCTTCCATGATTGAAAGCTTTTGTGGGGCCCATCAGCTCTACTACTTGGCGGCTGTCGGCAGCTGGTTTGGACTCTTCCTCGATTGAACTTCAACCTTCATCACGGTTAAGGCCATCAGCGGTGAGATGATGATCAGGCGTAACGGCCTCTTTGTGTGATAAGCAGGGTCCCTCCACTCATATTGTCATACCACCCCACCAAACCTCAACAATTTGGTGGATAAATCTGCAGATTCCGTTTCATTTCGACTCCGCGAGTCGCGCACTTCAACCCACATCCCAACATCTCTGCATCAAAGACAACCTAGAAGAGAATGTCCTCCCGCTTCGTCTCCGCCGGCGCCATCGACGCTTCCACCGGCGAGCCATCCACCGCCGCACCCCCTCCCGCAGAAACCGCTTCTTCAAACTCAAATCCAAGGGACCCTACCACGGACACAACCACCAACCCCCCCTCCGCCAAACAAGCCGCCTGGTTAGCAGCCACAGCCCAACTCGAAGCCGACCGCCTCCGCCGCGACCAAGCCCGCCTCCAGGCATCCCAATCCGGCGAGAAATCCCTCTACGAAGTCCTCCAAGCCAACAAAGCCGCCAAACAAGCGGCATTCGACGAAGCCCACCGCCTGCGGAATCAATTCCGTGCGCTGGATGATGATGAGGTGGATTTTTTGGAGGAGGTGAGGGCGAAGAGGCGACGGGAGGAGGAGGAGGGACGGAGGGAGGTGGAGAGGGGGGTTGAGAGGTTTAGGGTGGCGCAGGGGAATGGGAATGGGGAGGGGGGTGGAGATGGGGGTGAGGAGGGGGAAGGGTGGGGGTTTGCTTCTGGTGGTGGTGGCGGGAAGAGGAGGAGGAAGGTTGAGGGGGGATTGTTGGGGGGGAGGAAGAAGTTGAAGGGGGTTGGGGTGAGGAGGAAGGGGAGTGGTGGTGGCGGTGGTGGCGTTCAGGTGGAAGATGGTGATGGGGGTAAGAAAGGGGAGGAGAAGGTGGAGGAGGAGCCTCAAGTGAAGGGCCAGGAAAAGGAGCGGAAGGTGAGCTCTACCGAGATGAAGAATGTAGTGGGCCAGGTAGAGAAGGCGACGGTTTCGACGGGGCCGACACCGGCTGAAGCACCAAATCCAGCGCCAGCTGTAGCTACCGCAAAGCCCGGGGGTTTACTCGTCGACTACGGATCTGATAGCGACGATGACTGAGGCATTTTACGATCTATAGGCGCGACGAGCATGCTACCTAATCCCACAAGTCTCGGATAGTGAATGGACGGGACTAGTAATGATCAAGAGGAGTCTCATTATTCTGACACAGAGCGTCTCGCCCCCCGAGCACCTGTCTATACGTTAATGCTATATAATACAGGCGCCGTGACAACGGCAGATATGCACCGATTTACCCTGACATGATACACAACACAACATGCATGCAACCCAACCAACCCAATATACAAGTACACCGTCACACATCATAAAAATCAAATTCACCACCCTTTTTGTGGTGCTTTTTACTCAACGTCACTGTCATCCAGCGGCGTCCGCTTTTCCTTCTCAAACGCCTTCTTCTTGCCCCAACGGTATAGCTTCCGGAGCTTCCCCTTGGTCCAGCCCTCGACCTCCTCCTCGGGCACCACAATCCGGTTTATCCGCTGCTCATCCTCAGGTGTGAGCTCGAATCGGCGCATACGCTCAGCAATACGCCAGTCCATCACAATGGGCTTCGCACGGATCCTCTCGGGAATCTCGTCGGCCGCAGCAGTCGCAGCGGCATTGTCGGCCTTGGGTTCGTCCTCTTTCCAAACCGACTTGACCCAATCTTTCTCTTCCCACTCCAGCTCCTTTTGCTGTTCGTACCTGACCGCAGCGGATGTGCTCGTTGGACTCGCGTCGTCGGCCTCGGCGGGCAGCTGGCGGTACTCCCGGGCAGCACTGAGGCAGACGGCAGCGACTTCGCGGCCGATCTCGTCGGCAAGCTTCCGGCGATTGAAGAAGCGGTAGAGGCGGGTCGGGGTGTTGAGGAAGCCGAGGAGGTGGGGTTGCCGGATGGGCATGGAGGGGTCGAACTCCTGGGGTGTGAGAGCGGGGAGGATTGCTGAGGGATAGTCGGCTGTGGTGTTATGGGGTTTTGGTTGGGGTGGCCTCTTGGGTTTCTCTTCCTCGGCTGGCTTCTCAACGGGCTTTTCTTCGGCTGGTTTGTCCTCAACAGGCCTCTCCTCAGACCCCTCGCCGAACGTATCCTCAGTAAGTGCCACGCCAGCCTGGGCGTCTTGAGTTACATCCGGAGGTGGTATTGTCCCTGGTGCGGTCAGAGAACCCAGCCAGCCCTCATGCAACCCGCGGAGGTACTCCTTCCATGTATGCCGCCCGATGACGATATCGCCGCGCACGCCGTCGTAGTCCTGGATGCCTTGCGCCCTACGGAAGTTCTCAATAAACTCCTCCTTCGTAGGCTCCTTTGTCGGGTCCGGCTGGCCACCATTCTCCCCTTGGTGTCGGATCCTGCGCACTCGCTCGGCAACATAGGCACGAACATCGCCTTCCTTGCGGCCTTGTACGAACTCCCAGTCCAATCCACTGGCCGCTAGAATCGGCTTAACGTATTCGGTGTAGTGGTCCTGGGCCACGCGTAGGCCATCACCGGGCGGATTTGAGAGGTAGATGGTGAGCTTGCGGGGTTGTGCTAGGCCCATTTTGTCGGGTACTGGCTCTTTGGCCAGATGCTCCACGGCATGCGACCATTTTGCAATTGCCCTTTTCTTTTCTCGTTTGTCGTAGATAATACCGGCTGTAATGGCACCCGAGATGGTCCAGAATATCATCCAGTTCCGGGAAGGGAGTTTTCGAGGTAAGGCGGGCAGCCCGAGCATGCGCAATGCCGGGTTCGGGGTTGGTTTTGGCGCCTAGGAAGAAGGTATCGTCAGCGCCTGCTTAAGGCTCGAGAAAGGTTTTCATGGTGATATTTGTGAACCTACCGCATTCGGCGCTGGAGGCGGGGTAGCGGCCGGGGTTGGGTCGGCCATCGTGGTCTCTGGGAACGTGGTTCTCGGCGTCGTGCGAGGGAGGTTGAACAGTACTACAAGCACATTTGGCTTGCGGGGACCCGGACCTTTGCGTTTGGGTTTTACTGGAATATCAACAGGCCGCGCCACGGTTTTTGATCGAAGGTGCAAGTAGTGTCGCAGGGTGCGGCATGAAATGCGCCGCGTCGCAAGTGTGAAGCCGCTTTTTGCAAAAGGAAATCGGTGTTCTGAATTCGCGATGCGGTTCAAAATTCCACTGGTCGTTATCGCGATAACGGCAATCGTGCACGGTCCATGTTGGATGCAAGGTACCTCCAAAAACATCACGGCGCTCAATTTTCTTCTCCTGATGTACAAAGTTCGCTGTTTTGTTGTAAGCTGCCTACATACTGTCGTTAAAGCTCGGGCGAGCCTTAGCACAGTCTTTATTATGTTACTAATGAGATGCTTCTCGGGCGGTGCAGTTGACAAGATACCCGTGTTTTGTGATAAACATACCCAACAGCAACCCCTCTTTTCGAGCGTTCTGCTCCGTGCATTTGCAGGTACCTACCTAGCAGCTCGCAGGTAAGGCAGCCCGGGCAGGGGGCTTTAAGGCTCTGAGTCTTATGGCGGTACTGCGAGGATGGGTTCGCTTGAGTTTCCCATGGGGTGTCGCTAGTCTCACACATGGGAGAGTGGTACATGTGTGAGTGGTATGTACATACAAAGAATTACCAGTTCTCATGAGGCTATGTCCCACTTCAAGGTGAATTGAGTGTTTACGGATACAACCCCAAAGGTAAGGTAGTTCAGTGCCTGAGACTACATACCTGAGGTAAACCCCGAGTCTAGCAAAGTCCACCGGGATAGTTCTCATATCGAGTTTGGAGGGGGTGTGCACCCTGATCCACTAATGCTATTACCATCGCCCAACAGGCTCCGGCTCTGGGTTGGAAGCACGGTCAAGTCTGTGATGATAGGGGTAGGACAGCGGGGGCAGAGAGCGGCCTGGCTACTTTGAGAGTTCAGAGACGTAGATACTGGTTTTCGGGCGCCCTGGGGGAAACTCAATATCTGGACACTCATCCCACCCGGGGGTGGCGCCTCAAAAGTAAGTTTCCAGCCGGGTGACCACATGTTTTGATGAGGAGTTAGCCATGAGGTTTGGTTTGGAAACCGTTTGAGGATGTGGGGGAAAAGGGTGCAGGACCCGGCGATCTCTAAGAATCTGACAATGTTACGGTACAAGGCAATACAGGAATTTACGCATCCGTAGGAAATGGCGGGGTCCCGGGCCTCTGGCAGGGTCTCGGGAACTGCCGCATCGGGAGGGCATTGACCGCCATCTTGCAGGCAATGGAGCGTGTCATGCCACTGTGTACCCGCTCTTCGACTGGATTTTGATGTGTTGGGAAAAGGTTGGAGCATGGGGAAGGTCATTGAAAGGTTAGGAAATGGAATTTATTAAAGACTGGCTGGGAGATGACCACACTTGCTTTTGCGGATTGCATTGTGGTTCACTTTGGCGGGGCAAGCGTCCAGGTGCGCGTCTTAAACCCCCGTAGTTGCCAACCCAGACCTCCTCCACCTCGTTAGACCCTGGTCCCAAAACACAGGGTCCCGCTGGTCTTCCCCCTTTCCGCTTCCACACCACAACTTTAGTCTGAACGTCGTTCTTTCAACACCTGCAAGTCGCTCGCGGGAAACCCACGACGCCCGGATTCCCCAGAAAGTTGCAATTGTGTGTCGACCACGGGCAATCCCGCAGCACATCGCCAACATGGACAACCAAGGTAACCGCCTGTATCTCAACTTTGGGAGCAACAACGAGCGACTCCCTGCCAACGACCGCACGTACCCGACCACGCCCTCTACGTTCCCGCAGCCCGTTTTCCAAGGCGGGCAGCCTGCGGCCGCCCAAGGCGGCGCCCAGCAACCTCAGGCCTACCAGCAAGGCGGAGCGGCGTATCAACAAGGAGGATATTTCCAGCAGCCCAACGCCCAGTATGCCGCCCAGTACGCTGCCCAAGTTGGGAACTCCCAGGCCACCGACTATGCCGCTGCTGGCCAGGGCTACGGCGGTCAGGCGAGGACCACTACACCTGGAGGCGCCAACAACGACCCCAACACGGGACTTGCCCACCAATTTTCTCACCAGAACCTAGGTGGCGCCGGCCGGGCGTCTCCTTACAACAGCGGTCGCGCCCCTCAGCCCGCGGCCGCCCCAGGTCAGCGACCCCGAACCGCCGACTCGCGTGGCCAGCAACCAGGCTACGGGAGCTACGCCAACGCACCGCCGCTGCCGACGCAGAATGCTCAGGCCGACTACTTCGCTGCCGCGCCCGAACGGAACCCGGACAAGTACGGCCCGAATGCGAACAACAATCAGAAGAAGTGCTCGCAGCTGGCGTCCGACTTTTTCAAGGATAGTGTCAAGAGGGCCCGTGAGCGTAACCAGAGGTGGGTGACTATCTTTTCTACCACGGTTGGCTTGATGATTTAGCCGATGGCTTGTGCTGACCATGGTCCAATCACATAGGCAAAGCGAGATGGAGCAAAAACTGGCCGAAACGACGGATGCCCGCCGCCGGGAATCAGTTTGGGCCACCGGTGGCCGTCGCGAGGGGTCGTACCTTCGTTTCCTGCGGACTAAGGACAAGCCGGAAAACTACAATACCGTTAAGATTATCGGCAAGGGCGCCTTTGGCGAAGTCAAGCTGGTGCAGAAGAAAGCCGACGGCAAGGTTTACGCCATGAAGTCGCTGATCAAGACGGAAATGTTCAAGAAGGACCAGTTGGCTCACGTGCGTGCGGAGCGTGACATTCTGGCCGAGTCGGACAGCCCGTGGGTGGTCAAACTCTACACGACCTTCCAGGACACCAACTTCCTGTACATGTTGATGGAGTTCTTGCCGGGTGGTGACTTGATGACTATGTTGATTAAGTACGAGATTTTCTCGGAGGACATCACGCGGTTCTACATTGCTGAGATTGTCCTGGCGATCGAGGCTGTCCATAAGTTGGGCTTCATCCACAGAGACATCAAACCAGACAACATCCTGCTGGACCGAGGCGGTCATGTCAAGTTAACAGATTTCGGTCTTTCCACTGGCTTCCACAAGCTGCACGACAACAACTACTACCAGCAGCTCCTCCAGGGCAAGTCGAATAAGCCGCGCGACAACCGAAACTCCATCGCCATCGACCAGATCAACTTGACAGTCAGCAACCGGTCCCAGATTAACGACTGGAGGCGATCGAGACGACTGATGGCGTACTCTACGGTCGGTACGCCCGACTACATTGCGCCCGAAATTTTTACTGGGCACGGGTATTCGTTTGACTGCGATTGGTGGTCGTTGGGGACCATCATGTTTGAGTGTCTAGTTGGCTGGCCTCCTTTCTGCGCCGAGGACAGCCACGACACCTACCGTAAGATCGTCAACTGGAGGCAGTCGCTGTACTTCCCAGACGACATCCAGCTTGGCGTCGAGGCTGAGAACTTGATTCGCAGGTAAGTTGTCCCAGTCTAACCCCTTCATTGCTTTTCTTTCTCTTGCCCGACAATGGACTCACCATCCCTAGCCTCATCTGTAACTCGGAGAATCGCCTCGGCCGTGGCGGTGCGCACGAGATCAAGAACCACTCCTTCTTCCGCGGCGTCGAGTTCGACAGCCTGCGACGTATCCGTGCGCCGTTTGAGCCGCGCCTGACCTCCAACATCGATACGACCTACTTCCCCACCGACGAGATTGACCAGACCGACAACGCCACCATGTTGCGCGCCGCACAGGCCCGCGCCGGTGCCGCGGCGGGTACTGGTTCGGCGGCCCAACAGGAGGAGAGCCCGGAGATGAGTCTACCCTTCATTGGGTATACCTTTAAGCGGTTTGATAACAACTTCCGGTGATTGGGCTCTGGTGCCCTACTGTGATTGTTAACTTTTGAGCGTTTAAGTGTGGACTTGGGAGTGTGTTATGGCGATTTGGAACAGCGACCTGGATGGGATGGACTAGCTTGCTGGCGTTGAGCTGGTATTGGTAACATGGATGTCGCAAAGAGTTCGGAGAGATAAAGGAAAATGTCAAAATAAAACGTCTGATTGGGTGTTGCCTGGCATACCTACCTGACTACGCTATTTCTTGCGCAATGCTTCATGTGTAACACCTTAATACCTACACCGCCAACGGTGTGGAGTGATGTTTTTGGACTTGCTAACGACCTTATTACACATACCAGCTTCGCCGGATTTCCGCCACTCCCGGCCCAAACATCTAACCAAGACTTCCACTTTCCATAGCCTACCACGGTACAGAAAAGGCGCGTCTTTTGGCACCCGACCATGGCCTTGCACCGGATTCCCATGCCCCCCAAGTCCTTGACACCTCCTTCGCTCCGCGAGTCCATGTGTTTGGTTTTCGCCATATATCGGCGGTCAGAGAGGTCGCGAAAAATCTCGCGGGCTAGACGTGAAATCCCGAGCCACTCTTTGGAGGGACCCGATGGGATGTGCCGTGATTGGTGACGCGTAGTCTCTTGGGGGTCCATATATCCGTATACCGACCGCTCTCATATTGCCCGTCTCTTCAAACCGCATGTATGTTCCGCGGCCTCATCACCTCCCCGTCAGACCCGGCGCAGCATTAAACCGCTCCTCACGCTCCGTCATAAACATAATCTGCACCCAGTACTCCTTCGCATCCGGATCCCAGTACTCAAACTGGCGGTCCTCTCTCTTGTCTAGCTCGCGCGCCGGGATCTTAAAACCGCAGGTCTCGTACGGCTCCGCAGCCACGAGCAGATACTGGAAATTCCGGTCGGGGTCCTCAACACGTTGGCTGAACGCGCTCATGACCTGCCACTTGGGCGTGACACCCGTGCCGATATCCGGATACTGCAGCTGGAACAGCAGCCCCTGCTGGCGCGTAATCGGATCGCGCACTTTGGTGATCTTGTACCCCGGCCGTCCAATCTTGACGACATTTTTCCGTGGCCCGCCACCGGCGCCCAGGCCCAACGCGGCAAACCCTGCGCCGACAACACCCACGGGCAGACCGGTGTGTGGATCGACTTCGCCTTTGCCTTCTTTTTGTTCGCGGGCGGCACGCCGTGCGAGGTTGGTCTGGTGCTTCTTGCCCTGGGTGTGGGCGAGGTAGGAACCGTCATTTTGGTGTACGGTTAGGCAGAGGCGGCATTCGAAGGAACCGAGATGGTTCTTGAAGATGTAGGGGTCTTTGTCGAGGTCGATTTGTTCGAGCGCGAGCTTGCGCAGGCGTTCGCGGCGGTCGGCGTTGGTGGCGCTGTGCGAGGCGACACCGCCGCCGCCGAATTTGGAACCGGCTCGGTTTTGATAATCCATTGTATTGTGGAGGGTGTTGTTGGATGGATGGGGGATGGGGAGGATGGATTGGAATCTTTAGCGTTGCTGCCGTGAAGGAGTTCTTGAAAGTTGCTGGTCGCGTGGTCCAAGCGCGTTCATTGGAGGGATATGGTACGGTAATTACAAGTACGCAGCCGATTAGTTACCAGAAACCGTAATTTACATTAGTGCATTCATAGGCCAGTCTGACCTGGAGAAGTAACATCAACGATGTTGCCGTCGGCATACCTCTGGCGAATATCCCATTTTCGTGTCCTCTTTGCCTGCCAAACTTTCGGATAATGCCAATCGACTCCTAGACCGAGGGCAAGTTGAGAAAAATGCACCTTGACCAAGCAGTGGACCTGACGATCCCTGATTCGCAGACCTCGGATACTTGGATACGCTCAACCGGGCTCCGCCCGGCACCGGATCCGGCAAGTGGTGGCCGCCTTTCATGATCGTTCCGGTTCTGTCAAGTCACAGTTCGGCCCGGATCTTGTGAATTTCCCTTACTTTTTATTACTTTCGCAAGGCCACCTGTCTTTCTTTTTTTGCCTGTAGCCGCCGCCATGAGCCGAGCATTAACGGCTTGCCGTCGTGTATTTGGGTCCGGGGTACCGAGGAGGTTCCCGGGCGGGGATGCGGTCGGCCTCCGATCTTTCACCGTGTCGGCGGCCGCTTCAGCCCCGGGGTCTCTCCCTTTGGAGGGTTATCGTGTTCTGGACATGACGAGAGTCTTGGCAGGGGTAAGGCTGTCCCCTGTTTATGTATTGTACATACAGGCGTTGTGCCAGATATCTAACTCTTTTGAAGCCATATTGTACCCAGATTCTAGGAGACCTCGGGTGAGCATCTGACTCTGAAACGACAGGACAGGCCACCATTGACCGCCATTGTATGTTAGGGCCGAGGTCATCAAAGTCGAACACCCGGTCAGAGGTGACGATACTCGGGCCTGGGGACCGCCGTATGCCACGTATAAAGATGGCTCATTACATGAGGGGCCAGGAGAATCTGCATATTTTCTTGGTGTAAGTACCACGTCCCACAATAGCACTAAACGTTTAGCTCACCTTATTCCTCTAGGTAAACCGCAACAAAAAGTCCCTGGCCCTCTCTTTCCAAGACCCAGCGGGCGTGGACATCCTCCAGAAGCTGGCTGCGAAATGCGACATCTTAGTCGAGAATTACATTCCAGGATCCCTCAAAAAATACGGCCTGGATTTTGACACCATCCACAAGATCAACCCGGCACTCATCTACGCCTCTATTACAGGCTATGGCCAGACGGGGCCGTACTCACAGCGACCAGGCTACGATGTCATGGTGGAGGCCGAGTTTGGCCTGATGCACATCACTGGCAGCCGTGATGGGCCACCGGTCAAGGTCGGCGTTGCCGTTACTGACCTCACAACTGGGCTGTATACCAGCAACAGCATCATGGCCGCGTTACTTGCCCGGGCTAAGACTGGAAAGGGGCAGCACATTGACGCTGCGTTGAGTGACTGCCAGACCGTTACGCTGGCCAACATTGCCAGCAGTTGTCTCATCAGCGGGGAGAAGGATACGGGCCGGTGGGGGACCGCACACCGTATGTGGCCCGATGACCGTTTTGTTGCTGATGACCATCCGCTAACAAACTATTATTAGCCTCCATCGTCCCATACCGTTCCTTCAAAACTAAAGACGGCGACGTTCTCTTCGGTGGAGGCAACGACAAGCTCTTCGGCATCCTCTGCGATGGCCTCGGCCGGCCCGAGTGGAAGGAAGACGCCAAGTTCAAGATCAACGCGGTCCGCGTCGCCAACCGGGTCGAACTAGAGGCCGAGATCGAGGCGATCACCACCCAGAAGACAACCCAGGAGTGGCTGGACACGTTCGAGGGCAAGGGCATGCCATACGCCGCGGTCAATGACGTCCAAGGGGCGCTGACCCATGCGCACACCCAGGCCCGGAACATGGTGGTGGAGGTGGACCATGACGAGTGTGGACCGATAAAGCTGCTCAATACACCGGTCAAGTACTCGGAGAGCGAGCCCCGGATCCGGAGTCCACCGCCGACGTTGGGGCAGCACACGGATGCTATTTTGAGGGAGTATTTGGGGATGGAGGATGCTCAAATACGGGGATTGAAGGAGAAGGGTGTGATTAGGTAACAATGGCGAGATATAGGAGAGAAAATAGATTACTCTAAGAGCTTCCTATCGCTGTGTAGGCGACCTTCTTCATACCCTGTGGCCGTTGCTCTGGTGGTTGGTACCCCTGAAACTCGGAGGGTTAGGGTTCACACGTGACTTTCACGTGATTAACGAAACAAAACCTCAAGATCGCAGCTTCCCTTCAATCACTCGAAACATGTTCATAATGAACAATTCAATGTGGCCGCGGCCTTCTACTTCCTAACTTGATGTGTTTTACTAATTAATTAATACGTATATTTGTTCATAACCGACACGAAAAGCATCAATTTCCCATGGTGTTTGGCGACCTGCATTATCACGAAACCGCGTTCATTCGACACGATCAGGAACCCGCGCAGAGAAAAAAATGGCCGACGACAAATCCCAAAATGCAGCAAACTCTCCCCTACAAGGGCGGGTCACCGACCCGTCCCCGGCTCATAGCTCCGTTTCCGCGGCCGGTTCTGGGGCCGGTCCCATGGCGACCGCTTCCACCCCGTCCTCACGACCCCTTTACGTGCCACAGTTTACGGCGGCCACACAAATGATTCTCAAAAGAATGAAGGGCGAGCCGAGCAGTCTAAGTGCTGCGTTGTCACAAGCTTCTAGATCACCCGCCGTCACATCCAGCATCCCTTCAGCAACCTACGAAGACGTGAAGCGACGGCTCGTGATGAACATGAACACCTCGGCCACGACCATACAGATGCCCGCCGTGCCTCCAGTCACACACTCAGCCATGCCGATACCCCCCCGCTCATCTGTTAAACTCCCAGCCCCAGGGCCGGTTGCCTCAAAACCTACGAGTAGCGCAGTGGGAATGAGCGCGATCCGAAAAGTCACAGCAGGCCTCACTGCCTCGTCGAAACCGACCCCTCCAAAGCCCGTCACCACGAAGGCGGCGCCCAGCAAGATCCTCTCTTCAGAGAGCAAGATCAAGAAGTCCAAACCCGCACCGCTTCCCCGTGTTACTACGGGCGGCAAGCGAAAGCGTACTAAATCTCAGCCCACAGACGGCACCAAAGACAACGACGCCGTCTCGACACGGTCTTCCAGTTTTTCTTCCTCCTCGCCCGAACCGGCCCCGTCTTCCGCCGCATTACCACCTCTAGAATCCAGCACCCCGACCACTCCCGTACCCCTCGCAGTCACCAAGTCCGGCCGTCAGGTTCTCAAGCCAGCGGCCTACAACCCAGCAGCCATGGACGCTGCCAGCAAACGGCCGCGGCCCCCAGCCCACCACCACGGCAAACGCACCGTCGAGCAGATGCTCTGCAAGAAGTGCAGCCGTATGCATAGCCCAGCCACCAACCAAATCGTATTCTGCGACGGGTGCAACGATGGCTGGCACCAGCTCTGCCACGACCCGTGGGTCGCCGACGAGATCGTGCGGGACGCGATACGTGGGTGGTATTGTAGCGCGTGTGCCGCTAAGAAGGGGGGAAATAAGAGGCAGAAGGTCGAGCAGCATTCACAAACCAGCAGTGTCTTTCAGCCGCAAAGTCATCATCAGGGGAAAGCTGGGGGAACTGGTCACAAAGGTGAACGACCAAAAGAAAGCTGGGCGAACAAACCGGCCCAGCAGAAACGCGCCTATCTCTCCACACTATCCCAGCAGGACCTCGTCGGGATCATCATGACCTGTCTCGACACACACCCCAACCTACCGATATTCCCAGGCCCAGAACCATCCCATCCTCCTCCTCCTCCACCACCAGGAAATGCAGGTAATAACAGCAACGGCGGCCCACGGTCTATCTTCGCGGGGACGACCACTGACGGTCTCTTCCCCCGCACTTCCGCTGCGCTCAATGCCGGCAACGGCGCTGTCATCGTGGGCGAGGATGACGAGAACTTTGACCCACTCGCGGCGTTATGGCCAGTTCCGGGTCGTGGTATGTACACGCGGCTGCCGCCGGACACGGAAGATGAGACGAGGCTGGTGGATGGGGGGGATTTTGAGGCGTTTAGCGGGATTATTTATGACGAGAGGGGGAGGAAGGTGGAAGAGAATGGGATGAAGGTGTAGGGGTGGAGGTGTATAAATCTGGTTGCATTGCGGTTGGCATCGCACGGTGGAGATTTTCTATCCTGGCGAGAGTCCTCTGGGCTCAGGGCCGATCTAGCAAACTATATAACCTGATATAGATGTCACAGTAACGGGAGCAACACCCACTGTCCGAACCTTTTGTTCCACGCCATTGGCCAACGACAGACTCCAGTCCAACTTCCCCAGGCACGAGAACAACACAGATATTCTCCCCTTCTCTAATGATACGGACTCGGCGATCGCGCCCCCGCATGGCCCGGCGGTGGACTCACCGACTCAACCTGCGACACCGGCCGGCCACCAACCGCCGCCGGCCCACCACCAGGTCCCCCGGGACCCATGGTCAGATCGGTCTCGGGATACCGCACATAATTCTCCGGCTGGTTGCTCTCCTCGCACTGCTTCGCCGCGTTGTACTTTCTGAACGCCGTCTGAACGAGCACGCCGACTTCTTTACGGTCGCGACCGAGGACGCCGACGGCTAGGAGGGCTTCGGTTTGTTCGATCCTGTTGTGGGGGTTAATAAAACGGGGGCACCCGGGGGGAAGGTTGGTTGGTGTGGAAGGAAAGGGGGCCCATACCAGTCTTGAAGCCTTCGGAACTCGGCTCGGTCGTGGTTTAGTCGTTCCGGCAGACCTTGGCCCTTGACTAGCGCCAACACACCCGCGATGACAGTGTTGATGGCGCCGAGGAGGGTGATGACGATGACGTGGTCTCCTGCGCTGGGACCGCTGTTGGGGGGTAAATATCCCGCGTTAGCAATCTACTTAGGGGCAAACCGTACACAGCAACGAAACGTTGTACAATCAACAAGAACAAGACACCGAAAAGAAGAGGAAAGAAAACTCACAGCGCAGTCAAAGAAGCCCCAATAATAATCTGCGCAAAATGGCTCGCATTGATCAAAACCGACAACAAATGATACGCAATCCTCTTCCTCTGCACCTCCCTCACCGCCGCCGCATAAATCCCCCCCGTCGCCATCGCCACCGTCCTTCCCCCCCTCCTCCCACCGCCTCCTTTCCCTGACCTCCCTTCCTCCGCCTCCGCCCCTGCTAACCCCCCTGGGCTCCCTCGATCCCGGCCTCCCCATCCCCGATGACCTCCTCCTCGCCACCCACCACCACCACCTCGCAACCGATCCTCCTCCTCAGCCATAAGCACAGGCAAAGTACTGTTGATCCCCACCGCGCGGCGGAAAATGGCGAGGTTCTCGTCGTTGCCGCGGCGCATGTGCAGGCCGGCGGGGATGCCCCAGGAGAGATCGGTGTCGGCTTTTAGGGGGCCGTGGAGGCCTAGGCCTATGGGGTCGTCATCTTCTTCTCCTCGTTGGGTGTTGTTGGAGGCTTGTTGTTCCTTGGCGATGGCGGTGGCGGCGGTGGAGGAAGAGGTTGTTTGGTTTTGGGAGGGGAGATGGGGGGGTTGGAATTGGTGGGGTTGGGTTGGGGGGAAGGGGTGTTGTTGTTGTTGTTGGGGTTGGGGTTGTTGTTGGGAAGAAGCTGGGGTGAAAGGTTGGCTGGAATCGAGCGGTGTTTTGGAATTACGGTTGCTGCTGCCGTTGGTGCTACCGACGACAGTGGAAGCGGCGCCCATGCTGGGGATTCTGGTGCCGGTGCCCTCGCCGGCGGCGTCTAGGCTTACGGTTCGAGGGGACATGGGCGGCTCGGCCGCGGCTGGTGACCTTTGGCCTTGAGGGTCGGGGACTTCTTGAGGGTCGGAGACTTGGTGAGATGCCATTTTGGGTGGATTTATTGAGGCTACGGCGGCAGAAATGGATTCATACTTGGGGTTTCGTCGACCGTGGAAAAGGGGAGAGCTCTCGTCGTGGTGTAAGTCAAGTTGGCGGTTGGGCGATGAGCTCCGTGCGTCTGACATCATGATGCGAATTCATCTCATCCTTTTTTTCCATTGAGGCATAGGGCGATGGAAAAGGTAAGGATGAATGGGGGGGTTTATAACCCTTTCGCTGCCTTATTTCTTTTTGTCGTATTTTGGCCATTTGTGTTCCACGGATTGTGGCTTCTTTGGCAGGGCACAGTTGGTTGTGCGGCGAGGCAGTCAAAGTCTCGAAGATCGTCCCCAATTTCAGGTACGAAGGATCGAATCGGATGCATAAGGCTGTGATATGGAATCACCGTGTCAATTAAACGTTATGCACGTCAGGTATTAGTTCCTTTCATGCTGACCTTGGGTGGTCAGCCATCTGCACGTGCGGCTCTGAGCTGACCGCGGATGGTAAACCTACCACAACGACCGTCACATACACGTGCACTGGCTGTCAGATTGATAATCTCGAGATAGCCTCGCAACTTGAATCCGAATTTCTCCCTCCCCTTGGATTGCTAGCTGATTTCGAGCTGGCTATAGTAGAGCATCAAATGATCGCGATATCGTGCATCTCCCCAGAAATTGATCTTCAGTCTCCTCCTTTGCTCCTACTTCAGCAGCTCCAGACAATCAGTCACCCCCTTGATCTCATTCTCTTTGGCGTAGTTCCCGCCCCGAGCGTTACTCAACGCATATCCAAACCCCTCCTTGGGCACCTCAACACCATCAGCCCCCTCTCCGAACAAGTACAGGGCGTCAACCGACCCAATGGTAAAAGAGATATGGTCTTCGGCAGTCGGTTTCCAGTAAATCCACGAGCCGCAGTTGCCACAGATAGCGCGATCCGCCTTCTCACTGGCCCGGTAGTTCTTCAGCGTGTCCGTGGAGGAGGTGAACTTGAAGTTGGCCCCTGGCTTGACGGTGTGCCAGATGAAGAAGAGTGAGCCGGATTGCTTGCGGCATTGTGTGCACTGGCAAGTGCCGGACTGTTTTTACCCAGGAATTAATTAGACTTTGATATTGAAGACTGGGAAGGGAGGGTAATGAAAGACCAACCGAGGCTTTGAAATCATGACCCTCTGGGAAGTCAACACGGTAGCGGAGGCTGTTGCAGAGACATCCTCCGGTGATGAACTTGGGCGTGGGGAACGACTCAGCGGCCATTGTGTCGGTTTGATGGTTTGGTCGTTTGGAGTAATTAAATGAGGTTCAAAGTCAAACTTTATTAACTGGTTGTTGAATTGAAACTTTGGTGTGGAAAGGATTGTGCAAAAGTGCGGATTGAGTAGAAATGAATGATCTTTAAATATTCAGAAAACGTTAAGGTCTTGATATCCGGTACTTTCTTACTTACTAATTGTTAGTTACAAGCGGAGTGAGAGTTGCGAAACTGAACACCAATTACCTCATCAAATGATCAAACCCTACGCCTTCCCTCACTCACTCGGCGCGCCTTTGTGATTGACATTGTGGAGCAGGCCGAAGCCAAGAATGCTCCTTCCTCTTTACCCTTCCAAGTCGTAAGCGGTCGGGCACCATCACTTGAAACCAAGCACAAGTCGCGCCTTCCCATCGTGGAAAAGATCCAAACCAAGCACTGCGGCCATTGGACAATTCAATCGCAGTGTTGCACTGTAAGCCCATGATTCATCCTTACAGGTTTTCAGCTTTCCATATCAATTAGAAATCCCCCAGACTCCGAGAGTCCCTCCTTGACCGGCTGCCATTCATCACGCATCTGCGACAAACACCCGCCCCCGATATAGCCCGGACATCAATCTACGCGTCAGATGTCTCTTCGACATCCTTGTACCTCTCCTCATGATGCCGTTCCCTCAGTTCCGCCCGCTCCGCCTCCGTGAACAGGCCATCGCCGCTCTTCTCCCCGAGCTTCCCCTCCGCAACATAATGCAACTTCAGCCACGCCAACGCCGCCTCACTCCTCAGTCCCGGCACCCTCTCCAGATTATGCTGCTCCACCCGCGCAACCGTATCCAGCCCGATCTCATCCATCCGCTCACATGGGCCCTTCTCCGCATGGAAGAAATCCCGAAACAGCGCATCCACATCCCCCGGCTTGGCCACGCCCTCGGCTAGCACCGCCAGCGTCTCGCGCTTGCACGCCGCCCAGATGCGGTTGAACACGAACCCGCGGCTCTGGATATTGTGCGGCACGATTACGGGCGCGAGCCCGACGCGGCGCATCTGGGTTGCGAGAAAGGGGAATGCGCTTCTGGCTGTTGCGCCTGATGACATGAGCTCGACCATGCGGTTGCGCGGCGGGATGAAGTAGTGCGTGTTGAGTAGCCGCTCTGGGTGGTTTAGGTCACCCTGGGCGGCCATCTCGGCCGTGGTGAGGCTGCTGCTGTTGGAGGCGAGAAGGCAGTCGGTGGGGAGTGAACGCTCGAGTAAGGCGAGGACGGAGGTTTTGAGGGGGAGGGACTCGGGGAGGCATTCGATTGCCAGCCAGGGGGCTTTGGCGTTGGCTTCGGCCAGTCCGGAGGCACTGCTTGTAGCGGTGCGGAGGTCACTGGTGGTTCGGACGTGGCCGGGGTGTGTGCCGCGCGTGGTGCAGTAGGCTGCGAGATTGTCGGTGATGTACTCGGTGGCAGAGTGGAGTGCGTCCGAGGAGATGTCGTAGATGATGACGGGCCGGGAGTGAGAGGCCCAGACGAGGGCAATGCGACGGCCGATGTTGCCCGCGCCGGCGACGAGGACGGGGCGTCCCTGAAGTTCCTCGTCCGAGGGGGGGCTCCATTTGGTCGTTTGTGGCTGTTTTGAGCCGTCGCCCGGAAAGTGAGATGATGAGGAGAAAGGTGAGGATTGAATGACAGGTGAGGAGCAATATGGTTGCATGAGCCCCGGTGGTATGGCTGGCCGTGATGTCGGTAAAACATGAACTACCGCCGGAGAGGTCCTAGAGGCACCCCATCTCCGATTTCCAGCACTGAATGCCTCGTTTAAACTGGAAATTCCCTCCCGGGCTCGACTTTGTAACCTCTGAGCCGAAGCGATTCTCACCGTATTAACCGCCGTTGGTTTCAAGGATACCGGCATCTTCAAGATGACCGGGTGGGCATCGAAGAATTGATGTTTTTATTGGATGTCGCCACCGGATTTGGGTGGGTTAACAAGTTTAAAACGATCACATGAATGAGTTGGCTGGTGGATGCAAGTTTTCGGGTGGACTCGGCCATTTATGGATGCTAGTCAGGTTGGCTATCTACTATCTAGTGGTTGTGGTGACGAACATCTGACGAACTTGTCGGTTCTTCCCCGCACTTTTCGAAATGCGGCTTCAACTTCGTCTTTTTCATCCATCGGTGGCCTTCCTCCCTTTGGTAAGATAGGGGCGGAGATTGAAAAGTAATATGTTGAAAATACAAAAAAGTGTCCTCGGTCATCTCCCAATGCTCTTTGTTATATATAGCCTGCAGGTGTTTCGGAAGAGCCGAGCGGACATATTAGCTGTTGAAACTTCCGGGCTCGGGACTTGTACTTTCACAGAATGCTGTCTTAAACTTTGCCCCGCATGTGGGCTGGATTTGATTGAAGTAATGTGTTAAAGATTATCTTCCCTCGTTGCCTTTCCTTGAAGCGATGCGCTGGATAGCCTAATTATTGTATTTGGTTTCCAGGCGATAAACAAGATTAGTAGCGTTGACAAGCCGGCTTAGAAAATTGACCGTGTTAAGGCCAAAGATATGGGCAAATATTTGGGCAATTTATTTGTCAAGCTATTTAACTGCAATATCTCCAATGCCAAATGGGTCGGTGCTAAGAAGAAACATAAATAGTGCTGTTCCATACCACGGCATCCTCGCATCCCCGAAACATCCAGTCCATCAAGTGGATATTAGACCAATACCCGCAATCAAACGGTACCCAACAGCCTACGGTCTGTTTTCGTAGTCGATCTCGACATTCCGGGACCCTTGTCGTTCTCCTTCATGGTAAACAGCAAAGTCCACCGACCCAGCAACGCAGGTCATCTCCACCTCATATTCGAGCTCGTGATAGACCTTCCCATCGGAATTCGTAAAGGTCGGAAGGGACTGGATGTTGATGCTAGTCTCCCATTTGATCTTGCACAGCTTTTCCATGGTGCGATTCCACCTTTTGGGCGGGGAGGATACAGAAGTCGAATAGATGGTAGTATATTTCTTTGCTTTGTGTCCGTCTTCGTCGGGGTAGAGAGCTGTGACATCTTAATTCTCACAGGTTGGGTAGTTGATATGTCATCTCCCTAGGTCTAGTTAGGGCAAACCCGAAGGTATAAAAGTCAACAAATGATTGTTCAAAGACACAAACATACCATCTTCAGAAGCCAGTTCATCTGGTCCTCGGCTACCCATTCATGGCGGTCCTTGTCCCAGGCCTTGTCCCAGCGATCATGTTGTTCGGGATCCCAGTACACGTTCCACATGAACCCGCAGTTGACGCGGGAAACTTTCGTTTGAACCCCTACAGAGAGACCAGGAAACCCATTCAGGGCAATAGCGTGAACCACGGCCCCGCGGCAGATGGCCGTCCAGCTATGCTTCAATCAGTAACTGTCGCTCGGAGGCTATTGATTAAAATAGAAAGAATGACATACGGGCCAGATCCTCGGGACTGTAAGATATCAATATCTGAGGGTACAGCCTTTTTAAGCGAGTTGAACAGGTATCTGGACTGGCCAAACCCTCCAACGAAGACGATGTACTATTTCCAAAATTAAATTGTCAGGGACGTGGAACTGAGCGGGGATCGAATCAATCGCGGTAACACTTACCTTCGGATTGACTTTCTTTTTCGCCAATACTGAATGTACTTGTTCGTTAACCACGCTGCCGATCTTGTCGACAACTGGGTTGAAAACGCTGGCCACGTCTTCGGCATCCAGCGTGACCATCGGCCAGTCCCCATTCCGTTTGAGTTACTTGAGGTCGAGACACTCAAAGGGGAGTCTGATCTCCCACGTTTTGTTGCGTCCATCGAATTCGGGCTTGATCATGTGCTCCCACTCTGTCTCAATCAGGTTCTTCTTGGATGTAGCCTTCAGCTTGTTCCATCTAGCATTGCCGAATTTCTTCCTCAACATTACTTCAAATTATTCATCAATGAATACCGCGCCGCATAGACCGCCTAGATACCTAGGTAGTTAGTATTTTTGGATGCTGACTGACGAGGGCACGTTGATCAACTTTCCTTGGCCCTTGACGCACTCCTTCACCATCATCGGGTTTGTGCTGACAACCTCGTAATTGATAAGATCCGCCGTTCCACCTCCGCAGTCGGCAACGACGAAACAGTCGCCGTTCTATAAACAGTGAGTCAGAGGCTGCATCTTTAGGTGGAGAATGAAACAAGAGGTGGGCAGAGGCAAAAGCATCTGAATAGATCAAATTACACGTACCTCGACGTCAGCACGCCCATCCATTTCTGACAGTGTGGCCAACGCAGCGGCTTCGGGTTCAGAAATGAAGCTAAGCTGGGTTTCACTAGCGATGCGCTCCCCAAGCATACCTGCGCGTTCAACTGCCTCTCATCTTGGCGCGCGCATATGCCGGCCAGATGGCTGGCAAGGTGATGACGATGTGGAACTTGGAGAAATTGATCAGATTTCGACTGACGGTCTCGGTAATGCGCTGAACGCAACGGTTCCGCAAATGGCGCAAGTAAACGGAAGTGATTTCGATGACCGTCTTGTTCTGTTCCTTGAGGGCTTTCCTCGCTTCTTTGACCTTGACCGACTCGCGAACGTCCTCAGGTATTAGGCCCCTGTCGTCAAGGAGCAAGAGTTAAAACCACTGAATCTGCTGTGCGTCGGACGGAATGCCATAGCCCCAATTAATTCGACCCTTCGACTTAAAAGAAACGGCGGTCGGAGTTTTGTTCTCATTTGAATTAGAGTGTAGCTGCGAGTCCCAGCTAGAGATTCCCTTGATGCGTTCGGTCTTGCCGGACCAGGTATACGCAACGCCGGAGAAGGTGGTGCCGAAATCAATCCCGATGATGACCGTGTTGCCGGTCGGCTTCGGCTTCTTGGTGGAAGGCATTTCTCTTCGTAGTCTCTAGGCAGAATTACTTGTTGGTTGATGGGGCGATTTTGAGGGTTAGAGGAAGAAACGAGTGTGAAGTTGATCGCTACGGCAGGTTATGCGATGCTAGTTCAGTTGAAACAACGGAAATGGTCGTGGTTGTAACAAAAAGAAGGACTTCTAAAAGGGAAAGATTTTGAAATGGAACAGAAGAACACAAATTCAGTCATGGGCAGGAAAGAGCCCGGAACCAAATGGTCTTCATCTCTACGCGAAAGCGCGTCAAACCGAGTCAATTTCAAATCAACGGGGCCTACTCTTTCCAAGCTTTAACAAGAATACAATTGCACTTCTAGAACGAAAAACCGGTGCTTCGAGGCTAACTCATTGTGAATTATTGGAGATAATGAATCAACGACTTGCTCCAAAAGAATCCAAACCCTTTTTTATTTCTGCCCGACCCCGTGACTGCAGCTTTGCTCATCGAGACGACTTGCCGAGCGTTTCTTGATTGCTCCACAACCTATCACGTGCGATACAGACACCAGCGCTACCCGGATCACGGATCTACGAATTTCTTACCTCGCCACTCGCTTCGTAGCTCTCATACCCCGCCAGATCAAGATGGCTACAGCAAGTCCACCACCCCAAGCCAGGCCCCGACCCCCCAAGCAGTTTCTCGAATTGCTCTCTCGAGATAGTATCCGGTTTCTCCATCCGGGCTATCGAACTGAAAATATACTCCTGAGTCTCGCTCGTGTCGATAGAACAACATCGACTTCTATCCATGGGGTACATCATGGAACGGCCCTCACAGCTTGCCAGATCATCGCTGGCAATGCTTTCACGAACAGCTTCCTTGCACTAGATAAAGAGGGTCTTCAACAAGTACGGGTACCGGTACACGACATCTTAACAGAAGAGGAGTACTACTTTATCGTTGAAGGCTCCGGTAAAACCCCCCTCCTCCCTTCTAGTGACTTTTGCTGATTATTTTTAGAACGATATCCCATTGTCCCAAGCTTCCAAGATTGGGAGTTTCCCCATAGTCGCATCCCCGATTGGTGGCCTTCAGTCGTTACCACCCCCGTCTCGACGTCGGATTGTGCTATTACCAACGCTGGTTATGCCGTTGGTGAAGCCCATCTCGTCCCGAAGGAGGAAAGAGTTTGGTATACGGAAAATCAAATGTCCCGATATGGGGTAGGTCTGCCTGATATCGATAACAGAGCGAACATCCTTCCTCTTAGGAAGGATATACACTACTCGTTCGACGCTCGATGGTTCGTTATTGTTCCAAGGATGGTCACTACGAACTCTTCCCTTATGCCGTCCCTCCAATACGTCACGCATATCATTTCACGTGACGCGGCCGAATTATGGCCCGCATATCATCTCGCCCTCGTCGAATCCCTCCGGACAGACTCCCGCGCTTACCTCTTTGCCCGTTTCGCTTGGGCCATCCTTTTCCAAGTCAAGCTCTTCGTCACAGCAGGCCGGCGACGTCACGTTATCCAAGTTTCTCGAGATGAAGCTGGCGATGCAAAGTACGAGGCAAAGTTTCGTACCGGGACAGAGCTCGAGAAGGCATACGGCGGTGGCGGATCAAAGACAGCAACCCCACTAATTCCAAAGAAGAGGGGGTCCGGGCAAGGCAGTACAGCAAATGACGAAGCCAGCTTTGCTGAGTTATCCGGGGACAGTGATACCGATATACAGGATGTGGATAGCCTGTGGGATATCACGAGTAACTGGAGAGAGAGGGGAGGAGAAAGAAGACAAGAGTCTTCAGAAGAAACTGCCCCCGATACCAAGGTACACCTAGCGCCAGAAGTCGAGGCCGGCCTTAGGGCGTTTTTACGCAAGGGCGTCTCGCAGCTGTAGGAGGTAGGTTCTGAAGAAGACGAAAAAGACTATCGAGAGGGGGAGAAGCCCAAACCGCGGCACATGTACTAACCTGGAATGCAGGTGCCGTGGTCAGCTGGCTACAGCACAAGGACAAAATTCTTCGATCCGGAATGATTCGGCCTGTGGTTCTAGAATCGTGGATCTGGCGCTCGCTGTACATTTCCGCTTTTGACGCGCAGTCAGAAGTGTGGGCCGGAGAGGCTGGCAAGACGTTCAGGATTTCATGGGACCAGGTTCGACGTGAGTTGGTTGTCTCCTTAACAACTTCCAAGGCGTCAATTTTTGAAACTAACCCCCCTACGACCAACTTAGAGCATGCAACGCCCGATAACATGGACAGCTTTCAAGATTGGAGAGTTCAATCCTCCCATTTGATCTCCCAGCTCAACGTTCACGACAAACTCAAATTCATTGAGTGTCTTGCACGCAAAATGGTTTCGAAGCTGAAAGTCCTGGCCTCCTCGGCTGCCTCCCATGGCAAACTGGAGACCATGGAGCGGGAAGCTGTGGACATCTTCCGCAAAGCCGTTGAGCTCGACGAGATCTTCCGACTTTCCCGATCGGACTACCAGATTTTTATCACGCGTCTTTCCCCGCCACAAGCCAAACCGCCTGATTTGGGTTTCGACTTTGACACCCGAACTATGGAAATCATCCGAGACTTTTCAACAATGTCCCCACCGGAAAAGACCACGAAAGTCGACCTCGCCATTTCACCCGGGATACTGAAGGCCGGCAACACAGACGGGACCAATTACGGAACCGAGAGTATTCTAGCCAAGTTACGAGCCCTCTGCAACCTAAAAGAACTGTTGCAGATGTTCGCACCCGACCCCAACCCTAACCAAGAAGGAGAGACACGCAACAACCAAGTGATGTTGTCGTCCCCCAAAACGTTGCAGCCCCAGATCGAAACCGAACGCACCTCTTCGTCTGCAGCTATCCCCATGCCCACCGCAGACGTCTTCAAAAAGAAGGAATCCCCCAAAAGGCTGCAGCCCCATGTCAAAACCGAATCCACCTTTTCTTCTTCTGCACCAATTCCCAACTTTTCTTCTTCTTCATGTGACCCCATGCCCATCTCGGACGTCTTCATCAAGAAGGAACCGGCCGGGGAGACAGACGACGAAGTCAGCATGCTGGTGGAGCCTGCTCCCGAGAAGGCCGTGGAGCAGCAACAACAGGACCAAAATCGGGGCTTGTATCCCCGCTTGCCGCAGTTCATGTGGGGGGGGCAGGTCTTAAGTAAGGCAGCAGGACGCGCGGGGGTGGATATGTAGGGTAATGAGGCGGGGGTCAATGGAATCGATAGTTTCTGCTTGCTAGGTAGATATCGAATCTTGCTGGATTTTACGCTTTGGGGTTTCTTTCCTTTTCCCTTTGTCTACTTCCCTCTACTCAGATTTGACCCTTCAAATCTTTTACGCCTCAACTGTAGCTACCAAACCGTCAACTCTTGTTCGCTCTAGCTCAATAAATGAACAAAACCTTGCCGTCTTTTCTAACAAAACAACCCCCTGTTGCCACGGCAACTCAACCCCTTTTAACACCGTGACAACTTCATCGAACACATCATGATACTTAAACCATAACGTACGTAGGTACTGCTGCCCAAGCACAAACTCATTACAGGAACTCCTCGCTAAAGTAATCACTCCCCTACCCACTCCACCCCCGCAACCTCACAAACCATCTTAACAAACTGTTCCGGCCGATGCGCAAACCGTCCCAAAAACAACCCATCCACCTCCCCCCCCAACTTCCCCCACAACCCCGGCCCCGCCGCGCCCCCATACACAATCCTCGTCCGCCCGCTCCGACCCTGCACAACTCCACTCCCCCTCACCAGCTTCACCACGCCGACCACATGCTCCGCTGATGCCGGCGCCGGCGCCCCGATGGCCCAGACGGGTTCGTATGCCAGGATGACGTCTGCGTTGGGGGGGAGATGGGATAGGACGGCGTTTACTTGGCGGAGGACGGCGGCTGCTGCAGCTGCAGCGGCACCTCCTTCTTCTCCCTTCTCATCCTCCCCCGTGCTGGTGCCGGTATGGTCCTCTGCTGCTGGGGGTCTATCAACCTCCCCCACACAAACAAGCGGCACCATCCCATTCCGCACCACAGCCACCGCCTTCCTGCGCACATCCTCATCCGTCTCACCAAACAAGCGTCGTCGCTCGGCGTGACCGATCTCGACGATTGCACAACCCACTTCGGCGAGGGAGTAAGCGGAGATTTCGCCTGTGTAGGGGCCTAGGTCTTGGCTTTCTTCTCCTTCCCCCCCTGCGCTGCTGCTGCTGGTAGTGGTATCGTCATCGCCAGTAGGCGCACAATTCTGCGCGCCGATAAGCAGGCTGTTGGCTGGTGCGGGCGCGGAAGCGACGGTTGTGACGGCGGAGGGGAGGGAGAGGAAAGAGGGGATGAAGAAGGTGTCTGTTTGGGTGAGGGCGGTTTGGATGGTTGATGAGGAGGGGGAAGAAGAAGGGGTGAAGAGAGAGAGGACGGAGGAGAGGTAGGAGGACGTGCGGGCGTGGGTGAAGTACATTTTGGTGGAGACGCCGATTAGGGGGCGGTTGCCTGAGACGGGGCGGATAGGGGGGCCTGGGGAGGACATGGTGATGGTGTTTTGATGGTGGGCTTGATGGTGAGCTTAGTGGTGAGAATGAGGTTGCTGTGATGGTTGAGTGTTGGAGTCTGCGAGTGTTAGTCAGTGGTTGTGTTGGAAGACCTACACTACCTCTAGACTGACTTACACTTTACCCCTGACAGCTGGAGACAGAGGGTAAGGGGTGGCTCTAGCAGAGTTCAGGCTGGTCCGGTCCCGGCCCGAGCTGTTCGGTTTCTTTTCCAGTCTTTGAGAATCTTCAGAATCTTCACCTCCCGTGACCACGTTTCTCGGCGGTTTCTCAATGCTTGTTAGGCTGTCAAATCTAACATGAACTGCACCCCTGAGCTGGGTGTGGAGACAAGTCTGGTCGAGACCGATCGTGATTATCAACTTGGGGTAAATGGGTCAAAGCTGGGGAGTCGGGGTCGGGTTACCCGATTAGGAAAGCCGAGAAACTGAGTGACTCCATTTTCCCCATTTTTGCATTTTGACAGTTTCCAGGAACAACATGCGAGATGGGAATGCAAATAATCTCTGAAAAAAAGAAAAAAAAGGGAAAAAAAAGGTTAAAAAGGATAAAAAAGGAGAAAAATATAAAAAAAGAGAAGACAAAAGAAGAAAAAGAGAAGAAAAGAAAGAAAAGAAAGAAAAGAAAGAAAAGAAAGAAAAGAAAGAAAAAGACAAAAATAGAAGACAAAAAGAAGAAAAAGAGAAAAAAAGAAAAAAACAATTTTAAAAATAATACAAAATAAACTCTATGCTACGAATAGTTACACCCAGAATGGCAGAAATTAACAGCCCCCCACAGCCTCCCCCTCGCCCACCAACCCCCCCTCACCCGCCTCATACTCCCCAATAACTTTCACCTTAGCCGCACTCGCACTCCCCTCATCAAACACATACCCCAACCACTCCCTGGCCAACCGTCTCGCCAACTCCAACCCCACCACCCGTTCCCCCATACACAACACCTGCGCATTATTGCTCAACACGGCCCTCTCCACCGAAAAGCTATCGTGCGCCGTGACCGCCCGGACGCCCTTGATCTTGTTCGCTGCGATGGCTACGCCGAGGCCGGTGCCGCAGATGAGGAGGGCGCGGTCGACGGTGCCCGAGGCGACGAGTTTGGCTGCGCGGGCGGCGACGTGCGGGTAGGCGGTTTTGTCGGTGGAGGAGGCTGCGCCGAGGTCGGTTACGGATTCGACGAGGGGGGAGGATGAGAGGTCAGCGAGGAGGGCCGTTTTGTAGGAGACGCCGGCGTCCTATTTGTTTATATTAGCATTAGAATGTATCAAGAAGGAAAGAAGAAGAAAGAAAGAAAGGCAGCTTACATCGCAGCCGATGGCAATCTTCCACTTGGGAGCGGCCATGTTGTCTTGGATGTTACTCGGTAAGAGGTAAGACTTGTTACTCGGTAAATGGTGTTGAAGAAGTGAATTGATGGATGGCTGAGGCTCTGCGGTGTACTTCCCGATAACAAAAAATGACCAAGAACTTAAACACTCACAATAACCCCTCTGAAAGAACGGCTCTAAAATAACTCCCCTCGAATAATAACCCGGATGGTACGTCACAACGCCCAGCCGGCCGCTGCGCCCCCCCTCCCCCCGGCATTTATCCAGCCGCCACCATTCCCTTCCCGGTATCCCGCAGAGCCGGCTTCCATCTCGGGAGTGAGGGGTCATTCATACTGTGTAAGTCACAATCACTGCCCCTCCTTTGTGTGCCACCCTTTGTGTGCCACAGCACCAGGATTCGAGAACAACACATATCCGAGCTCCATCAGCGAGACCGGCGCTTTTGGGAACTGTGTTATTCTCTGCGGGCTTTAACTTATAGGTTCACTTCCCTGCATCTCTGCAGTAGAACCGGTCGAAATCTCCAACCTCGAAACTCAAAACCGCCTGGGCCTCTCCTGCGTTCTTCGGGTCTCTCCTGAGCTCTTCGAGTCTCTCTCTGGGTTTCTCTCTCTGGGTTTCTTCTAAATCTCTTAGAGTTTACACCCACTACACGTCACCACCATGTCAGACCGGCACCTCTTCACCACCCTCGAAGGGCTGGTCCCCAAAGCCCTCCGCGGCATAGTCGCCAGCAACCCGCGCCTCCGCCTCGACGAAACCAACCGCGTAGTCTTCGACTCGGCCGTCTCTGCCTCCCCCTCGCAAAAAAAAGTCAGCATAATCTCCGGCGGCGGCTCCGGCCATGAGCCCGCCTGGTCCGGCTACGTCGGCACCAACATGCTGTCCGCCGCCGTAGCAGGCGACGTCTTTGCCTCACCGAGCACTAAACAAATCCTCGCTGCTATCGACGCCGTCACCTCCTCCTCCTCCCCTTCCCAGGGAGTCTTACTCGTCATCACCAACTACACCGGCGACTGCCTACACTTCGGTCTAGCCGCGGAAAAGACCAAGGCGCGCGGGATCCCGTGTCGGATGTTGATTTGCGGGGATGACGTTTCCATCGGGGGCAAGGCGTCTGGTGCGTCACAGTTGGTTGGGAGGAGGGGGTTGGCGGGGCAGATTGGGGTGCTCAAGATCTTGGGCGCCGCGGCGAATGCCCCCTCGGGGCCAGCTACGCTGGATGGGCTGTATGGGCTAGGCACGGCGGTGAATGCGCAAATTGTGAGTATTGCCGCTACGCTGGACCACTGCCATGTTCCCGGACGGACGGAGCATGGAGTGCTAGGGAAGGATGAAGTTGAGATCGGGACGGGACCGCATAATGAGCCTGGGTATAGGAAATTGAGTCCTGCGCCGACGGCGGAGGGGTTGGTGAGGGAGATATTGCGGTATTTGTTGGATGAGACGGATCCGGAGAGGGGGTATGTGCATTTTGCGGATGGGGATGAGACGGCGTTGTTGGTGAGTAATTTTGGGGGGATGTCGAATTTGGAGTTGGGCGGGTTGGTGGATGAGTTGTTGGGGCAGTTGCTGGGGGAGTGGAAGATTGCGCCGGTGAGGGTGTATGCTGGGTGCTTGGAGACGTCGTTGAATGCGCCGGCGTTCTCGGTGTCGATTGTTAACTTGTCGGGTGTGGCCCGGACGGAGGGGATCCCGTACTCGCTGGATGATCTTAAGGGGTTTCTCGATACCCGGACTGATACTGCCTGGGAAGCGGTCGGCGCTGGATCACAGCATATCGGTTCAGCGGCTGTCCAACCTCGCGCATCTCAGATCGTCACCCCTACTACCTCCTCCTCTGCCTCGGAATCCCAGTCAACGCCCTCCCCAGCGAACGACCTCCTCGTCCCCCCCACCCAACTCACCACCGCCCTCCAACGCGCCTGCACCGCCCTCTCATCCGCCGAACCCGACCTCACAAAATGGGACACCATCATGGGCGACGGCGACTGCGGGCTCACCCTGCAAACCGGCGCCCACGCCCTTCTCGACGCAGTCAACAACGACAAGATAACCGCCACGGGATCCATCGTCACCGTCCTCGCAGCCGTCGAAGAAATAGTCGAGTCCCGCATGGGCGGAACCCTCGGCGGGATTCTCGGTATCTTCTTCGTCGCCCTCCGCCGGGCAGTTCAAGAGAATGTCCAACTCCAATCTATCGCTTCCGCCGCAGCCGAGGAGTTCGCCCCTCCCACTGCTTCCCCTTCCTCCTCGAACGAAGCGACCACCCGCATTCTAGCCACATCCCTCCTGTCCGCAGTCCACCACCTCTCGCAATACACCCCCGCCCAAGTCGGCGACCGCACAGTCATGGACACGTTGATTCCTTTCGCGGAAGCGATGCATTCCGCCCAGAGTTTTGAGGCGGGCGTGAAAGCGGCTGTGGCGGGGGCCGAGAAGACGAGGACACTGAAGCCCAGGCTGGGGAGGGCGACGTATGTGGGTGTTGAGACGGGGGAGGATGGGAAGGTGGATTTGGTGCCTGATCCGGGGGCGTGGGGAGTTATGGTTGCTATTAGGGGGTTGTTGGAGGGGTTGGGGGAGGTGTAAGTTATGGGGGCAGTATTTGGTGGGAGAAGAAGGATTAATGGTTTAATGCGTTTGAGTTAGTTTTAGTTATAATTAAGTGGTTAGTTTTGAGTTTTGAGATGTAACGTTATCGATACATAATCTCGCTGTGGCCAGAAAAAAGCGGCGGACCAAGTCCCTGGATAACTGACTTGTCTACAAAAGTGAAAAAAGACTAAAAAAAATAAATCAAAAAAGTGAAAGAAGACAAAAAGAATAAATTAACCGGAATCTCTGAAGATTTGATCGATTGTTCATGGATTGGACTTGAGCTATCTGTTTTGGTCTGCCGCTTGTGTTGGCCACAGCGAGATAATGCAAGATTCCGCAACGTCAAGTAATACATGTTGAGTGTAATATAACTACGTCCAAATAAATTACCATGCTATTCACCCTTTAACAATTTTGACATCCTTTACTTCAGCACTGCAAGCTACCTACACACATACAAACAGACAGACTACGCCTTGACATCCCCCGCGCGCCCCTTACTCCCCAACCACAAACAATACCGCTCAATCGCCTCCTGCATCGCATCCGTGCCCGCCTCAATCACCCGTGTCAACGGCTTCCCCTGCATCTCCGCCTGCACCCGCGCATAGTGATTATTCATGCCCTTATTGATATTGACCTTGGTCACCCCCGCCGCCATGCACTTCCGAAAGATCTCCTCATCAAACGGGTCCGCCCCGTGCAGTACCAGCCTCACGCGCTCCCCAACCCGCTCGTTGATCGCCTGCAGCCGCTCATACTCCAGCTGGATCCCGCGCGGGCCGTACTCGCCGTGCACGTTGCCGAACGCGGGAGCGAGCAGGTCGATGCCTGTGTTGACGAAGGTCTCCGCCTCGTCGGGGGTGGTCAGGAGACCCTCCAGGTCGGCTGTTTCGGCTACGCCGTCCTCGCCGCCTTCGATCCGGCCCGGTTCTGCTTCGGCTGCGATCCCCCGCTCGTGGCAGTACTTGACCAGTTCCGCGGTGAGCGCGAGGTTCTCGTCGCGCTCGTAGTGGCTCATGTCGCACATGATGCTGTCGAAGCCGGGCTCGATGTTGGCCGCGCGGCGGACCAGTTCGGGGGTCTGGCAGTGGTCGAGGTGCAGCGACACGGGGACGGAGGCCGAGTGCGCGGCTTCGGCAGCGGCTTTGACGAGCGCGTCGCCGGCGTATTCGATGGCCCAGGGGAAGAGCAGAACCATGGCGGGGGAGTTGGCCGCTTCGGCTGCGCGCACCGTCGCGATGATGGATTCCATGTTGTAGCAGCACATCGCGGGGATGGCGTACCCTCCGGCCTTGGCCGCGTTGAGGATCGCCATCGTGCGGTTCTGCGCGAGCGGTGGGCGGGGCATTTTGGCGGTCTTTGTTATGGCTGTTGATGGCTAAGAGAGAAGACGTGGTGTTGACTGAGAACTCGACGACTGCGACTCGACGTGTAAGTGACGAGAAACCCCAAACTACCGAGCAACACTGACGGGCGAACTTATCCGAACCGCCTGCCGACCATGCAACCGAAAGCTCGTTAATACCTCAAAGCACTCACAAAAGATCGATAAACCGGACCATCAAAGAATTACTCTAACACCCACTCACCACTCTCCCACTGCCACCCGCCGCTCTCGGCTTGCCGGTTCGGGGTCTGAGGGGCTCGCCCACCATGTCCACTTCTCCATCTCCACACCTGCCGCCAAGCCGTCAAGTGGCTGCCGTTCGGGTGCTGGTGCAACGCCAGTTTAGCCGGAATGCGCAGAAGTGGACGCCGTGGGTACCGTGGGGTACGGGAGCGACGTCATTATTGGCCCCTCAGTTTGGCATGTCAACGACACGAAATGGAGTCTTTTTTTAACCTACGGATAGAGTTCGTTTGAACGCGGCTGTGGGCGGGAAGCGGGGTGTCGGTGTGACGGCGGGGTGAGGGCGGAGTTTTGGCATCGAAAGATCGAGACCCCTTTTTCTCGTACTTGTCGGGTTATGTGTTACTGTGGACTTTGACTTCACCCGGTGAGCCGGGTGAGTCGCCGGCTTCGGGGGGCCACCTTCGGTCTAAGTTGCCGCGAGCTGAGCGATACGGGCCGACTCGCGGTAGTTTTGCTTTGCTCGCTCGAACTGGCTTGCGTTTGAGAACGGGCGGCTGTTGTTACTCGCATACCTCACCTCGTCTGTCTCGTACTTTCACGATACCACAACACAACACAGCTCTTACCTTCAGCAAACCCACACACTGAAGCATCGAAACACCGAAACACAACACATACACAAACATAGACACACACACGCACACCATGTCTGAACAACCCCCCATCGCCTTTATCGGCCTCGGCGCCATGGGCTTCGGCATGGCCACCCACCTCGTCAAACGCGGCTACCCCGTCACCGGCTTCGACGTTTGGGCCCCGACTCTCGAACGCTTCCAGGCCGCCGGCGGCCACGCCGCCACGACCCCCGCCGCCGCCGTCGCCGACAAGCCTTTCTGCGTCTGCATGGTCGCCACTGCCCAACAGGCCCAGGCCGTGCTCCTCGAAGGGCCCGACGCAGCCGTGCCAGCTTTACCGCAGGGCGCTGCTTTGCTCCTGTGCTCGACCGTGCCATGCGATTACGTCCAGTCGCTCGAGCGGCAGCTTGTCGAGGCCGGTCGCGGAGATATTTTGCTGGTGGATGCGCCTGTGTCGGGGGGTGCCGCACGCGCGGCCGAGGGCACCTTGTCCATCATGGCTGGGCTGTCTGAGGCTGCGGAGGCAAAGGCGAAGCCGATCCTGTTGGAACTAGCCGACCCGGCGAAGCTGTTCATCGTGCCCGGTGGTGTTGGCGGCGGGAGCAACCTCAAGATGGTCCACCAGGTGCTAGCGGCGTGCCAGATCCTGGCCGCATCCGAGGCGATGGGCTTCGCACAGGCGCTCGGGCTGGACCTAGCCGTCGCGCAAAAGGCCGTCGAGCAGTCTGACGCGTGGAACTTTATGTTTGAGCACCGCACACCGCGCATGCTGACCCAGTTCAAGCCCATCGCCAGCGCTGTCAACATCATCGTCAAGGACACCAAGATCATCACCGCCGAGGCCCGCCGCAGCGGGTTCCCTGTGCCCATGACCACCCGCGCCGAGGAGGGGTACCAGCAGGCCGTCGACAAGGGCTACGGCCTGGACGACGACAGCAGCCTGCTGCGCTTGTACACCGAGGTGCCGCGGGACGGCGCCCAAGAGAGCTCCGCCCAAACGGACGAGGCGAAACTAGCGCTCGTTATTGACCTGCTCAAGGCCATCAACCTGTGCGCCGCGGCCGAGTCGCTGTCCTTCTCGAGCGCCGTCGGCCTTGATCTCGACCAGGTCCTGAACCTGTGTGTTGACGCCGCGGGGGCTAGCAAGGGGCTCAAGGTCCACGGCCCGGGTCTCATCAGCGCCATCAACGCCGGTGCCGAGTCGAAGAGCTGGGGCCCCAAGGAGGGCGAGCCGACTGTTGAGGAGTTTGCCAACAAGCTGGGGGCTGCGTTGCTCGAGGCTGGGCGGGTAAAGGTGTCCCTGCCATTGGGAGCGAAAGCCCTGGAGATTTTTGGTCAGGCGTCCAAATTTGGGTCGAACCTCGGCGTGACGTCGATTGTGAATGTGTGGCCGAGAAAGTAGTTGTGTCCGTAAAGAGTGTCAATTTCTGTCGTGTATCGTCAAGCTTCTAAAATTTTAGCATAATTTAAGGCATTTCTTTCGTCTCAACCGTAACCTTTGAAACGTATTGGACCAAAATCGAGCCTTCCGAGCTGTTGGGCTTGCCTTCTGTCCACAGTATTTTCCATACTGTATGACGAAGTTGACAGGTTACCCTTAGCAAGCCTTAGATTACAAGGAATCCATTTTGTCGATTAGAGTAGGTATTTGAGAGTTTTTTGGTGGCCTTTTGGAGGAAAAGGGAAAGAACGCGTTGATGCAAAAAGCGTGTTAAGCACTTGCCCCACCTTCCCTTTCTTGATATTAAACCCCATTCGCGACGCGTTCGTTCCCAAAGCACCTGATCACGAGACAGTCTCTGCATGAGAAATAACCTTTTCTTTCCGATTTAGTTGCTCAAATCCCGTACTGTGTAAACCAGCTAGATAATACGGAGAAGCACGATCTATTTCTATAATTGGGCTTCATTTGGCCTCCTCCTCCCCATTTTGCGCTAAATTATTCACTCATCTATCCGCCACTCTCAGACGCCTACGCAGCATCCCACCGTCTCCCACAACACTGTATGACTGACCATACAACACCAGCTTCCGCTTCCTCAACTCTTCTCTCATATCCTCATTCTTCGGGATGGAGGCGGCCCTTCGCCCCCACTTTATGACACACGGGCTGCCAACTGTATGAACCCCCACCCAACGTCAGATCCCCCTTAGCATTAATACTTCCGCCAGGCAGACCCAGCGGAGACGGACAAGTGCCACTGGTGCCAGCTCCGGTCCTTCGCTACCCATAAAACCCTTCCTGTCAGCATTTTCAACGACTTGAACGATGAGGTGGTTAACCCCAAGTTCCGATTCATCGAAGAATCCGAGCTCACCCCGGACGTGCCCGTGGCCGAGGACTCGTTCCGCGCCGGCTGTAACTGCACCGACGACAAAGAATGCATGTACAGCACCTGCCAATGTCTCGACGAGATGGACCCAGACAGCGACGAGGACGATGACCAGGACTTCACCTCCACAGCAACCAACCGACGGAAACGCTTTGCCTACCACTCCAAGGGCCACCGGGCCGGCCTGCTCCGGCGCAGGATCCTCATGAGCCGCGAGCCCATCTACGAATGCCACGAAGGCTGCAGCTGCTCGCTAGCCTGCCCCAACCGGGTCGTCCAGCGCGGCCGTACCGTGCCGCTGCAAATTTTCCGGACTGAAGACCGCGGCTGGGGCGTGCGCAGCGGCCACGACATCCAGCGGGGCCAGTTTGTCGACCGCTACCTCGGTGAGGTCATTACGAGCGAGGAGGCCGACCGCCGGCGTGCCGAGTCGACTATTTCCCGCCGCAAGGACGTCTATCTCTTTGCCCTAGACAAGTTCTCGGACCCGGACTCGCCGGACCCCCTGCTAGCGGCCGCGGCGTTTGAGGTCGACGGGGAGTGGAAGAGCGGGCCGACCCGGTTCATCAACCACAGCTGCGAGCCCAACATGCGTATATTTGCGCGTGTTGGCGACCACGCGGACAAGCATATTCACGACCTGGCGCTGTTTGCCATTCGGGATATTCCCGCGGGCGAGGAGCTGACGTTCGACTACGTGGATGGGCAAGGCAGTATGGACACGGATGCGGATGACCCGTCCAAGGTTAAGGATATGACGAAGTGCAAATGTGGTACCAAGAGCTGTAGGGGATTTTTGTGGTGAGCTGGGGAGATTTCACAGCGAAATCTTCTGCTCTTGTCAGGTCCTGGTATGTATGAGCCTGGATATCACTCACTTTGGTTGACCTGGGTGATATTTCTGGAAAATATCCGCCAACTTCCAAACTTCAATGGGAAACCCAAACCATGTGAGCAATCATACCACCCTCAACCCTACCCGTCCCTCCATCGCATCATCCCGTGCCCGTCAATATTGAATGATGGGAGGGTGGATATCATGTGTCAACGGGCGCTGCCGTGACCGAAATTCGCCCTTTGCCCGATTCCGCCTAGCGTAACCACACCTCCCCAAAGTGCTTCATCGTGCAGATCTCGTTTCCTGGGTTGCCTGCTCTGGACTCGGCCACCTTGTGTTCCCACACCTTTGTCGACAGCATCCCCAACGTCATTCCACTAGAGGTCTTTCGTGCCCTTTGGTACACCTACAACTAGAGTGCCAGTTTCTCGAGCGTCTCGTTCCACAATAAGAATCCGATTTCCCTCAAAAAGATCGGTCAAATTTCGGGACTTTTTTTACTTTCTTTTTTCTTTCTTTCTCCCCCAACCTTATCTCGTTTCCGCCCGCGCCATGGTGCAGGCACCGAGCTAGGGATCAGCGGTTTTGGCGTTCGCCGGCCTCGCCGTCTTGCTCATGGTCCGGCCTCTCCAAGTGGTCGGGACCAACTAAACCCCACAGGGGGGCCGCTGCGCGCCATCCACCCACCACCTGAAAGGCCCTGACCCCGGCTCGGCTAGGCCAAGCGAAGGTCGGGCCAAAAATGCACACGGGCCACAAGCCCACTGACCACACTGTAATTGGGTGGGGTCCTGCAACTCACGAGAGACAAACATTCATCCATCCACCGGCTTGCCATCCATTTTGTTCCTTCCTAGCATTGTTTTCATGCGTTTTATTCGAGGTTGTCTGCCTCCTCTGGTTTGTCGGAAGGAAATTCGGAACCGGTGATTTTCACTGCAGACGTAAGCAACAGTGCGATTTGTTGCAGTACCTGCATTTTTCTATCCTTCCCTTTTCCTCGAACAACTCGCGAGGAAACATTTCATCACCTCACGATTCAGCGGGTCAAAGCACAAGACAGCCAAGAGCTCGAAAAGTTGGCAAGATCCAATTTGAGTCAGCATAAAACGCCGAATCCATCGCCGCCATGAATTAGTTATCCAAGCGGCTGGACCGAGCTGCCAAAAGGGTGCGACAAAGAGTACAAAGCACAACTGAGCGACGATCAAACGAGATGGTATGTTACCTGGGTTTTCCCGGCGGTGCTTGCCGAGCTTGATTTAAACCGGCATTGTCGCAATATATGCTCCCGTCTTTTTTTCCCCTTCCCTTCTTCATTTTCCGGCCCTTCAGTCACTCAAAGCGGTCACCTACGGGTGTACATGTACAATCCAACCATGCACAACGCTAACGATTCATCCCTAGGGTTGCTGTCTCTCCCGAGAGGGTGACCAAAGCTCGCCCTACCCCGACGCTGGTGCGACCGGCTCCGGACGGGCCATTAACGAGGCGGACCAGGCGGGCGGTGGTGCGTCTAGCTCACAGACGGGCGTCGACGAGCCCAGCCCCTCCACCTCCCGCCGTCGTAGAAGACAGTCCCAGCAACCCCTCGACCAGCACATCAACAAGCCCCTACGACGCCACGTGTGGACCAGCCAGGACCGACAGTGGACTCTGGCCGCGCTGCGCCAGGAGCGGACCGATTTCTTTGACACGAGGGTCACGGGCCGAGAGGAGATATGGCAGGCCCTGCGGGCCGCGCTTGAGGTTCTCTGGGCGGCGGACGAGGCGGCTCGGAATGGGCGGTACGACCGGTCCAGTGAGGATGGTGGTGGAGGAGGTGGTGGTGGGCCGAGCGAGGAAGACCCGGCTGTGGCCCTTGCGACGGCGCAGAGTATCATTGATGCGGCGGATATCACGTTGCCCACCGGGGATTTGTACAACGGCGCGTACGATGTCTTTGGGAACTACTATCAGCTGTCACACCAGATCGTGGCGGACCCTTCCAATTTACTCTGGAACCCCGCTCCCCCCGCCGTCGGCCAGGGCGATATGGACGATTCCAAAGCGGATTTCACGGCTGGCGAGGAAACGGAGCGAGAATACGACCAGGACGAGGCCGAGGCCGAACGACGCCGCGAGGAAAAGGGCAAGGCTGTCGTAGACATCCGGAACCAGATCACTATTCGGGCGCGACTCAGCGACGGCTCGCGGGACGTTAGTGTCACCGTAAACATGGGTGACTCTGTCCGACGGATCGCAAGGGCGGTTGCGGAGAAGGCAAAGGTGAGAAATTTCAACATTCCACGGCGGAGGTACTGTACACCCTAACACGAGATCCACAGCTTCAATCTCATAAGAAGATCCGCATCGCCTACATGGGCAAGATCCTGCTTGAAGGTTCGCCTCTCCCCGAGCAGGGCTGGAAGCAAGGGCACGTCGTCAATGCATTGGTGTTCCCTCGCTAGGGCCGTTGGACAGCACCGCTTGAAGGAGACCCGCTTCACCTGCTGGATTCGGTCTCCGAAACCACTCTCTCTATCCAGGTCGACGGTTCGACCCCCGCCACCCCAGTCGGCTTAGAGCCGCATCGACTCGCGGCTCCCATGAGGAACCGCGACCGCTTTACCTCGGCGCTGCGCCGTCTCGGAAATTCCTCCCAAATTCCCCAGTCCACAGACTACGAAGCGTCCAACACCGGCCCCTTGGATATGCCAGCGCAGTTGGAGAGACGAGGGTCACGTTTCTCGCGCTGCATCGACTCCATCAAGGCGAGCCGCGCCAGGAGACTGGATCGCAGCTATCGCCAGGAGACTGCTGTCTATTCTGAGGAGCATGTCGTATTCAACCCTCGCGTTGTCTGGATGGTGGCCGCTATGGTCATGTAACAACATATCGGCGGGCAACAAGCGGGCGATTACATGCCGGTCACACAAATTTGACGAAGCGTCGTTTGTCGAGCATCGTATATCATTAACCCCCTTCCCCCTTTGTTCCGACGTTGAAGTCGAGAACCCAGCTTTCGACGCCCTATGTTGGCGCCGAGTGATTTTCAAGTCATCCATCCCTTTTCACCGGTTTTTACTGCGGTTTTTTTTTCATCATTTCCATACCATACCCCCCTCTTGTCGGCACTATTTGGCACGTCTGGCGTTGCAACGAATACCACATGGTCTTGATTTTTTATTTCCTTTCATTTGTTGAACAGTGGCTTTTTTCCCCCCACGGCGCTCATATGGCGATGGAGAATGGAGGCACTGGTCAAGCCTTGTACATTCGCATTTTAGTCGCGCAGGAACGGCACATAGCGAGACTGCTTTAGCTTTTTATTACCACAGGCAGCCCTGAGAAATGGAAATACCCAGCACCAGCTATTTTCTTGCGCTTGAGATACACGATCACCGTGTCTCCTCTGACAACTCACCGGCACCTAACGTGGAACATGAAAACTGCGTTTCTGATCTTTTTTTATGGAAGATACTAACAAATCCATGATTCGCTAACACCTAACCCCCCGCTGTCTAGACAAAAAAACCAAAATCGTACACAAGAAGCATCAATAGGTTAGGTTAGGTTGTCCAACCTCAAATATGTACAGCCCGAAAAATCCCGCTCCTGCTCAAAAAAAGAAGAAACGCAAGAAGCAGCGCCCACCCGTTTTTTTAAAAAAAATATATATTTCCAGTTTAATTTCATTCGGCATCAATCACTCCTCGGCGTCCTCGTTCTCCTCCTCCGGCTCCACCACCACGGGAGCCCGCTTCTTCTTATCCCCCCTCCAGGCGCCATTGAACAAATGCCTAACCAGCGCATCCGGTGGTATCGTGCCGTCCTTGGTACTACCCGAGTGCGGCTGTCCCATGCCGAACCCATCGATCGGCAGGACCAGAATATTGCCGTACAGCGTCGGCTCAGCCATATACGAGAGGTTTTCGTAGTGAGTCAGGGTGTTGTCGTATTCCTGTAGCTGCGCAAAGACCACGTCCGTCCACGCGGCCGGACCCGTAGAGTTCATCACCTCAAAACTGCTCAATTTCTTCAACTCGGTAAACGGCACGCCGTGCTCCTCTACCAACTTATCCAGCGACTCCAACACCCGCGTCACCATGTTGGTGAACAACGGATGCCCCGGCGCCGCGGCGATGGTCCACTGGCAGAACTGGACGAAGTGGCTGATGTCGGCCCAGGCGGGACCGTCTTGGCGGTCGAACTCGATGCCCACGATCACGGCGACCTTGTCGCGGAGGTCTTTGGGGACCCAGTCGTCGATGGGCTGGAGCGCGACGGTGTCGGTGTCGGTGTAGACGCCGCCTTCGGCCGAGAGGAGGAGGTAGCGGAGAAGGTCGGATTTCATGCCGACGTTGGGCATGTGCGTGTAGGCTTTGACGATGCGCTCGTCGGATCCGAAGTTGTCGCGGACGAAGGCGTCGCCGGTTTTTTGGCCGATCAGGGTGCTGTGGAGCGCGGGGGGTTAACATTGTTGTCTTCTTTTGGGAAAGGGGGGTTCAATTCTGCTCTGCTATCATAGCCAGGCCATGATAGGGAAGGGGGGAACGCACTAGTGATAGTCCGGGTTCATGGCCAGCCAGGTGGGCGTCTCGGACAGGATCTCTGGGTCGGCGCGGAAGTGTTCCTTGGACTGCTTGGAGCTGGAGCTCTTGGGCAGCAGGATCTGCCAGATCTTTTGCGGGATGCCGGGCTTGACGTGCACGGCGGGGGTTTGGTTCGAGTGGTCGGTGGCAGCATTGTTGTTGTCGATCTTCTCACCCGGCTTCGATGCGCCATCGTCAGGCTTCTCGTGCTTGTCGTTGGCCGCTTCGTCTCCCGGCGTCTGGATCACTGGAGGCTTGCCATCCTCGTTCTCGGTCGCATGGCCGGGGTCGGCATTCCCGTTGTTCCCGTTGTGGGCTGTTGGTGTACCCGCGTCCTTGGGCCGTGGGACGTACGAGGTCAGGTCTATCCCCGGAGCAAATCCGCCGTAAATAAAGGTCGCAGCGGCGAGCAGGACCAGGGCGATGGCGACGATGCCATAGAAACGCTGCGGCTTGCGGCGACTGACTTGCTGGAGAAACTTTGCCGGCAGGAAAATGGGACTGGTTCTCCCTGTCTCATTCGGGGGTTGAGACATGGCGAGGGCGGATTAGGCGGGAGAAGGAGGCGAGAGGTTAAGCACAGCAGGAATACAGCACAAGTGTGATGCGGCGGACGGCCGACATCGATGTGCTGTTTTGTGCTGTTGCAGAACAACAATATGGATGTTCTGTTGCCCAAGGGAGGGGGGTGGGAAGTGGGTGTGTCGTGTATGTGGGGAAGAAGGGGGAAGGATGTATGGATGTAATAAGTTTAAATTAACCAAGAGAAAAAAAGAAGTGAGACCAGGCGTTTGGGATCTTGACAGAAGGGAGATGGGCTGACCTTGCTGGCGCCAGGGCGGGAAGGCTTGCTTCGTATTGGGCCCGCTTGTTCTTCTTTCAGCCCATTGAGCAAGCAGTTCAACGTGAGTGGTTAGAAAGCCAACAGCGCAACCACGCGGATCTCGCGCACAGCAAGCCCGAGGGGGAAACAGGACACTCGATCCCTGCAGGTCCCGTCTCGGGCGTGTCTTGCTTCCCCAGTTTTTCTTTCCTTTTTACAAATACTTCTTGTCTACTGTGTATGCCTGTTGAATTTCTCAATTTTCCCATGGTTGAGATTTGCGCCGCGGATCCGTACACTACACTACATGGACGTCGTACGAGTGAATGCAACATCCCGTCTGTCGCGCAACCTAGCCACGCAACGCTTCTCCTCAACCAAACTTTGGTCTCAGGGAGGTGGATCGGGATTGGCCACGGAGTCCACGGAGCCACGCTCGCAAGCCAGAAAAAGAACGTGACCAACGAGATGGCCCTTCGTACTTCCAGGGGCCTGGCTTGCAGTCAAAAAGACCAAGCAGGTGCGCTTGGGAGGTGGCCCGGGCGGCTCAAACAAGCGCAGGGGACAAGAACGGTTAGCTTCCATTGCGGGACGGAGCAGTCAGGACCCTCGCATTTCACTCCATCGCAGAATCGCAGAATGTCTCAAAAGGGATGGGCGACTTGGGATTTGTTGGCCACCAAGTGTTCGCAACAGGAACAGGAACCCTTTAGTTTGGGGCCCCGGGACCACTTTGACAAATAACTAGCATCTTTCTCGCATCATTTCGTCCTTTAGTGTACACACACTACTTCGAGCCCACAGAAGTCTCTCCCCAAACTATTTAAGTTTTGGTAGCCCAAGGACGGCTGCCTGAAGAGACTGGCAAACCACACCCAGTGGCCACGCAACCACGCAAACAAAGAAACGCATCGCTTTGCTGCACTTCTCCCCACCACAGCCCCCCGGTCCCGAAAGCCGAGCGGCATGGATCCTCCGGCCAAAAAGGAGCACGATTCCGTCTGACATGCTGCGCTGGCGGGGCGAGATCAACCCACTGAATTTCCTGAATGTCGAAGGAGCGCGCAGGGGCAACACTTCGAACGCCACGCTTGGCGAATCGCATGCACGCACTCTGCCCTGTTTAGTGGGGCACTACCGCGAAACCTTGGATGGCAACGTCGCTCCATCGCAGCGTGGTCGCGGCGCGCCCGCTCTCCCACCCTCCCACAACCCGCTGGAACATGGTGGGAATTATGGGAAATCTGGTGGTGAATTTGGGCCTCCCCCAGCAGACTCAGCGGGTTCGGCAGATATTTTTGCAGCGATGGTGATGCCGGAGCCGGGCGCAAGCGGGGCATTCGGGCAAGGGGGCATGGCCATGTCGCATCCTTCTGAGCCTCACATACCGGCCCCTAGGCTTGTTTAGGAGTTTGATAAACGGTCGAGCAGCATTCTGGAGGAATGAAGAAGGTCCAATGCTCGGTGCCGTGTGCCGGCGGAGGCGGTTTGGAAATGTTTTTCTCTTCCGCTTGTTGTCGTCATTTCATCTAACTGGAGCAACTCTCTCGAGCGATTTGGTCCTTTTTTTTGTTGGTTTTTGTTTTCGTGGTGTTGAGTCGTGCTGCGTCTTGCTGCATTCCGTTGCGTTGCGTGTCGATTCCCCGGACCGGCGCGTGGTGGTGGACGGAAGACCTTCGCGACCGACGTGAAGACCTCATAATACCGCATTCCATCCTCCCCAAGAACACAATATCCATCGCCCGCCATGACGACAACCTTCAAGGTCAAGGAGCTCCCGAGCTTCCCGACGGCCTGGACGGCGCCCTCATCATGTTTCGCCACGACCAACTACTACCGCGTGCTGCTGGGCTCCGGCTACTTCAGCAACATGTACGGTACGCCCACACCCGTGGGCACCGGTATCTGGCCGACCGGTGACTGTTGGCCGCCCTCATCCACGCCGCGGATCCCGTATGTCACCGATGGCGGTTGTCCCACAGGCTTCACGCGCGCGTGCGCGACAGCCGGGCCGGACTATAAGGGGAAGCCCATGAGCACCGTGACGTGCTGTCCCAGGTGAGTAGCTTAGCTTATGGAGAGCTTTCGGTCTTCGGAGGTTGGGGAAGAGCAGCCTTGGGTTAACTCTCGTTTTAGCGTCACCGACAATGTTTTCTCATTCATGTGCCGGGATAACCAATATGGGTGCCACGCGACGGCGACATCGGGCGTGGTGTGGACTGGTGTGATCACAGATATCGGCTTAGCTACTCCGACCGAGGAGCCTGTCACTCGCACACCCAGTTTACAGGAGGGTATCGAGGCGTGGGGAATCAAGCTGATCTCGGTAAGCATGAACACCTTAGCCGCCCATCATTGCTCCTCGTCTGCGTCTCAAACATGAAAAGTCTCGCCTTTACTGACGGTACAACCATCCAGGTGGCCCCTGACTCCACCAGCGCAACCACAAAACCACACCCCACTAGTCCCTCCGAAACCGCCAACCCAACCCAGTCCTCTTCCCCAGATTCCGGTGGTCTCGGCACCGGTGGCATCGTCGGCGTAGCCATCGGCACCGTCGCCGCCGTGGCCATCCTCGCCTTCCTCGCCTTCTTCCTATATAGCCGTCGCAAAAAAGCCAACCCCAATTCCTCAGGGTCAACCTGGGACCAGAACAGCAACCACCCCTCCGGCGGCGGACCCCAATACCAGTACCTCCCCACCGGCCCAGCCGGAAACGGCGGACCCGCAAGCCACAACGGCAGCAGCGCAGTCGACGGACAACACACGCCCTACAGCCAAAGCCACTACGCCCCCTCCCACCAACACCAACCCTCCTCCGTCACTGGCTACTACCACCCACAACAGCAACACGACGGCCAAACCCTCTCCTCCGCCGGCCACACCCTCTCCTCCGCCGGCCACACCCTCTCCTCCGCCGGCCACACCCTACCGACATCCCACAGCCCAGGCAACAATGGCGCGTCTGCACCGTACGCTGTCCCGCCCGAAAACAAATACGTCTACCAGCTGGATACGAACCCTAATGCTCAGATGTTATACTCGCCTGAGATGGACCCGCATCATAATCGGGAATATTCGCAGTTGGCTGTGCCTGGTGCGCCGCAGCAGGGTGGGACGGGGACGACGGGGGCTACGGGGGGTGTGAATTTGAGGCCTATGTCGGAGATGCAGGCTTGATATGTTGAGGGGGGTGTGGTGATGATGATGATGTTGAAGGTCGATGATACCCGGGTTGTGTTGCTACAGTTTTATTTATTTGTTTATTTTTTATGGCATGGAATTCCGTCTTGGGAAAAGGGGGACGGGGTCGGTGCGTATGTTTAATATTGCACGTGGTTTCTGGGCCGGGACGATCGTAAATACAATGATGAAAGATATACGTGTTACTTAATACGAGCTATTACGACTAACTTCAGTTGAAAGATAACAAGTTTTTGCTCATCGCCATTTTTACTCTCGCCATATTCGTATTCCCACGTGTCCCTTGTGCATTCTACACCACCTCTTGTTAAAAGGCACATACACCAGGTGGTTGCCCAGCCCGTATTAGACAATCTCTATTTGAATGCACGCTTTAACCAAAATCCTCTCTCCTTTACAACGCTTTGGAAGACATTCCGTTGCAGCCCGGAACAGAGTAAGTACGAATTCTATCTCAAATCCCACGATTAATTAAAGCCCGGTTTGTGTCGCCGATCGACCGTCCCATGTTTACTGTAAGCACTTTTACCGGGACATAGGTTGATCTGATATTATTGAACCCCAGGTATATCATATATGTGGCATGGCCTTCCCTACGCATTTGTGCGTAATGAAACGAAAAAGGCGTATGTACCCAGCGTATAAATGGGTGCGTTCCATCGCACGGATGTTGTGGGATTTCTGCTGTTTTGATTAGCATGAGTTTCAAAACATGCTATTTCATTAAAAAAGAAAAAAAGAGAACTCCCGACACTACAACCTTCCATCGTTTCCAAGAATCATAATCACAGCCTGCGCAGGAACCTCCCATTCTCAAACATTAACAAGGCATCAAATTCATCGGCTGTATAGTAAGTTGTCTAAACACCCGCCGACCACCGTTTCTCTTCCCCAAGATCGCACCCTCTTCCGACCCCCGGACCTTTTTTTCGCAGCCTGACTCTTTTCGGGGCCCCCCATATTTCATCCACCCTCAAAGACACCAACCAGCCGGCCAGCCAAAAAACTCCAAACATATCATCCTCGCTCCTTAGAACTACCTGCGCGCCCTCTCTTAAACCTCCCCTCATGTTGTCTTATCACGTATCAAAGGCTATGCAACATCGTCCGCCTCCCTTTCTCTCCCCGAACTCTCAGACTGCCACGGGTCAGAGGAAGTGCGCGAGGGCCATCATCTCCTCCACCGTAGTTCCGGCCATAGTCAAAGTATCCACTCATGCACCCGTCTTACGCGGCGACCGAACCGATCTTGTTCAGCCCCTTGAGCGAGCCCAGGCTGAGGGCCAGACCTTGCGACCTGCTCCGTATCCTCAGGAAACCCGTGATCGGGCCGTCGTCGCCTTCTTTTTCGATGCTCAGGTTGGCTAGCGCGTCCTCGCCTGTGGAAGAAGATTAGTAACCTGTTCTCACGGAATGGAAGGGGTGAGAACGCGTAAACGAAAGATTGAAACTTACCAAAGACGCTCCTGGCATACAGGTTAGCGCTGAGGAACTGGCAGTCACCCTTCAAGCTGGCGTCCGGCGTCAGGCAGTTCATGTTGGTGCAAGCCATGAGCTGGTCCAAGAACTCGCGGAGCGTCTTGGCCTTGCTGTTGATGTTGACCTTGTTCTCCCACTCGAATTCCGTCCACATGGTGCGGAACTGCGTCTCCGAGCATGTCGCCGGTTGGATGTAGTCCATAATGTCGACGTGCAGGTCGTTGAGAATGACCACGTTGGTGTCAGTTGAGTGTGCACCCTCATAAATGACGTTGCCAAAGATGACGCCCGTGTCGGTCGATGATACCTTGATTGTGCATTGTACGTTGTGGAAGTCATGCGGACCGAGGTTTTGGCTCGTTGGCCGTTCTACCACCTTAAGGTCGCCGAGCGTCGCGAACTCAACCGTGAGGTTTTGCAGCGTCTCGGTGGTTTGGTTGACGAGCAGCACATCGAGGATGATATCGAATTGATGGACCTTGACATATGCCTCGGCGTACACGGGATCTGAGAAACCCGTGAGCTGCACGACGCGGCTGAGCTTGCCTGATAGGTCCTCAGTAGCGGTGCTATCGCCGCCGGCCGCCCTCTCCAAGTCAAGTTCGATGGCATCTGCCCCGTCGACGGCATTCTTCTTCGACAGCTGGCGAATTGCGACAACATCGTCAACCTGGACGGCCGTCTTCGCCTTCTCAAACGCCTCCTTCGCCTCACGCTTCTTCTCTTCGACCTGCACCATGGCGCGGAACGCTTTCCTCGTGTCTTCAAGGTACACCGTCTCCAGCTCCTTGTGTTCTTTGAACTCGGCGAGGGACCGTACACAGCTCATGATCCGATCGACGGAGTCTTCATCAATCGGCGCCTTGACGAACTGTGACTGACCGACTCGGATGATGGAGATCATGATGAGCATGGCCTCGGCGCGGAGAGCGTTGGTACGCGCAGCTTCGGAAGATATCTCGTGGTGCCGGATCACCAATTTTGTGAGAGTCGCCGCCAGAACAGTCGCGAGATAGTAGTCCCCATCTAGGATAAGCTGCCTGAGCGGGGGCTTGGAGGATGCCTTCACAGCCTCCAGCCTGGCCGCGGCGGCGGACTGGCTTGTCAGGGCAGTCTCGGTGGCATACGTGCCATCGGCAAGGACCTTGCGAGAGCCGCCAGCGGCCGGCTTGGGGTGCCCGTTGACCTGTTCCTCTTCCTTGTTCTCCTCACTATCCAAGTTGTCCAGCAACCTCTGTTCCGAGGCCAGGATCGGGATCTCGCCAAGGCTAGCCCGAATACCCTTCCACGCGTCCCTGATGTCCTTCTCATCGAGCGAGTACTCGCCAATGATCCACAGGATGCCCCGGTAAACCTTGCCGGCTCGGACCTCACGTAAGGTATCGACCAGCCTCTGGGTAATGGCGGGCCGTAACGCAGGGAACTTTTCGACGACCTCCTTAACGAAGTTGATAACATCGACGGCTGATGTGTTGTTGAAGTCGCCGATGAAGTCCATCAGGAGCTCAACCACACTGGCAGCAACCTCGGAAAACTTAACGGCGCATTGATGGATCGAGTGGATGAGTAGCTGGCGGTATTCGCTGTTCTTCTCGTACTCTTGATCGACCGTTTTGGACAGTTCCTTCTTGAGCAGCAGTACGACCTCCTCGACATTCTTGCTCGAAACCATCTCCAGGGCAAGCTCCAACGCCTTTTTGCGAACATCAATATCGGGGCTGGAGAGGACACGCAGAATCTCCATAATGTGGTCGTCCAAGATGCCCTCGTTCTTCTGGCGGATCTGGTCCACACGGTCGAGCACAATCAGCTTGACATTGTTGTCGGCCTCCTTGATCGCAAGTTCGATAAATTTGCCAGCAGCGGCCTTGACAGCCACTGGGTTGTTGGTAAGCGCAGTGAGCGAAGAGGCTGCCTCGTAGATGACCGTAGATGTGTTTGCCTCGAGGAGATCGAAGATGAGGCGCAGGTAGCGTGCTTTGTTCTGCGAGTTCTGGACAGCATCTTTCCGGATGAACTCGAGCTCAACCAGCTGCAGAAGTTCGTCTGCGTTCGGAATGCCGTCGAAAACTGTGCTCAGGTAGGCCAACGCCTTGTCGTGGCTGATGCTAGACAATGCAGCGAAGCCATTCCTTTTGCATGTCGGGTCGTTCTCCCCCTCGAGGAATGTGGCGATCAGCTCTGGGGCGTCGGGGATCAGAGACGGAGAGTGCTGGTAAATAGAGGACACAGCGAAAACCGCGTTCTTCCGGACGTAAGCATGGCGGTGCTCCAGACACGACCGCGCGGAAGAGAGGAGGGGCTCGAGGAGCTCGGGCTCCCGTAGCTTGCAGAGGAAGCGCAACGTGTTGCAGCGGATAAACTCGTTCGGATGTTGCAGGTCGTTACGGATCCCGTTACTGCATGGGGCCCATATAGTCAGCGCATGGCTGTTAAGGATCATACGGAGTGTTTGGAGAGAAAGGAGGGCGCCTTACCATACTAGAATAAACTCTTGCTTCAGCTTCCCCTGAGCGTCGAGCTTCGGGCAGATCTCGTAGTAAAAGTAAAGGAGCTTTTTTAACGGCTTGGATTTGGACGGCATAACAAATCGGATGATGTGCATGAGCAATTGGGGCATCGGGTCACCATTGAGCATGATGGTGAGGATGCGCTTCATGGTGTCGACCTTGGTATCATCGGTGCCTTTCTCGAGCTGCGTCTTGAGCTCGGACACGGTGGGCGTACCCTCTGTGGCACTGTCCTTCACCAAACTGTATGCATTGTCGAGGAACGACATGGCGGGCAATGAGCGGCGGCGAGCCGGTTTTGTCGGGTTGGCTTGTTGCGGACGGCGAACGTGGTGGTATTCAGACCTCGAAATGGGGGGCAATGTGGAATTGGAGGAGGGGTGGGCAAATTCACTCCTGAGCTCTCGTCAGGCCACACAAGCATGCAGAGTGAACAGATCTGCTCGGTCGGGCGGTTGCCGGGTGGTGGATTCACACGGTCAGCGGGTCGGGAGGGGATGGTTCGTGAGCCGCGAGCGGAGGAGGAGGGCGGAGCATCACCTTGCGTCGTCGTGGTTGAGCAAGAGAACCAAAGGAGTCCACCCGATTTGGTCTGTCAATATCGAAGGAGGCACCAGACAAGCCATGGGAGATGTGGCATTACCGGCCCGCTGGCAACGGTATATTGCCAGCTGTAGCGGAGTGGCAGGATCACGTGTCGAGACCAAAAGGTGCAGGGGTGTGGAAAGAAGTGGGTCTCGTGGGGTTCTGCCCCGCTGTCGGTCTCGAAGCTTGGCTTTGCTCGACTGACGCGCAGTCGTGAAGGTTCCCGTTGCGCCTTGTCGCAAACAATCTCGGGTCATCACCTGTCATCGCCATGTCGAATCAAAACGAGCCCTTCTACATCCGATACTAGTACGTCGTACCTCTTGACACGAAGACCATCATCCACAGGACTGACAAATTACCAGCTCGGGCCACCAGGGCCGTTTCGGACACGAGTTTCTCGGTACGACGCTATCCTAGATCATGATGCTGGCAGAGCCGACTGACCGTGTTGTTTTACCTAGAGTTTGATTTTCGAGTAGTCGGTGATGGTCGTAGTGCGACTGCCCGGTATGCGAACAACTCAAATTATCGAAATGACAGCCTCATTCGCAAAGAGAGTACGGCAAGCACCTCGACCCCGACGTTGGGAACACTCGGCTAATCTGAGACATCATGACAGTGTTCGTCAGCTCTTTAGTCGTCGACGAGATCAAGAAAATTGTCAAGGACAGCGAGATCATGAAGTATGTTTCGTAGCTTGGGACATCTCGGGTATATCCAGCTGACAGGTCGCAGGGAGGACGACGCAAAATGGCCAACGAAGAACAAGGATGGAAGGCAGGAGCTGGAGATCCGTCTCGGGAATGACCACATCTCCTTTGAGGTAATGGCGCAATTTAATAATCTACTGATGGGTGAATGGGTCGCTAACTCCCGACATAGACCGCGAAGATTGGTTCGATCAACGACGTGACGGAATCTGCAGACCCGGAGGGCCTGCGCGTCTTCTACTATCTTGTACAAGATCTAAAGGCATTGGTGTTCAGTCTGATTGCGCTGCATTTCAAGATCAAACCTATCTGAATACTACAATGCTCCTTGACTTGGACGGGGGCCGCCTGGCCGGAGGCAGCACACTGCAACACCCAGTCATCTTGACCGAATTCTTTAGCTCAGTGAGCGATACGACCAGGTTTACATTGCAGGACACGAAGGGACGAGCCAAGATACTCAGTGTATTCACCTTGGCCAACTCGACACACCGTTATCCCGAGACTAGATATGTTTAGCCTGATGAAGTTTTAGGGGGGTTGGGAGGTCTTCGAGATGAAGGTCGAAGCACAAAATGGGAGGGCAAACCAGCGGCGAGACTAAGAGGACAACAGACCGCGGTTCTTACAGCGAAATTACCCATCGCAGTTCGTGTTTCTTACATCGCGTTAAAACAGTCTGGCAAACCCAATCACCCGATGCCATCTGTACAGCAGCTGCATGTCTACCCTTATCCTTAGGCGCATGGCAAGTGACAAGAAACGCATGCCGTTTGGTCGTCTAATTTATGTCGAGTTTGCAACACTGCGCGAAGGCCGGACATCTTGATTTGCCCTGAATCTGGGGTTTCGCAATTAACGGGCAGGTCACGGTCTATCGCACCGGGCAAGGCAATGTAATCTCCAATTTCACCGTTGAATCTGTAAAGCTCGGTATCGGTTGGGCTGAGCTCTGGGTGTTACACAGTCGTCTTGCTTCGGAGGTGGGGCCGACGGCCCTTCGCCCGGGTGCGCCAAGCCTAACCCGGACCGTAGCGGCTTGGGCTGAGGTCTTCCTTCCAAGTCGCATCTCAACATGGATCATCACGGGGCGATCATCCAATGGCGACAGTCGTCATTGTCAAGCCCAGACACGCACGGCAGGCCAACTCCATCTTCCTCCATCCGTGAAGAAGCAACAACTCATAGTGCCCACATCCGCCTTGAGCTTCCTCTTCCCCGCTGCCCGTTGAAGAATTATAGCCATCATTTCCAAGTTCGGAGGCCGCTCGCCGCCCAGAGACTCACCGCCCGCGTTCGTCCCTGCGAACCGCCCCGTGGCGCTTGACTCGGTCCCACTCATCCCGGAAGCGCCCACGAGACCACCACCGAGTGTCTTCCGCGACATATTGTTTGGAGGTTCGGCCGTTGATCAGGTGGTTGGTTGCTCTCTTTTATCCCGTGGCCACCGTTACGCCCCAGATTTTCCAATTCCAACCCCGTTGTAATTATCGCGTTATTTCGCCGGATCTGCGCCGCAAGCCGTGGTCGCTTGTCAATTCATCCGCCCGTCTATTCGTCCACTGCTTGGCCTTGGTGTCATCGACCAAAAGCACGGCAAAAAACTTCCAGCCTCAATTCCATTGTCTGTTGCAGTGACCCTCGCACTTTTGGGTCTGCTGCTCGCTGCACGATTGCTATCGTCGCCCAGTTCTCTTTCCGCCTGTCATGCCCACGCCCTCATCGAATAGGCCCGACCCGCCGTCCCCACGCTTTTCCTTCACGTCATGCCCCGACATTGAGACCGATATCGACGAGCAGCTGCCACAAGAACAACAAACCCCGGCGGCACCATCGCCACAGACATTTTCGCAGCAGGACGCCCACCCCGCGGCCGTTTCTTCTCCCGACTCACAATCGTCTTCTGCTTGGCAACGTCATTATCCTTCAGCCCTCACCGATCCCGCCGACCAAAACGCTCGGCCGGGCACGGCGACAAGTGGCGAGTCGCGCCCGAGTATCATGTCGCCGGGATCACAACAAGACCTTGGCGAGTCGATCGATCCGCACATGCGGGGGAGTGACGAGTCGGAGGTGATTTCGACGTCTGGGGATAATAATACTGTTGGAGAGAGGTACAAACCCGCGGAAACAGACGAGGAGATGAGCCCTTCTATCACCGGCGGGACGCCGCGCGAACGCGCTATTGCGGATGCTCGCCGGGCGAGTTCATTCGCATATTTGGGCAGTCCGTCCGCGAACAACGGGAGTCGGGGGTGGCCGCGCCAGTCGAGTCCGTTCATCAGCAATTCCAGCAGCAGGAGAAAGTCGAAGGGGGTCGAGGGGTCGTCGCAAAACCCTAACGCGGCGTCGAAGACCGAGGCCGGGACGGTGGGGAATCCGTTGGTGGGCAGGGGTCCGAGGTGGGTGGAGGACAGTGGGCTCTCAGGCCTGGGCCTCGAGTATTCACACATGCGCATCATGACCCCGGCACCGTCGCTGTATCTTCACCCAGGCACCCGGTACGTTGGGACCCAAACATCAGAGCGCCAACGATATGATGTTGAGGTGGAGATCAAACACGTTGACATGCGGGAGTCGTTCATGTGCGGGTACCTGAAGATCCAAGGTGTGTTCCTCTGATTGCACTGGCTACCCTGTGTAGATGATATACGGGATATTTCTTACTAACAACGTATTTTTACAAAACAGGCCTGAGCGACGACCACCCCACACTAACAACCTACTTCGAGGGGGAGATGATTGGGCCCAAGTATGGTTTCATCACACAGCACGAGGGCTGGGGCGCTACCGAAAAGATCGACTTGTCGCACTGGTCTAAGTTCACAGCCTTCAACCCCCCGACCAGCAGTAGCAGCGGTAGTGGGCAGTCTTCGCGGAAGATCCGCCTACCCAGCACTATGTACGATCTCGACCAACGCGAGAACATCTTCATGCGCTGGAAAGAACACTTTCTAGTGCCCGACCACCGCGTCCGCACCATATCGGGCGCCAGCTTCGAGGGGTTCTACTATATCTGCTTCAACCAGGCGATTGGAGAGATCAGTGGTGTGTACTTTCACAGCAAGAGTGAAAAGTGAGTTATCCTAGCCAAAAGTCATGTATCCGGTGCTGTTGGTTCTAACCGGCGTTACTCGATACAGGTTTCAACGACTAGAGTTGAAATACGTCCCCAACAGGGGCTGTTTTGGCGACGTAGAGTTCCGGTAAGAGCTGGGACGGGCTCGGGGCACTCTATGGGTATAAGACCAAACGCGCACAACAGACGAGATGGGCGTACATACGCGCACTCGGTTGGTGGTGGTCAGACATCAGACGGTTCATATCGCAGTTAAATCCCCGACATGAGATTTATTTATTTCTTTTTCCTCCTTTCCTGGGCGGGTGGATCTCAGCGTTGCATATTGCGTCTATTGGTTAAGGGGTCTTATTTAAGAGCACAAATACAAACGGTACGATCGGGATGGCACAGGCTTTCTTAGGAATTAAGCACGAGGGAACGCGGACAAAAATGGGACATCATGGATCGTACATTCGGGGGTTAGTAGATAACTGGCAGAAACAGCGAAGGGTGAGGGGCTCTCCCTTGCTCACTGACGCTTTTTTCTCGCTCTTTATTTCATTGTATATTCTTCAGATCTAAGGGTATCTATGACTCAACGTCGTCTGGTGCTGCCCCGTCTGTGGGTTCAAACCCATTAAAGTACGCCTTGCGGAAGGGGTTTAACTCGTCGGCTGTTTTCCCAATCGATTTCATGTGCTCGCGTGCTGCCATGGCTTCTTGGTCGACCTCGGCGTCCGGGATTCTTCGGTAGGTTATGAGACGCCGGGACCCTATTTTTTGTCAGCTGCTGAAGTCACTGTCATGGGTAAGAGCCAGCAAAATGAACCTACATTTGTTGAATGTCTGGACGCAAACAGCCACGATATCGAGGTAAGGGTGTGTTGGTACCGGTACTTCCTGATTTTCGTCGTTGGCAGTGGGCATCCAGAAGGATAATCGCCCATTGTCCACGAGCGTCTGAGCAGAAAACTGTAGGATGTCATCGAGCATGGCAAGGAAGCCGTAGGGCTTTCGTGGGGGGATAAAGTCGGGGTCTCTGCGATAGTCACAGTTAGCATATCGTGCTTGGATATTTATCTTAGTGTTTGAGAGCACCCACTTGTACATTTCCTTTCCTTTCGGTATTACCCATGGACACTTCTCCGGATCGCGAACGCCCAGCACTCGTAGTCCCTCCCGTACACCATACGGCGGATCACACACTATCCCATCAAAGAGCCTGCCCTTGACCCCATCCCCATCGTACCGCAACTCTTCCTTTCGTATCGGTGAGTTTGTCAGATCCGCCGTGAACATGCCCCCCAACCCGCCCAATATCCCATACTGCTCAAAGTTACCCCTCAGCGTCTTCTTCTTTTCATCCCCGCGCATGCTCCGCCCATCAATATCACTCCCAAACGTCACCGCCCCGAATTGCGCACACGCAATCGGGAAACTGCCCGTCCCCACAAACGGGTCATACATGATCTTCCCCGGCGCCGCCAGCGCAACGTTCGCCGTCACCAGCGCCAGCTCCGCATCCATGGACGTAGTACTGATGTACCTGCGCTTCTTGAGGTCCAGCTTCTTCGGCAGGTCCCTGGCGCCTGCGGCGAGATACCGGCCGAAGAAATAGGCCTTGGGATCCGGAATGCCGAGCGGCGTCGAGTTGAACTCCCAATCTTCGAAGAGGATAAACTCCTCGTCTGGTCGCCGCATCTTGATGGGGCCGGCGAATCCTAGGTAGGCGAAGGAGTTGATGATGCGGACCTTGTCTTCTGCGGAGCGCGAGCCTTGGTAGGAGTCGATGGTGAATTTGAAGGAGCAGGTGAGGTATTGCGCCCAGAGGTGGGGGGTGTTAGCTTTTACGGTGCCATGCACGGTGTCGAGGTCTAGGCCGGAGCCCCAGAGCTCGTGGATTGACATGACGAGGATGGAGCGCTGGATGAGGCGTTTGGCGGCGGATTCTGAGGGGAGGTGGACGACGCAGAAGGGAGACTTGGAAAGCGTTAGTAAGGGGACCCCTTTTAGGATGTTATTGGTTGGGAGAGAGGGGTAGGGGGTTATAGATGTTATAGGAAGGGGGCCAGGAAAGGAAATAAAAACTTTGTTTGACAAAATCATGATTCAGGGGACGTGTTATGGTAAAGGGGGAAAAAAAACCATACCTCAAGGCTGTATGAAACAACCTTCATGTCGATGCCCTCTACTATCGCTAATGCTTGTATCTCTGGGAGACGAAACGTCTCGTGAGACTGAGAAAAACGAATGAGGTAGTCCATTTTGCTGCCGCTCGCCAATCAAGGTTCCTTCACATAAAATACTCGTTCAAATGTGATGCCATATGGTGTTGGCATCACTTGGTGGATTCTTGGATAATAAACCTTGAATCTAAGTCTGTGGGGTTGAGAACTCACAAATCACTGTGCGAAAATTGTAGTTTCAGAGGGACTCGCCGTTGTGATAAGCGTACATTGGGGTGGATATAACGTAAAATTACGGGGAACGGTGATATCTTGTCGAATCACAGCGGCCCTCTGTTTTGGGTCTCGTACAGACACCCCACTGTTGATATGAACCACCTTGATTTTCGCTTCAGATTTCTGGCTCACACAACATCGCTTCGAGAGGTACCCTGTTGGAATAGACATCGCGCCACACCAGAAACTACCTTCAACATATCACACCATGTTATCCTTTGATCAACCAGCGGTTTACCAAGCCGCAAAATCCCATGTAACGCACGGAGTAATGGGCCATATCGACCCAAGGCAGCTTCCATCGAAGTCGAAACCATGGGCCACACTCACAAGCCAGGATTTCGTCCACAGAGTTCGTAGATGATTCGACTTAACTTTTTTGTATTTTTTCTAGACTAAAGAAGTCCCCACTAACTGCCTTCGCAGGCCGATTTGATCATACCCGAAGAACTCTTGGAATTAGTTCAAGAAAAGCTGCTAACAGAGGAGCGTGCGCCGAAGTACTCAAGGGTTGTCATGTCGCTGCATGATATACTCTCCGGGAGCTTTTTTACGGAATACATCAAGATTGGTGAGTGTTAAGCATTTTGGGATCTCAAGATCTAAAACTGACTTAAAATAGGGAACATTTCAATGCTCTCTGAGGGCCGGAGGGGAATCGACAATGTGTTTTTCATTCGGGCAGGTGTACTCACGATGTACCTCGATAAAGAAACATACGAGCGGGCAGGTCTAGTTGGGAAACCTCACGGAGTCAAGGGGAAGCGCAATGGAAAGCGTCGATGGAGTAAGTTCAGGTGGTACGACGGCGATGAGCATAGAACTAACATCTTTAGTTGTCGAATTCGACCTTACTGGACCATCAATGTTTCCAGGGAAGAAAGGCTTTGACAAGCTGGTATATGCGAGCAAGAATGCTCTCGCAAAACCCATCACTTGGTTGTTCTCCAATGTATCCGAGACAAGTATAGGCCCTTATGTCCCCAAGTGGCGCTCCAATGTTCCAATGTATAGTTGACACGGTATAGCGCCCAACCCAGACCCCCTTTTACAGTTCTCGCCAACCACCCGTATCGCCTCTCCCAACCACTCGGAAGCCATCGGCGCCCTTATCCCGGAGCTCAGTGTAGATGCCGACCTGCTCTCAACCAACCGCCGAGAAAACTTCGAGGACTTCGTGACTGGCTTGTATGAGTGGCTTGCCCTCATTCGTCTCCAGAGCCCTCGAATCCAAACCGGAGACCAGATCGATCCGTATCTCTCCCGATATGAAGTCCCGGGGGCCAGTGGCAAAGAAGGAAAGGTCTGCAAGATCAGCTGGCAGGGTTTCCTCGCCCCATCGTGGTCCCGGCAGACCCTCATCGACATTGTCACGACCGTACCCCATAAAGCGTGGTTTTCATTTAGCACAACCACCTTCTCGAGAGGTCTGACCGGGGACAACGCGGAGTGTACCATCCTCCGTCCGCCGAACTCGTCGGGAGAGTATCTCATGTGGGAGGTGAAGAGCCATGAATGAGAATCTTTCGTTCCTTGCCAATTTCCAGGACCGGTACCCTTCCTCAGTCCTGTCTCGGCCGAACACTGCGTTCCCCACTGAAGCTCTCTCCACTGACGGCCTCCTCCACCAATCTGCGCAGCTCAGCTTGCCCTTCTGGTGTCTGGAAATCCTCCCTCGCAGCAAGCTCCTCTATCCTTCGTCGGAACTCTGGGTCAGGCTGCGGACCTCCTTCTACCTCCGCTTCATTCATAGTACCCATTGTCACCTGTAAACCCTCCGGTACGGGTGGTAGATCTGCCGCTTCAGCGGACGACGAAGCCGAAACCCCGTTCTGCTCCTGAGCAACGGTGCCGTTGATGCCATTGGCTCCGTTGCTCGTAGGAGGTTTCTCATCCCAGTTTTGTAAGTATTCCACGACGTCAGGAAAATCTCCCTCGGCCTCAATCTTCTCCAAGGCTGTTTGTCCTTCGTCGTTCCGGATCTTAGAATCTAACCCCAGTTCTACCACTAGTATCCGGGCAGCCTCGACCGTCTCGACCACGAACAAGGCGGTTTCCCCGTCTTCGTCCTTGAGGTCTACTGGGACATCGAAGTCGCGAATAAGGGTGCGGAGGAGATCATAGTGGTTGTAGCTGGCGGCGGCGTGCACGAGGGAATAGCCGTGCTCGTCCTGGCCGTCAGCGAGCGAGGGGTGTTCGTGGAGGAGGGCAAGGAGGGCGGCCGGGTTGTCGGCCGCGAGGAGGTAGGGGTTGCGGGACATGGTAGGCGTTTGTAAGGGGCCAATTCGGGTTCGGATTTAGGTGGTACTGGGGGTTTGTTTGGTCAGGAATGTATTTGCTGAATTCTAGCGGCTGGTAAGGCTGTGGAGGGGCAGTGTTTCCGGGATAAATTTTGGAGGGGTTAAAAACAGGGGTCAAGGATGGTGGGGTCCTTTTTCTGTGATACCTTACACGTAGTGTACTCTGTGCTTCGTCGTGTAATTACACGTTGTTGCGCATAGCTTTGGCTGTTTGGTCATCCGACCACCCCGGGATTTAGTGTTTCCTACACTAACTCTCTACCTTCCCCATATTTTTTCTTATTCTCTTTCAACTCTGTTTTCCTCTCTTTTTCTGGGTTGAGTTTGTGAGCAATGGAACGAGTGGGCCCCATATTGGCTGCCCCCACTCTTCACAGTCCCTGCACCGTACATTAGGTACTATGATCCCCTGTGACGTTAGCGCCTGGCCTGGCTGTTGGCACGGCCTGAAAATGTACTTGGAATTCGTGACTCCCCGGCGTACTCGTTCCTGCAAGGCTAGGCGCGCGGTTCTCTCGTTTTTCAGGCTGCTTTGTGCTGCCGCTTTGTTTGGCTGTGAAGGAGTCGTGCCGTGGTTTGACTGGGGAGGAAGCATTCTCTAAAGTGTGCCGTTTGAGTCACCGGTAAGGTTTTGAAGGCAAGGGGGCTTTGGCCTTGCAAACAGGCCGCCATGTACAGGCCTGTCGCGCTTGCCTCTGAAGTTCCCCTCTGCGTGGTGTGCCAGTGCAGCTTCAAAAGAGTGGCGGGTCCTGCCTTCAGGTTGAGTGCCCGACACCAAGCAACGCAAAGGTCTTCTCTCTCAAGTATCTCTTCTCCCCAAGGAGCACTGAGCGCGACACATTCCACTCGCAACTCTATCGGCTTCATAAAGCCGTTTCCGTCGTCCCAATCTAAAGCCCCAGGCTCTTCAAATTGTTTGCGCTGCTGTATCCACACACGAGCAAGCTTCGCCCCTCACCCACACCTCACGATTTCACAAAATCGCACATTTTCCTCCACGAGTTTGCGATACGCGGCCACCATGGAGGGCGCTACGGAAACCCCTGAGAATACTTTGGCGTCGAAGTACACGGCCTCTACGGACTATGCGAAGGATGCCGAGGGTATGGAAGTGCCTTATGCGAGCCAGGATTTCAACGAGATCGCGGCCATGGCCCGTGGCCTCGAGGAGTCGATTAAGAAAGGAAAGAGCCGTAGTGCGTATAGTGCCCGCAAGACGAAATATTCTGTCGCGTCGTCTCCAACAGGCATCACCGTCGACTCCTGGCGCCTGCAAGAATCTGACTACAAACGCCGGGACCTGCCCACCTACGCCCGCGGCCTGTTCACCACCCGGACCAAGAACAACGTCCCAGAGATTGCCATCCGTGGCTATGACAAGTTCTTCAACATCAACGAGGTGCGGGAGACCTCGTGGGAGCACATCAAGGAGCGGACCAAGGGCCCGTACGAGCTGAGCCTCAAGGAGAACGGGTGCATCATCTTCATTAGTGGCCTGGAGGACGACACGTTGCTGGTCTGCAGCAAGCACTCGACGGGAGATCGGTCTGATGCGTCGGCCAGTCACTCGTCGGTAGGAGAGAAGCACATTGAGCGCCAGCTGGAGCGTATTGGGAAGACCAAGCAGGACCTTGCGCGGGAGCTGAGGAAGCGGAATGCCACGGCGGTAGCCGAGCTCTGTGACGACAGTTTCGAGGAGCACATCCTAGCTTACGGCCCGGACAAGGCTGGGTTGTACCTGCATGGAATCAACCTGAATCTCCCGGTCTTTGCGACATATCCGTCCCCAATCGTCCAGAAGTTCGCTGAGGACTGGGGTTTCATTAAAACAGGCCTGATCATGATCGACGACATCGATGAAGTGAAGGCCTTTCTCGAGGAGGTTGCGGAGACGGGCGCACACGATGGACGTGATGTTGAGGGGTTCGTTATCCGGTGCAAGATGACGAAGAATCCGGGGGTGACCCCTTACCAGGACTGGTTCTTCAAGTACAAGTTCGACGAGCCGTACCTAATGTTCCGGCAGTGGCGTGAGGCCACCAAGGCGCTGATTTCCGGGAGGCAGTTCAAGCTGAGGAAGCATGTCCAGATCACGGAGGAGTACCTCCTCTACGCCCGCCAGCGCCTTGCTGCGGACCGGACACTGGGCAAGGCGTATCAGCAGAACCACGGGATCATCAAGCTTCGCAACGACTTTTTGGCGCACAAGAATCTTAAGGGGTCCGATGCGGCCAACCTCGAGGATATGAATGGACCCGCCACTGTCACCCGCGATGTGATCTTGGTTCCCATTGCGACAATCGGATGCGGCAAGACGACCATTGCGTTGGCCCTAGCGAGCTTGTTTAACTGGGGTCATATTCAGAACGACAACATCACTGGCCCTAAGAGGCCACCGCGGTTCACTAAGGCGGTTCTGGACCAGCTTGAAGAGCACTACGCTGTGTATGCGGACCGTAACAACGCCTTGAAGCACGAACGAAGGCAACTTCTCATGGACGTCAAGACACAGCACACTAGCGCCCGGTTGGTTGCCCTCAACTTTGTGCACAACGATATCGATGCTATTCGCCAAGTTACCCAGGAGCGAGTGTTTGCTCGTGGCGACAACCACCAGACCATCCAGGCTGCCACCGACATGAACAAAGTTGTTGGCATCATGGAGGGTTTTATTCAGAGATTCGAGCCGTGCAACACGGATCGGGAGCCCGATGACATGTTCGATTTTGTCATCGACCTCGATCCCACCGCTGGCTCGCGAGACAACCTTGAGATTGTCATCAATGAACTGCACCGCGAGTTCCCCAACTTTCTCAAGGAGGTCCCATCGGCCGAGGACATGGACAAAGCCATCCAAGAGGCTTTAGAAGGGTACAGCCCTGACATGCGCCATACCATCCCAGACCGCTCGAGGAAGGGTGCCAACAAGCAGAACTTGAACCAGCAGCAACAGCAGCAGCAGAGCAAAGCCAAGAAGAGGAACCTTGAGTACATGTCCGTCGATCTTCCCACCAAGGACATCCTCACAGCCCTAGATAAAACCTTCTCCCCATCCGTCCCGCTCACCCAAACCCGCTTCTTCAAACAACTCCAAGGCACCCGTCGGGTCCAGCCCAAATTCCACGTCACCCTCATGCACCGCGCCTCCTCGAAGGAGCACCCGGAACTCTGGCAGCGTTACAATTCCCTCTTTGAAACCGATGGCGCCATCCACCCAGACGGCCGCCTCGGTGATGTCGACGTGCAGCTAGAGCGGGTGGTGTTTGATGACCGCATCATGGCCATCGTAGTGCGCCTGGTGCCAACGCACCCGGACGATGAGAATATCAGTGGGGATCCCTCGGGCGATGGTAACACTGCCGCTTCGGAAGGTCCGACGCAGCCGAAGTGGGAGTGTGTCAACCGCGTGGCGCATATCACCGTCGGCACGCGGGACAATGCGGTCAAGCCGAAGGAGAGCAACGATTTGCTGGCGCGGTGGTTGGAGCAGGGCAGTGGGGAGGGCACAGGTATTGGAGAGTTGCTGGTTGAGGGGAAGCCGTTGGTCAGGGGCGTGGTCAGGGGCGTGTTGTCGAGATAGAATGGCGGCGATACGGGTCGGTCTCGGAGGCGGAAGGGTTCAAGACGGAAGGTGAAGAAGAATGGGAAGGGGAGGGGGGAGGAGATATCGGTGCGTGGATAGGCCTGGCGTTGTCATTCTACTGTGGCATGCTACTTAGGACTTTGTTGTTTAGTTGGAGAACTCCCACTCTACTCAAGTAGTTTGTAGTTTCTCTCTACTCTGACTATGCCGAGGAAAAAATGGAAAGAAAAGTCAGTTACAGCAATCTATGAAAACGGATCGAGAAGATCCGTTGGGCCCCGCCAGAATTCCCCGTTCATCTCTTAGCGTGCCTTTTCTGCCCTGGACGCTTAGGAGATCTTGAACAGTGTTCATCTAGCAGCATGATTTCGTGAACATATACTCCCCTCTCAGTTCTCCTCGAATCCATTCGTCACCTTCACAAACTCCCCCCACTGCCTCGCCGCCTCACCACTCTTAATCGCCCACCGCGCCCTGCGCACACCTTCCTTCCACCGACCCCCACCAGGCCCGCGCTCCGTAATCACCGCCCCATCATCGCCAAACCCGAGATCGCTCGTGTCGGCCTCGCAGACCCCGGCCACCACAAACAGCGCGGCCGCGTTGATCAGCACAAAGTGCAGGATCGGATCGTCATCGGGAACCTGCCCGTCAAGAATACGTCGGAGGATGGCCGCGTTCTCGTGGGGTTCTTTGCCCGGAGAAACGGACGACAGAGGGTGCGCGGGCAGCCCAAAGTCGCGCGGGTGAAGGCGGAAGTGCTCTGTGACGGTTCCCGCGGCGGAATAAGATGATGCGTCGTCGGTGGACGGCCGGATACGCCAGCAGAGGGTATCGCCGGCACAGCTGATCTCGTCGAGCTCCTCGTCGCCGCAGACGATCATGGCTTTGCGGGCGCCGGCGAGCTCGAGAGCGCGGGCGAACACGGGGCCGATGTCCTTGCGTGCGACGCCGATCATGCGCGCTTCGAGGAGGGAGTCGGCGGAGGTGGTGGAGGTGGCGGAGGCGTGGAGGTCGGTGGGGTTGGCGAGCGGGCCGACGAGGTTGAAGATGGTTCGCCAGGGGAGTTGTTTGCGGATGGGCGCGACGTGGCGCATGCCCGGGTGGAAGACGGGGGCGAAGAGGAAGCCGTAGTTGGTGTTGCGGTAGAGGTCGGCGATGGTGTCTGGGCGGACGCGGTCTATTTGGGGTGCTTGGGGTAGCATGTTGTTGAGGAGGTCGGCGGAGCCGGACTTGGAGGTCGAGGCCCGGTTGCCGTGCTTGGCGATGAGGAGCAGGCTAGAGGCGAGTATGGAGGCGGTCGTACTGATGTTGAAGGTGTTGTGGGAGTCACCGCCGGTGCCGACGATGTCGACCTAGATGTACAGTCAGTCAAGCTCTATATGACCAGTGTAGGGTAGGGTATAGTAGGTTGAAGTAGGCAACTTACCAAACCACCTTCATACTGCCCCTCCTTTCTGCGCTTCGCATCGATGGTCGAGCGAAGAGCTGGCTGGTCAATCTTGGCTGCCGCCTTTAGCATACACTGGGCTGTGTTGGCGAGCACTTCTGCTTGCCGGTCGAGGCCAGTGAAGTGCAGGCACATGAGTAAGGAGCCGGCCTGGACATCAGAGACTTGGTTCGTGAAGAAGTAGGAGATCGCTTCGGCGATCTGCTTTGGCGTAACTGGGTTTGGGTGCCCCAATGGCCATAAACGGGCGAGCAGCGGCTTGATATCAATAAGCTCACGGGTCTCTGCTGGAGGTGCCATCGTTGCTTGTTTCTTGCAGCTGTTGTTGCTGCTGCTCCGTTGTAGATAGTTCGACCAACAGATGAATTGACGAGTCAACGTGAAAAAGATAATTAAAATTCAAAAAGAATTTGCTTGAGCAGTTTCAAGTAATGGTAACCCTCCAATTGGCTAGAAAGGGGGCCCTGGATTGGTAAATAAGAAAACAACCTCGCGGTTGACTCATGATGGGCAAAGGAACCCTTTAAGCTATTGGGGTGCTGTGCCCTTTGAGCCACCAACACAACTCTAAAAAGGCCGATTTGACGGCCCCGCGATGACCCGGACGTGGTTCCTGGTGGGGGTAGTGCAGGGGTCCGCAGTCGGAACAGATGGTGGCAGAATTATAGCTTACTACACGAGCTTTGGAGGGCGGTGAACCCGTTCGACCTTGAATTTGATCCCCGCTTGGTCATGGCCCCTGCACGCTGCCCTTGGCGTGGGCGATTGGCAATTGGCAATTGGCAGCGCCAAAATTTCGGCTTCGGTGATCGCGAATTCTGGTATTGGCACGCCCAGCAGAGTAGCTGTCACGAGGTCAGGTACGTGCACACCACTACAATACTGGGCTTACCTCACAGCCAGTATTACGTTTTCTGACTGAAAGCTTTTCCTTCCGATAGAATGCCGCCGAGAGTACGGTGTGCCGTCCCCCGCGGGCTGGGGTCGGCCGTGAAGCCCACGAGGTTATCAACACAGTCCGCCGCTCAACTCCTCCCCTCTGCTCCCGCAACAACCCCAGCAACGAGACAATATGCCACTGCTGCTGTATCCAACCGATTTCAGCTCCCCGCCGATTACGTTCCGCCAACCCAGCCACCAACCGCGAAGCTGGGCGACACTCGAAAGTCGCAACTCCTCCGAACCTACACTTCCCTCCTCCGCTCCTCGCCCCTGATCCTCATCTTCCAATACAACAACCTCACCGCGGTCGAATGGGCTGCCGTACGGCGTGAACTGGGTGCTGCGCTGGCCGAGGTCTCGCCCGAGGGCACAGAGTCGGCCGAGATCGCGGCCAACACCCAGATACAATCCATTCGGGGACGCATGTTCGACATTGCGCTCAAGATTGTCGAATTCTACGATCCATCGAAGGTTGCCCCGGTTAAGGCGTCCACGCTCAGCGGCGAGAAGGTTGATGTGGTGTACAACCACGATCTGTCCGCGGCGGCCGACAAGGCCATGAGGGCGGCCGTGAAGAAGGGTGGGGAGTTACCCGCGTCCTCTGTCTACGGCCAGATCTTACCACTACTCGTCGGGCCACTGGCGGTATTAACCATACCGGCTGTGTCGCCGGCACATTTGGGCGCTGCCTTGAGGGTCCTTGCTCCGAGCCCACCGGCATTTCCTGCGCCGACCAGGAAGAAGCGGCCCGGGTACCACGACCCCATCGCGCAGAGTGGGCTTCAGAAGCTTATTCTTATCGGCGGGCGAATCGAAGACAAGATCTTCGATCAGGATGGTGTGAAGTGGGTTGGTGGTATCGAGGGTGGTCTGGATGGGCTGCGGGCCCAACTTGTCCACATGCTCCAGAGCGCCGGTATGGGCCTGGCAAGCACGTTGGAAGGCGCGAGCAAGAGTGTTTGGCTTACTTTGGAGAGCCGCCGCAGCGTTTTGGAAGAGGAGCAGAATGGGGGCAAGAAGGAGGAGGAGGCGAACGAGGGGAGCTCATGAAGCGAGGAGGGGCAAAGTTGATGCGCATTGTACCGTGTCGCATTGCCACAGGAGTTTCGATATTTAGGAATGTAAATTTATTGTACTGTACATCAAAGTATTCAGCAGCACAGATCAATACACTCGCTGAATTCGATGCCATGTGAAAGCTCGCCTGTGACTACCCCCGGTCAGCGGGGAGCAATGGAGGTGGTTGAAGGAAATGCCCCGCTATCAACGGGTCCCTGCAGCAGCGAACCCCGGTAAGCTTGCTCGGCGGGTAATTGGGATTCTCGGGTGAGCTCAGCTCCTCTCCTGTTTCCGGCAACCTCCCTCGGAAGCTGCGCCGCAGCGCCTACCGCCAACGGAATCACCTAATGCACAGGAGAGCGCATGATACAGGTCAACCACTGGAACACTCTGTCACGGAGGCTGCATCGCTAGATATCCTTAGCTCGGAGTAGAACGAAACCCCACCGGTGCCCGCATACCGTACGATACAATACGAGACGACATTTGCGATCGCGGCCAATAGCTATCGGCACGCTCGCTGTCTGTAGTGTACCTCGCTCTCGCTGGTAGCTGCCGCGCGTCCACCTACCCCGACTCCGAACCCCGGCCGCATACTCCCACCGCCCGACATCGCGCATCCGTCCTTCAACAGGAAAGACACCGCTTCAAGTCTTGGCTTCCGCTAGCCCCTCCGAGATCCGAGTAGTCAGGGGACGCCACCTCCCCGATCCGAACCGAGACAACCCCAGATCTACGATACACTACAACCCCCCAACGCCGACAACAACCCTTTACTACCATGGACTTCGCCCCTTACCAGTCCTCCCCCCCGGAACATGGCCGTTCCCCAACCCACAGCACCACCGCCTCGCCCCGCACCTCGCTCGACAACAACTACAACCCAAATAACGGCGGCAATAACGGCCGCGCCTATTCCCCCGCGACAGGCCACCACTACCAGCAACGACAATCGCGATTCTCACCACCGCCTTTACAACACCCCCAGCCGCAGCGCGCGTGGTCGGGCGATGGAGTGGGGAGGTATTCGAGTCCCTTAGCGGGGCATGCGGTTTCGGCGGATGATGGGGGGGCAGATGGCAATGGGGTGAATGCTGGCGGGGGAGGGAGTCCGTGGTCGTTTGGAGGGAGAGGGGGAGGTGTGGGAGGAGCGGGAGCGGCGGTGGGGGATTACTTCTCGTCGCTGGGTGCTCGGGAGGGGATGGTGAGCGAGTTTGAGACGAGTTTGGGGTTGAGGTTGGATTATGAGGCGTGTTTGGCGTATTTGGTTTCGCCGCCGTTGGGGGCGATCTTGTTGCTGATTTTGGAGCGGAAGAGTGACTATGTGAGGTATGTGGGGGTTGTTGGTGATGTCTTTTTTTGGAGTTTTGGCGTTTTTGGGTTATGGCCGTGGTGCTGACTTTGATATCTCTACTAGGTTCCACGCGTGGCAGTCTAGTCTACTGTTTACCGCACTGTTCGTGGTCCACTTGTTATTTTCGTGGTCGACATTCCTCAGTTGGCTATTCTTCCTGGGTGATCTAGTCTTGATCGCCTGGTTGGTATTCCATGCATATCGGGATGCGGATACGTTGGACAGGTTCGCTTTTCCCCACTGCTGCTTCACTAGACCAACTTAACTGACACCCTTCTAGGTACGAAGTCCCTATTGTTGGAGCGATCGCCAGTCGTATTCTTGACGACGAGTAATGGTTTCTGCGGGGGAGGTGCTGGTTTGAATCGATCCGCCAGCAAGTGGCGGGGCTTTGTTGTTCGGATTTTACGATGTTTATATTTCCCCTCTAATGTGTATATACTCCCCTATCCGCCGGGGAGCCGGTAGCAGCTTGGCGTTGGTAGTCGTCGGTTGTCATGGGTGGCCTAGTCTGTCTTTTATTTGCGTACGATACCAAGGCCAAAGAGTCCCATGAATGATATTAAGCTGGTTCTGTTTTCCCATTCAACGAAATAAATCTAAACTTTCATGATTACAAACTTGTATGTACACCCAGCGATAACCTTTGGTTGTGTTCGATGCCTTAGTCAGCTCATGAGCTCAGCCAGGGGTGATTGTGGTTGGTTGCCCCGGCATGTGGGTCCCGCCGCCCCAGGCGGTTACGTCGCGCTTTTGCCTGCAGCCCAGCCCAGCTCCCGCCGTTGTGGGCAATTCGATCGAGCTCCGTCCCCCACAGCCTCCAACAACCCAAACCAACATCCCACTTCTCCGCGATCGCCTGTGCATTTTTCCCGCCAGGTCTTCCAAGAAACAAAGCGATAGATATTCCTTACTTGTCTCTGGACTATTCCGATTTCCCCGGTCTCGAAATCACCTTTTAACCCCCCGCCCACGAACCCTTGACTCCGGCAACCGCCATGTCTACCCTCGAGGAGCTCGACGACCTCGACCGCCGCGACCGCGATGAGAAGGACAACAAGCAGGGAAATGGGAATGATAAGAGGAAAGGAGATGATGATGGCGATGCCGAGATGAAGGATGCCGAGCCCGAGGAGGAAGATGTTCTGGACCCGGAGATCTTAGACCTCAGCACGGACGACATCAAGACCCGTCGGCGTTTACTTGAGAACGATGCTAGAATCATGAAGAGCGAGTACCAACGTTTATCACACGAGAAAGCGACTATGGCCGAGAAGATCAAAGAGAACATGGAAAAGATCGCTAACAATCGGTACGTTCCGCTGTTTACCCCACGCTCACGTTGCGTTCCCTTTTTGTTCCGTCTACTAACACAATTATTACTAATAGACAACTTCCATACCTTGTGGGCAATGTTGTTGAACTCTTGGATCTGGACCCGACCGCCGAATCCTCCGAAGAGGGCGCCAACATCGATCTGGACGCTACCCGTGTGGGCAAATCAGCAGTTATCAAGACATCAACCAGGCAAACCATTTTCCTCCCACTGATCGGTCTTGTGGACCCGAACAAACTGCGCCCCGGCGATCTTATCGGTGTAAATAAGGATTCATACCTCATTCTCGACACTCTCCCCGCCGAGTACGACAGCAGGGTAAAGGCCATGGAGGTCGACGAGAAGCCAACGGAGAAATACACGGATGTTGGTGGCCTGACTAAACAGATCGACGAGCTCCTTGAGGCTATCGTATGGCCAATGAAGGAGGCGGACAGGTTCAAGAAGATTGGCATCAAGGCTCCGAAGGGTATGGGACTCCCAATTTGGATTTTGCAAGTTCGAAATGAGCGAGATATTGACCAACCTCTGATCTAGGTGCCCTCATGTACGGCCCACCTGGGACAGGCAAGACTCTTCTTGCCAGGGCCTGCGCTGCCCAGACCGATGCGACCTTCCTCAAACTTGCCGGGCCACAACTGGTACAGATGTTCATCGGCGATGGTGCCAAACTCGTCCGCGATTGCTTCGCCCTCGCCAAAGAGAAGGCGCCGGCGATTATTTTTATTGACGAACTGGATGCCGTGGGCACTAAACGTTTCGACAGCGAAAAGAGCGGTGATCGAGAGGTGCAGCGGACCATGTTGGAGTTGCTCAACCAGCTTGACGGTTTCGCTTCCGACGACCGGATCAAGGTCATTGCCGCGACGAACCGTGTCGATGTGTTGGATCCCGCCTTGCTCCGGTCTGGCCGTCTTGACCGCAAGATCGAGTTCCCCCTTCCGAATGAGGAAGCCCGGGCACAGATTCTCAAGATTCACTCGCGGAAGATGAAGGTGGATGAGGCCGTCAACTGGGATGAGTTGGCGCGGAGCACGGACGAGTTTGGTGGTGCCATGCTGAAGGCAGTGTGTGTGGAGGCTGGTATGATTGCTCTGCGTCTGGGGAAGAACAAAATTGGGCACGAGCACTACGTCGATGCTATTGCGGAAGTACAAGCCAAGAAGAAGGATGTGAGTGACTCGCCCCCTTCCCGAGAATTTGGAATCATGGCATGCTTGATACTGACCCCGCCACGCGTAGACCGTCAACTTCTATGCCTAAATATATCAACGGCCATCAAACCATTGACGGACCTGAAAACGGCGCATATCGCGCAGTTCATAGAGGCTAGCACAGGGTTGATAGAACTAGTCGTCTGTGTAATACGACGGGGCCTTAACGGTTGCCATATTTTCCCCCATCAATGATGCACCTCGCTCGCATTTTGTGATCCTCTGGGTATCTGCCTAGCCGCCTGGTACATGTTCGTTCGACAGCGATACCGGCGCTGAGAATCATACAGCAGCTTGTTCCGTCCACGTACCTAGCCACGTCTTACTCGTAACTATCCACCAACGCTGCCCCGAAACTGAAAACACCATTAGAGACAGTGCGCGCGATGCAGTGCAGGTACATGTACATCCCCTTCACGCTAACTCATCAGCATTCTCACAGCCGCTGTACTGCATCGCGAAACTACTGGGCCGTCTCCCCGTCCCCAAGTTCCTTCCGTATGAAATTGTTCCCACCTGGTCTCTGTTAACAGATAACGTAGCCGTTAGCTCACAGTACCTGGATACCCAAATCGGATCTGGTAATTTTGACACGTCCGGCCCCCAGTTCTGTTTCAACCCTCTGGGGGTGAATAAAATAAGTTGGCTGCCTATGGTATTCATAAAGGAGGTTTTGACAGGTGTCACAACAGGTCTATTTACTTCTACATCTAGGACAGTCGTTTCATGGCCGCGGCTGTGACGGTAGCGTCGATCTTGTGGGAATACATGGTTTAATGATGGTTGATCACACCTTTGCATCGTAAGGTTCACGCTTGGACGTGCTGTCACCAATGTCCCATGAAGCTCACCAGATTATCGCGGTATGGAATTAACGTTAACTCTGAACGTACTTGATATGCCTGAGACTCAACGATTGGAATCTTAACCAATCAGCGTAGTAGTCACCCATTAACTAGATGCAAGGTCGAAGCCAAATGGTAACTAATTATAGCGGAGAGAGACACAAGAACATCAGAACCATCTGCCTGGGACAAGACCCAACCCTCAGCATTCTGCGTGTGCTTGATCGTGTGACCAAGGTGAAACTAGCTCATTGTGCAACGATCACCACCGGAGATGGATAATTCTCAGTCCCCAGACTTATTTTACTCCTTCCACGTAACATCCTCTGCCTAGGAAATCCTTCTCGTGATGCAGGTCCGAATCTCATCATCCCTAATGGGCTTGCTATGCGGTTGGCTCCTAGAAAACCGCTCGCAAGGTAGGTAAAGATCAGAGCGAGGTACGTAAAGAACGCCTGGGCTGTGGCTATGCCATGGCGTTCGGTCTCCCAATCATCTGTCAGTAGGATCTTACTCGCGGCGATACGGGGGATACCATATATTCCCATCACGCCGTCACATTAGGCTGCGGAATCGTAATCGTCCGTCCTCGCGGGCCACGGCTTTCTTTTTTGGGGTCCGTTAAATCCCTTCAACCCCAGTCCTAGTCCCCGGATAACACCCCGACTGGTACCGAAAGTGTAAGTAGGTTCCGGGGCGATTCGTGTCCCCTGGGCTTCTAGCGGGCTTTCCCGGTGAGGCAGTGTCGGCATGGGCCTTGAAATCGGGGCCCAGAGCGGAACAAATGTGCCGGGACGCGGATGCAAAAGCGGAAGACCGATACAATTCAACGTACCGCGGGCGGGGGAAGTGGGAAGGGGGGTGTCTTGATGGTCTGGGGGTGGCGGGTTATCGTGGGGGGGCACGGGGAATGGGGGGCGGGAAGGAGGGGTGTTCGGGTGGTATGCGATGCATGCGTGCCGCACGGTGACGACGCCGTCCTCACCATGATCCAGCCGATTTACCGGGTTTACTCAGATCTCTATCCCCACTCGTGTTCGATTTCCGGCGTGTTCTGGCCCAATCAGAGGGTTAGGTTGCGCGTCAAGCACAGAGTGACGGACTCGATAGTCACTTCGCCAATGGGTGTAACATCGCCAAGTTGAGGTTTCGAGGATGTCACGCCGACCCATAAGGCTGCATGTTGTGGCACTGGTGGTGTGTCGAATCATCAGATGAATCTGGGGGCGCGACCTCTAGCGAGATGCAACAAGGTTGTTTCGTCCTCAGGTCCGGGACGACAGGGCAAATTCAGTTTATATCGTAACACAATACGAAGTTTTCTGGGGAGTGGTTGAGTTCGGCTCCGACACTTAGCCGATATCCGTAATTACATAGGGTTGTTTCTGGGAATTGTTCATGATAACCTCAACCCAAAACTCAAATATTATTATTACGTCCCCAAAACGGGGAATTGGGGGATCGTAAAGTCCAATCCAGGCGCGAGAGACAGAACAAAAAGAGACCAATAATATTAACCTTTTCGTCTGAGATAAGACCACACAATCAGGATTTCAGTGTTGGTCGAGGTCTGCGGAAGACAAAACGGTTAAATCCCTTCCTTCTAGATGCCGAAGGCGCAGTAGAAGCACGGAACCGAACCCCAACCAGCCGGGAATTCGCTCAGGAGGGGGTTTGTTGTGGCTGAGCTGTTGTCCAAACCAAGTTTAACACCCCCCAAAAAACGCATGCAATGTGATTGTGGGCTGACGGGCTGCGGCGAGCAGTGCTCGTTTATAACAGCAGCGTTTCATCGCCAAGCCCAGGGGCTCAGGAGTACGGGTAAAACGCACCAGAAGATGGTTGAAATTTTGAAACTTGCAGGAGTTTGGGGACCGGAAACTACCTCCTCGGTAGTGAATCATCTTAAATAGTACGAAGCAAGGGGCATGTACCGTCTTCCTCTGTTGCAGTGACCAGTTGTCGATCAGGTGGTCTCGGACATCGTCGATGACAAAAATGGCTACATTGGTGACATTGATCTTGGTTCTAGATTTATCATTTCACCCGAAGTGTCGCCGTTGGTGTGCGCGGAATGATAATTACGGGTTAACGTAGCATTGATTGGTTTGCTATACATGATTATGGGACGGTTGGCAAACCCCGATGTAACAATGTAACCAATGACTAATAACGGCGATTTGCTGCACGGTTCTAGGTCTGCAGGCAGGAAAGCGAGGCGACGATGCTGTGCAGCTGGGAAACCGAATGAACAACTCCTCGGCGAGAGTCATGTGAGCTGTTGCCCGTGTTCTCCCAGGATCGGGTCACATCGCCGTTTTGTTTTCGGGTCGCAGGAGGCCTCCAACCATCGAATCGCTCATGCAACTTTAAATCTTTCCCGTCGCCCGTCTTCAAGGCACCGGATGCAGCGAAGGCTAGGCATGGCTCGAGCACGGGTGCCTAGCAACCATTGGCGGTCTTGGCTTTAATTCAACTTGACTCAAGGTTGCGGTATTTCAAAATCAGTAACGAGGATATATGAATTTCGTAATGGAATTGTATGACTGATATGTTTCATGATCATCGAACTTCTAAAAACGAACGCTGAAAAGCAGCGAGTAGGTAAAAAACATACAGGGTATTTATCAGTGCCCTGTTTGATAACGGGTACAGCAATAGAACAAATGGGAAGAAATGAAATACAGCATATAAAGAGGGGAAAGCAAACGCTCCCGCCCGTTACAAAAGACCCTATTCCAGGCCCAAAGCTCGCTCCTATGCCTGTTACGCCGTGTCGTCCCAGATGCTATAGCAACAATCCTATTGGTGTCGCGGGTTAAAAACAAGAACGCCAGAGATCATGTAGCAAAGATATCTCTCGAGAAATAACACAAAGGAAAAGAAAGAAATATGCGAGAAAAAGTATGGAAAATAGGACTGGCGAAAATGGGATAGGTGTCAAATCATGAAACCCGTAGACTCGTTCGGGTTTAGCCCGAAGCGTCTGGATTTCCCAGTAGTCAGTACGAGTAGGAGTAGTCGACGGTAGATTCGTCTGGTCGAGGCCAAAGAGTTAGTGATTCCGCACTACTGAGAGTTGGTTTGACCGGGTGAAGTGGCCGGCGTACATTGGTACGATGCATAGGCCTCCGCGTACGCCGCTTGGTGGTACGCTGCATCTTCTGGAGGTGGCGTGCCGTAAACTAAGTCTTCGACGAGTTCTGCAGATAGAACTTCCGGTTAGTCTCTCCCCTGGCAGAAAGATATCATGTGTGAATCTCACCGTCGCACTCAATGGGAACCCCTTCCTTCATGGTTCCCTTTTTCTGTGCCCGTTTCTCGAACCGAGCAATGTCTTTGGGGTCCACCACTCTTCCCCGTAGAACAAACCGCGTCTCTTTTGGTGGGTGTTCGGATTGGCGCTCGCGCATCGTCTTGATCATGAACATGTACTCAGAGGCCTTGATGTACTTGGTGTCGAGATTCCACCTCTTTAATTGAGTCTTGTACTGCTTCTCACTGTAGGTTTCGATCAATTGTTAGTCAGTTCCGGCTAAATAATCAGAAGAACGGACTCACGTCGCCTTGAAGTTGTAGGTCGCCTCCATTTCGGACATGACATCTTTCAACTTCATGTTCATGGTGTTGTAGAGATGGGCAATGGTGTCCCGGTACGGCTCCCAGTCTTCGGGTTTGGAAGGACGGTATGTCACTAAGACTGGCTGCACCGCAGCTTGGCCGTAGGCGTAGTAGGTGTCCATGGTCTAGTGTCAAGATTCAGCACGGTGAGAACGGATGCTGTCGTCCTGTGTTGGTGAACGTATGAGTGTGACTGTTGGGGATGATACGACCGGTGGGATGGATGAGGGTATCATGTTGAACTTATATAGCCGCATAGTTTCTGAGACCATCAAGATGAGATGGCCGTTGAGACGCACGGCCACATTGGATGGGAATAACCGGATACGGTTCGTTGCCTTGTTCATACGGCGAGGGAGGCTAGGCAGATGGGGGCCAGGAGAATGTGTGTGTGACACCAGAAGGCGCTCATGTCACGGGCCATCACTAAAGAACAAGCTCGGGGGAAAGAGTGACTCGACAATGTGCCTGGTGGGGAGCCTCATCCTTGGATGGGGGAATGGATGTGGGGTGTGACAGATGACCTTAGCCCTTTCAGGCTGACTGCCCCTGGCCATGCCATTTGTGATATTGGGGGCGGAATAGGCGCGGTCGCGTCTGAGAAGGTTGTGGGGCCTTCTGCCGCCAACCTTTCGTAATCCTAGATGTGTTCAGCGACTCGTCATTGGCGATGCACAAGTTCTTCGCAGCCAACTCGCCTCGCCAGCAAGATGGCGAAGTCCCTGTAGTTACTATGAAAGGAACAAGTCAATCCAAAATAAAAATTGAAAAATAAACACAAGTAAAGAGATAATGAGTACCAAAAGAAAGAAGATTGAAGGGAGAAGACCAAAAACACTGTGACCGAGGTGGTTTGCAGTTGGAAGGGGCAACCGCTCCTTGGGCCAAGAGGTCTTAGTGGGGCTCATCATCTCGCCCAAACAGGCAGGCACCATGGCTCCACTCTGCGGTAAACTTCGAATTCTTCAAGATCGGGACGAAGGTAGGAGCGTCGTCCGCCAATGGCTCCCACTGGGACGAATTCGCTCGCGGGAACGAAATTGCTTGCGAATTCCATGTAAGGGACTCGATCGCCCAACATGGCGCAGCGTCAAGACCGTCACTGAAAATACCTGAAGTGAGACGCCTGCGCCCATGACCGCGTTACCATTTGCAGCGCGCTGAGAGAGGCACAATGTCACAAACCGGGGGTCAAGAAAACAAAACCACTCTGATTTTATCCCTTCACCCCTCTTCGGTCCCGTCTCGGCAGCATTATTTTTGGCCCTCCTCAACTTGCTCGATTTCCTGTGCTTTTCCTTTTATCCCTTCTTTCATTTTTTCTGCCCCTCGCCCTCGCCAGATCGGTAATTACCTATGCTGGGTTTGTAATTACATACACTACTGTACAGTACCTCGTGTATCATCGCCCGTCCCAATTTGGACGTAGCGCCCGGATTAGCCGCGTTTGCGGAGGCTCTGCCTGTTTTAGCGACCCAGTCGGGCTCTTGCGGGCCGAAATATTGATGCGAATTGGGAAGGCCTTAGGCAGAATTTCCACATCAACTGACCGATTTCGAGATCGCAAGTTTGCCAGAATGGCAGAATTCCACCAACAGCCTCTGGTGCCTTCACTTCCGCAACATACAACTCTGATTCGACGGTGCCCGAGCTCAGCATTGTGAGAGAACCACAAACCGGGTCTCCACAAACATGCCGTTCTAGCCGAGAAAGAATGCTACCGCCAATGGTTTTTTGTTCCCCGGCCGCCTCCCGCAACTGGAAGTTAATTACAAAAAACTTCGAAAGAAAAACAAAAACTTAACAACCCACGAAAACTTAAGGCCTCCTATTTGGGCTGGCCGGGTGTCACGGTCATCTTGGCGTTGGCACTTCCAAAACGTCATGATTGATTAGAATCTTAAAAGGAACAGCTGCGCAATTTTGAATCCTCCACAATTACTCGCCTTCCCATTGCCGAGACTAGAGATAAGCTTATTTACAGTACAGACGAGGCGAATAACCCTCCTTGTTTCATCTATAACCCCGCGTTCAAGACCATAACCCGATGGAGAGCTTGGAAGCGAGAGATCGAGCGCCGGATCGGCCGAGCCGCCCGCACTAACAAAGAGTTGCCGGGGTGCGTGCGGCGTAGGCCGCCACGCATCGGGAGGATCGTGATGATAATACCCGGGGCTACAATTCATATGGAGTGGCTTGCTTCAGAAGTGTCTTAGAGGCAGGACTGTTCACTCTCTGTCAAATTTTGCCACTCTTTGAATTCGGTGAATACCGTTCCGGTTCAGCAGTCTGATAAGCAATCCTTCAACACATAATTACAAATCTTGGATGTTTCATGTTGACGTTGTCCATCCGTTCAATATGTTACCACGCCGGCCCTGCGAGCACTCGGGGCAGAGAGAGACTATGGTGCCGGTCTGCGGTACGGCACCCGGTCCTCCCAATCGCGCTCAAGAAACCCAAAGCGGCGTTTCTCCATTGCGCTCTCGTAATGCTCCATAGGCTGATCGGGTGTGGATGGAAGGTAGAACTTCCCGATAACATCTCCAAACTCCGTCGGCTTCCAAACAAGAATCAAAGCATCGTTTCTCCGCGCCGGCCTTATTTTCTTTCTCTATTCTTATTTATGCACATGAAGACAGGGTTGGTGAAAGTTGGTGGAAGATCAGAAAGGAATTGTTGAGGAGGAAGAATGGATGTGGGAAAGGCGAATAAAACTTACATCCAATCACGGCGCCGGTTATGCACGTAATATTCATCATCAAGACCCGGAGAGTAGCGCGTGAGATCGAAGGCAAATTTTGTCATGTCGTCCATCAGGGCCTGCACGCCCGTGTTGTCATCGATGCCCATCATGAGGTTCATCAGACGAATCACGATACTGTAGAGTTAGCAGTGGCATTACACTTACTGCGCTGGAGAACGGCCATAGCTTATCGAGACATGACCATCTTTCACGTTATTAATAGCTCCTTGAAGATAATAGAAAGAACATTGCAACAATATCGAAACGTCGGCGAGTCTAAGACGACCCCGGATGCTCAAGATTGTTTCCCAACGTTCCTTCCCCCAAGAATTTTCATGTTGAGAATTCGTTGTCCCCGAATACACAGGCCCATACATAGATTGCATGTTGGGTTTACCTTCCCCCAGTGAATTTTGATACAGCACTAACTAATGTATCGGCGTCTGGATTGTGAAAGTAGGCGTCACCTGACGTTTCTGCGTAGTCGCCGCGAAACATGACCGTTAGCACCGTACAGAGCGCCCTCCAATACCGTGCGCCCTGCAGATCCTTGGTCACACCCCGCGGCCACGCAAAGTAGCAAACCGATCACGGCTTTGCCATCGTCGCCTGACCGCGTTTTGAGTAGGCAACCGCCAAAGACTGCCGACCCATCGAACCTGAAAACCCGTCCCAGGCTGGAAGAAGATGTCCCAGGCTGGAAGAAGATGTCCCAGGCTGGAAGAAGATGGCCGCTCCGGAACAGTTCAAGCCGACGTCTTTACGGCCGGCCATGGTGGTGGTCGGCACCGCCTTAGGCTCACTCGTCTGCGTCGCCAACATGTACTTCGGCTTGCAGGTGGGAGCGCTCAACACCATGTCCACGTCGACCGCCCTACTTGCTTTCGCTATCTTCCGGAGCACGTCGCGATGGCTGCCCTTCGACTTCACCCCAACAGAAAACGTCATCGTGCAAACCATCGCCTCGTCCATCGCCGGCATGCCCGTGGCCGCAAGCCTAACAAGCGCCATTCCCGCGTTCGAGTTCCTCCGAAAGCCTGATGAGGGCGGGCCGCGGCACTTTGCCATCGCGGAATTGATGGTTTGGTCTCTGGGGGTGTCGCTCTTCGGAACCGTCTTGGCACGCCCTTCCGTAAATACTTTCTCTTGCAGGAGAAGCTGCGCTTCCCGGGAGGGTACAAGACCGGCGTCCTCATTGGTGTCCTGCACGGCGACGAAGGAATTGCACAGAGGGCGGATGCCGACAAACGGGGCTTTAATTTGGTAGATGCGGACGCGGATACGATCGGTGACGGTGATGAGGATGCGGACGTGGAGGCGGAACATGCTTTGGACAATGCCGATGAGGTCGTGGATGACAATGGCGCTCAACTGTACCGGGAATATGACTGGGCATCGAAGGTCAAGATAATTGTCTATGCGTTCTCTGGCGCCGCCGTCTACGTAAGTCTGTGCTCTGTTTTGGAAGGCAGTCCTGATATCTAACTTCCTCAGGTCTTTGCTTCATTCTTCTTCCCAATACTCTCCAAACTCCCCATCTTTGGGATCGCTGCATCCGAGGAGTGGCTGTGGTTCCTCACCCTATCCCCGGCACTCACGGCGTTCGGCATGATCCTGGACCTCCCGGTAGCTTTCTCCATGCTCTTCGGCGCCGTACTCGGTTGGGGCATTTTGTCACCTCTGGCCAAAGGCAACATTTGGACTCCTGGCGGTGTTGGCGACATGGAGACAGGCGCTCGTGGATGGCTGCTCTGGATTAGCGTCAGCTTCCTTCTGGGTGACGCAGTTGTCCGCGTGGCCCATCCTTCTTGAGTCTATGCGGCAAGACTGTTCAGGAATACCCGAACAAAGCTTCATTTGCGGCAAGCCTTACATGGCGACGCGGACCATAACAGCCGGCAGCCTCTTCTTGTACCTGCTGAATCCAATAGGAACCACCAGCGGCCATCGCTTGGAAGCTTTGAGCGCGGGCCCCAGCACGACAACGGCGGATCGACGAAACCATCAGATTCAGACACCGCGGGCCAACTAATTTCCAGCCAAGCAATTTTTGTTTCTATGGTTATCTCAACTTCTCTGTGCTTGGTCTGCACTCTAGGAGTGTTCGGGAAAGAAATCTCCTTCCAGCTTGTGATTCTCGCTGTTGCCATCGCATTTCCTCTCTGCGTCATCATCATGCAATCCGTTGGCGAGACCGACACCGCTCCAACCATGAGCCTGAGTAAGTGAGCCTGTAATCCCTGCTTCAAGTAATCAGAACTTTCTGCTAACGGCACTCGTTCAGGCAACGTATGTCAATTCCTCTTCGTGCTCCTACTCTACCAAGGCCCACGTAATAGTCTCATGACAATGGCTGCCGGCGCCGTCACCGAGGCAGGACTATGGCAGTCCGCGGTTCTCATGACGGATCTCAAGACTGCATATTTGGTCCAGGCATCGCCGAAAGTCATGTTCCGTGCCCAGTTGCTGGGATCCGTCATCGGGGCATTCATCGGAAGCGGCATCTACCGTCTCTTTACCGCCGTCTACACCATCCCTAGCCCCAACTTCTCCGCGCCGCTTGCTTATATGTGGTCGAATACTGCCCGGCTAGCAGACGGAGGAAGTCTTCCCAAGGAGGTATGGCCGTTCATGCTGTTGGCGTTCACTGCATCTGCTTGTCTACGAATCCTAGGCCTCGTCGCCGGAACAAGGCGGTGGAGCATCTGGGTTCCCAGCGGGGTCTCCATTTCCATAGGTACGTTTAGATCGTAGTTCAGAGTGATGAGGAGTCAGGTATAAGAACTAACGAAAGGGATGATCTCTCAGGCATGTATGTCACCCCTTCCATCACCCTTGCAAGACTCGCAGGCGCCGCTATCCGCATATTCGGCATTCACTATTGGGGGCTTTCTGAAGTGTCCCTGATGTCTGCCGCGGCAGGTTGTATTCTGGGTGAGAGCATGCTGGGATTTGTTCCTCAGATCATAGGAGCTCTTTGAACACCCCACACACCCTAGGCAGTTGCAAGAGTGAAGTTCTTTATCCAAACTCACCCCGTGACCGTGTTGCAACTGTTTATTTAACGAGGCTCTTCAGCAGCTCTAAACCCTGGGTCGAAGCTTGATTCAAACTCAAACTCTCACAAAGTGCCAGTGCTGCTTGACGCGGCTCGCCTCTCATAGCTGCTCCCTTCCCTCCAACATGCAGCACTTGCCGTGCGACCTCGCTTGCAACTATCACGCTATGTGCACTGTGCTTAAGGTATGTATTGGTCTACTTGCGGGGGAAACACAATGCGCATCGACACGTGATTGAGAGGCAGATATTTAAACTCTCGAGTACCGATTCCCACGGTAATTTGTAACCCATGGTTTGTTGCAAAACATCCTTCCACATCCACGGCCCCCAATCTATCTTTGTATCCAACTTCCTGAACGCGCCAGCGGCCAGCCGCAATGAGAAGACCAACCCAGACGTGCCCCTCAGATTTGAGACTAGCGTTTCATATGTCGGAACTGCGTGGACCACAAGACGGAATTGAGTGAGTTTGGGGGGCACTGCCTGCTGCTAAGCCGGTGCTAGTTATGTGCCTGCTAACCTGACCGGCCGGGAACGTAGTGTCATCATCGTACCCGGCGTGTGGACGACAGGTGTCTCTGAGAAATGGACGAAGCAATACTCATGGCTCAAACTGCTGAGCGCTGCCACGGATCATGATACCCGGGTTTTCATCTTTGAGTACGACATTGGCCCGGACGAAGACGGTGCGTTCTGGCGACAGCTTTTGGCCCATGGCCCCGGATTGTTGGATGCCATCCGCCAGGCTCGATCATTTAATGTAAGCCCTCGCAACACCGCATCCGTCCCCCGTTGTTTGCGGACGTCCATCTCTCACCCGACCACTTTGTCGCAAACATAGGCCTTGTCCACCACACAAATTGAGCTTACCAATTGATAATTTCGTGATATAGCTTCATCGCAGACCCCTCTTCTTCATATGCCGTGGCCTTGGCAGCGTGGTTCTGAAGCAGGCCATATACTTGGCTCATCAAGACCACCCGTCGACATGTCACGCCCTGGCCGGCATTATATTTCTCGGTGCACCGCATCTAACATCAACTGACGATACGCGGTGGGAGAACTGGCGGTCTCTCTTGAGGCTGTATCGGAAGGAGCTGCCTAAGACTGCCCTCGGGCCCCAAGACGTCGAGATCTTTGCGCAGCTGTGTCAACAGTTCAGCAACTTGGACCTGCAAATCCCGATTTTGTCTGTATACGAGACTCTGACAACAAAACTCCGCGAGCCGGGACCTTCGCGCGAGACTGGGAAAATTGTACGTCCTTGGCCCCCATCACTTTGCGCGTGATTACGTGTGGCTCAGGCCAACGACACAACCCATGGCCATCTGACAACTGCCCTGGACTGATTGACTGATGTTCGGTATTATTCCGGAAAGCTCGTTGATAAGTCCCATGCTGCGGTGCAAGCGGAAAAGGAAGAATTGTTCGGCGTGTCTGCGTCACATACCGAGCTACACGTAGTCACGCCGGGTAGCGACTTGTTCAATCGGCTCGTGGTCTTCTTTCAATCTGTGCCTCAAAACGTGCTGGCAGCTGTCAACGCGGCATATGAACGGTTGGAGACCGGCCTTGATTTCTCTAATAGCACCTTCCGCAGCGCAACTCGGTTGGTAGATTTTGAGCAGGACAGGGAAGGTCCGCACCGAGCATCACTCGTTCTGGTTGTTACGCTACTCCAATAAATTGACTCTCCTATTAGCGACGGCAGACACCTCCGAATCTAAAGAGCGAGACCTCCTCAATAGCCGCGGGATGGATGCGGCCGGCTTCGACGTCATTCCCCGAGCAAGGCGGCTTTTGTTGCCGTGCTATTCACTGGGGCAGCCCCGCAACACCACCTTCTACGGCAGGAAACAGATCCTCGACCAAGTCCACAATGCACTCGCTCTCCCGGGAGAAACCGATCCGACGGTGAATGGCGCAGAGATTTCCGCCCCCAGTCTCCCGAGGGTCTTCTTCATCTGCAGCATGGGAGGAATGGGCAAGACAGAAATCGCTATCGAGTACATGCATTCCTATAAAGCCGATTTCGATGCCATCTTCTGGGTGAACAGTGCAAGCGGGGCAAAGCTGAACGCAGGCTTTCGCGACGTCGCTGTCAAACTCGGCCTCTAGAACGAGACGGATCCCCGCGATAACCCCATCGCAACGAGGAATATTGTCAAGGCATGGATGTCGAGCCCTGTTCGTGTCTGGCGTCTGGGGTCATCGGGCCAGGACCCAGACGTCAAATGGCTCCTAATTTTTGACAATGTGGATGAACCGGATCTGCTTGCCGACTTTTGGCCCACCGACGGAACCGGATCGATCTTAGTTACAGCAGAAACCCACTGGCCACACTCGGCATCCCGAGCGAGCTTCAAGCAATAGATCTGTCACCCATGCCGATCAAAGAAGCTAGCCTATTCCTCCAAAACCTGTCCTCGGGAGAGGATGAGCGGGGTAGCCTTGAAACATGTGCGAAAATTGCCAGCCGATTGGGCGGGCTTCCCTTGGCCGTCGTACAAATGGCATATGGTATTCGCCGCAAGCACCTGTCTCTCAAGGAGTTTGTAGAGTATTATGAGGAGGACGCACAGTCGTTTCAAAGACTCACCCGTTCAGGGGCTCACCGAGGACCAGACCATCGCCTCGACATGGAATATCGAGAGCCTTCCGCCATCTGCAAGGGCATTGCTCAGGGTACTTTCCGTCCTTGATCCGGATACCATTCCGGAGGATATTTTGATGACCGGTGTCAATGGAGTCGACCTTGCGAACTATCCAAAGACAATGAAGGCGTATTTCGACGCACGAGAGGAGCTTCTCAGGTCCTCCCTGGTTTCCAGGAACAGAGACCTCGGGTTCGTTAAGATTCATCGGTTGGTGCAAGAGGTCGTGCGGCAGAAGGTGTCCATTGATGAACTTCGTGAGACCTACAATGCAGGTGTGACGTTGGTCTCTGCGGTGTGGCCTTTCCTGGACGACTCCAACCTAAACAGAGTTGACCGCCTGCGACAAGTACAAAGATGCTTACCCCAAGTGGCTGCTTTGAAGGTGGCGCTCGAGGGCAAAACGCCGTCTGTTTTGCAGCCCAACATCGGAATTAGCGCATTGTTGAATGAGATATCGTGGTAAGACCCGTGTGATGATAGGGAAACGGTACACGCGTAGTCGTAGCTTTGACTCATTAGCTAACACCACGTCAGGTATTACATACTCCAGCCCTCCGGGTATGGCCTACAGGATGGAATGGACTTTACGGTCCTTTCGGAGCGGGTTCTTGAGAGTTTCGCCGGGGAAAAGGACGAGACGCGCTAGACCAGGTTACTTACGGACTCATATCGATATCAAGGCATCACGGGGACATACATAGACAGCCCGGCCGCGGTAGCCAACTGCAAAAGCTGGCTTGGTGTCCTCGTCGAACGAATCGAGAAGTATGGCGATCCCGTAGACGTCAAAACTATACCCATCGCCTACCACGAAATCGGGATAGCACTCATGCGGGTCCCTGACTTAGCAGAGACGAAGAAATCTTAGGTCATGTCGTATGAGACGTTGGAACAGGTGACTGACCCGAGCGAGCTCGTGTTCCCATTCCCGTAGGTACATCGGGCCCTCGTTGCAGCCTATTACTCGGAGGATCCGGAGTCGGCCGACTCGCTAATAACTCCTATCCTAAAAAGGCGGGAGGAGAAACTCGGTGTTGATGATACACCAACGATAGAGTACGTCCATTCCCCAGTAATTATGCTTCCGCAGTCCTGCGCAGAGCGTGACGTTTCGGCAAGGGTACTCATAGCTTCTCCAAGACCGGCTTGATTATTTTATTCTTGGGCCACATACGACGACTTCAAGGGAAGCATGACGAGGCCCATGAACTCCACAAACGAGCGGCCTCGGTGAGATGGAAATGGAGGCGCCGGTCAGCTTTGTTCTAGCTGTGGCGCCGGATGGACCTCGTGGTCGAGTCAAGACGGGCTTCGGGGGTTCGGGCGTACCACAGAGGGTTGGTCAGCGAGGCGAGGACGACACGGCGGCTGCGTGCGAGGAGTTCTCGGTTCCATGGTGGAAGCGCCCCCCTCGGAATAATCGGGATGGGCACCCCGTTGTCGAGATGGTCTTGCCAGTAGGCGAAGTCAAGCATGGTGGCGACTACGGTCGACGAAGAGAAGTCCGCGGAATTGGAGACAATCACTACTCGGCGTGATTGGGGTGAGACTGTGGAGGCTATCCGTTACTGTCATGCAGTCTGGCAGTGCTCGGTCCTCTCGGGGCTTGGTGCTATCACGGCGATTCTGTCGACTAGGGAGTCGAGGATGCTCTGTCCGGCCGATGGCGCACCCTTCAAAGGCGCTCGTGGACTCAAGTGGCCGTTGAGAACAGACTAACGCCAGCAGAGGGACCCCCTTTAAGGATAGTCCAGTCAGTGACTGACGACATCTTGGAGAACGGTCCGATTTAGATCCCAGCAGAGGCAGGGGAAGAACCAGAGCTGAGTGCAGCTTGCAGCCGAGGTATGTGGGAGACCTGTTTTGGAGGCTTCTAGCCCACAATCTCCCCCGCTTCTCCGCAAGCCAAGCATTTTCCCCACCCCCGCCCTCAGCTGTTCTCAAGGCCCAAGCGAGATAGATTACCTACCTACGAGTAAATGACTGAACCCTTGCAAGGCGGGGCGGCGGTTTCCCCTCTGGGAAACGCACCTAAATCGAACGGCGGCAGGGCCCACTCCGCCGGCCCGGAGCAGTTTCACACACCGGAACCTCCGGGCTCTGATGGCGACTTTGATGTCGGCCCGACGACTGGCTAGCTCCGGTCACCAACGGTTGTCTCGCCCGCGACAGGAAAAGGGAGAAAAACGAGCTTCTTCCTCGTCCTTCCTCCAGAAGCGGCTAGATCTCGACCCAGGTTCGCGTGTGCCCATGCTGGGCGGACTGCAACCCCTGGAGTCTAAAATGTATGTAACTACTTTAGACAAGCTGCGAGTCCAGTCGCGAGGGTGGTGCATCTCCGCTTCCGATCCACGTATCCGATTCACCCATCCACGCAGCCGCGAAGGCTAGCTCGTCTTCCAGAACACGCTAGCTACCGCATCGATTCGGTCCTTTAACTACCTCCTCGCGAGTCTCCATGCTGGCTCTTCAGGCCATGTCCCTGGCCCCGCCTAAGGCGCCAAACACTGAGCCTTAGCTTCATCGTCCACGCCGCCCACGCCCTGGCAGACGGCGTCCACGAGCCCCGGGCGACGAAAACCGGGTAGTACCGGCCGTTCATGTCAGACAGGAGATAGACTGTTAAGCGGGTGTTGACTATAAATATGTCGCCGATCTCTGCCGCTTCTGCCGCATTCTTGCGTTTCGTAGAGTGTCGAAGCGACAGTCCTGTCTCCGGATCCAGTTGAATCCTGCCTCGTACGCAGTCCACCTCGCCTCATCCCATCATGCGGCTTCCGTGCCAACTCCATCTCTTGGCCTCCTCGGCCCTGCTGTTCCCCACGGCGCTGGGTTACCCCGAGACCGGTCGTGTCCACCGCGATGGTCAGCTGTTGAAGCGGTCCGCCGACTCCTTCCTTGCAACCGAGAAGCCCATTGCTCTCCAGAACTTGCTCTGCAACATCGGCGCTTCAGGTTGCAGAGTTTCCGGCGCCGCCTCGGGCATTGTCGTCGCCTCCCCGGACAAGTCGAACCCCGACTGTAAGATGCATCGGCACGTTCCCAGTCGTTTTGGGCACTGACCACCACAGATTTCTACACCTGGACCCGAGACGCCGCCCTCGTGTTCAAGTGCCTTGTCGACACCTTCACAAACAGCTACGATACGGGTCTCCAGACTCAGATCCAGAACTACATTGCCGCACAAGCCCGCCTGCAAGGCGTCTCGAATCCCTCCGGCAGTCTCTCGGACGGGTCTGGTCTTGCGGAGCCCAAGTTTTATGTCGATTTGACTCAGTACACTGGAGCCTGGGGTAAGTAATTGTCTATCTAGGTACTACTACTCAGCGTGCCGCCGACACTCGGTCACAGCTTCAGGGCGCTGATTACAGAACAGGTCGGCCGCAGCGCGATGGTCCGGCGCTTCGAGCAATCGCATTGGTTGGCTACGCCAAGTGGTTGGTCAGCAACGGATACACGTCGACGGCGTCCGACATCGTCTGGCCTGTCATCAAGAATGATCTGGCTTACGTCGCCCAGTACTGGTAAGCGAGCGATCTGACCTTGTGTCTATGCTGTGCTATGCTGTGCGAGAGCCGGGGGCTGACACGTTCAGGAATAATACCGGCTTCGATCTGTGGGAGGAAGTTAGCGGCAGCTCCTTCTTCACCGTGGCCAGCCAGCACAGAGGTATGAGTTTTGAGTCCTTGTGACTTGCCCCTAGACCCATTTCTGACCTGCCAATTTGCAGCCTTGGTGGAGGGTGCCGCGCTCGCCACGTCCCTCGGCACGTCCTGCAGCGCGTGCAGTTCCGTGGCACCGCAGGTCTTGTGCTTCCTCCAAAGGTTCTGGTCCTCATCGAGCGGCTATGTCATCTCGAACAGTACGTAGACTTAACGCCCATGGATTCTACACATGCAAACATAGATATTGACGACAAGTCAAGTCAACCAGAACAACGGGCGGTCTGGCAAGGACGCAAACTCGATTCTGGCCTCCATCCACACGTTTGATCCCGCCGCTGGCTGCGACGCGGCGACATTCCAGCCTTGTAGCGACAAAGCTCTGGCCAACCACAAGGTCGTGACCGATTCGTTCCGATCCATATACTCGGTCAACTCCGGTATCTCTCAGGGCGTGGCGGTCTCGGTCGGCCGGTATCCCGAAGACAGCTACTATGGCGGTAATCCGTGGTACCTCAACACGCTTGCCGCCGCCGAGCAGCTCTACGATGCGCTCTACGTCTGGAACAAGCAGGGCTCCATCACCGTCACCTCGACATCGCTGGCCTTCTTCAAGGACTTCTCCTCGTCCGTCACTGTCGGCACCTACGACTCCGGCTCCTCGACATACACGACCCTGTACAACGCCATATCAAACTACGCCGACGGTTACATCAACATTGTCGCGCAATATACCCCGTCCGACGGCTCCTTGACCGAGCAGTTCTCTAGGAGCGACGGCACCCCCCTTTCTGCGCACCATTTGACCTGGTCCTATGCCGCACTGCTCACCGTCGCCGCCCGTCGGGCGGGAATCGTGCCTCCCTCCTGGGGCGCGGCTTCAGTCAGCGTCCCGTCTCAATGCTATGGCACGTCCGTCTCCGGGTCCTACACCTTGGCGACCTCGACTTCGTTCCCGACGTCCCAGACCCCGATCTCAACCACCCTGTCCTCCAGCACCGCGGTGGGCACCGGCGCCACCTCAAGCACGACCGCCAGCACTTCCACCTCCGTCACCTCCGTCGCCACCTCAACCGGCTGCGCCATCGCCACATCCGTCACCGTGACTTTTGACGAGCTGGTCACCACCCAGTGGGGCCAGACGATCAAGATCGTCGGCAACATCCCTGTGCTGGGCAACTGGGACGCGAGCAAGGCCGTCACGCTCAGCGCTGTCGACTACACCTCGGCCAACCCGCTCTGGTGGGCCAGCCTGAGCCTGCAGGCTGGTCAGGTCATCCAGTACAAGTACATCAACGTGGCGTCGAGCGGCGCCGTGACGTGGGAGAAGGACCCCAATCATACGTATACTGTGCCTAGCTCGTGCGCGACCGCGGTGGTCAAGAGTGATAAGTGGCAGTCGTGAGAGGGAGCAGGAAAGCGGGCTCGGGGTGACAGCGGAAGAGGTGTCCGAAATAGTGGGAAAAGGGTGAAGGGGGTTGAAGTCAAGGGGACGGCGCTTGTTTGAATGAGTTCGGTGCATATCATTCTCAGCGTACATACTACTCTTCTCAGTGTACTTCAGAAAGGAATTCAAGCAACATTCAGTTGGAAAATGCTTCACTTTCGACGCTAAATTTAGTTCCGTGAGCGACGGACGGTACCGCCGACCACCTTTTGTTTTTGCTCTACCTTTTTCGAGAATCTCTGGCCAATCGTATTCTTATTGGCTGCTGTGGCAGTTTTTTACCGAATGTGGTATTTCAGGGGCTCCCAAGACTTCGACGGCATCCTTCCCCACGCCTTTGATACGGCTATTCCAAGAAGATGCCGAAGCCATGCGACGCAAACCACCAGCCCCGCACCTCAAATTTTCTAAACCTTCCACTGGCCGTTCTTGGCAGTTGAGTGAGACTGTTCACTTGGAATGGGCTCGGAGGTGGGGGGCTCCCTGTGGAAAAAGCTACAGGGTAGATCCGCAAGCGACGAAACTACGGAAGACGAAAAGAGGCATAGAGCGCGGGAGCTCCTCGGGTCTACCGAACGATTATAGTATGCATCCGCACTTAGCCAACTTTTAAGGTGGCATCGCGCGCGGGTCACGCCGAAATCAACCCGTGGAGTCAAGGAGGACACACCACTGACGCACAATGAGCAAATCAATCGGCCCTGCAGACCATGAAGACGATCCACGAGTCAACCCAAAAAAAGCACTTGGCCTGCCCGGGCTGCCACCTGAGGCGCGTTGTTCTCGGTCATCAGGCCAAACTAGCTGGAGACAAGAGGTCGTGGTAATGTCTCGTGCCATCGACGGCTTGTCCGGAAGGTCTTCGTTGTTGAAGAGGCCGCTCACAAGGAGGGCGAGCTTTCGGATGCGAGAATGGATCAAGCGGTCGAGCTCAACTCGGTAAGCTTACCTTAGCCTCCAGGTGTCCCGTATCTCGCTCGAGGAATGGCTGACATTTTAGCACTAGCACAGCAAGAACATCAGGCCTGTCGACGTCCGACTCCATGAAAGCACAGATAAAGCACCTCGCAGGCGGGCGGCTGGAGGAGGAGGAGGAAGAGGAGGAAGAGAGGGAAGCCGAAGGCTCAACCAGAAACACCACCGTTCTGGCGCCGATGCCAAAGCGAGCACAAAAAAGCCGCGCGAGTTCCATGGACAGCCGGGTCACACAGTGGCTCGATTTCTACACGGGACCGCCTGAACTCGGCAAGTCCCCTCTTCACCTCCCGGCGCAGTCGAAGCAACCCGGGACAGGCACCGCCGTGCTTGAGAAGAAGGGAGGGGGAGAGAGCGAACGGGATCCCGAGCCTGCAACATCCTCCCGCAGCCAGCAAAACACCTCCTCGGAATTAGGCGATCCGGGATTCCTGCCCTTACTCCGCTTTGGCGCCCCCCCTCCAACACCAGACAGCAGCGCAGGCGGTGCTGCCAAGACGCATTTGGGCCAAGACAAGGGAAAGGGCAAAAGAAGAGGACGGAGCACTTCCTCTGAAACCAAAGGGAGACGATGACGCCACGGTAACCAGGGACAAGGCGCAACCAAATACCGAGACGGATGACTCGGTTCGGCATACTAGTACCCGCCAGGATCGTATCTGGCTGCATATCAACTACCGCGGCGAAGCCCCGTTTCTTCAGGCATGGGGGTTGGATATCACGAAGCCGGCTGATCGTATTGAGGGGTTAGCTATCCTCAGGGAGCTGATCCAGGCGGAAGGTGAGAGGAATAGCGTGGAGGGCGCTCAAGCCGTTGTTCAGGGGTCAACATCACCTGCACTGGCAGCTAGTTGAGAGTGGTGTGGTTTGTGATGGGATAGGGAGGGGGAGAGTGCTCATACCTCTTGACGAACACGTTAATTATAGCGGCTATCTTGAACAGACAATCCCCGTTCGGCCGGCTGCCGCACAAGGCGTCCCTCAGTGTCATGGGTTGGTCGTCTTTGAGCCTGCAGGGATCCGGATTCCGGAGTTGGTGCGATGCAGGCGTGCCCGCCGCTTGGGCACTGTTCCAGTGTTCCGGGTTATAGGAGCCGAAGTGTTTACCCCGCGGCGCTTCCCCTCGTGGCGGCCGGACGACATCCTCATCCTTGCCCTGCTTGGCGTCACTTCCCACAATGGGAGAGCATTTCTCCTCGTCTTCGGTATCGCAACGTCGATGACGGAACCTTATCCAGTTGCCCCCCCCCCCTCCACTTCATTTCCCATGAGCGTATTTTGCGACAGTTAAGTGCTGTGGGATAATGCCTTTTGAAAAGGGACTTGGCCGTTTTCGAGAAAAGCGACCTCCCAGCCTCGGAGAAAAGCGGGTCGGCTAACCTTAACGAGTGGGAAATGAAAGATCGACGTTATCCAGTTCCCCCGTTGGCCCTCGTCTCCGAGATGCTTGTCACGACGTGGCTTCGCGTTACAAGGCTCTAGGGTCAGAAAGGTTAAACATGGCGACCAGCCCGCGCAAAAATAACCGTTGTACTAGTTCGTCACCCCGAAACCTCGTCGTTACAGAGGTCGGGGCTTTCGCCAGATCATCCTCCGCTAATGCCGAATCAAACCCATCCACCGCAACCGGGCACCATCTCTGGCACCAACGATGCATTGTAGCTGAACAGATCAACGCCTGCGTTCATCGAGCCTCACCCTGGTGGAGCCGCCGCGTCGATTGGGAATATCATGCAGTTAGCTTCATCCCTGGCGTGATAGAGGCGTCTGCTTTTAGCGTCGCGGTGGAGACTCGCAGGGAGATGCCACACACCTGACCGCGCTTCTCACGCAAGCCACGGCAAATCCTTCAAGCGAGTTCAAGCGAGCATCGGCCCAATCTCGGCTACGCTACGGAAGACTCTGCTCGGCGCGCCGCCACACGCAAGAAGCAAACCTTGCCATTGCTGGACGGGCCTGATGATTCCTCGTCGCGCGCTGCTGCTCTCTCGCAGACCCTCTCTCGCCGACTGTGAACACAGTACTCCTACATAGTAGTATCTGGAGTGTTCAACGCGTCGTGAAGAGAACTGTGGAGCTACAGCATGGCGTCAGGGTCTTCCGCGATCTGCCCGCATGCATACGACGTCCCAGATCCCATGGCTCCACCAACCGCAATCTTCCCCCAGTACATCGTGAGATCGTTAACGTCAGCTGGACATGAGCGGCCGTCGATCTTGCGCTTTGACACTTACAAATGCCTGCCCCTCGCCCTCACCGGACGTGGCTCTGCTGCCCTCCCCTCCCAGCCCTCTCTGCCGGTCCGATAACAAAGTTAGCGGCCCGGTTCCTAGCGTACGTGGTACTGCCCGGAAGATGTTTCGTTCAACACGTTGCTGCTGTTCCTTACCTCTTCGCTCTGGCCCCTGCTTCCCCAGTCGGGAATTGTCGTCAGGAACCCGGCACCATGTGAGCCTCAACTTCTCCCTGGCAGTCCCGGCTGCAATGTAACCTCTGCCCGACCGCGGCCCGCACTCCTCAATTCGCACTCCTCCGTTTCTCTGCTCGCCAACGCCGCGATGGTCGCCCAGCTGCCGCCCGAAGTCGCAGGCGTCGCCGTTGGCGTGCTTGTCTACAGTCTCGTCTGTTTAGCCAGCGGTTTCTTTCTGCTGTGGCTCGTCTGGATTCACGATGAGCGTAGGAGCTACGTCGCCCTGCTGGCCTCCATGATGACACTGCACACGGTCGCCTCCATCGCCCAGCAAATACACACCATTGTACGGTGGCGCGACATTAAGATAGAGCAGTACGCGAACTTAGTCGCCAACGTCGGCAACCCAGAGCTGAATATCACGGGGGCATCGACAGGTTTAGACCTGGTCTTGTTCTACATCCGTACGTCTTTCGCTGACCTGTGACGGACCCCCGCTGACCTCGAGCATCGCAGAGTACTATGCCTACAACGTCGAATCCATGGCCGTCTTCTTCTGGTAAGCCGCCCGCCCACTCCCACTCTTGCGTCCGCAAACCGACGTTGACCGACTTTGACCCAGGGCCGTCGGGCTAGCGAAGAGTATCTTCCAGCTGCGCATCACCAAGATGTACCACCTCCACGCCAGCCTCTTCGCCCAGGGCTTCGCCACCGTCGTGCCCGCCGTACAGATGCTCTTGCTTCGCTACAGTGACATAAATAAGAGCACCATCGGGTTTATGGTGCTGGCTAGTGCCATCAGTAAGCCCCTTTCTCTCTTCCCTGTTATTATTGCATACCATGACTGACGTCGCTAGTGGCCGCTTGTTTCGCCGGAGGCGCCCTTCTGCTCCTTGGCATCCTGGCGTGCTACATACACTCGCGCATCACGCTCGCATCCTGGAACGTCCGCTACGGCCAAGCCACCTCGGGCGGCTCCGGCACAAACGGCTCCCACTCCGGCACCCGCCCCGGCACCTCTAGCGCGGTGCAGCCGGCCCGGATGCGCACTATATACGACAGGTGGCTCGTCCTGCGCTTCACCGTTGCCTTTGCCGCTCTAAGGTAACACCCACCCCCAGCCCCCCCCGTTCCACACTACCTGCAAGCTGACGCCGGGGCATCCAGTCTCTTCCAAGTTATAATCATTAACTTTCAGCTCCGCGCCGCCGCCACCAACAAGCGCGCCAACGTCCCGCCGCAGCCCGACCTCAGCGTGGACCGCGCCCGTGGCGACTTGGCGCTGTTTGCGCCCGCCCCGACGGCCGACTTGTTCGCCTTCATCGTATTTGGTACGACCCGCACGTTCAGGGAGTACATGTGGAATCTGTTCGTGCCGCGCTCGGTTAGGGAGAAGGTCGAGGTGCGGAGGAAGAGGAAGAGGGCGGTCGAGGCGAGTGGTGGGGAGGTCGAGGTGCTGCATGATGCTACGGGGAGCGCGGCGAGGGACTTGGAGGTTGGTAATGGAGGAGTGGTGATAGGGTTGGGGGTTACAGGAGTGAGGAGGGAGGAGGGGGATGGGAAGAGCGACGAGTGGCCGATTTTAAAAAGGGGAGTCGGGGAGATGGTGAGGGAAAGGTGATTTTGGGTGCGTGGGTTCGGGTAACTAGCAACTTTTACTTCGCAAATACTGGGAACAATTGGCCCGTGTTGGCATTTTCGTGACACTGGGCGCCTACCCTCTACTTCCCTCACCACGTAACGAGTAGTTCTGTTGCATATGCAGGCAAGAAGCAGGCAAACAACCGCCTGGCAACGCCTCGAACCTGGGTGGCTGCCGGGATAAATCATTGGCGGCCAATTATTCCTCCCCTTTGCTTACCCACTGAAGTTGTGGATTGACCACCGCATTGAACGGCGTCTGCCTGCCAAAACCGGCGGCATTTCCACGCGAATGCACATACTACCTAGTAGATATCTTATAGTAGCTTAGTTTAAGATATTAGGTTGAATTGCTTCCTAGAGAACTCTTAACGTCCTCTAGAACAGGTGACTATCGATCTTCATATACTATATATATGCCTTTATCCTCGCTTGGATCACCTGTGTTCTGGTAATGTAACTGTTGTTGGCTTGCTTCTTTGCTGGTGATCCCGCTTCCTCTCGATCAGGAGGATAACCACACCCGCCCCATAGTGGCTGATCCGGCGGCTGATCCAA